ATCCAGTGAAGGTGGTCAACTCGGTGGAGTAGGTTGAGGTGACAGATCCAGTCCAGCCTGTAATGGTCGTGGAATTGATTCCAACAACTGGGGTCTCTACGTAGTAGATGGTCTCAGTGGTTGGGATACCGTCTGATCCGGTGAAGGTGGTCAACTCGGTGGAGTAGGTTGAGGTGACAGATCCAGTCCAGCCTGTAATGGTCGTGGAATTGATTCCAACAACTGGGGTCTCGACATAGTAGATGGTTTCGGTTGTTGCAATACCGTCAGATCCAGTGAAGGTTGTCTCAGCAGTCGAGTAGGTCGAAGTGATGGATCCGGACCATCCTGTTGTGCTGGTGAACGTCACGTCTACATCTGGGGTCTCCACAAAGTAGATGGTCTCAGTCGTTGCAATTCCGTCAGATCCAGTGAAGGTGGTTAGTTCAGTAGTATAGGTCGAAGTGACAGTCCCAGTCCAACCGAGAGTCGTGGTAGGTAACTGATTTCAACAACTGGGGTCTCTACGTAGTAGATGGTCTCAGTGGTTGGGATACCGTCTGAGCCGGTGAAGGTGGTCAACTCGGTAGAATATGTCGAGGTGACAGATCCGAGTCCAGCCTGTAATGGTCGTGGAATTGACTCCAACAACTGGGGTCTCGACATAGTAGATGGTTTCGGTTGTTGCAATACCGTCAGATCCAGTGAAGGTGGTCAACTCGGTGGAGTAGGTTGAGGTGACAGATCCAGTCCAGCCTGTAATGGTCGTGGAATTGATTCCAACAACTGGGGTCTCTACGTAGTAGATGGTCTCAGTGGTTGGGATACCGTCTGAGCCGGTGAAGGTGGTCAACTCGGTAGAATATGTCGAGGTGACAGATCCAGTCCAGCCTGTAATGGTCGTGGAATTGATTCCAACAACTGGGGTCTCGACATAGTAGATGGTTTCGGTTGTTGCAATACCGTCAGATCCAGTGAAGGTGGTCAACTCGGTGGAGTAGGTTGAGGTGACAGATCCAGTCCAGCCTGTAATGGTCGTGGAATTGATTCCAACAACTGGGGTCTCTACGTAGTAGATGGTCTCAGTGGTTGGGATACCGTCTGAGCCGGTGAAGGTGGTTAATTCAGTAGTATAGGTCGAAGTGACAGTCCCAGTCCCAACCGAGAGTCGTGGTGGAACTGAGTTTCAACAACTGGGGTCTCTACGTAGTAGGATGGTCTCAGTCGTTGCAATACCGTCAGATCCAGTGAAGGTTGTCTCAGCAGTCGAGTAGGTCGAAGTGATGGATCCGGACCATCCTGTTGTGCTGGTGAACGTCACGTCTACATCTGGGGTCTCCACAAAGTAGATGGTCTCAGTCGTTGCAATTCCGTCAGATCCAGTGAAGGTGGTTAGTTCAGTAGTATAGGTCGAAGTGACAGTCCCAGTCCAACCGAGAGTCGTGGTGGAACTGATTTCAACAACTGGGGTCTCTACGTAGTAGATGGTCTCAGTGGTTGCAATACCGTCAGATCCAGTGAAGGTGGTCAACTCGGTGGAGTAGGTTGAGGTGACAGATCCAGTCCAGCCTGTAATGGTCGTGGAATTGATTCCAACAACTGGGGTCTCGACATAGTAGATGGTTTCGGTTGTTGCAATACCATCAGATCCAGTATACGTTGTCAAGCCAGTAGAGTAGGTCGATGTGACCGATCCAGTCCAACCAGAAGTGGTTGTAGTGCTGATTCCGACAACTGGGGTTTCGACATAATAGATCGTTTTAGTAGTTGCAATACCGTCAGATCCAGTATACGTTGTCAAGCCAGTAGAGTAGGTCGATGTGACCGATCCAGTCCAACCGGTAGTGGTTGTAGTGCTGATTCCGACAACTGGGGTTTCGACATAATAGATCGTTTTAGTAGTTGCAATACCGTCAGATCCAGTATACGTTGTCAAGCCAGTAGAGTAGGTCGATGTGACAGATCCAGTCCAGCCCTTGGTGGTAGTCGAGCTAATTCCGACAACTGGGGTCTCGACATAGTAGATCGTTCTCGTAGTTGCGATACCATCAGATCCGGTGTAGGTGGTCAATCCGGTGGAATAAGTCGACGTTACAGATCCAGTCCAACCAGTAGTAGTTGTAGTGCTGATTCCGACAACTGGGGTTTCGACATAATAGATCGTTTTAGTAGTTGCAATACCGTCAGATCCAGTATACGTTGTCAAGCCAGTAGAGTAGGTCGATGTGACAGATCCAGTCCAACCGGTAGTGGTTGTAGTGCTGATTCCGACAACCGGGGTTTCGACATAATAGATCGTTTTAGTAGTTGCAATACCGTCAGATCCAGTATACGTTGTCAAGCCAGTAGAGTAGGTCGATGTGACAGATCCAGTCCAGCCCTTGGTGGTAGTCGAGCTAATTCCAACAACTGGGGTCTCGACATAGTAGATCGTTCTCGTAGTTGCAATACCATCAGATCCGGTGTAGGTGGTCAATCCGGTGGAATAAGTCGACGTTACAGATCCAGTCCAACCAGTAGTAGTTGTAGTGCTGATTCCAACAACTGGGGTCTCAACATAATAGATCGTTTGAGTAGTTGCGATACCGTCAGATCCAGTGACTACGGTTGTACCCGTGGAGTAAGTTGAGGTAGCTTTTCCTGTCCACCCTTTTGTTGTTGTGGTGGTTGCAGCCCTGTAAGGCGTTTCGATGTAATAGATGGTCTGCACTGTGATGGTGCCATCGCTGCCGCTGGAACTAACCTGGGTAGTGCTGTAAGTGGAAGTCGCGGAACCAGTCCAGCCCTTTGTTGTATACGAGGTTGAGCCCTTGGTGGGAACCTCGACCACGATTACAGTGGTCGGAGACAAGTTACCGTCGTCATCGATACTAGCCACCGTTGACATTGAGCTTGTGGTGTACGAACCGGACCAGCCTACAGTGGTGGTAGCATAACTTGCGTCCGATCCTCCACCAGAAGCGCTTCCTGATTGGAATCTGACACCTCTAGCAGTACTGACGGTTCGAATGTTTCTTCCGCAAGTGATGGTTTCCAGGTAAGTATTGGAAAAAGTGATCTTTTGCGTGAGTGAACGGTCCAAAACCTGGTACGCGTTGACGAACATGTGGTAACTGGCTGGAATGCTGGTGGCACTCACAACAATCGTGTTACTGTTACAGGAGACCTTGTAAGAAGCCGAAGGCAGGGTCGTGGCATCCATTGGATAGTTGTACGCGTTGAAAGAGTTGGCAATGCTGACGTTCACGTTGTTACAGTCCGCCACATTACCCATGGGTTCAGGAAGACCGCGGTAGTAAAGCGTCATGGCTTCATTGAACGCAGCGGTGGGACACGCAATACCAACGTAGAAGGCGTTCTGGTAAGTGCTGGTGGCTGGGAATTGGAAGTCGTATCCGGAGAAAGAGGCAGCAGTTACCGCAGTTGAAACACGGGTATCGTAACCGAACGACGCAGTAGCGACAAGCCCGTCGTTCCAAGTAACTGTGTTCACGCCAATACTCCGCTCGCGGGCGGCCGCTAGGGCTGCAGAAGAACCAGCACCACCGGCATTGAACACGAAGCTGAACGTCAAGGTACCGGAGTTGCTGACGACGGTGGCCCTGCTGATGGTACACTCCAGACGTGTGTCTGCAGGATCCATGTAGCCGTTGACAATCAAACAGTTGGCGAAAGTCGCGCCGTTGCTGGTTAGCGGGATGTACTGGTCAAACCCTACGGTAATCGAGCCGTAGGCTTTGATCACGTGCGGCATGGTCAGCGTGAAGACGTCACCACGCACGGCGCTCATGTCGGGTGTGATGGCATAGTCCAAGCTAGCGGTCCATAGGGTATCGGGGTAGGTGAACGACGAGCTGGCTGGGGAGATGGCAAGGTCTTGGAAGACTCCTGTGAGCGTTTTGGCGTGTGCGACAGCGGCAAACGCTGTGCACAGCAGAAAGGCGTATATACTCGCCAGCATTGTGCTTGTTTGGTAAACCTAAACCTAAAAAAACAACACAGGAATTTGCGATGCGATGCTGCGATGCTGCGATGCTCTGGGTTCAGAAGTGTTGTTAGCCTGCTTTGTAGGTCTTTGGGTGTTGACGAACGAGAAATTTCTCGGCGGAATTCCCTTGTGAAGGTCCCTCATTATAAAGTCTTGTGCGTGCGTTCGCCCATCCACCTTCGCCCGCTGAGTCAATACCGGGCGTGCGATGTGAACAAGACAAAATGACGAAAAACACTGGACGAGCCCGCCTCTATGAGGTGCGGTGCGATGCATTACATGCTCAGAAATCACCATTACTACTGCGCTACCTTTCGCCTTGGGAGCTAGCTAACTGGCCTGAAACTCTACGTTGCGCTCAGGAGTTTAGTTCGCACTGTTCTCTCTTCTGAGTTCTTTTCCTACAAGCTTCTTCGGCCTGGCATCCTGCGTCAACGCATATGCACATATTACTTGTATCGTGCGTCATGTGTATGCACTAGAAAAATACCAAAGTTTCTATACATGAACGGTTCAAATGAAGGTCGGTAGCCGTTTCAGCTGGGCAGAGATCGGGATCGATGCATGTCACGGTGATTGGTGAGGTAGCAGGTCCGACGAGGGCATGGACGAGAACCAGGGCGGTGTTGGTGGTGGCGCGTGCGAGGAGGTAGGCCCTGGAGACACATTTGTGGGTTTTGAGCGGGCGATTGCTGAGCTTGAGAGCTGAGCTTGAATGCTGAGAGTTTTCTGCAAAAACAGTTCTGAGGATTTGCATGGCTGAGCAAAAAAAAAAACAGGCTATGACAGGGCACGACGGTGCCTCGTGGCTAAGGCCGGACATCAGGTTGGAATTGAGAACGCATCGTATCACGCGCGGCTGAGTTGGTGTAGATTGAGGAGCAGGTGCGGAATCTTAGAGAGGGAGCCAAGAACAGGATTGGCTGGACTCCGTGGAATTTACGTGCATGGTTGTCCTGGGTCTCAAGAGGCAAGAAGCAAGAGGTGCTGAGGCGAGCTGAGGCGAGTTTTGGGGTATGTGATCTTGAGACTGGAAATCATTTTCCACAGCTGCGTTATCCTGCCACCACAATTCGGGAAAAGCTCATGAACGTCACATTTTTGTGAGGCTGGCCCTAGTGGATGGAGTTGGCTTTGTTGCTGTCTGGTAGCACTTCCGCACCACTTGGTTTTTTCCACTGGCTCGTCGCCAACGCAGTCCATGGAAAGAAAAGCTAAAACGACTCGCGGGCTTGCTAGTGAGAAAACGCAAACGGGATCTATTCTGCACGGAAGAAATGCACTAGTGAGTGAGCTTTGAGATCAAGCTACTTGCCGCATAATCCCGATTTGTCGGGAAACGAGAGTAAGGCACAGCACAGGTGACACTTGACTGTGTTCGCAGATATGTGTGTTGCCGCAACTAGCTCTCTCAAGGACGCCGAAATGTCCGTGTTGAATTCTGTGCCCAGATTCCCAGGTTCCCTCGTTTTTTTTACGTTCCATGTTTCCATTCTCACCGTCAACTTACCTTCTTCCTTCCTTCCTTCCTTCCTTCCTTCCTTCCTTCCTTCTTTCCATGCATCGGGTTTTTTTCCTCTTTTCTTCTTCTTGCCTCTCTCGTTCTCGGTCTACCAAGCAGAATGTTAAATGCATCACTAGATCGGGCACAGGCAGAATCTCAGGCCTGGCAATGTAATGCCCTTGGTGTGCCTGTAAGCTGGTCAATAACGGAAGACTGGTTGGTGGAGTTTGTGCGCCTTTCACATGCAAGCGTATAGATCTTATTCGTAAATGAAAAAAAATGCATCTCTCGAGACTTCCGTAACTACTTGTGAGGATAGGATATCTTTTTACCCGCTATGAAACGCGGCAGTATGTGCAAAAGAAGCTGTGTAGGGTGTGGTGCGATGCGGTGCGTTGCGGTGCCTATTCCTGTATCCTGTAAGCACGGAAACTCACTACGTATGCAATTTTTGATACAGCTGCAGGCACCATAGAAGGAAGAGAGTGGCTAACTACGGGTTACGCAGAAGACGGTAGGTAGAAGCCTAGTTTTGTAGGGTTGAGGCGCAAGCGGTGTTGAGGCGGTAAGCCAAGATGAGAAACAAACCTCAGGCGCAGCTAGGGTTGTTGGCACGGCATGGAGAGTAGAGTCGACCTACTGAACTCACAGATCACGAGAGTGTGCATTTTGAGGGTACTCGCGGTCCGTACTAGTGAATGGTACTCGTGGGCGGGGCGGTAATAGATATATCATTAATTACGACAGAGATCCGCTGACAGAGCGCGAGTACTGCGTGAGTACTTACTCAACGCTAGTAAGGTATGATGACACTTGAGCTACCAAGATGACAGTATCTTGCCGTGACACGCAGACAATGTCTTGCTCGCTTGAGTAGGATTCTAAAGCTTCCAACTCCCCCCATGTTCCTCTCTAAAGTGACAATTCATGTGTTCATATACCCCTGCCAGTGCTGCTTCTAAAATGCATCCAGGATCTGTAGGCATACTGAACTCCGTTATGACATCGCCAGTAGTGATCGATCTTAGCTCCCAACGGTGCGAAATTTTCCTGTGAATCGCGAAATTCACTTTTACTTTTCAGGGACATATGTGTGTAGACATGCGGCTCATGCGGCGACCAGACTTTGTCAGTAGAATCGTCGAGCCCGTACTTTACAAACATTCAAACCCGTTGGGCAAATGCGCTGGTGCGCAAGTGCGTCTACATGAATCGGAGTCCATACTAAAGGTCTCCCGTACCACAGCTTCTTCATACTAAATCACCGTACAATCAAGTGTCGGAAATACCCATTGACTTCCAAATCTTAGAAACGTTCAGATTTAGAAAGTTGAAAAAACACATGAAGTGAGCCTTTTTTGACATTTTCGCTGTGCTTTGACCTTGTCGCAGTTCCTGCCCATTCCGGTCTGGCTACGGTTGGCCTCTCAGCTCGAAGTTTCTAAATAGAACCCTTCATCTTCTTGGTTCGACCAGCTTATACCTTGTTCTCTGTTGGTCCACATTAGACGAGTACAACGAGGTATGTCGTTATATTCGTTACTTAACTTCAATGGCGCGCCAAGTGTCCGCTAACAGCCTTCTTAACAGCATCTTCTTTCACTATCTATCTGTATCATTAGTATAAGAGAACATATAAAGACCAATTAGTCGTTCAGATCACTGCCAGCGGTAGTGCCATTAACAGCCCCAAGCCCACCTTATTTAAAGTACCTTGGTATGTGGAAACAGAGGCCAAGACGCTGGAACTAGGTTGAATCGAACTGGCAGGCGAGATGGTTGGTGTGTCGCCGCCAGACGTGGCATACGATTGTTTTGACGCTGGAACGCTGGTTGTCAAAGCAGTTTCTGGCTTTGGAGTCTCTGGGCGGGCCGCAGTATTTGCCACAGAACCATTATCAGAGTCTTTTGTACTCTGAGAGGTGACCGTACTGGAAAGCATTACTAGATTGCCATACGAAGCGCTTCTTACAATGGAGTCGAATGGCTGGTAGAATCAGGAACTTCGGTGAAAGGTGATTTTATGGTGCTTTGATCGCTACCAGCACTCTTGGAGGACGATGAGGCTATTGACAGGATAGTATCAGTGTTGAGGCGGGTGCACTTTCATGAGGACCACCGAGGGTAACGTCGTTGGAAGCAGTTGGATTGAGTATTTATGAAACAGAGTTCTGTTCAAAGGCGGCACTGACGACAGAACCAACAGCGGTTTCAGCTCCCCCTGAGTTTGTTGTATAGGCCGTCACAGTTCCAGTGACATGACTCGGGCCAGCAGCGCTTTGAGCGGGTTCTGGAGCAGAACTTGGCTTTAAACTCAATGTACGGACCGTAGGACCATTGGAGGCAAGCGGCTTGGAAGGCTCAGATGATAATTGAGGTGACACTTTAGTTGAATACGCGGTTTTCGACGTTGGAGAAGCAGCAGTGGATGGCTCGAGAGGAAAGGCAGGGAGAGAAGAGAACGCAGAAGTAGGTTTTGGCATACTAGTCGATTCCTCCATGCTAGTTAGTCTAGTTCCTGAACGAGAACTGTGAGTTGTAGTATTCAGATAGTATCCTGACCTTGGTGTCTCCACGTAGTACACAGTTTCAGTGGTTGGAATACCATCAGATCCAGTGAAAGTCGTTACACCGGTCGAGTAAGTCGAGGTGAAAGAACCGGTCCGTCCGGTGAGTGCAGTGGTCGCTACAGTTGGGGTCTCGACATAGAAAATTGTCTCTTCAGTCGTAGATCCATCCTCAACGTACAAAGTAGTGGTTGTAGTCGAGTACGTCGAAGTCTCGGAACCAGTTCCTGGAGTGAACACAGTGTAGGCCATGGTTGGAGTCTCAACATAGTAGATTGTATTTACCGTTTGATATCCATCAGTGCCCGTAGTCGTGGTTAGTGTAGTAGAGTAAGTTGATGTCAAGGAGCCATCGTATGGCTTTACAGAGGTGGAAGTGGTAGAGTAGACAGGTGGTTCCTCTACGACGACCACGTTATTCGTTGTGAATTGCCCTTTTGTATTAGTGAACGTGGAAACAAGAGTATAAGAAGACGTGTACGTCTTAGAACAAACGCTTGTCGAATAATCAGGCGGTACATCGCACTTATCGCCATCTGGTGCTGAGAAGATGTAGGACGTCCAGTCTGTGTGTACGACTCCTAGCGGATCACTGAATTGATTGCAGTCCACCCAAGTAGTTTCTATTTACAAAAAACAGACGAGGAGGGTAGTAAACACCCCCGATTAGATCACCGCTGATCTGGTTTGAAGTTTGGGGCCATTTGGCAAACAAGGTGAACGGTCCTGGATTCGAAACCGTTGAGTTGAGTTGACAACAATCGAAAGAATTGCCCGCATCCACATTAATGTATGCTAGGTCATCGACATAAGCAAGATTGAAGATATAGGTACCACGAGTCTGGGCGTAGAAGTACCCTGTGATTAGCATGGAGAAATTGGTGACTGTGATTTGTGGGGCGTAGTTGTAGTTTGAAGGCATGTAGCCCTTGACGACCGCACAAAATGATCCAACAGTACCAGAGCTAAAAGTCAGATTGGTAACCCCGGAACTGCTGCCCTGTTTACCGTACCCGTAGGTTTCATATCCACCGTTGCAAATACGCGGAGTCTGAGTAGTTAGGATCATAGCATGGAGAGGTGTTCTGACGAATGGGCATACTATAGTATGTCACCGAGAAACCAGATGTCAGAAGAGAAGGCTTACATCAGTTGATGGCACCTTCGTCGACTGACGTGGCCCAGGCAAGCTGGAAAACCGCCAGGAGCACCCCAAGGGGTCCCAATATCATCATTGGAGCTTTGTTGTGTTAATGAAGGTTTAGCTAGCATGAAGCTGCCATCTTGGGGGCCACTCTTTTAGAGTTGTCAGCCATCAATGGTCTTGACCAGTAATTCTCCCAGGCGCAGATGCCCGCCTCTTGATTATGTAATCGGTCCTCGAGTCAATGATTAGATGATCATGTATATCTGTTGTTTCGCAATAGTCCGATTTGCTGATAGAATTTTTCTTTGCAGCTCTGTAAGGCTTTCGCTGGTAGTGCAAGCAGGAAAAGTAGTTGTGCGTGAAGCTGGTGGCAGAGATACAGGATTCTGCAGAAAGCAAGCTTTACATCTCTCAGCGTCGACACCATTGCTCGATCAATGAAAATCTTTTGTAGTGACTAACAACGATTGTGTGTTGTTTCTTACGGCGCCGTCGTCTTGTCGAAAATGGTGCGGCCCAAAACCGAGCAATCATGCTGGTAACGCAAGTAGATATCGCGACGAGTAACGGCACAGCATTGGTCGTTTGAGCATTTAAACACCTGTGACCCTCGTAGCCCTCGTTGCCACAGCCAAAGCAGGGAAATTAGCAGCCGCGAAGTTTTCGAGAAGTGCTACACGGCATTTTTGGAGAGAGCGGGAAGTTTGCAGAGCTGTATTTTTCTGCACGCGAAATCGCTTGATATGCTTCTGCGGCAGTCAATGTATCGTCAGAACGGTGCTAAAGCAGTGCAGTGAGTTTGATTGACACAAGATGCAGAAAGCCAAGGGAAATCGTCAGGTAAGGCTGCTTGCGGTAGTTGCGGTTGGGGCCCTGTCCTCCATTTCTTTTGAGTATCCAGGTTGGTCTTCGACCGATGCAAGACGTTCGCTCGTGATAACAAGAACATTCAAAATTCATTTCGAGTCATGCGTCGCATGGGACCTTGTTTTTTCAACGTCTTCTTCAACACACCGCCTTGCATTTGCAGTTGAATTCGAGTGACTTCTTGCAGGATGACGGCTGTCGAAGAAACCTCGCTAATCAGCCGCACTGAGGCGTAGGGAAAAGCGGCGAACGCTACTGAAAGTTTGCTTATAGAGCGTCCCGTTTCTTCATCACAGCAGCTCGTACAGAGGACAGGATGTGGAAAAGTAGCAAATGCTTCTTTCATTCTTGTGTGGTCCGCAGTACACGCAAAACACAATTCTGTGATCGTGTTATATGTCATATGGTCATTTTTTGGCTCAACCTGTTTTTGTATTCGTGGAGCCAACGAGTGCACTTAGGTATAGAGGTATTTGTATGACGTGATCTGGGCGAGACGTAGTCACACGCGAGGTGCCGCTCGACGCTGATCTGCAAGTAGAGAGTGAGCTCTACTTAGTTGAACGCTTGTCCCTGGCGATGTGCAAGAGAAGGTATTTTCAAGACTGGTCAAACTTCACGTTGTCTCCCTTAGTCGGACCTGATCACTCGCTGGCATCTCTGGAAAGGACGATTGCCGGTGGCTGGATAAGAAGAGGCCCTACGCTAGCTCCTTCTGAGCCAAGAAGGCTTTGCTCTTGGTACATCTGAACTTTGGTGTCTTGCAATCATGGGTTGAACGCGACAACCATGTCTTGAGTTTAGTACACAACGCCTAACACGCCAGCCTCCAATCAAGTTTCTTCGACGGCTGTTCGTGGTCCTAGCTTTTGCGCAGCTCGTAGCTTTCAATTCATCTATAATTATCTGCGCCACTTGGTATTTCTAGGAATCTACCACATGATTTTTTGTTTATCCAGCCCATTATTCGATTCAGTGATGTGGGTTTATACAACATGATTCATCCAAATGATAATGTTTGAAAATAAACATTAAATCGAGCCAGTGACACAGCTTTGAGGCACTCGGAGCAAATCAATGTAGCTAATCATAGCCGCTCAACTTGATACTACTATCTAGCGGTTTTGTAGTCTTCCACTCATGCTGTGAAATTCAGTTTGTGACTTGTTCTTGTAATGTGGCACTCAGATATATGCACCAAGACATGATGAAGACATGATGTTGATTGTTTACGATGCTCTATAGGACAGTATTGATTTTGCCCCATCATAAAAACTACTAGGAGACGTATTGCCTAGGTACGCTGTTCACATCCTCTAGCAATGTTCATCGAAAACTTCTTTCTAATTGGGTGCCTGTCAATGTCTCCAATTGCAGTGTCTCTTTCGCTTAACCTTGGAGAAGAAGCTTGACCATTGCAAGCATCTGTTGCAACAGTAGAATCTTCGCCAATTACGTCTATTAGTAAAATTTAAATTCAGAATTGGACTCATTGCTTGATCTTACGAGCAAACTGTGATCAACGTGCTTTTTGGTGCGCACTGAATACTTGAATAATAAAGTGCCTTCATGCTTCGACCTAAACCTTCTGAGTACAACGTAATGAACGGCGTAGAAACTCTTCGTGGAAGGTTTTTCGATACTCTTAGCACCGTTCGGCTGAAAGCATGGATATCCTGATGACATCGAGAGGCTCTGTTGCATTTGTTTCATTAGATGCACTTGAAGCGTCACGATGAAATACACAGCAATAAACGATCGACTGTACTGAATTCGGGAGGGCGTCAGTCGTCTGTGTTCACGTAGCACGAAGTAGTCGTTGGCGCCAGACTTCCACATTCAAATGCTCGTGCTTTGCGTAATAGTAAGATGCGCTCAAAAGAGAGTCCTTCACTGAATTTGGGGCCTCATTTGGTGCAAGATTTATTTGTTCCCTCGGATGTTTCTTCGGCCCGAACAAGACGGATAAAAGCGACCTTGAACACACCAAAGGTTGAATACCACATACCAAAATGTCCGATAGGAATTTCCTGAAAATGTCGAGCTTAAAAACCGGCCAACATAGAATGGAGCTTCAGAAGGAAAAGAACGCATAAACAGTATTTTCAATCATTTCAAGAGGTAAGTGGGGGATTGCGAAACTCAGAGAATTGACTTTGAATTTCGCAAGACAATGCCAAGTAGTGCAAAGTAAAGCGACTTTACTCCGCCATTCGCATTTTTAAGATGAAATTTTGTACATTTTACTGGTTGATAACATTTTGTTCCTTTGATTTCGTGACGTCCAATAATCATAAAATGCTTGAAATTCAATAAAAGCCGATCACAACTGAGTTCAGTAATCAAAGTAGTTTATAAAACTAATCAAAATACGCCGATATTTCAATTCCAAATTCTGCATCGTAGCTTGGAATTATAGTGCATCAAACATGTAGTACTACTTCATTTTCTTGATGTTACATATTCATCCTTCGAAATAGCGGTGGCCAAGGCAAAGCATGTTTGTTACGATCAAAAGTCGCATTGAGTATAGACTTATTGAGAAAATTTGGTTAAGAATGAAAGCGCCCAGTTGTATGGCGTAGGTGCTTTTGCTACAGAGGAGGTCCTCCTAAGGTTGATACTATGAGCTGCAGGTGTAATAATGACTCTTATTGTGCTTAATTGTTAGAAGTACAGAACACTTCGCTCATTCAAGCTATGGTTTTCCTTCACGATTTGTAATTTTAATTTGAGGGTCGAAGGCAATTCTTTTAGGTTTGAATGATGAAGACTTCGCTCTGCGGGAGACTCATGCATTCATCTGAACTACTGTCTTAGTGCTGTCCAGCAGATATTCATAACCTGTGTGAATTTGCCAGGAAATAACACTTTAAGTCACCGAGTCGCTCTTTCGTATGACTCTCCAGAAAAGGCAAGGAATATCGCACAAGTAGCAGTATACCAGACCGACACAAAGCTTGAATACTGCAGCAGTGATGTTCTATTATAACAATCTCCAAATTCACCTGGCACTTCAAAAGTTCAGTCCACTTACTCTAATGAAATGCGCCGTCGACGATATTTATACCTGACATTGTGCGCACAGAACATGATAGAAGAACACTCTGCTTTAAGCTAATGTAACAACATCTTTCAAATTCATGGTATCTTTTTATCAGGCGCATTGGCGTATGCACCAAGAGGTGGTGTGAGTTCTTCCTCAGAAATATAACTGGAAGAAAGCTTGACTTTGCAGATTGCGACGGATGCTATGGTCTTCAACGATCGATATATCGTTTCTGACTCTCAGAAAATGCAAGTTCAATGTGGTAGCAGTTTGACGGCGTCATCACCATAAGATAGTAAAAGGCCAATAAGACTCCAGAAACTTGAGAGTAACCGGATAATTGTCGTAACAAGCAACTGTTGCTTTGCGATTATTCAAAAAACCCTTTTGACAATAACCTCAGTGTTCATATCCATTTATGCCCATCTCACCTCATTTAGTTGACGAGCTGAGAAACAGTCGAGGTTAGACTTTTACTTTCCATACTGCTCGAACATTTGTGAGGTCAAGTGGTTTCAGTTTTCCGCGTCGCGCGTAGGTTTGTCTTATAAACTTTGTCATATGTAGGTCACTCATTGCAGCGTGAGCGTTTACAAGGGCCCTGTAACCTCGCGAGACCAGTTGCCGTGCTTGACGTTGCCGTATTGAATGTCAGCAATCCATTTGGCAATTGTTTCAGTGAGAGGGCCGCTCTGCTTTCCATCTTGCAAAGGAACGTTGATGTCCTTACCGTTCCAGCCGATTTCCTTGATTGGAGACACGACGGCGGCAGTACCGGCACCAAAAGCCTCGACCAATTCACCCTTAGCAGCTCTCTCCTCAACTTCCTTGATGCTGAAGTAGCGCTCAGAGATCGTCCATTCGTCGGAGCTCAAGTTTTGCTCGGCTAGAGTCAAAATGGAGTCTCTAGTAACACCTTCCAAGATGGTACCGTCCAATGGAGCAGTGACCAACTCTTTCTTGCCTGTCTTAGCATCCTTGAAGACGAAAAACACATTCATGGTGCCGACTTCGGTGATGTACTTTTCGGGGCCAAAGAGCCATAGGTTTTGCTGGTAACCTCTCTCGGCAGCCTGCTTTTGAGGCAAAACACATGGGGCGTAGTTGGCACCCAGTTTCTTGTCACCGCAACCACCGGGCCAGGCTCTGGTAGCGTAGTCAGTGGCTTCGAGTCTGACAGCCTTGAAACCGGTCTTGTAGTAAGGTCCCACAGGAGATGCAATCACGAACAGAAGGGCTCTGTCTGGTGCGGAAACACCCAACGCTGCGGTGGTTCCGATCATGGTTGGTCTGAGGTACAAGGCGTAACCCTGGCCCTTTGGCACCAAGTGCTTGTCTTGTTCGATCAATTTGCCCATGAGCTTGATGACCTCTTCACCGTCGACGGTAGGCAGACAGATTCGTGCAGCGGACTTGTTCAAACGCTCCATGTTCTTGTCAGGTCTGAACATCGTAATTTTGTTGTCTGGAGTTCTGTAAGCCTTAAGACCCTCGAAGAGTTCGAATCCGTAGTGGAAAACGGCACAAGATGGATCTAGACTTAGGTTACCATATGGCTTGATCTCAGGCGCACCCCAGCCCTTTTCTTGGGTCCATTCAACGGCCAACATGTGGTCTGTGAAAGTTTTGCCAAACCCCAAGTCTTCGTTATTTTTGGGAGTCGAAGGCTTTGTAGTGGAACGGATCTGTAGCTTGCTGGATTCCAAAGGAGCAGACATCATTCTAGAAGCAGCCCCGCTGAATAGTCTGCTCGCAAGACTCAGTTGGTTAGTTCTTCTTAGCATTTTTTTATCTATCTTTATCAGTCGAGCTATATTTCAGTAAAAGTTGCAGGTTTCAGTTTGAAAAGACCGATCTAAGTTCCTGCTTTATATCACGAATCAAAGCTGAAGAGTCAGAAATGTGTCGAGTGATAAGCGAGTCGTTACAGCTTGAACTATGACAGCTTTTGATTTACTTATAGAGTCTGGTGATGAGTCAATCGATGAGCACCCGATAGTAGGATATGGTATTTTTTTTCAGCGCCGGTATCGGCGTTTTTTTCTCAGTCCTATAGAGTAATAGAAAAAGCACTCGTCTTATGCCAAAACCAGCGATGAGTCAGTTACATTTGGCAAAATGACACGGGAGAGGTATGAAGATAGTAAGATAAGATGTTCGAAAAAAGGACCGCGGCTATCGCGAGGGTCGTGTCATTTTTGCAGTGAGAAAAAAAATCGGAGTGGTAGCGTGAGTATTGGAATATGGTTAGAAACGGTGTGTTGTGTCACAGCCCGAGTTTGTTTGAGGGACGTTTAGTATTGGAAGGCTGGGAAATTAGACAAATTGACTCACTGAAGCACAGGGAGTTTTGGGGCTCGTCGTAGTAGCACAGATGTGTGTCATATTTTGATAACAGTGTAGTTAGCAACGTCCAGTGACCACGTGATACTGAACAGTAGAAGATGAACTTCTTCAATGGATGACAACGAGGAGCAGTTTGGGTAATCGTGTACTGTTGCCAAGGTATGTGCGTGTGTGATCTCAGTAGAAATTTATTCAAGAGATCGGCTAGTAAATGATTCGCATTGCAATAGTGCGAGTCAGGACTGGGCCCGAGTACGAGTAGTTTTTTCGAGTAGCCAGTGTTTAGTGACGATTACCACCGCGAGTACCTGAGCGAGTACTACAACGAGTACTACAACGAGTACTACAACGAGTACTACAACGAGTACTACAACGAGTACCACCGCAGGTAGGTGAGAATCATTCTTATAATAATGTACACATACAAGATAGCGGTCCAAGAACAACGAAACTTCATTGACCAAGACTATTTCAATACCCTATAAATTTATCATCAATGCCGAACCATTCACTTATTCAATGGGTGCACTGTTGTGATTGAGAAATGCCCGAAACTCTTTTCTGTTGACGACACGACGCGGGGTTGAAGGTGAGTAGCCCGCTGGCTTCAACGTGGATGGTGCCATAAACATCCATATTTACTAAGGAATATCTTGCTTTATGTACGTAAATATCAATTCAGTCTCAGGAAATAATCCTTGAGATGTAGGGACACGACTTCTGGCGTTGTATCGTGTAACCTATAATTAATTTACTGAGGCGAGAAGTGATCCAGGTGACCCATCTCCTTAGAACGAGTAGCTTTTGTCGGTTTACACGCACATTACTCGTGGCTAAAAACACCGGCTATTCGAGGCTCTTCGTATCCAGTTCTGTTGCAAGTTAGCCCGGTTTACTTGATTTGAATACGTGTTACGTAAGCGTTATGGTCGAGAAATATCGATCGATAGATGAGTATTCTAACTGTGCATATCCAGGAAACACTAGAAAATGAACGGCCGTCAATTTTCTGCAAAACCTCTCTTACTATGCTGATGCACTCAGTTCTCGAAAACCGCAGCAAGCAATAATGAAGTGCGAGGTTGGTACAATCGGCAAGAAATGTTGAATTTGTATCATTTATCAATGTTCTCCCAGTTTCTCATTTTCGTTAGCCATCAGTTTTTGAGTGCGCAGGCCGTGAAAGTACGGGCCTAGCAACGGGCAGGCCATCCAGTCGAGGCCATTCCCTCTGGTATCACTTTGTACAGTTGTGTCGTGGAAGTACATCCAACAGAAATAACAAAAATCTACAACTAAGAAGTACAAGAGAAACATTTCCCTGTTGACTTTCCCTTGCCTTCTGACCTAAACCTTTGAATTGATCAGCGTAATTGGTTTTCACTTTCATCCATAAAATCTCTTAACACCTTTTCCTTTTATAAAGGGCCGTAATTCCCATAATCTGAATCAAATTTCTAAGCACTCGTGCTCCAACCCAGCTCACCAAATAACTCCGACATTTACGCCAAAAGAATGCCACGATAAAGTCTAGTCCAAAAATATTAGCGACTAGATCGCTTTAAATTCTACACTACCAAATTCATTGAATAATACATAATTTTAGAAAACTATTCAACCAATTTTCCTCAAATCATGAGCAAATCTAGCGATTTCAAAAACATTCGGTGCTAGCGTTAGTTCATTGCCCGTCCATTCGACCTAGTTTAGCTCGACGAATCACTTGTGATCGAAACTTTTTAAATTGAATCTCTTTCTGAACATTTCTAGCTCATCTGAAATTTATTAGATATGGAATAGTTAACAAGCAACTACCGCCTATTTAAAGAATAAAAGGTTTCTATCAAGACAAAAACTTCAAAGATCAACCTTTGGAACTTTACAAGAGTTCAATTTCAGTAATGACCACACCAAAATCAATTTTGAGACCACAGATAAAAAAACTAATACGCCAAATTCCACAGGCTTCTCTTGACCATCAATCTCAACTAATCCTGGATGCCTTAAAACCCGCTTTACAGCCACATCTCTCTGTAGCATGCTTCATGGACATGGGTCGCGGCGAAGTACGAACTTTGCCCATAATAAGTCACTTGTTTGAGGCCCATAAGCGAGTGTATTTGCCGAGATGTACCGACACCAAGACCAGTGGGCATCCAGTGTTGAGGGGTGGAGTGGATTCTCATCCCCATCTCACGTTTCATGAAATGCGAAACATGGCGCAAGTGGAGGCTCTAAAGCCACAGGGTAAATATCAGCTACTAGAACCACCTCTTGAAGAGCCTCATCCGCACCCACCAAAGCTTGATGTGGTGTTGGTTCCAGGTGTAGCTTTCTGTGTCAAAACGGGGGCAAGGATGGGCCACGGCGCTGGGTTTTACGATGATTTCATTCACCGCACATTGCAAAAGCACGGTAAGCGACCCTTACTAGTTGGACTAGCGCTTCAAGAGCAGGTCGTTCCACATGTCCCTACAGAGCTTCACGATCACCACATGGACGCCATTGTGTGTGGCGACGGCACAATACACTGGATTGGAAACAACCATTGATCAACGGGCAAGATGATGGCCATTTACATATTGAGTTTTTGATAGTTAAGAAGCAAAATGCACAATGCGAGTTACGTGAAAAACTAAAAATCCAGTCTTCTTGTCTAAGTCTTAAACCGCCCTGTTCCCTTAACCAAGGTGCGGTCACCGCTCTGGTCCATAAGCTCTGCATATAGCTTCACGGTTTTGCCGTTTTCTTCCACCTTGGTAACTCGTACTACAACAAATTGATTGGCGAAAGTAGGAAATTTGTAATTCAGCGTGAGATCCCGGGTTTTCTCCGAACTGACGCCTTTGGCAAAGGTCACCGATTCACGCATTAGATCCTCCATCACCGTGGCCAGCACTCCGCCATGCACCAAAAAAGGGTACCCTGTGAGCTTCATGCCCAGATGATAAATACCCACTGTTTCCCGGGTTTGAGGATTATGGAAAAAACGAGGTGCTATGCTGATACCGCCTGGCACACGTAAAGTCCGATCTATCAGGGTGTTATTCTTTTGTCTCTCTGAGAACACCTCCGTGTACCCAGCCTGCTTTAATTGCTTAACCACGTTCAAGTGCTCCAGCCGGCTCTGTAGCTGGGCCCTGTACTTCAAAAGACCCACGTCATTTTCGGGCACGTTGTCGTACATGTACTTGGCCAACACGTCTGCAAATGTCATATGCTGGGTGACAAGCCATCCTAGCCCAAAACTGGTGCTAAAAGTGGCCCACAGAAGCCATTTGTTGGCCTTCTGAGGTTGTTTTACAACGAATTTTTTCGCTGAAGCTGAATAAGCTCTCAAACTGGCTTTCAAACCTGCACGAAACATCGGTATACGTTGTTGAAGCTTCTGAAAGTGCGTATGAATTATGTAGATCACTTCAGATATCTTAGTTTAAAGGTATAATTTCGTTCGTGATTAGCGATAATAAGCAATAAAAAATCACGTGATGAAAAATGAGACGCTTTATTAGAAGTAGTGAACCAAATAACTCCGCCGATTCTGTGCGTCCTTTCCGACCTATCTCTTCTGGTTATCGTGGTCTTTAATCTCACCATTTTCTCTCTTTCTTATTACTGGTATTCTGTTCAGTCTCTGAAGCCTTTAACTGAAATTATTATCTTGAAATTTGACAAAATTTGGGCCAAACGAAAGCGATGAGCAGAACTCACTCTTTGTTCTCCAAAAACGCGAAGATGCCGCTGAGACTAGAGCAGATGCATCTAAACGATGAAACTCACGAAGAAGAGCTTTCGAAAGAGCCCAAAATTGAACCGAGTGACAAAGAAATATGTGACGACGTCGTGCTTTTATGGCGCCAAGAACCCGCTTTCGAAGATGTAGAAACAGCCATCTTGCTCGAGAAAATTGCAACAAGAAATCCCCGTTGGGATCTGTCACTCGAAAGGCTCAAAAAAACGCTTGTAGAACACAATCTATCATTTTCGGATGAATCGCAGCTCTTCACCTACGCTGATCAAGTAGAAAGCTCACAGTGCCCGCACATAGATCCCAAAGTGCTTGAAAAGATAGAACTGCGCCAAACAGGACCCCACAGCTCGTCTGCATTCGCACTGAAAGACCTGCGACAGGATGAGGTTATTTTTTATGAACACGAGCCCTTGACACCCATACTGCCGCTGGACAAAACTTCGTTGGCTCAGAATGGCAGATCGTGTGCGTTGTGTGGACATTCACTGACTCAGAGTTCGCAATTCACCGTAAAAAATATGCTGGACTGTCAACAATGCTCCGCTGTTTGGTGTTCGAAGCATTGCAAACGATTGGATGCTGCGTCGCATGGCTTTCTCAAACATCCGCTCTCTAAAAATAAGAAGGTTTCTGCTGTTGGATGGTTGGAATTTGAGGACTTATGTAAAGAGAACGCTATGCATGCAGCGTATTCGGTCGGAATCATTTACGCTCGTATCTTGCTCGACAAGCAGGAGGGCTCGCGTATCAGAGAGCAGTTCGACTCTCTCGCACAGGTAAGTCAGAACTTACGTGCGAAGGCTGCAGACTCCACAAATGTGGGTGGAACTTTCGACAGGACAACTGGTGCTGTTCCTGTAGAAGAACAATCATTGTGGAAACGAATATTCGATTCGTTCTGCAAGGCATTCCCCCAAATTGTAGAGGAGGAAGGTTTGGACTTCGAGACATACCTGACATACATTGGGAAATTCAATATAAATCAGCTTGAAGGTCAAATATTCACGATCTACTCCCATCTGAATCACGAATGTGAACCAAACGTGCGCTACGAGCTCAATGCAAAAAGTGGTTTGAAGGTATACGCGAGAAAAAACATCAAAAAGGGCGATCAACTTTTCACAACCTACGTTAATCCACTTCATGGTGTCACGTTAAGACGTAGAGAGCTTTTGGTGAATTGGGGGTTTCTATGCAATTGTCCTCGGTGTCAGAAAGAGCTGGATGCGCGGCAAAAAGCTGGAAGAATATCGACTTCTCTTCTTAAAGCCCCACTAGCCACTACATCCAGACGCAAGTCGTCAATGAAAGCTACAAAGCCAGATTTGTCGGAACTATTGAAAAATGGTCAAGAGTTTGACTTGGAGATTCCAGTGGAGTTTGGCTTCGACCGAAGAAGAAAATCAGTAAGATTCGACGAAAGAGTAATGGCCGCAGTTGAGGAATGAATTGACAGACCCCAATTTCGATCAAGTCTTAAAATTAACCCAATAACCGAGAAAAAGTACGTTTATAAATTATTGTTGGCATACTGCCATCTGCACATTGATACGTCCTTGTGTGCTACCATCCCGGATGGTAGCTTACACATGCTGCTTTTTTGTAAGTGGTTCTTCGCGAATCAAGCTCGAGACGTCCGTGTCATGCGGTAAAGGAGGCGTTGTAGGATCTTTGGATGGCACCTCGTCTCTTTGCTCGCAAAGCGGGATTCTGTTTCTAAGATACCGTATCAGCATAGAATGAAGGTCGTCTTTCGTGAACGGTTTTGCTAGTATGTCGTTCATGCCGTGCTGTAAATATGTTACCAAATCCTGGTCCTCGATATTTCCTGTCATGGCGATTATAGGTGTGTGATTATCGAAACTTCTGACGATAGATGTTGCAGTGGCTCCATCTAGATTTGGCATTACTATATCCATGAGTACCAAATCATAACGGAATTTTTCCAAGGTCGAAATCGCCGATAATCCATCTGTGACTACCTCCACCGTGCATCCATATTTCATCAAGAATTTGGAGCACAGTTGAATGCATATTGAATCGTCCTCCACTAAAAGTACGTGGAAACCTGGACGTAGTATGGGATGGTCTAGGATCATTTGAGGTGTCGTCGAAGGGGGGCCTGATTCTATGTGTGTAGGTTTTTTGACAGGCAGTGTGGGTACCACAGAGCTCATTTGCGGCGATCCAGCAGCGTTCATCGAGTTTGTGGTTGGCATCGTAGCGTTGAAAGTGAGATTGGTGGGCAAGTCCAGACCCTGAGAAGTTAAACTGTTGATCAAAACGTTAAAATTCGTCACCAGGACGTTGCTGAACTCTTTCGTAGCTATCAGATTTTCGGAAAGAGTATTGTAGCGGGATTGGGATTTTTGATGGCCCAACTTTAGTTCATAATTCTCGTTTTTCAGATATGTCACTTCTTGTTCGAGTGATTCGACCCTCCGTTTGAGTTGATGGAATTTCGACTTGCTGACGCTATTATTGAGGAGAATCTCGGCTGTGGAATCCAGAGCACTACCCTGCCCGTTGTCGAAGCTGTTCTGACTTTTGACTAACACTGTGTTCTCATCCAGCATAATTTTCTTCTGCAAAGCCGATTTCCGCTTGATGTTATCCAGCTGCGCCTCGTCATGGATCCTAAAAAACGGATGCTTAAATTCCCAGCTGTGTTCGCCATACTGTGACATTTGTTTTTCCTCCGTTGTGCGTTTGACTTTGTGGAAATCGTATTTGTTCAGCTGTCGCACAAAACTGGAGAAATTCGAATGTTTAAAATGACGAGGCAAGATTTGCGTAGTGAACGCGTTTGTATCGAGCACCACAAAACTGTCTCCGTCCTCCGTCCATTTTACTATCCTTGTGTACTGCCCGTCTTCTAGTATCTTGAACAGTTTCCTAACGAAATCGTTAGAACTCGTTTTCTGAACAGTTTTCGACACCGACGTCCCCAAAAAATCGTTCCCATTGGAATTGGAAAGGTCCTCACTAGTTTCCATAATTATAATGCTCAAATAGAACAAGTTTTGCCACAAGAATCCGCTTTTCTTCTTGTTTCCTTTAGTTTTGGCCCACTATCTTTTGTCTTTCAAATTAAGCCTCGTTGATCAACCAAGTGTCCGATTTGAACAGGGAAAACGCGATACTAGCTTCTCCACTACCTTTAGCAGAGGTGAGCCAGGACTTCAACAATATCAAAGTTGAAACTATAGACGTTTCGTCTGTGGTTTGGTTTAATGTCAAAGATGGACAGTGTTTGATTTTCAATTCTTGGAATTTTATAATATCATTACAATCACAGTTGTTAAAGCTACCGCCAAATTAGAAAAACGATGACATAATCTCAATCAGGTGACCGAACTACTGGTGTCTGGGTGGGTATGTCTGGGTGTTTGTTTCTCGAAGGATAATTGGAATTTAATATCTATATGCTACAAGAACTTGAGCCGTGGGCGGCGCGAACAGCATTTGTTGCCAGAGCCATCTGAACTGGGCAGGCAGAGCACGAACGCTTCATAGAGCGGTGTGTGTCCTTCCTTCTGCTTCATATTTCGAAACGGCCGCTAACGAATTCATCATCCATGTGATGGTCTCCGTCGAAATCCACCTGCTCGTGGGCACTAGCCGGTTTGCCAGCATCCAGCCCCGTGTCTTGTTCGATTTCTTCGTCGATCACATCTTCGTCAGCAGGCAGGTTTGGATTGCCTGGAATAAAAGAACCTGGCTCCATGAAATATGAGTTCTGGAGAAATTTGCGGTTGTTGTAATTAGTGTTGTAGTGTTCATCCATAGCTGACTCGTCCACGAAAGTGAAGCCGGCAAACTTGGCCTGCATGGCGGGCGACAGCGGCGTCACGGCAATAGCCTGCTTGTTCATGTACGAGGTCGAGGTCTGAGTGAACTCCGGGTCAAAGTTCGAAGTGTCCGTTTCCCCCGAAAGATGGGGTTTGAAAGGTGGTGGGATTTTCTTCAGCCGCAAAGCTTCCCAGTCGATGTCTGCAAAGAAAGGATGCGCTCTTAGTTCTCTTCCATCATCGATAGCACCCAAACGATGTCTAGGGTTACGGTTGAGCAGGCCCTTCACAAATGAACGACCCTCTGGTGACAAAACGTCGCGAGGAAACTTGACTTTCCCAAATGCGATTTTCTGATACATCTTTTGGTTGTCTTCTGCGAAAAATGGTGACCAGCCACAACACATCTCGAAAATTAAAACACCCAAAGACCAGAAATCGACCATCTTAGTGTAACCGCTTTCATCTAACAGAAGCTCTGGGGCCAGATACTCTGTGGTTCCGCAAAAAGTATTTGTGCGGTCTTTCAAATCGGCTTTTGACAAACCGAAATCGCACAAAGCAATGTTACCGTTTGCATCCAACAAGATGTTCTCAGGTTTCAGATCACGGTAAACAATGTCGTTTTCATGTAAGTACTCCAAAGCAAGTACCAGTTCAGCGATATAGAATTTCGCGCGATCTTCTGCGAATCTGCCTTCTTTTTGTAAATGCCAGAATAGCTCACCGCCACTCATGAAATCCGTCACCAGATATAGATCGGCCAAAGTCTGGAACGAGAATTTGAGCCCGACAATGAAGGGGCATAGCTTGGAAGCAGTACGCACAAGGATGTTTCTCTCACCAATTGTGTGAGCAATCTCATTTTTCTTGACAATTACCTTCTTGGAAAGCACCTTCATAGCGTAAATCCTCTTGGTATCTCTTTTCCGTACTTGATAAACTTGGCCAAATGTGCCCTTCCCTAACAGCCGAAGGACCTCAAAATCCTGAGGTCCATAGTGTCGCTTCTTCGTAGATTTGTATGTCCACTTTACCAAGATGTGCCCAGCTACGCTTTCGCCGATAATTCTGCTTTGTAGCTTGTACCACTGTTCGTGCTTGGAAGGTGAAGATGTATTCAGGTCCGGACGCAGACGCACTTGGCCCAAAAACATGTCATCGTGGGCAGCATCGTATACCGATATATCAAGTTCCGAATGAGCCCCCAAGACATCAAAAGTGGTTTCGTGATGCCATATAGGGTTGGCGCAATTGTTATTGGGTGCCAATGATTGCGAGTTTAGCTTGTCAAGCTGTGAGGATGATTGACGTGTGTAAAGTGGCTCCTTGCTCTTTTTTCCCCCGATTGGAGGCACTTCACCCCTCCAAGCAGAAGTGCCGTTGTGCACAACAGGTTTGTTGTCCACAGACTCAGGACCTTCCGAAATAAACTCGGAGCTCTCAAATGTACACACCACGTATGGTTGAGAATGACTAGACCGGGTGAGAAGTCCTTGCGCCTCTGCTATGGTAACTTCAAGCCTGCCTCTCGGAATGCCTGTTTCGCGTGTGTCTGATTCGAGATTCGTCATCACGTCGCATTCCTCGGAAGTGTTCCCCTCAGAGGTGCCAGCAGAGTGGACCTTATGGCCATTAGACGGCTGCAAGTACTGAGAGTTGTGACTTGAGGATGGAAAAGAAGGAGAAACTGGTGCCAGATTCGATTGCGACGCTTGCTGCTCTGATCCTTTAAAAGCCTGTGAACGGAGATCAGATTGGGTACTCATCGATTTCATCTGAGCCAAAGCGATGTCAGATTGGGTGGAGGCCAGCCCTGTCGTTCCCATAGCGTAAGAGTTCTCGCTTACTGCTGTCGTGGGTGTAGCTGTCTGAGTGGTGAAATTTGGAAATAAACCGTTCGTGGACAATTTGGGTTTTTCTGACTGCGAGCCCTGCTGCTGTTGCTGATATTGAGCTGGTGCTTGCTGGTTTGAGACGCCTTGGTCCTGCTGAGCGCCGAAACCCTTGGCGCCGAAAAAATTCATCATCACAGTGGCAATACTAGAATACTGTGAAAGTGACGAGTGTTCAGCTCTGGAGACCAAGTGGTTCCTGTAGTGAATTAACGTACTTTTTTTGGTTCGTAAACTCCCTATTTGGGCGTCTCGGTCTTGCTAAGCGAACGGAACGATGAAAAACAACCACGCCAACAGGTGTCTTCGTTTCCCAAAGCCAGAATTCGAGTTACAGTATCGTATCTCGACTTTTTAGTTGCAAATGAGTGCGCTGATCAAGTGTGAACCCAGAAGATAGCCGTTTGAATGGTGCCTTCTCAGTCAATCTCGAGGCGTTCTGGAATTTAGATAAGTTTTCCCAGTACGAAAAGACAGCGCGTTACTCTGAGAAACCAAAATTTAATCCTGCTGAATCACGACAATCACACAATTTTGCCCGAGCAATGTATCTAGTGGCAGTCTCAGTCGAAGATTATGTCCCAGCGCCTGCTTTGTTTTTATAACGATAAGACCCATTCAAGACATCGAATTTTGATTTCAATTCATATATCTGCTCCCCCCTCGTTATAGGATACATGAAAATTAAAGCGAGCGAAGATCACATGTCACGAAAATCAAGAAAGATTCGAAGGACAATGGCAACGGTTTACTGGGCACCGAGACTAGGCGAGTTTTAGCGGGTAGAGACCAACAGATCTGTTTCGATTCCTGTAATCTGAACTGAATCAAGACTTCTTTTTGAATTCAATCGCCAGTTTCAGCAGAACTTTTGGTTCAAGGAAAATCAAAATTTCAATAGTTCCATGTCTATTCAGTCGTGCTCGCTGGTAGGAATAACATTGAGTTGCTCGAAGATGAATCCGATAGAGTCAAGGGTTCTTGTGATTTTATCTTAATCAATTTTGAAAGAGCACATGCGGGATTGACGAGGCAGAGACGCACTTATTACAGTCTGAGTTTCTCAATTAACCACGCTGATTACATTTATCACTGGGACTCCATTTATCATCAGCATGTTCTGGTCATTGATCCTCAGAGGCCCGGATCCTAGACGGGATTCAGCTGAGCTCAAATTCACGTGCACCACAGCATCGTGGGTAAGCGGGGCACCATCTATTGCCGTGGCGCGGTATACGGTAAGAAGCTGCTCTCCCCGTTTGCGCTTAACCACTTGCTTGGAATCACCACTAACATACACGGCAGGGCACGTACTGTAAACGTTATCGTCTTGACGCGAAATCAGATCGATTTGCCCAGCATCAATCATGTTGCCATATGCATCCAGGGCACCTACATGTAGGGCTTCCAGTTGCATCCTTATTCCTGCAAGTGACCCTATGGTAACGTTAGAGAGAGGTGTGCCGTATATTTTAGAAACGCGTTCGCCAACCCGGCAATAACCTGGTGCGAAGCTGACATCGAATATTTCCGTCGTGGGAGCTGCCCTGCATGTTGGGATTCCCTTTGATTTCCAGCACCATATATCGTAGAAGTCTGAATGGAGTTCTAGTGACGTCCGATTTGAAAGCCATGACGGTTTAAGCAAGGTAGTGGCGTATCTATAGTCTACCTCGAACAAGCGCTCGTAGTCACTCAGCATGGGGGAGTTTAGAAAACGAGCTGTATTGTCATTTTGATTTTTGAGGGCAGGACACATACCAGGTTCAATTGTAGCCGTAGAAGTGCTGCTATTCTCGGGCATTTGGTCGTCATTGGCGTTGTGCTCGTAAACGTGCGAGACATAACGAGAGATACCTTTTATTGCTTGACTGAAGACAGAGTTCTTAGCGATTGTGTCTCTCTCACAAAATCCATCAAGATGATCGCTGTAAAAACGATCATTGAAATACCTGAGAGAATGGTATGATGTAGAACTGGATGGATGAAGCCAAAACGGATGGGCTTCAGTGCTAAACACGACGTTACTCAAATCAGTATGCAGTTCGTTTTCCTCGTCAAATATCAAAAACAAGTATTTGAGCGTTTCGCTGAGTACGAAGGTTTCCATGCGATCTTGCAGTTTGCCCGTAAAAACGTCTTGAGACCCCGCTAGCCCACAGCTCGTCTTATACAGGTTTTTTAGGTCCTGCAGAATAGACCAAGCGATCTTCAGGTAAAGGGGATCCTTGGTGGCCCGGTATATGTAGTAAGTGCTTTCCACAAACTCAGGGCGGAGTGGGTACCAAGGAAGGCTTACACTGGATTGCTCTGGTGATGACTGATCTGTTTGAGCCAGAAAATTCCATCGTTCTGGTATGCCCCCGTAGTGATTCCAGAGTTTGAGGAACAGCAAGTGCTTTGTTTGTGCGTCTGTCACGTCTCCTGCGAGAACCTGCAGACCAGGGAAAAAGGCGCTTAAAGAATCGATCCAAGGCAACACTACTTCACCTCTATATATGTCGACATTTGCAAAGAACCAATCACCTTTGCAGTGTTTTCGAAGCGCGTAGTAGGTATCTTCCCAAACGCGCCAAAGCCGATCGTCATCGAAAAGAACTGCGCCTTTCAAAGCGTATTCGTAAAATGAGTCTATCGACGCACCAGTACCAGTGTAATGGTTGAAGTTTCTTTGTGTATGAGGGCTGAAAGACATCGGTAGAAGGTCGAGCTTGCTTCTTAGAGACCAAACTTTGTGGAAAGCATACTCGCTGACCTGTTTATACTTGTCATCGTGAGTCAAATAGGAAAGCAGCGTAAACTCAAGGATCGGAGACGCTATGGCAGCAGCATTGTTTTCTTGTAGAATGTCCGGTGAGATGTTACGATATTTGTGGGCTAAATTAATGCGCGGCAGAGGCATTCCGGTCTCGGTGAGGTAAGCGGGTAGCAGTCGGTCGGCAAGACTGTTCGCTCTTTGCAAAAGAAATCCATCATAATCGACACCCAAATAGACTTTTTTGGTGGAATCAGAAGCGTACAAATGGGCCGACAGAAGACCCCCCAAGATCCTTATTGTTGTCTCAAAAACCTGCACTGTAACATTGATGTCGAAATGTGGATCCAGATCGGCACGCACGAGTTCAACGGCCAGCTGAAACTGGTCCTTGTCCCCCATGATTGCCAGCGTTGTCAAAGAGTCGACCAGAGTGGCAGAAAAGTTCCCCATCACGTCATTGCGGTCCAAATCCGAGTCGTCTTTAAAGTTTCTAGTGCGCGGTTGGCATCTTATTGGGTCCAACTCGTCGTGTGGGTATGCCAGTGCCATGTAGTTGTCGAAGGCGTGGTAAAACAGCTCTCTTGTTTCTTGGCGGTACAAGGCAAGTTCGGGCTTTGTGAATGCGAACTTGTGGAAACTAGTGGCCACACACAAGCATAACGACAGCACACATAGCCGGGGTAGGAGCATTACTCATGCGCCAAGCGTGTTTGAACCGATTCGAAATGAGACGATACGACACAATTCGGTGCGATGAGACGCAATGACCTGTATTTTCACGCGCTGAATTGGAAACGAAAATAGAAGAAATTAGGAGCAGGGCAGGGCAAGGGCAAGGCGTTGAGGCAAAGGCCAGGGCACAAAGTACGAGCCGGGAAAAGCATAAAAATGCCAGTTTCGGAGTCGCCGGGGGCCAAACAGTGGACGTATTGTGCTCTTGTTCTGCGAGTATCGAAGGTGTGAGAAATACCTCCTCTTTTGCAGTGAAAGTGCAGTCTCTGGCGAATACGACCCGGGAGTTTTTCTCCCATCGGGCTTGCCGCTAGCATCACCACCGTGCTCATCCCAGCACAACGCCTGTGTTCCAAAATCACAGCACTCACGAACTAAATACGTTCTTCATATTCATATACATAGTAAACACGCGTAATAACTGCAGTACATCATCTATCTTGTATCTTGTATCTTGCCACTGTGAGTGGGTACCGAAAACATCGACAGATCCACAGCCAGCCAGCCCTTTTTATACGCCGATTCCGTTTTTGTGTCACCAACCTTTGTTTACCTTTTGTTCTGTTAATGGTCGCTTTGAACGGACCGTAAATTCGCGTCAGTTTTGTCTAAAGTGATATTTTTGTGGCAAACGCTCCCGCTCTCCAGGGCAAGAACCACGACTAATTCAAGAAGGAGGGCCTGTGAGCGGGTTGTGAGCGAAACAATCACCTCTAGCAATTCTCCTCTTACAAAATCGCTATGATCTTTTCCAGCTCACGCTGTCTCCTTCGTCTCTAGATCTCAAAAGCCTGGTATAGCTACACGTATCGTAACGACCTCACCTACCTGTCTGTCATATAGTTACGTATCAGTGTCTTGAAAGCGCTGAGATGACAGCTTGATTTCATCGGGGACTGTCTTTTTGAACACCCAGACATTTTACACAATTTCTGAATTTTTATAAACATGGTCAACATTTCGAGGAAAAATAGTTGCGTCATTGCCATCACGCCGTCTTTCCCAGTCTGGTGGGCTAGACAGGATCGTCCCTCTAGATCCCACTGGGCCCGCCCTCTGCGTAGACAGACGACCCAGCCTAGCACCCAAGCAAGTTTTCCAGTTTTCTGTCTAGCCCCAGCCCTGGTCTCAGCCTAGGACCTCGCAGCATGGGCAGACTCGCTTCCGACACGCCATGCCCGCGTCATACTGGTGTGTGAAATTTTACCACTTCAAAATTTCCAGACATATCATAATAAAGAGTATCAACTTCAACAAAGCTCTCAAGCAGATCATAATCCCCATAGAACAAGATGGCTAGAGGACCGTATGTGAGCTATAGGTGATGGCTAGCGTGTGCAATGCTGAGCACGAGTTTGTGGAGTAGAACGGAGAACGAAGAACGAAGAAAGAAGAACGAGACTCGGATGGTCCGATATGAACGATTAGACACAAGAAACAATAGCATCCGTCAAGAACATGAAGCAGGCTCGTTGGTCTTTGCAAAACTGAAGAGGAGAGACAGACCTTCATTTCCAATGCGTTCACACCCCCGTTTCATTCCACTCCCTCGACCATCCCAGAACTCCTACTAACATTCCCTCCTTAACAGAAAGAAGCATCTAAAGAGATTAGCAGCTCCACACCACTGGTTGTTGGACAAGTTGTCCGGGTGCTACGCCCCAAGACCTTCCCCAGGTCCTCACAAGTTGCGTGAATCCTTGCCATTGATCGTTTTCTTGAGAAACAGATTAAAGTACGCCTTGAACGGTCGTGAAGTCAGAGCCATCATGATGCAGCGTCACGTAAAGGTCGACGGTAAGGTCAGAACTGACATCACCTACCCTGCCGGCTTCATGGACGTTATCACCTTGGAGGCCACCAACGAAAACTTCAGATTGGTGTACGACGTCAAGGGTAGATTCGCTGTCCACCGTATCACCGACGAGGAGGCTGCCTACAAGTTGGGCAAGGTCAAGAAGGTGCAATTGGGTAAGAAGGGTGTTCCTTACGTCGTTACCCACGACGGTAGAACCATCAGATACCCAGACCCAAACATCAAGGTCAACGACACTGTCAAGATCGACTTGGCCTCTGGTAAGATCACCGACTTCATCAAGTTCGACACCGGTAAGCTAGTTTACGTTACTGGTGGTCGTAACTTGGGTCGTGTGGGTTCTATCGTCCACAGAGAAAGACACGAGGGTGGTTTCGACTTGGTCCACATCAAGGACTCTTTGGAGAACACCTTCGTCACCAGATTGTCGAACGTTTTCGTCATCGGTGAAACCGGCAAGCCTTTCATCTCTTTGCCAAAGGGTAAGGGTATCAAGTTGTCTATCGCTGAAGAGCGTGACCGCAGAAGAGCTCAACAAGGTTTGTAAACAAATCGATTCACTACCTCTGTGCAATAAATAGCTTAAAACTTTTCATTATATTAAGATTTCGAGAACACTGATAATTGGTAATAGACATCTCGAGTAGACGTGCGTGCGTGCGTGTGTGTGTTGTGCCTGCTTGCGACGCTGCAACTGCTTTAAATGTCTTACTATACTCCTAGAAGCTTATGTCTACTTATGTGACTGTAGCTGCTGATCTCTTACATACTGTTTCAACAAATCCTTCGTAGAGTCTCCTCCGTAATTCTGACAGTGTGCGTCCGTGTATTCAACATGTGTTGGTAGATTCTTGCTTAAATCGTTCAAAGCGCGCAAAACGTCCTTTTGAATGAAACTGTAGAATATCAAATGCACTCGATCCTCTGGCCCCACTCTCTTCAACTCCACGGACTGCACGACATTAGGTATCCGGAACACGAGTTCTGAATTGTGAATGACGTCATCGCCATCGCACCCAAAATCGTCGCTGGTTGTGTAGCCCTTGCGCAAATGTGGATCATGGATGAAGGGACACGATCCTGGATAGTGCTTTTTTCTGCGCACTTCCGGCGGCGCCATTGATGTGTACAGAACAGGCCCATCATTCAGGTAGTCGGCCACACCTTCGGCCAGCGAAAGTGGTACTTCGACATAAGTCCAATTATTAGGAAATGGTGACACAATATACTCGGTGTCTTTGGTAAAGTTTCCTTTGTACAAATCGTACCTGATAGATCCGGTGTTGATGATGGTAAAGCGAGATTTCGATTCATCTGTTCGATCTGACTTTAGATTGGGCAGCACCTTGGATGTGAGCAAATTGTAGATATTATGCTTCGACGAAAGCGGTTTGGAATACATGTGATACGATGATGGAACATAGCCGACAACATCGTTCAGATTCAGTTCTTGTCTTATGCGGCTAATTTTATGAGAAAGCTTGACGCCTTTTTCGGTTAAAGTGGAGCTGCCCGAATGATGTGAGAACTGGTTTTTATTGAAGTCGATGTAACGTCTGCTGAATTTTGGTGTATCGCTTTTGATATTATCAATGGACAAAAACCCAACCGTCTCTGCAAATCGTCCACTCTGTATCCCAGTGGACAGTTCGTCAAACACGGCAAAATCTCTTACATGCGAATGAGCACCAAAATACTGGATTATGGTCCGCGGATAATGTTTTCTGAAGATGGAGTGGACTTGATTGATTTCGTGCTCTTCTGGGTCTGTGATTGGCATATGACCAAAAATAACTATCACATCAATTTCACCCTCTGGATATTGTGAGACCGCCTTCTGAAACCATTCTTGCTGCAGTGCGGTAGTAGCCAAAGTCACTTTGGCCCTTGCATTAGCGCGCTGGAAGTTGAACATGAACGAAAACGCCAGGATTCGGATGTTTCGATTTGGAGTCTTGAAATAGCAAAATTTTGAGCCGAAAGGCACTAGTCTGCCATCTTCGGTCACAAAATCTACATTGCTGGAAACGTAAGCGTCCCTAAACTTTTTGGACGTCGCAGTCGAGTAATACTCCAAGACTGTGTTTTCTTCCGTGTAAAGTTCATGGTTGCCCAAAGTTAGCAAATCGTAATCTTGTTCGTTGAATATCTCGGTGGAAAGCTGGCCATTAGTTGCAGTGGCGTCACTGAGTCCGTTCCCATCATGTTTGTCCCCAGTGTCGATTAAAATGAGATCTCGAGAAGTCCCCACTCGGTTATGCTTGAAATTCGACGTGAAGGAAACAAAGTCGCCCCAGTCTGCATCATAATTGGCTTGGTTTAAGTGTGATCCTAGCCATCCGTGAGTATCGGTGGTGTGTAAGAAGTTTAGTTCTCCTAATTCCAGATCTCTTGTACCGGGAGTCTGTAAGTCGGGACTAACCAGCACGCTTTGATGCCAGAAAGGTAATGATCTACCTTGGCAAATTGCCGTTGCCCAAAGCACGCCAAAAACAAATAGCGTTAACATAAGAGTTTGTACAAAAGGATAGAGCTCTGCAGCTCGTGATTCTCGGCTTGTTTTGACCTGTATTCCCTGTGAGGACAACTATAGGTTCACCTTATCTTGAGTAGTTACAAATGAGTTGTAGTTGAAAGTCAGCAAAAAATGTTCCGACTGGGGGTCGAACCCAGGACCTTAACCGTGTGAAGGTTACGTGATGACCACTACACTATCGGAACTTTTGTGCTGAGAGTAAATAGCTGGAGAACTATATGAACAGAAAAACTGGACAGACATATTGCAATGGCTCTGAGGAATGTGCCAATTTCTCGTTTGCCTTAGAGCTTTGACTTCCCTCTGACCTACCTTATTGCTCTATTCAGCTTCATCGAATTGGTTTATTAGCATGAGGAATTATATCGGAAACTATTTATAAGGATACTCAACTTCGCGGTCTTTCCGCAACCATATCTTGCGCTTTTTCTTGGTTGTTACATGCTCAACGAACTTGTCCACGCAGTAGGCTTTCTTGAACTGTTTAATAAACACTGGGTCCCACAGCTCGGAACCAATACCTAAATCCTTGCAACACCTCATCAACGCATTACTTTTGCAGCCCTCAGTCGCAGTAGGGATTCCCGAATCCGCAAAATAGTCTTGTTCTCCGCGTGCAAGACTTACCAACTGGCCATGACAAATAAGAGCATATTCTCGCGTCACTAACTTGTCTGTGACGGTGGTTTCTGATCTTGGGACTAGCCCCCACCCACCAGCGCCGAATGCCTTGTTGAGAATTCGCCGGTACTTGATTTCGGGGAGATACAGCAATCCGTCGGGCTTCACTTCGATGTCTTCGGGAGAAATTGGTTTGCTGAGTTCCACTTGCACGGTGTCGTCAAATGGTCGGGATCCCAGACCTTTGAAAGACACTGCCCAATTGATTTCAGAGTCCAGCTGCTGTGGGATGGAATTGCTCGTGCGAGGACCAGACCTCTCCAAGGCGTACCCTTTGAAAGCGCGATTGAGGGGCTGTCCGTAGCTTTGGGAGTTACTCACACTTACAGTACTAGGCTGGTCGGTATTGGATATAGTAGCAGGGCTGGCATTTTCGTTGTTGGTCGAAGAAACTGGTGGTCTAGCATTGACGACTCTCTTGACGGCTGTGACGACCGTTCTCGAGCGTCGTGGAAGCATTGAAGCTCGTCTCAGAAACATCCTGTCTTTGCACAATTAAAGCAAATGCGTAGAGCTGTAGAAGTGTGAACTTTGAAGTTTTTTGGTTTTCGTTTCTCTGAAGGTTGAAATTCACTGATGAGAGCTGGTAGTCATTTCCGTAATTATAGTCATTATAGTGAAATTTAAACAATCATGGAATTGAAGATGAGCTTGAAAGGAAGTCCATAAGAAATAGAGTGTATGTTTAGTAGAGTCAGCTTATTTCATGAGTACCCAGGGTTTGGGTGCATTGGATAAAACATCAATAAGAGCTTGAATATGCCCAGAGCTTCATAGAGTTCCATTTTCTTGAAATCACGAAACTGTGACGTCACTTTGAACTTGTCTGCCCCTGAATGGCGAACTGCCCTCCTAGCGAGTCATTAACACTCAATTCAAGCATGTTTTTTGTTTTTTGATTAGAAGAAGAGATGTTTTGGAGTTTGTTGTCTGTTTGCATCATAATCAAAAAAGGACGCACGAATTTTCGACGACTCCTCCTAATAGGCCGTTCCACAGTAAAATATGAATGTTGCCGGAACTCTCAACTTGTCGAAGTCGCTTCTAATCTGCGTCCATTCCTGATAGCTCGGCTCGTGCCCTGCCATCTTTCCATTTATGTAGTCACTTTTCCACTCGCACATATCACATATAACGTGGCCTCGCGAAAAGACCAACCTGTTCGTAGCTTTAAAGATGAACAGTGGGAACATCTACAACTCTGCAACAACATATCCCACCAACGAAATAGCGTCACAATATCGCAGGCTATGGCGGCAGCTAAAATTTCGAAGAGCCAGAAGAGCGAGGCTGCCTCGAAAAACGCCAAAACGGCGCCTCAGCAAGCCAATCCGTACGAATTTGTGGGTCAAAAATGGCTTCTTAAACAGCTTCCTGACAAAGCATCGACCTATAGAGTGCTTCAATGGACTGTTACGCTTGTAGCTTTTATCGTGAGATTCAAAGAGCTACCGTATCCGCGGGAAGTTGTGTTCGACGAAGTTCACTTCGGGAAATTCGCGTCCTACTATCTCGAAAGAACGTATTTCTTCGACGTGCACCCACCCTTTGCAAAGATGCTCATCGCCTTTGTGGGATGGCTAGTGGGTTACAACGGTTCGTTCAAGTTTGACGACATTGGATTGAGCTACGATACCAACCCAGCACCATTTGTCGCTTATAGATCTCTAAGTGCGATTCTGGGAACGCTCACGGTGCCAATTGTGTTCAACACCATGAAGGAAATGAACTTCAGAGCTATCAGTTGCTTTTTGGGTGCCATGCTCATTGCAGTCGACTGTGCTCATGTCATTGACTCGCGTTTGATCTTGTTGGATGCCACTCTGATCATCGCTGTTGCAATGTCTTTCTACTGCTACGTGCGGTTCTACAAGGCCCAGCTGCAAGCGCCTTTCTCGTCTCAGTGGTATGCCTGGCTGTATGCCACTGGACTCTCTTTGTCATTTGTGATGTCGACCAAATACATTGGTGTTATGACCTACGCGGCCATCGGAGTTGGCGTAGCGGTAAATTTGTGGCAGTTGCTTGACGTTAGAGCTGGCCTTTCTCTCAAAAATTTTGCCAAACATGTCTCGCAGAGACTGAATGGGCTAATTTTTGCACCTTTCATGGTCTACTTGTTTTGGTTTTATGTTCACTTTGCAATTCTAAGTGGGTCTGGTCCTGGCGATGATTTCATGTCACCCAACTTCCAAGAGACTCTGACGGATTCTCCCTTGGCCAAAGAGGCTAGACAAGTAAACTATTTCGACGTCATCACGATGAAGCACAAGAACACAAACGCTTGGCTTCATTCGCATACCGATCGTTATCCTTTGCGTTACGATGATGGTCGTGTCTCATCCAATGGACAGCAAGTCACCGCTTATAACTATGAAGACATTAACAACCAGTGGGAAGTGCTCCCCACGATAGAGCTTCCATCAAAGCAGGGGCAACCGGTCCATTTAGGCGACGTTGTTAGATTCAGACATGTTATTACTGGCACTTATTTACTAGCCCACGACGTTGCTTCGCCACTCTACCCTACGAATGAAGAGATTACCACTGCTGAAGAAGAGCAAGCTCTTGGCTCCAGTAGTCATGAAACCACGTTCCGTCTGCAAGCCGTCAACAAAGGCGACGAAAAAGAAATCTTGAAGACCAAGGCATCGCTTTTCAGAGTGCTGCACACCGACACTGCTGTAGCTCTCTGGACTCACAATGATGTTTTACTGCCAGAATGGGGGTTCAAACAGCAAGAGGTCAATGGAAACAAAAAGCTGGTCGATCCAGAAAACTCCTGGATTATGGACACGATCATTGACCTTGATGATGACCGCAAGGTCTACGTTCCTAAGCCAGTCAAGAAACTATCGTTTTTCACCAAATGGTCGGAGCTGCAAAGACTCATGTTCGAGCACAACAACAAACTATCTTCGGAGCATCCCTTTGCTTCTAATCCCGAATCTTGGCCCGGTTCTCTTTCCGGTGTTTCATTCTGGACTAAAGACCAAGACCGTAAGCAGATCTACTTTATTGGTAATTTGATCGGTTGGTGGTCCCAAGTTGTCGCAATGGCTCTTTTCTGCGGAATCTTAGCGGCTGATCTACTCGTTAGACGTCGTGGATTGTTTCCACTCAACAGGATGGCTAGAGAGAAGCTATATGGTCCACTTTCGTTCTTGTTTGTCGGTTGGTTGTGTCACTTTTTGCCCTTCTTTTTGATGGGGAGGCAAAAGTTTCTGCACCACTATCTACCCGCTCACTTGATCGCTTCCATGATCTCCGCTGCAGTATGGGAATTTATTTTTACTGACAACAAATCTCTTGACCTCAACAGAGATGAAGACGATGCAGCTAACCCTCATGATTCAGACCCTCACCTAAGCTTTGTTCCTTTATGCCTGTTTGTGATGACTTTAACCATAGCGCTAGTGTGGTTCTTCGTTTTCCTTTCGCCAATTGTTTACGGTGACGTTGGTTTGACCGTTGAACAAGTGAAGAGCAGGGAATTCTTTAACATGAAGCTACACTTCTCCAAGTAGAGCAGACGTATATAAGCATTGGAAGTACTCTTTAAAGAACAACCATCTCTCTACGACTAATTACGTGTAGGAAAAGGTAATCGACGGTGAACGCGAGAAATAATTTCCATGTAGTTTGGTTCGTTCTCAGAGTTCACATATCCGTGTCTGATTAGAAATTCAAGCATAACCAGGGCGCAATTGGGCTTGAATTCTTTACTCTTAAGCGCATCAATGGTCTCTTGTAGGGACATAAGCTTAAAGCTCTCTACCTCATCATCGTTGGGACGAGGTGTGACATCTGGCGGCAACTCGAGATCATAAAGATATTCTATTTCACCTGTAATGAGAGAGTCAAGTGAATCGAATCGCTTCTCCCCATTCAGTGCATTGCCTTGAAAATAAAAGTAGGATACCGCGCCCACAGATCGGATGTGTGGTTCTATAAGGTTTTTAGGCAAACTGGCTTCCTCTTGGCTTTCTTTGACTACTGTCTCATAGATCCCATATGGATAGCCCAACCCACCAGCAATAGTGTTATCGAGCAGAGAAGGCCATGTAGCTTTTGTGGCCGACCTACGTGGCACCCAGATTTTGATTTCGCCGGTTGTTGGGTTTCGGACAAAGCCGTTAACGTGAACTCCATATGTTACTATGCCTAGAAGGCCTGACAGGGCCCTTTCCACCAAGACGTAAGGTTTACGGTCCTTACAGTACACAGCGTAAAACTCGTCTCTCCAACCCGAAAGGCACTCAAAAGCTACTTGGGATCTCAATTTGGTTGCCAATACATGCAGTGCGTCGTTCCGGATCTTGAAGTCTTCTGATCGGAATTTTATGGACCGATTTTCATCACATATTTCAAAAACCAAGTCAAACTCAGCACTGGCCGTTTCCTTCATTTTTTCAGCAACGACTCTCAACACGAACCCGATGCCAACGTTGTTGTGGGATTTCAATGTCAGAACTTTCTTTTGGAAATGCTCATTTTGGCCATAATCGTCGGGAAAAATGTCTACTTCATTGACTATACTTATATAAGAGAAATCGTCGTCTGATTGACGTTCTAGCACTTCTTTGCCGCCTCTAACGACGACTTTTGTCATGTTTCTACTGGAGTGTATTCCTGACAGGTAGATCTGAAGCTAAATAGTTGTATATTATATTCATTAGGCTCGATCCAGCTCCACGTATGTGATGATGGGATATCGAGATGTCGAGATGACGAGATGACGATCTTTTGAAGTCGGCAGTTCCAGCAAGCGGTGCTTGTTACGCCTTTTTTGAGACTGGGAGCGAGTGAAGATATATTAATACTGATCGAGTATCATGGTCGTTCCCTGTAACAAAAAAGGACGATAATAGTGAAACTACCCGCGTTTCTTCTACATTTTAGGTATCTTGTTCTTTGGCTGATTTCACGTTTTGATATGATTTTCAAAAACAGGAAAATGTCAGCGGGCTTCGTTGGAGTTTTGCTTGGACTGCAATTGAGGTATGAAACGACTATGTATTTTTGTATATTGCAATTATGTCAACTGGGTTATAATTACATACAAGATAATACACTACTTTCCGCTCTAGTTGTTGAGCCATCAGCAAGATTATGATTATTTTTGATGACTTACTTATTTATCGACCTTCACTTCGGCTGTGCTATAGCTTGACGCCCCAGCGCTCGAGAAAGTATTCCATCTGATTGATACACTGACGACACATTCGTTACATGTGATGTCTCTCTTTTAATTACATACCAAGAGAAGGTGACTTGCAGAGCAAACCCGGATCTATGCAGTTTCTCAAAGACTTTATACAGTGCCGGTAGCTCTCTTGAATTTATATTATCTATTTACTTGACTTAAACGGTTTGTTCAACGACTAAAAAGGGCGCATTAGCCCTCTTCCTCGTTTGCTTAGCATCCCATTTCGAATACAACACGCTTCACATCGTAGCAGCATAAGTGTAGCTCAGAATACTCATGAACTCGCTCGATTAATGATACCTAACACAACAGCTGAAAGAGGATAATCAAAAACCATAAATGCATATAATTAACTGTAAGATCATGGTCACGTGTTTTAAAATAGCGTAAATAAATAGGTTAAAATAAGATATATATATAGCCTTTATCTTCATTCAATTGATCTACAACATCAGATCTACAGCACCAACGCACACTACACAGTCCCAAAATGTCTAGTATGAACGAATCATTGGTGGGCTTCTTGAAATATATAAAAAACACATATTTGCGGGAGGAGACTTATAAATCGTCACACTTGTCGATCGTCTGCGGTAACGAAAGCGCGGATCTGGATTCGGTGGTTTCTGCAATTACTTATGCATACTTTAGCTATATAAAAAATCCCAGCAAGCCACTCGTGCCCGTGCTGAATATTTTGAGAGCCGATTTAGAGCTGCGCAGAGACGTGGTCTGGATTTTAAAGCAACGCAATATTCCACATAGTTTGTTGTACTTCCATGAAGACCTGCAAGATTTGCGTAAAAGTTTCAAAGGACCAATCGAGGCAGTTTTGGTGGACCACAACGATCCACAATCCGTGATGAAAAACTTGGTGGACTCCGTGGTGGGCGTCATAGACCATCATGAGGATTTGGGGCTGCACAAAGATATTATAAGCCGCCATAATCCCCGGATCATCACGCCCTCGGGAAGCTGCTCTTCTCTGGTGTTCAATTACTGGCACAAGACACTCGACAGCTCCGAGAGAGCAAAAATGAGTCCTGACGCGTTGTCCTTGTGTCTGGGGGCTTTACTAATTGATACGAGTAAAATGTCCCATAAGGTCGAGCATCCGGACCAAAAGGCTCACGCCGCATACAAGCAGTCGCTTCCAAACCTCAATTTCGACGAGTTCTTTTCCCAACTTCGTCAAGCTAAGGATGACATAGTGGGACTTTCTTTGAGAGATATCTTGAGAAAAGATTATAAGGAGTTTGAATTTTCCAAAAAGCAAGGCCTTCTGAAATGCGGCTTCGCCTCTGTCGTCAAACCATTGGAGTGGATTTATGCTCAATTTCCTGATCAAGAATTTGTAGATTCCTGTGAGAATTTTGGGAGCGAAAGGTCCTTGGATATATTGGTGGTTTTGACGAGCTGGACTGACTCCAAGGGCCAATTTGAGCGTCAAGTGGCTTCCTACGCTAAAGAAAAACCGAATATTGAATATTCTCGGCTAATCGCTCAGCAGATTGCCGCACCTTTAAAGTTGCAACCTTTAGAGGTCCTGAATCCCCCAAGTGAAAACTGTGCATTTTTTTCCCAGCTTGATACGAGTGCAAGTCGTAAACAAGTGGTACCCTATGTGCATGATGCCTGCGAAAACCTATGACCAGAAATTGTTGACCAATGCATTAAAAGGTTGTTAAGTAGCCTAACTTCCAGCAGTGCATCACTTTGACGGCGGCAGGCAGATCCGCATTGATAGATTCGAGTTTCTCTATCAGGTGAGTCAGAACCGGACCGTCCACAGACAATTGGTCGACATTCTGATCTTGACTTTGAGACAGAGGCTCTTTCCCCGTTTTATAGTATATTTTGATACAATTTTCTAGTATTTCATTGTCTCTGAGAGTAATGTTAACACCAACGACAAATATCCAGATCAGTAGCTGCTCCTCGCTGCTGGAGCTTTTTAAGTTTACAATGCGAGTCCCGCTGGAGTTTAAGGAGTTGAGAAGCGACGAGATGATGTGAAGTTCAGGTGGATAGCTTTCAAGTAATTCACCTTTAGCCAATTGTACGCTCCACTTGTTGATATTGTAAAGAGCTGGATCCTCGGACACTCGGCCTAACTCATACTGGCACCGGGCGCAGCGTGTGTGAGTTCCGTTGAAGATCAACCTTGCAGTTGGCCAAGTGCTCTTTACGCGAAAAAGTGAGGAACCGACCAAAAGCTCATCATCTCGCGGATGCAGTCTTGCGTAACGGTCTACGCTGACATTGTCGTTAATGATCGGCTTGTGACAGTGCCAGTAGTCCATTAATTCCACCCAGAATTCAGACGGCAGATCGCTCAATTTGCCGCAGTCCTGGTTGGAGATCAGAGGATAGTGACAATGGGCACATTGAATTTCGAATTCCTTTTTTTCCATGAGATCTTTTCGCATCCACATTTGTGGGGAGGCCAACATGGGCCTATTCACAGATCGATCCTTATAAACATTATTCAATTCTGCTTCTTTCGAAGCTTTCAATCGTAGTGTTTGGCATCCTCCATCGCTCATTTGAAGGCCTATTCTTCCGCTGTTTATCTGTATGCGATGAGGTAAATTTATAGTACAGGGTGAGCCGTTGACATCGACAATTTCGACACTATAAGTTCTCAGATTTTTTACTCCATATACCTGCTCGCTCTCAACAATAAGCGTAACAGTCTCTATTCGCGGTAAATGCTCTATAAGGTACTTCATTCGGTGTATTTCATTGCAACCTTTGGCATATGTGTATGCAGAAGTCTATACATATTTCCTTATAGAAGCTGTGATGAGATGAGATTATACGTATACGATGATGATGAAAAAGCTAGCCGAGAGTAAATCAAAGCTGGTTCAAACATGGACGGTTCTGGCCCTCGCATTTTGGCCAGGTTATATTGTTCACTGGATCAATGCGCTATTGGTAATTTTTGAGGCAATGTTTTCAAAGTTTTTTGGTCTGTCTTTTAAATAGCGAAAAGCCAATCTTATTGGTAAACGTTAAGAGTTGCTCTGCCCTTAACAGAACGAGAAGTCGTATCTGAGTAGTGAGTTGTGTGGGAGGTATGAGCTCGTTTTCGGTTTGATATTTTTCTTAGGCAGCATTTTGCGACGAGCTGAGCTATTTATTAATTAATCGTCATGTTATCATGATTACCACGAATTTCCTTTCAGACTCGGTCCGGGAGAGGTCACACAGATTGATTCATGTTTCAATTTTGAAATAGGTATTAAAGGAAGACTGGCTCCGCGGGCAATACTGTCAAAAGTACCATTTGAACCGTACGCTGACGCCATTTTGGTCATGTGATTTAGTGACAGATGACAAAAATGTTAAGAGTGATAACGATTAGATTCGAATAAACGTATAACAGACGAAAGCGTGTTACATCTCGAATCAGATGCTAAGTGACATGATGATACGTATTTTTAAACTCCCTTCCTTCTTAAGATACACTAAGTTTCGATGTGTTTCTCCACCACTAACAGTCGAACCTTGGTTTATTGACACCAGTGCCCAGTCGTATTGGTCTAAGAAAACCATATCTAAACGAAGGAGCACTTCGTGCACTTAGCTTTCACTGCAACCTTCGAGTCTATTCGAGGTAAAACCCTTGAACTTGACCAGTTACGCTTCACGCTGTCCTTTTCAGATTCTTAAGTCGTTCAAGCACGTGACGTGGATAGTGACACACATATGAACCTAGAAGCAAGCCCGAACGAATAGCCAGGTGTGGCCACTTACGCAATGAGTGTTTTCGGATTTGTGCTTTCGTTTTTGCAAGTGAATTTTGTCTTTTTTGACAAAAGGCTTGTTTATTGTTTTCAGCGATAATCCTGCCATTGGCAGTTTTGATTAAAAGAGGCGCCCTTGAGGTTTCACAGTTGATGATTCAAACAACAAGTGTTAACATAAGCCAAAGAGTATGTACTCGCACGGCCATTGAACGTTTTCATAACCTGGAAACAAATTACTCAGAGAAATACCATAATCTTTACCATGATAGCGAGAGAAAATGTAAGAAACATACAGCTTAATCCGTTTGGCTTTAAAATGATTCCCGCCAGGCCACAACGTAAAGAATTCCTCAGATATTCAGATTGACGTGCGTCTTTCTCGGGTACTACTACCCCTACTCTCATTAGTCACAGTCGATCGCGAGCGTTTTCAATTGATTAGTAGTGCTAGACCCTCTTTTTTGGTATTCGTAATTGATTATTAAAGCTTTCAACTGTTCAGATGTGCAACGGGGCTATCTCATGATGGTACGGAGCTGCGTCTTCGTGTTCTCTTGCAGGTCAAGCTTAGCTGTCACATGATCACGTGACCCCAAATGTTTCAGACCCTTATCTGCCCATGAAGACTTCTTATACTCGTTGTTCAATCCCACAGTTTCCACCACTCTAGAATGCCAACAGCCGTGCTGTATGCCACCAGCGTCTTAACTCGGTGGTTCGTGCTCTAAGTTGTTAATACTTATAAATCACCATATACGGATACATCGAATAACATATGTTAAGTAAGCTCTTCGCTTTAGACTTGATCCATTTCTAACAACACGTATGGTTACATTCGCCTAGGTTCTGCAAAACACCAACGTCGCTCATCGTCCATGTCGCTGTTTACAGCGCTCAATTTCACACCAGATGAAGCACTTCAGGAGGCAGAACAACATTCCCGCGAATTGCAGGTGGAAGAGAGCTTCAAAGTCTACCAGAGTGCTCTATTGCATCTGAAGGCCAAAAAGTTTGAACAGGCAGAGGATAAATTCAAGGAGCTCTTCAGCATCGACGTAATTAAGGCTGATAGGTGGGGGCAATTCAAATATAGCAGTGCTATTCTAGAGACGCTTCGATACCTAGCGTACCGTAATCGCGGAGTGTTTTATTACCGTTATTTGCAGGACAAATACGGCAGTATAGAGCCGCACGACGTCGTGGAATACACACTTCGTACAGTGGAAAACCTAATTGATGCTTTGCAACATGGGGATTGTGATTTTGCGGTATCCAAACTACTTCTGGACATTTTCACAAGCTTCAGGAGCCCGAAATTGCAACGGCTTGTTCTGGAGTATGAATTGGTAAAAAGCTCAGAGCTCACAATGACACTGAACAGGAGGCGCTCTGTTCTCCCGGAAACTCGCGGCTTTATTTTCAATTATGTGCAACTTCTGAAAGAACTGCGAGATACATTGTCCTTAGAGGCTGACTCCGTAACGCGTCTAAAGAGGTTTATAGCGTCAAAACCTGAAAATGTCTCGCCCTTACCACCGTTTTTGTCGCAAATTCAGAAGATGCGACTAGAGGACAGCTTAAGTCTTAAAGAGCCTAATGTGATAGAAGCTGAAATTAATGAAATCAGCTGGGAAGCAGTGGCCGATGCCATTACATCTGCACTTCCGAAGTACAAACACTCGAACTTTTTCAGTCGTATCTCTGACCCTTACAATGAAGCCGAGGAACCTATAGAGCATCTAAAGTTCGTTTTCAAGGAGGCCGATAATGACCACACAGCACTAGAATCCGAGCAAACGATACAAGAGCCCAAAGCCGCAACCATCATGGATGACGCTGGTGGAAATGGCCCACATAGAAACCAAGATGCTTCAACGATAACGAATGACGCCGTTGAAGACCAATTAAACGGAAACAAAAGAAAACTAGAATCAGACGACGCTGATAAACCCTCACAGAGATCCAGCAAGAGATTCAAAGAGAAACCTCCCGCTGTTATTGACAGTAAAAACATGGACACGCACGAACGATTCTTCAATGTAATAAACGACATCTCGATTTCTCTAGGGTATTCCTTTAGGCTAAGCGTAGAGAAGATGAACCCATTGGATCTCGATCAGGAAGCACCAGAGTTTTGTGCTATCTCTGACCTCTACGAATGCCTAGGTTCTTGGACTAACAAGCATAGCGAGTTCTTGAATCAAAGTGAGACTAAGAACTCAAGAAACTCCGAGAGCGAAGTGGAAAGCTCTTTTCAGCTAAACGCGCTGATAAGAACAAGCGTTTTGTCGGGAGATAACTGCCCGATTGAATCTCTCACAGATTTACCCTCCGACGAAATACAAACATTCATTGATAAAATTAACCTACAAGACCACCATTTCCAGGAGGTTAGACTTCAATTGCTCGACATTCTATTATCCACGCGCCAAGATGGAAGATGTTTAATCATAGATACGTTTTGGAGTCCCTTACTTTTCAAAGCTGTCGAATCCTTAGTCATGAGTGTTGACGGGAATCTATACTACATGATGGTTGAGAACAACACTAGAATGCTCTCCCTCGGGCTTTCAACTTATGAGATTCTCGTTAACATGATGGGCATTATTCACAGCAACATCAACGCCAAAAGGCTTCAAGGCCAGAAAATCAATGAACTTGAGACTCAGAAGAACAAGCTTGAACGTAAAATAAGTACGTGGACCGTTCTTTTGGAAGATGTGGAATTGAAAGATGAGCGATCTCGCTTTCGCTTTTTGTGGGCAAAATTTTGTTCTCTCCAATACACGATAGGCATAAATGACGACAAGCTGATCGATAGCTTGCAAGAAATGGAAGGGTCTATCGAAAAACATGCACCATCGGTGAATGTACCATATTCAAATTATAGCACTATCCCCCAGCTTAACTTGAAAGCAGTGCAAAGCCAGCTATCAAGACTAAAAATAGTGCGAAAAATCACCTCCATCGATATCAACGCACCAAGTCATAATAATGATGCTGCTACTGAACAGCAGATGCAGTTGATCAAATACGCTTTAGTGTTCGAGGAGAAAATGCGAATGGAGCCTTCAGAGGAGGATTCAATGGAGGCTTTTTTGAAAGACTCTCCTTTTCTTTTGAAGGTAAAACTGTGGAGACTTCTAATATCGTACTACAGTCGCCGGGACATGAAGCTCGCCGTTTCAATCTTTTTCAGAATTTTGAACATCCTTCACTCCAAAATTTGTTGCGCAAACTACAAAGCACAGTCACATTTGCAACGACAACAGACGCTTTTACTTACCATAAGCTGCATGGGGGGCTTCACTAGAGACCTTCTCGATCTTATTTTTGAACATTTGAGAGTCGAGCTTGTTGAGCAAGTGGACATCAAGCCGGGTCTTTTAATTTTGTTGAAATGGTTGAATCTTCTCTATCCGATCGTCTTTTTCGAAAGTTTGTGCCAGAATGACTCCACAATGAAATCGTTCTTCAGTAAAGCGAAGAAATCTTCGAGTAAACTTAAAAATATTTTCGCAGACCTAGTCACATCTACCATCTACATCTGTCGCATTTTGGAATCTTGTGACCCCAACTTTTTGAAACGACAGTACGGGCTTATTGATTTGATTGAGACCTCTCATGAATTGATGGGACAGTTCAACTTCTGTGATGCTTCCAATGGATCTTACCTCAGTTTTTCAGAGCAGATATTGTGCGACAAAGGAGATGAAAAAGGCTTTAAACATATTAGGCAAGTTCTATGGTGTCAATATCATTTCATTGTCGGTGGCGAGAACAGCACCGTAAAGCAACATAACACGAAGGGGAGGGAAATGAACCAGGAAAGTGCCGTCGCTGCCGGGAAGTTTCTGATCGATTCACATTACAGCGATAAAAATCTATTGATCGCTTGCGGAAATAAGACAAATCTCAAACAGATACTGGATAACATCATTCAGGTGATCGGAGACGTTAATTTTATGGGAAACCACATCTTAGCTCGCAACGACTTCTTCTTGGAGCAGTACTTGAAGTCAATGATAACGACCGACATTTTCAGAGCAGCATATGCCGGGGAAATTTCAGTTGAACTCCTGGAGCCTAACGATGGCCTTCAAAGCGTGGCAGATACGGGCATTTTTTATGTCGCAGCTATTCAGGCTTTGAACCTTTACAAGGTACGCAAGAAGGCTACCCAAGCGCGGCCATCTGAGCTGGACTCCATTATCACGACGCTTAAGACTGATATACTCTACAAGACGGAGCGCTTTGAAAGCTGGTTTCTTTTGGGCAAATGCTATTCCTTCCGGGTAGAGGATGACCTTATTTGGACTTCGGACAAGCTAGCCACCCACGAGAAGAGAAGGGGCACCACGGAATTACAAAGGCAGTCCATATTGTGCTATTTGATGGCCCTAGGAATTGCAACGCGCAACAGGAGCAAGTTTCAGGAAGGCCCTAATTTACGCGATTACCATCAAATTTTGAAAGAACTTCTCGAAACACTGTCGGAAGAATTACTGAATGGCTTTTTGAAGCCAATGGAAAAGTCATGCTTTCAGTGGAACTCGCCATCGGCCTTAAAATTGAAAGCAGATGGAGAAATCTGTATCAGCTCTGCACCACTTGCACAATCTGTGAGTGACTATAACATCGAGCAGGCCATTCTCGTTGGACTATCTAAAGCTATTCAGATAGAGACGGTGAATCTGGGTCTTCAGCTCTCCCAACGCAACTGGAAAAGCTTTTACTATTCTGCGAAAATAATATTTAAAAGGTGCATGCGAGAATTCAAGTCTGTGGGACTTGACATGCTTTTGGAGGCATGTAGCCTTTCGGAAGATGCCGCGAGTACAAAGGATGTGATACTAGAACCACACTATTTTCTGGTCACGTCGTGTTTCAAGCTAGTCCCCAGACACATTTTAACGGCAAAGCAAGCCTTGTCATACCTTCGCTTGGATAACAGTGTTTTCAAAAAAGAAGACAGCTTCTGGGAGTGTGAAGAAAGTAATGAACTGGAGGAAACTAGCAAAAACTTCAATGAGAAGATTCTAGACCTATTACGATGCCTGGTAGCTCTCGATAAAACGAAATGGCATCATCGGCCAAAATATCGCATTGCAAGGATTCTTTATGATCAGTTTGGCGATCTGGACGGCGCTATTGCAGAGATGGACGAGATCATGTTTTTGAAAAGTTCCAATAAAAGTCTGGTCAATATATGGAAGCCCGAGTTTGAACGCCCCGGAAAACACTTCATCTACACGTACCAGTATGTGATGTTTTACCTGGACCTATTGTTCTGTCGCCACGACTACACGAACATTGCTCTGGTAGCCAAGAAACTAAAGCGATTTGGTGCAGGTATGGTCAACGTGGGCCTAGCAAGTGATCGGGCACTGAGACTTTTTTGTCAGGCTGTACAACATAAATTCAACGTCAACGAGAAGCAGGCCATCGACAAGCTGCTTCCGGCGCTCAACTACGCACAGTTTATCAATTACAGTGACGAAATTTTCCAAACGTTCGACGCAACCAAATACGATCCAGAAGTGCTAGCCACGCTGACACATGCTCTACACCTCAAGAAGGGCAATAACGGATATGATGGGATTTGCATGGCGCTCTATTTTACCTACATTTACCAGCCTTTTGTCTCGCAGAAAACCGATGGAATTTCAAGCGTAGTAGAAGTGCAAATTGAACCGCGGAAAATCGTAGAAAACGGCCAAGAATCGGTGAAGGAATTCTTAGCTGGAACTCCACTAAAAGGCAAGCCAACTACCAGCCGGAAGAAGGTCAGCAAGAAGGATGCCTTCGACAAGATAACTGCCTTGGTCGAAAAGAAGATCACGTGACAAAAGACTCCTCTGCAAATTGGACAACTTTTATCACTGTTTTTAATCATGATCATTGAAGTCGACAAAACGTTCGAATCCACTGTTATTTGGTCCCCTATCTGTTCAGAATAGACTCAATTCATTCAATCAAAATGGCTTTTAAAAGTGTTAACGTTGCAATCATCGGTAAGTACTTTTAGATGAAGTTAAGGCGCAGATTTTAGCTTGAAAAATCTCTAAATCAGTTTGAGCTTTTTTAGCGACTTTTACTGCTAACTAGGCTCTGTGTCGGAAAGAACTATTGTACTAACTGAACTGTTCTAAATTTTCAGGCGCTGGTGTCGTTGGATCAAGCTTTTTAAAACAATTGGCCTCGGTCAAGTCCCAAATCTCTTACAATTTGATTCTTCTGTCTACGTCAAGAAAAGCCTTGATTTCGGAAAACTATAAGCCATTGAGCTTGGAATCATGGGAATCTGATCTTGCTGAGACCACCAAAGCTCCTTTGTCACCGGAAGATCTTTTACAGTACTTGAAAAAATCCCCAGAACCTGTCATTTTTGTCGACAACACCTCCAATGAATCAATTGCGAACTTCTATCCAACCTTGGTTCAAAATGGAATTTCCATTGCCACCCCTAACAAGAAGGCTTTCTCCTCGGATCTCTCGCTCTGGAGCCAACTATTCAGTGGGAGCGAATCGGCTGGTCTTGTCTACCACGAAGCCACAGTTGGTGCAGGTCTTCCTATCATCGGACCTTTGAACGACATGGTTCAGACCGGTGACAAGATTCAGAAAATCGAAGGTATCTTCTCCGGCAGTCTTTCTTTCATTTTGAACAAGTTTTCTAGCACTTCTGCCTCGGACGAGAAGTTCTCGGATATTGTCAAAACCGCCCAGGACTTGGGTTACACTGAGCCAGATCCAAGAGACGATTTGAACGGTCTCGACGTGGCCAGAAAGGTCACAATCTTGGCCAGAATTGCTGGTTTCAAAGTCGAGTCTCCAACCTCGTTCCCTGTGCACTCCCTCATTCCAAAACCATTGGAAAGTGTTGCTTCAGGTTCCGAATATTTGGAAAAGCTACCTGATTATGACCACGAGATGGAACAATTGAAGCAGGAGGCTACTGCGGAGCAAAAAGTTCTAAGGTTTGTGGGCAAAGTTGACTTCCCCAACAACTCGGTCTCTGTTGGGATCGAGAAATACGACATTTCGCACCCTTTTGCTTCGTTGAAGGGCTCTGACAACGTCGTCTCTATTCAAACAGACCGTTACCCTAACCCTCTGATTATTCAAGGTGCTGGTGCCGGTGCAGACGTCACTGCTGCTGGTGTTCTTGCTGATGTCTTCAAGATTGCTCAAAGAGTTTGAATTTTCTCTGTCGCTTGCACCGTCGAATAAACATGACATTTTACCTAAGTAGAAAATTACGTACTGAGAAAGAGAGCTGAGCGCCTTTGTCATTAGAAAAACCAGGCATTCTCTAAGCATTCTCAATCTTCGGGAAACCCATTAAAGCAGGAAACGTTAAACGTAAACGGGATCCCCTTGCCAAACCTGTTTGGCTTCAGCGAATACGTCGTGCAACCTGTCGTAGTCTAAGCACGTCTTCTTGAAAGCCAGCATGATTTTCTGCGAATCAAGCACGAACCGGGGTATTTGCTTGGCCTTCAACATCACAGAGTCAACATTTACTCTGGACAGATGTCTGTTGTTGGGAGCCAGAAAGAGATTGCCGTTTTCTCTAATTTCTGCGATGTAGGCCCCAGTACAATGAATATACTGAGCATATTTGAACTTTGGCAGCCCCCAAGAGTAGACTACCTCATGACCCGTGATACCCTTCCTTAACAGCTGAGAAGCTCGATTATCAATGAAAAAGCCATTCTTTTCCAGTAAAAAGGTATGGTAATAATATGGGCTTTGTGAAATTAGGACTTCGTTTTTAAATTCTGGATCCTCCCATGGATTGATCGCCAGTGTTATGTCAACAAACGTGTGAAATGGGTTGGATAAAGGTATTGTACACAGCTCAACCCAAGGAACCTCAACCAGCTTCAAACCATACCGTTTACACAATCTGGCCCAATTATTAATGAGATCGTCGATGAATTTAGGCGTCGCAGTCAGCCATTCGAGTCTTATGTGGAAACAGTGATCAGGATTGTGAACTCTGTCATAGTGAACTCTGCAGATCTCGGGTTTGTAAGATCTTTTACTTATATCGGCATTCACAGTTATAACATTGCTGAGGAGTACGGTGGATTTTCTCGGTTCAGCGTCAATCTTTTCGCCGGCCGCACTTTCGACCGAGTTTACACCTCTCAGTCCTGTTCCGTCGACAGTGTGATCAGCGTCCTCTGCCACTGAACCCTTCCTAGACACATTCTCAGCCTGCGACGAACGCTCGTCTATATCCACATTCTTGACTTCGAGGCCGTTGACGTACTTCGAGCTGATTTGGTAGAAATAGTGACCATCCAAAAATCCATGTCTATTTTCGACATGAACAAACAAACCTTGATTCATCAAGTCTTGCCCGTAAGAAACGGCGTCATCACGGGTGTCGATGTCTAAAAAGTTCTCAATTAACCAGTTCACCAGTTCCAGACCCAGGAAGCAGTTATTATGTTTTTTCCAATGCCACTTACGATTAACTAATCGCAGATGATTCTTCCCGTATTCCATTTCATGAGCAAGATCGACAATACTAATGTCTTTAGAGAGTCCGTCACCCTCCTTCAGGAAAGTGAAGTCATTCTTTGTTGATCCCGCCACTTTGAGAATATCAGCTTGTTCGTCAATAAAATTAAACAGCGAGCCCGTGTAAAACAGGATTTCGGGTGCAATTTCTTCCTTCCGACTACTCACATCTTCACCAACATTTTTGAACCTTGACCGGTAGATGGTGCTAATGAGTCTTCTCAATCCTTCAAGCCGGATCTCTTCAGCACTTAATACTTCTGATCGACCGTTGATCGTGGAAGAAAATGTATTCGTAGGTATTTCAGATGGAAGCACAACAAATTTCGATCTGAATCTCTTTTTGTTCTTTTCAATAACTGCATCGCCATAACCCGCTAACATCTGGTCTAATTGATTCCAATTATATCTCTCTCTGTCCATCTTTAAAGGGTCTGTCATTGTATCCCTGTATGAGTTTTCGTACCGAGTTTTTATCTGTGGATTGTAAGTGGGCACCCCATTAGTTAAAGCATTAAGGTCTTTACGAACGTGCCTTTGAACATTTATGGTACCATCGTAGTCACAACTCAACCTGTGAATCTCTTCTGCGAACATCATGTACATTTTAACATCCATATAATTGTCTTTGGTTAAGTTCTTGGTGATTTTTCGACTGTCACTTTCGTGACTTTTAGATGTCTCCACCTTCTCTACGCTAGAGCCTATGCAGATTTGAAATCCGGCCAGGAGCCTAACATACACCATATCCCTCAATAAATCGAATGCCGTTTGGTTTTTCACCATTTGGTCAGGGTTCAAAATCACGGAATGGTTTGTGAAAGTAAAATTATGCTCAAAGTCGCTTCTAGTTGGGAAAGTTGGTATGGTAATTGGAAGTTCTGCTGGTGTCGTCAGTGATCTCCATTTGCTGTACCTCTTCGCAACGTACTTCGGAAAAACATCTCTGTACTGTGGCGTAATTAAAGCGCCAGCCCGCTCCGAGCTCATAGGCATCGATGGGTTTTCAATCTGTAGCCAGCTATAGAGGGTTGCCATTGTGCTATCTGCGGACTTTCGTTGTGCTGTCTTGGTGGAGTAGGGTATTTGAGGGTGCGAGGGAGAGCTTGAAAGCGATTGTGCTGAAGAAGACGCGAATTCAAATGGTACTCTTTTGTGCGATGATTTTTGTAAAGAAGATAGATTTTTCTTGAGAACAGGCATTCGATTAGTAAATTCCAGATTTGAATCAATTGTTTGGTTGTCATTCTCCACTTGAGAGTTGTTTAAGTGAGACGTACTTTTAGTAGAGATTTTCATGCCTCTCCGCGACTTGCTTTCAGTGTCGGAGCGGAACCTTGACACAATCCGTTGTGCAATATTTCCGCCCTTCGCTACACTTTTCAGCTGGTTAACAGCCCGCGACTCGCTTCCATTCTTTACCTCAAGATCCTGAAGTCTACTTTTATCACCTTCAGCACTCACTAAAGCCTGCTCATGCGAAGCATGTGCCAAATCTCCGAACACTTGTAAAGGGGCCGTAGGTTCAACTAGCGGCGATGCTGATTTCGGAGGACTCCAAGCAAGGGAGACTTTGACCGGTTTTTTTAGTAGTCTCGCATCTTCTGAAGGTCGCGTTTCAACGACAAGTTCCGAGGAAAGTGACGAAGTATCCTCTTCTTGTACATGTTTCTCGGCAGTGAAAGCTTGGTAGTCATACTGTTTCATAAGCTCAGAAATCGAAGTCACGTTTGCGGGCGGTTCCATGTAATCGATGGCTATCTCCTCATTCATCTCAGTTTCGGTAAGTCCCATCATCTGAAGATCATGCATTTTACATCTTGGATACCAGGAGTCGCTAGAATGATTCGAATAACGCCAAAAAGACACGTTGACCCAGGAAGGAGCGCAATAACGTAGTTTATTATCATAATCTCGATATCGCAAGAGGGGTACAACATGCAGCGGAGGCCTCCCCAGGCAAATGACGTCAAGAGAAAGCTCAATTGACTGAATCTTTTTACTTGTGGCCTTTAGTAAGTCGTAGTCAACATCGTAAATGCAAGAGCCAGGACTAATTATAATGACGTGTGCACCAGTTCGTCTGAGATCTGGTTGCCTGAAGGGATTTGTTAGGAAGGTAGTGGCCATACAGATAGTCTCCAAAATATTAGATTTAGTAGCAGGAGAAAAGCGTCCCCTTAACGTTGAGACACCGTCCTCTCTTCGGAATGTCTTCAGGTCCCTGGCGATTTTAAAGAATTCACTCCTCAAGGTTTTCATGATTTCGGTCCAATGAACAATGTTTACCTGATCGACGACTATACGGTAGTAATCCCTTGCATTTTTCGGCCTTTCACCATCTGGGACGTCGATAAACGGAATATCTGACAAATCTAGTGAGGCGGAAAAGACAATGGTGATCGTGTGGTGAGTTCCTATATTCTTCCATTTTTTAAAAATGGTGGGGAACAAAGAGTTGATCACCTTGTAGAAGAATATATCTCCGTTTTCCTCGAAGTGCCACATTTCGTTCGTTATTTGGATTAAAAAGATCAATCGCGCTGATTCTGATCTGAAGACAACCTTCGTTTTGTCTCCAATGTAGCCTGATAGCACCTTTTTCCCGTCACGGTAAACCTGTTTCACTGTGGCTCTGATACTATCGACAAAAGTAAGTTTCTGCTGTGCATAAACGCAGCTACCGAGAATTTCTGAGGAAAAGACCCACATATCACCCCGATGCACCAAACAGTCCTTAACGTGGAGCTCAACAAGGTCCGCTTGACATGTTTCCTTGTCTTTGGCCTTTATCCAGACCTTTGAACGCAAAGGTAGGCCAATCAAGTGCTGTAGGGGGCCGGATAACACAGAAACTTGGGCGTTTTTGTAACGTTTTCGCAGGTCTTTGTCGAAATCCTTGACTACGAAATAGATTTTTTTGCCCTTGGTGCCATTCTTACCTCTATAAGTCTTTAGTTCGGCAAGGTCTCCCTCTTTGATTCCAGGTACGCTTGCGAGATCGAGCATGACCATTTCTTCCGAGAATCTAGGTTCATGTAGCACTAACTCCAGCTGGAAATTTGTTTTGGGTCTGCTGACGGCTTGAAAGGGCAGTCCTGGAGCCAGTTCAGACCCTGGAATACTGATCTCGGCGGTTTCGGGGCTTGTAGGGGTGTTTGTCTCGACTTTTTCAGTTGTTAGTGAGGGCTTCGAGCCTCGTATTACGTTCGCATTGGGGGTGAAACGGGGGTTACGTGTGCGTCGCGATCTCATAGATCCACCTATTGTGAGCGTATTATTGTCGATATTCATCTTAGAATTCATCTTGCCAATCGGTGTGTAGGACGATTCAAGACGATCGTTTTTATCCAGCAAGTAGCTTTGAAAAGAGCCAGAAGGACATGTCAAGTCCTTCGGAGATTTTATATTCTCCAAATCATTTTGAGGCATAAATGTGGGCCCGTCGAAGGGCAATGAATGGTGGTTTTTGAGCTGTGAAGTTGTCGGCGCGAAGTGCTTGCGAAGCTGACATTGCTCATCTTCCTCTATCTAAATATTTACCTATACTTCAACATGCGACACCTATCACTTTTTCCCAAAGTGACGGCTTACATAAGAACATCGATATTTCATCATAAAATCGTTGAACTGAACAGCTGTTTTGAAGATGAGTGGGATTTCTGCTCCACAGATATCGCGTTCCTTATGATGGTGGGAGATATTGAGTTTCTCATTAAGTGAGTGCGCAAGATTGAAAAATTGACCGCCTTGTTTGGCCCTATTTCCAGGACTTTCTAGTGTCACACTAAAACCAGGATAGACCGGACGCGAGCTGTGTAAGTTATTTCCCAGTAATTTGCTCGTGTCGATTTGTAACCATTTCAAGATTATTACATGTTAATCGATTAAACTCTTTTTTTATTAAGTGTGTCACTTTCAGTTGGTCGCTTGAGCTCTGTATCTTAATTCTGTATGACAAACATTAAGGTATTCAAGTTAATCAAGAGGTGTATATGATCTCGTCTTTAAAAGTCTGCATTGCACGCATAACCTCGTGGTATATGTACTCCTCAAACTCGGCCTGAAGTTAAACATTTCAACTTCGCTGTAAATTGCAAATCGAAAGCGGTTCTGTTTCTTATAGTTCCGTCTTCACCATTACATAAATTACAGAGTCGAGTAGCGCGTGCAGAGGGGAGTGGCAATGCAGATGCACGCTTAGCAGCTCACGACTAATCGTAGATCGTGGGTGTCTTTTTAGAAAAAGAGAGAAAGGAAAAACTGGGCTCTCTAGCTCGCAGAAGAGTTGGCATTTTTGGTGCTGTTTTCCTGTTCTTGTCTTAGTCTCTCCTGTCTGGTTTGTTCTTCTTCCATAGATAAACGCAGCGCGAGCGCAAGTTCTGGATCCATAGATGGGTCGACACCGAAGTCCATGAAATCTTGGCCGCCGCCCATGCCAACACCACCGACGCCAGGCTCGGCTCCTTCTTCGAGTACTATGCTGGAGCCAGCAATGTGTTCGTACAGAAGTCTGGGTCCAGGCGATACCGTGGCAATGTGACTCCCCTCTTCCTGCGGATTATTGACCGTTTGTATGAATTCCTCCAAAATCTCGGTGTTGGTTTCGATTTCACCGAAATTGACCACGTCCACTGCGATCTTGTTCTTTTTGAGTTTCTTGGCCAGCCTGATGAGATCTTCTCTGCTTTCTTGCACCGGACTGCACACAAATACTATGATACGTTGATGCTGAACCTTATTTTGACGATGTTTTAGTGTGAGAGCTGCAATTTGAATAGCGGTGCTCAACCTTATTTCTCCTCCGATGGTCGTTTCGTGAAGACCCGCCAAGATCTTACCAAATTCGGGAGTGAAAGTCGAGAGCACCTGTGGATTGCTTCCTGCAGCAGAGATTAGCCCCACTGAGTTCTCAGGATTACTGTTGCGCTTAGCTTGAAATAGGAACTCTACTGCATCGATTTGAGCTTCAAATCTCGTTCTAGGAAAGTCCCCGTTTCTGGAAAATTCAGAGTTGTCCACAATCAGTACAGTAGCCTCCAAAACCATCTTGAAAGACTGATTATAGTGTGTATTTGTTGTGATTGGAACGCGTTTACTTGAACAGTTCTGATGTCTGTTAGTTGAACCTTTTGCCACCATTTCATATTTGTAGGTTACGCTAGGACTGTCGTACGACATGAGGTGATATCAAGCTTAGAGTTTATCAACATCAGAGCGTCAGCGAAGGGAAATTGTAGTATTTTTGAATTGACAAAGAAGAGATTCTGGGATGATTGAACAATCGAAGATTTTAGCGGTCGAAAGAGGCCCTGTGGTGTAGTTGCTTAATTATTGAGCTTTTACCACCAATTCTGAATACAAAATAAATAAATATTATTAATTAATCAAATGAGTTGGTTTTAGGTGAGTCGTATAGCTACCGAAAAATTGATTAACAGCAGTTGCAAGATTAGCGGCCTTGTTGAGAGAGTAAACACCAGTATTGGGCACGAATCATGAAGTTACCGTGAGTAATGATCTGATCTGCCAAAATCCGGCACGAATTCACGAGGTCTACAATAAACTTCTTGTTTTGAAGGATGGGCTCTTTTGAGAGTCTTTACGAGGCCCGTCAGTAATTTAAATGGGGCGTGACGCGTTGTCAAAAGGCATTTAGTCTTATCTCTCGACTTTTATTCGCGAGATAGAGATTTTATAATTTATAGAATGGAATTTCAGAACTATTGCAACGCGCTCAAATAAGCTTCATGCCTCTATTTCCTACTGTTGAACCATATTTTCAATACTTCAATGCTTCGGACTTCTACACTCGTAAACACTACTGCTCAATATGTATACTTTGGTCATGGTGTACGACTACAAGCTTTAAGTTTAGATTCCATCATGGCTTTTCAGCAAGACCATCGAGCAATTGTTGGTAAGAGAGGGGTGGGAATTGATATGAATAAGTACTGAGCAAGTGGGCTTCGCCCGATACTCTTCAATTTCACAGATAGTTTTTTTTTTTAAAAATACGGAATTTAAGCACCGTACTGTTATCATTCCTTGACGTCACAGACTGATCGCATTTAAATAATAATCACTGAGAGAGGAAGCAGAACTGAAACCATCTGTACCAGCCTTCCTCAAGTTTTAGTCTGATTGGAAGCTTTTTCAGCAAATGCTTCTATTGAGCACATTAGGGCACGTGACCAAATGCCAGCCTCCCGTTTTGGCCGAAAACTGGCGCGAACGAACAATGGATAGAGACGAGGGACGTTTCGGTGAATAGTGATCGACAGGGGTAAAATAAAACGACAGAACTGTGTGCATTTCGTTTGCTAGTCATGATATTTTACGGATTTGTATTCAGGTCTGTGTTGGCTACCATTTCCGTCACAGAAAAAAGCAATTAATATAAATGCCAGAAAAGACCTTTACATGCTGGCACGACGCGATTTCGCAATGCTAGGTTGGTGGAACCTGATCGTGAGAAAGTCAAAAAGGGATGGCTTTCAGGGCTTAATGGGTCTCAAAAATTTATGTTGCGAAAGGAACGGCCAGCTGCGATATGCTCGCAAGTTTCTGCATGTATTGAATTCATGCATGTATTCGAGCTGCGCAGGGGGGTTATAGTATCTAGCCGGTCGTCACTTGAACCCCAGTCTCGGCTCCAACAGAATTCACCAGCGCTGAGATCGGATGAATTAGACGTGTGAACTGCTCCTATATTAAATTTCGAAAAGACGTAGTTCTAAATGACCCGTAGCAGCCAGAGAGTTCTAGTAGGCCCAAAATTTCAGAATAAGAGTGTTTGCTGCTCGCTGACCACCAGATTCATTTGGAAGGCGCGAAAGTCGAGCCCGGTCGTTTGGACTTCTTTATTTGTAATAGCGAATTCTTCAAAAAGGCGGTTGCGATAAAAGGGAGAGACGTAAGTATGGTGTAAAATCGATTTCGATCTGAAGAATCAGCTCTAAATAGGAACGTCGTGATTAAGCTAGCACTAGTGTTCCTAGCACATCAAGCAACATATTTTTTCAAGCTTCACACGTAGTCTTTAGTCTGTAAAGTATTGCTTTCCGGAACATTGCGTCAACAAAGGTGCATTTACAATGCCGCACTCTTGAACTAAGTAAAGCATAGGTTCTACTCAACGTTTCCCATTGGGATCAAGTTTGTACCAAACTCTGATCTGCAAAGCACAGTTCACTATTTAGAGTCAAGAAATTATCTTCAATAAAAATTGAGAAGATGAGGTCATCTATACCCATAATGCCGAAGCTCTGGCTCCCCGTTTTTCCATGCCTTCCACCAAAACGTCTGTTTTGATGTTTCTTATATCAACTAGGACCGTATATTATAACCTTGTTTTATTATGTCTTCAATTTCAATAGTCTATCAAACTATTCACATCTACACCTTACACAAGATACTAAACGTACGTGAACCATGGGCTGGTTTAGCAAAACGAAGCCAATGGACGATCAGTCCAAGCCTCCAATGCGGTCTTCCAGAAAACAGTGCTGGGAAGCCCGGGACGGGTATTTCCGCTGCTTAGACAATATATCGGTCGTGAACGCCCTGGATCCGAAACATCAAGATGCGATCAAAAAGAGCTGTCAGGCCGAAGAAACCAAGTTTGACCAGGACTGTGCGACCAGCTGGATCAAGTACTTCAAGGAAAAGCGAGTTGTGGATCATAAGCGCGAGAAGTTCATGCAGGAAATGGAAAGCAAAAACGCTCAACAAATCGACCTTTCCGGCATGATAAGAAGATGAGACTAACTGGAGAGAAGAGAGCAAAAGACAGACAGACACTCAGGGCCCGGATAGGGCTGGACCGAGTCGGTCAGACACATAGATATACGTATATATTCAATTAAGAGACAAGTTGTGGAAAACGGAGTCACGTGATTAGAGCCTTGGGTTTTTTTAACGATACGAGCACAAGCACAAGCACAAGCACAAGCACAAACAGTGGTTACTGAACACCTTTGAGTTTTGTCAATAGAAGGTGATATTTCAGCGTTTGTTCGAAGTTCACTTGTGGGCACTCAACTTTGACTTTGACAACAGAGTGAGTGGATTTGAGCCCATGGCCAACGTGGGACGTATGAGGTGATATCGGTGGCCATAAATTGTATTAATTAAATTGATACAGTTTGACGTGTATAGTGACCATAGTCTCTCTGAACTATGTAGCATAAGCAGTAGCATTCGGTTGGTGTAGGTTCTGAGGCATGACTAGACACTATTTTTGATGGAGTATTGTGTTCTGAACGAATTCGCTCACCACATCCGCTGTGCAGATTGTATAATTACCTGCCCGTTCTATATGTCTTTTTTTGAAAGCCCGGGTTATTATCACCATATACGAAATGACTTAAACTTCCGCGGCTATCGTTTTTGTGTCAGATTACCCCAATTCTTGCGTTGCGCGGCTTATCAGCGGATATCGTACGAAAGCTCAAATAAAAGGGTGTTGTTTGTTTACATTTGGGCTCGGTGACACAAAGCCGCGGAGCTACAAATTTCAGGTATAAAAGGAGGGCTTTTTCGCCCAGATTTTCGAAAACTGCTCGAATGTGAGTCTCTCTTTTGTTCGTTTTCAAGTCTCCTTTTTCAGCTCAACAGCCACTGTTCGTTATTTAAGTCAACTAAGTAACTAAATAGTATTTTTATACCCCCTCTTTCGACTGCATCGTTTGAATCTCAGAGTTCATTCCCTCCACCCAAACCGCCGCCATGTTACAATTGGAACTGTTGAAAAGAGCTGGAAACGAAGCAATTGATGTGAATCCCGCCTACGGCGTGGACATCAAAATGACCGAAAATGGATCTGACTGGCTGTGGGCTGTGTTCTCCGTTTTTGCTCTCAGCGCGTTGATCTACGCGGCTCTGTTCATTTACTATGAACAGAGAGGCGTCAACTTGCACCGCTTCGCCATTGCAGCACCGCTCAGCGTTTCGTTGGTCATGGCATTTTCCTACTTCACCATGGCTTCGAATCTAGGTTGGACCGGTATTCAAGCTGAGTTCAATCACCAGAAAACCGCCGATCAATCAGAAACTCCTGGCATTAGGCAAGTTTTCTACGCAAAATACGTCGCCTGGTTCTTGACCTGGCCTATTTTGCTATATCTCACTGAACTAACCGGCGTTGTGACCATCGACTTCGAGGCCATGACTGAGCGCTGGTCGTTCTTTGAATTGATCCACGGTCTAGTGTTGCAGATTTGCGGCAGCTGGTTTTTTATCATCGGCCTCTTGGTCGGATCTTTGATTCACTCTAGTTACAAGTGGGGGTACTGGACCTTGGCCGTCTTCGCTCAATTTTTGGTTACTTTCATTGTGTTCAAGCACCAAATTCGCGACTTGGTCGCCACTGGCATCAAGTTGGTGATTTTGATCTTCACTTACTTCTGCATTTGGCTCTACTTCGTTGCGTGGGGTCTCAGTGACGGCGGCAACGTCATCACCGTGGACTCTGGCCACGTTTTCTTTGGAATTCTAGATCTGTTGGTCTTCCTTCTAGTTCCTGCTCTATTGCTTGCCGCTGCTGTTTCATTGGGGGTGTGTCCTCCCTTTGCCGCCAGAAGGACCCGCCATCACCAAGACTTGGAAAAACAAGTTGAGCCAGTGAGACTTGGTAATGCTCCACACAACGACACCACTCAAGTTGTTGCTGTTGAAGAGGCTGGTAACCCAATTGTGGCCTAAAAATGCCAATAATGTATGGCACTACTAGCCCTATAAATTTCCAAATTTCAAAAGATACCCGCTCCATTCTATGAGGTAATTCCACGAGCCTTGCGCGGCTAATATCCATTCTCTTTGACCTCCCACTTCAACTTTTATTTTCGTGTGACTTCTACTTGGATCAATCAACCATTCATTGCGGTGGCCCTTGGGTTGCTTGTTTCGATTAATCGATCGATTGATCTACGTCGTCCTCTAATCTTTTTCCATATTTAATGTCTAATTTCAATACCAATTTTTACTTTCGCTAAGGTAAATTGAAGGCTTTATTTATGAAAAGACCCTGAGCATGGTAAAATGCTGATTTTTGATTATTGTGAATACAAGCTTAGTTCTTGAACCTTATGTGTAAGAGGATTCGATGCGAAATCAGAGAGTCAAACGAGACAGTAGATCGAGTTTAGAAATATATGCTTTACTTCAATTGGAGTTTAGACTCCATGTAAAGAGCTCAGTTCATATCAATTGATATTTTACGCAGTGTAATTCTGACATTTTAAACTGTCATGGTCCAAACCGAACTGTAATTGAGAAAAACGTAATGTGAAGATGTGGAACGCCTTGTTATAGAATCAAGCCCTATATTTCTGTGCTTGGATTGCACTTTCCGAGCCATATCAAAACTTTGGGTGTCACATCAATCGAAGCACTACTATATCTGCAAAGCTCTCTTCACAGTGGCGACCGCCCAGGACATGGCCCAAAAGAAGTGGGCAATGATTTCAACAAACAAATAAAACTAAAAATTAATTAAACCTAAGTAATGTTACAACGTTTTGCACTGCGGCGAGTTCGGCTAGTAAATTCTAGCTTAAATTGTCATAGTTGTGATGACGGTGCGTCCACCTCTTTTGTTGTGGGCGTGGTGAGAAACGTCACGCTTGGCGTTGCCGCTTGAAACCTCGAAGACCTCGATGTTGGCCTTGGCGCCGTTACGAGCAGTTACAACGCAGAACTCAGCTCCACCAGCTCCGGCAGAACCCTGGCCAGAGACCTCGTTGACGTTTTGTTGGGAGGGATCGATGGAGCAAGGCAGACCCACACATTGGGATTCGTCATCGCAAGTGATCTTGATACCGTAAGAGGGCTTGGTGTTTTTGAAAGGGCACGAGTCCTCCAAGTAAATTGGGTTCCACCCGATCTTGACATATGTGTTTTGCGAGTCGTCCATATTGGCGCCAGCAACGTATGGGGCCCAGTTTCCTCTAGCATTGGACAAAGACCCCCATTTGCAGCCGTCTGTCACACTAGTTCCCGGTGGGTTGACGTAGTAGTGGGCTGCAGTCTTGGCCCAGTAATCGGTGCCTGGCACCGCCAGAGTTTCCACAGATCCGCTGTCAACGAGAGTTGGGATCAGCATTTCTTCGTTACCTGGGAGAACTGTTTGACAGAACGCTACTCCGGAGCCAGCATTGTTTTTGGCTTGCACAGTGCCCTTCCCGTCGTAGCAGTAGTCGTTCTGGGAAATCGGTTTTTGCAGATTCCCGTTTTCGTCACAGTACAGACCACCGTACTGGGATTGTGGGTACGAGTAAGTTGTTGCTTGTGGGTCCCACTGACCGGCCAGCTGGCCCGGATTGCACGCATATGGGCACCAACTTCCGTAATTACAAGGCTGGTCCCAGCTCATTGCCCAGCCACCGTTTTGGCCTTCTGACTGGACCGCTACCATCCCATCGTAGTTTGGGAACGAGCAGGTGCCTCCACGACGGAAAAGGTGAGACACCTCTTTACCCTGCACTTTTTTGCCCATGCGTTTCGCATGTTCGTGGTTGTGCAGATTATTGTATGAGTCCACGGCATAAGTACCACTGACCAGAAGCGTTAGCAGAGAACAATACATCTTCTTGATTTACTATTATCTTGCAGGTCTGTAGGTAAGATTTAATCACTACCAGAACAGATTTTGAATCAAGAATCTGTTCGATTCTTATACACCAGTGCAAGTCGTCGGTGTCCGCTACCACTACTACTGCTACTACTGCTACTACTAGCGGTGGAAAAAGAATTCTTGTGAGCCCCGATCCTGATTTCATTGAAACCTGATCCAATGGCTCATGGTCTAGCTAAGGCCTTGCCTCGCCAATTTCTGAAGCTTTCCTGTAAGTTAACGAGAGATGTTCAACCGTGAAAAGATTTTTAAGATTTTTCACTGAACCTTATGTAAACTGGTAAGGCATTATTCCTCTCATTGTAAAGAATAAAAAAATATGCACAAGAATCGATATGATGCCGTTAGAAATATGGGTAGCAGGTTAGAATCAAGCTAGTAGTTTACAGAGCAATGGTACGAAATTCACTTAAATTGTTCGCATCCAATGACGCCTGGATGCCTGGATGTCTCGATGCCTTGATGCCTTGACTCTCTGCGTCGCAGTTGAGCAAAAAAATCGATATTTTGAATTGATTCACCGGCGCGCAGACAGGCAAATGCACCGTCTGTTGACGTTTTCTTTTTCTGATGCCGTCCAAACAATGGCCTACACGGTTTTTTTTCAGTTCCTGCATGCCAAAAGCGAGTGAAAAATCAATTGCAGGAACGTTTAGAGCTCTGGGTAGAGAGCACACACCGTCTTGCAAAACAGTGGTGAAGTTTGCATTTAAAAATTACCTGTTTGAGACAGCGTTTTGTTTGCATACAAATGATGGCCGTTTATGGTAAGCGGAAAGACGTCAGTGGGTTAATGTGTTGCCTTGCCTTTCTAGAAGACTGTGAAATGCGATGAGTGAGAGGTTCTTTTTTCCTGTGCAAAGAAATGTCAATTTGGGGGACATTCAGCAGTGAGGTCGCAGTGACACGCACACGTTGCAATGGTGTATGGTGGTGTTTTAGAATTTCTGGATGATATGCGGACTCGTAGTGTGCCAGTATGGAATTATAATACTTATCTCAGTTCGACGACAGTATAGTACATAGTGATCTGTGAAGTTCGTCGTGTGTAAAGGAAGAAAGGCAGTAGACGGACCGAGGCTGGCTTGGCACTGGCGATGTGGGGAGCAGGCATGGGAGATCGAGAGTTTTTGAGGGTTAAAAACACTCTCTTTCGTAGTTTTAAGGGAGTTTGTGGTGCTGGTGAAACTGTTTCTTGTTCAATTTGAATTGTCACTCACTTTTGCAAGGTGTTTTCATTTTGGGCGTGGATGTGACCTCATGCGAGGAAGAAGCAACTTCTCTTGAGACCATTAACGTGTGCCAGCGTTTTCCTTACACAAGTGTACCACGATGGCAGGTTGCGAAACTCCATTGTCTTATGGCGATTGTCTGGAAAGATGCTTTTTCTTTGGTGCAGCCCAGACTTTTGGTCAGAGTGCTGATTATGAAATCAGAGAACTGCCGACCCAGTCCCCAGCTTCCACCCTTCTCCGCAATTGGTTGACTGTGACGAGACGCGATGAGGCTCGTGAAAGAAAGTTTTCACCAATTTGATGTCAAAGAAACCTGCCAAAACTTATAAACTGGTTCGCAGAGGCCTCACTCACCTTCCCAGGCAAGCCTCGCACCAGGACTCTTGATCGCAGATGTGGTGGTAGTAGTGATGATATGTCACTTTAAACGGGTGCGTCATCATCCCAAAAAATCGCAGGCCCGTCAGTCCAGCGAGGTTTTCAAAACACGTCGCAGGGTCCAGAATTATTATTGCCCAGATGACGACTGCTTTTTGGGTCGGCTATAGAACAATTCCCTTCAAGACACCATTGCAATTCTTTCTCAAGAAAAGCAAAAGCGTCCCACCCACCCAAAATAAAAAAAAGACCGTATCATCGCCGACTCGCGACTAGGACGCTAACAAAACGTTAGTTCAAACTACAGCATTCATTAATTATTCTACTCAGGTAAACCTCATCGTTTTTGAAATTGCCAAGAAATCGTCACAGCTCGTTCGCTCTCATACTCAACGTGCAAAGTGGCACAATCGTCGAATTTTTAAAAAAGCCAAGCCAAATCTCCGTTACGTACCACATGATATAAAAAAAATTCGGAACTCGTCATATCGCATCTCATCTCACAAAACTATCCCATCGCACCTCATCTCACAGCACATCCTAGTTCTATCCATTTGCTAGAAAACGTACCAAAAATGCTGTCTTCTAAGGAGCTTAGAATCATCGCGCTGCTCGTGATTGACACGCTCTTTTTTTTCCTGGAAATTGTGGTTGGTTATGCGGTAAACTCGCTGGCTTTGATTGCGGATTCTTTCCATATGCTGAACGACATTTTCTCGCTATTGGTGGCTTTTTGGGCCGTTGGAGTGGCCAAGAACAAGAGTGCAGACTCCACGTATACTTACGGGTGGAAAAGAGCCGAAATTTTGGGTGCTTTGATCAATGCCGTATTCTTGATCGCTCTGTGCGTTTCGATTCTTATCGAAGCCATCCAGCGGTTTTTCCAGCCTCAGGTTATCGAGAACCCCAAATTGGTGCTCACTGTGGGTTTTGCCGGTTTGATGTCGAACATCGTGGGTCTTTTCCTATTCCACGAACACGGCCACTCTCACGGCCATGGACACGGTCATGGCCACTCGCACGGACTTTCTCAGGACGACGATTTTGAAGCAGGCAGTGGCAGTTTGCAAGGCGACTTGTCCAGGGACGACTCGTCGCGTGACATCAACGACATGCTTCCTTCCACCGTGGTTCATACTTACACCGCAGAAACGACTTGTCTGCTTGGTAACAAGAACGACCATGCCCATTCCCACGACCACGATCACGACAACCTCGACAACAACAACAACAACAACAACAACAACAACAGAAAACAACCTGTCAAGGCTCAGAAATCTCTCAACATGCAAGGAGTCTTCTTGCACGTTCTCGGAGATGCTTTGGGTAACGTCGGAGTTATGGCCACGGCTTTGTTTATCTGGAAAACGGACTACTCTTGGCGTTTCTACACTGATCCAGCCGTATCGCTCGTGATCACCGTCATCATATTTTCCTCTGCTATGCCCTTGGCCAACAAAGCCTCTCGCATTCTCTTGCAAGCTACACCACCATCCATCTCTGCCGATGACGTGCAAAACGAAATTCTCCAAGTGCCTGGTGTTGTGTCTGTTCACGATTTCCACATCTGGAACTTGACAGAGGCTGTCTCTGTGGGCTCTGTTCATATCGAAATCGACGCCAACCCCGTGCGCTTCACTGAGGTTGCCAAAACGGTGAGGTCTATTTTCCATCGCCACAACGTTCACTCCGCTACCGTTCAACCTGAATTTCGTAACGTGCACGCCAGTGAAAGCACATTTGGGAATTCTACCTCTCTGGGAGCCCAAGGTCAAATTGCGGACGGTGCGACCTACGGAAGCATCAGAGGTTAACACGGCTAGGCTAATAAAGCCTTCAAGTGTTTATATCAATCGGCAGCTTCAAAGAAACTACAAAACACTCCAGAACTCAATTTCGGATAAGTTGCATTGTTTAGCAGGAGACGTAGAAATAGACATTCAATAGATGTCAATCCTCGGACCACGAATTCGTGACGAGGGAGTTGTCATTTACTTTTACAATCTAACTTTTACAAATACAAATGTTATTCAAATAATACTTATTACAGAACTGGACCGGACCGGACCGTGCACCTCTAGTGCCATAAAAATGTCTCGTCTTTAATACAACAGACAGTGTATAAATGACACACTTCTGTGGGATATACCGTGTTTTTCTTCAAAATTCTTCATTCCATCTTAACTTTCTCTCTTTATCCAGCTTAGTGACGCATTTCTCCCCGGTGAAATTTGGAATAGGTGCCTCAATGTCAAAGTCATAGCCACGTATTATTGCGGCGTCTTCATGTTTACCCAGGGACCCGCCCATAGTTTCGGTTTCGATTTCGGATGATTTTCTGCCGTCAAAGTCCGTGTCGTCTTCGTGTCCCAAAAGCTTGGCACGATTTTGAAGTAATTGATCTCTCATCTCAATGTTGACAGGAATTGTTACTCTTTCCCATTTGTTAGCTGGCAAGGGCACTTTTCCAGTACAAGAATTGATCTCAGTAGCAAATATGGTAGCGTTGACCAGAGAGCCATTGGCAGTGGTCACCAAATAATTGAGCGACTCGGGGCTAGTAGGTCTCTTCAGAATAGATTTGATATTTTCAACTTTCTGACGACTGTTCCTCCGTATAAGTGGCTTGGCGATTGTAGAGTATTGTTGTAGCTTTTTAGGTCCATTGCTGAATAAGGGAAGAACGTCAGCTTTCTTGGGTGCCGTTTGTAGACCAGGTCCTTCGTGTAGAGTTCCATCGCTTAGCAAGCTGGAATGCAAAAGAGCCGATGAGAGAAGGAAGTCCTTGGCAAGTGGTGGACTTCCAGCGACATCATCCACGGGACTGAGATCAGTTGGACTGATCATGCTGTTGGCACTCAAGTTGCTGTCATCACTTAGGGTATCGTCATCTGATGTCAGTTCCGGAGATTTCTCCAGCACTGTGGCGTATATGCTCTCGGGACTGTTGAGCCTGGAGGAGTATCTTGAGGGTTTCGAGGGTGAATCGAACGCTGCACTCAGGGTGCCGCTTCGAGGTGGGAAGCGATACCCGGTCTTATGGCCCAGTTTCAACGGTGGGGCGTCCAGCGCCTTGCGTAGAACTTGAGCCTTGGGAGTCGACCCTAGCAGGCTGGGTTTGAACGTGTGGGCCACGGCGTTTGTTACATCACCGTGGGCTTTGGTGGGTGTCACCAAAATATTCTGCATTACCAATTGAGCAAATGAAGGAATTGAAGTGGGTATAATTTCAAGCGAAGGTGAGAGTAAAAAGCGAGTGTGAGTGGTTGGTCGCAAAGGATTCTTGAAGCCAAAGCGAAAATAGCGAAATACTGAAGGTAGCCAAAGAAGGGAACGCAGGAAGAGCAGCAGAAACCCAAAAGAATTAAAAGAAACCCGAGCTCTTAGTGTGGTGATAGCTTGGCGAGCTTCGAAATTGTCAGAACAACAATGCTTTATTCGTGTGTAGCCGGGTGCCGGGGAGCAGCACGCTTCGCAAGCACTCCACGCATTTTCGAGCAGATATTGTTTCTCTTTAAGTACCATGTCGCCTAAGTGCTCATCTGTTCACGCACCTCGGACCACAGGCCTCAATGAACAATCGATCCGGCTTAGAAGCCTTTGAATCCACTGCACGGTAACTGTTCTGAAGACCGAACCGTTTGAAATTTATTTCGTAATCATCGGGCTGTCCGTTTAAAAATCTGTGCAGGGCGACTGTTTTTCCTGTAGGCACGGTCTCGAGCCTTCGAGCTAACGCCTCTTGTTTACATGACTTCTGAATTTGGTAATAGTGTTTCCCAAAAACGTCGCACGCTGCCGTTCCATGAGGAGGAATGTTCTGCTCGAACAACGCACGGTAGAACTTTTAGCATGTAGCGTGAGTTGAGGTTAGGATCAAAACACTGAACTACTTAATTAAAGTGTTGAGATTCAGCCTACACCGAGATTTGGATGTAAACAAACAATTAACATTCGTCATTGGTTTTTGTTCTTATTCTTATCTGTGATGTTTTTTTTTCTGTTTAAGCGAAAGCCATTGTAACTATGGGCTCGAGCCTACTGGACCATTTAGGTATTCTTGTTGTTTTGACTTACTTTTGATTGGCAGTTGTGAGCTATTCAACACATTTGCACGGTAGAAGTTTGCGTACGTATAGAGACAAAACTCGGGTGTTTTCAGAAAGAAAACTCTGGGGTAAGGTAAAGTAATATTTCTTGGGACCCTATGACTACGATTTTTTGAGAGGTTCTAATTGGCAGCGAAGAGCTTATCATGATTTTGTATGGCTAAAGATTAATGAGTCGCTTCAATTAAGTGCTAACGAAGGGTGAAATGGGTCTTTTTTCTCAAGAACAGCGTTTTTTTGGGCAGCGTTTTTTTTCACCAACTTTAGTCATTTTGGGAAAAAGTGATCTCGAAGGCTGCTGATTCAGCAGGCGTCTAAAAGTAGGATGTCACATAAGTACAAAGTGATCAGGACGAGTTTTAGTGAATGACAGCGTCAGTGCACAAAAATTAGTAGCTAACTGGTCTCCAGAGACTATAAATATGGACCATAAGGACGTCACAGGACTTTCCCCAGTTACTAAAGCTTATATTCCTGTATTCTTGGCTCTTCACCTTTAGCTTTAACTAAATATTGTCAACTAACCATGTCTGAAACGGAAATAATCACTAAATGTCGTTATAAATCCATTCAGCACGTCAAGTCGTACCCTCTCGTCAAACAGACGCATAGGTTTCTTGCGCAGCTGCCCGCTACTCGGGTAATTTTGGCCAACACAAGACCAGTTTACAAACGCGTCGCAAGTTCAAAACCAGCTCAATGGGTGTCGCCTGCGACACGCATGGTGGACTCTATAGCAGACCGAGGACTAGAAGCGACCGATAATTGGGTTCCCTGTTTAAAGACCAAAACGTACCAGGACTTGTATCACGACGCTGCCACGCCGTTCGTTTACACCAAGGATATGGTAGTGAAGGTCACTGTCGCAGCTGCTGACGCCGCGGACAATTACGTGTACGAGCCCACCCACACCCAAGTTATCAGGTTTAGGAAGTTTTACAATGCTAAGATTTACGACACAAACGGGAAACCCTTGCTTCGGAGTTCGGTGGACCCGTTCGTCGCGCCTTACAACAAAAAGCTCGAGAAGATGACGAAACATCATTTCCCAGAGGGGAAAGAAGTCCCTACTAGCGGATTTAGCAGCGAAATCTCACGCACCGTAGCGTTGACTGATAATTTGCTCCGTCGTATGTCACCAGTGGCTCAAGAGAGGCTCGTGAATTTTGTCCTAATGCCATGCAGATACGCGCAGCATGTCAACGCCGTTTTCAATGAAAATCTGGACAAACAAGAGAGTTTGAGTATCAGCAACTCTTGGAGCGCGTCCATTGGCGCCGTCACGATTTTGCACAAGGAGTCTATCGAGTACGTGAAACGGGTGAGAGGCAAGACGTCCAAAAAAATTCAAGAACTGGACGTTCCGGTGGCTTCTGTTTGAGCAGTAAGAGAGATCCCGGACCCGAGCCTCCCGCCTCCTCGTCCCCCAAATATGAGTCAAATAAGATAAAGTGATTTTTTCTGAGTGCTATACTCATGGCTAACATCACAAAAACCCGAATTACTTCATCTTTCTGTGCTTTTCCAGAATTGATGCGTTACGTACGTGTTGAGTTGGATGGTCAACACTGCTAAAACGAGCTGTATAAGTAAATACGTATCATCGAGATAATCGCCCGGGATTCGCTGAAATATTCTGAAGTCTGTGCTAAACTCAGACGGAAACCTCACCGAAGACAAACTCCGCTCACAAGTTCTGTATATTTACAGAGTTCATAAGTCGTCCTTTTTACAGTTCTCGTTAGTTGTGTTCACTTCAATCCTATTTATCCGTGACTGTTATTTTTCAACCCATACACCCTTGAAGTCTCATGAAAAATGTTAGAAGTGAAAATCAAATGAAAAATCGATTGACCCAAAAGTTGCGTGGGTCAAAAAAGTTGCGTGGGTGCCGTTTTCCACCAAGAGCTGCCAGGCAGGCGGCAACAGCCTCCGTCTAGGGCCCCCAGCCCAGCTCACTGCAATGGTCCCATGGCTCCAACCATCCCTAGGCTCGGATCCTGCTTAGCTGTGCCCAGCTGTGCCCAGCTCCAGCCTAGCATCTGCCTAGCTCCTGGGCTCCTCCAGCCTAGCCAGCCGGCACCGCTTCAACGCGCAGAGACTACCAGAAGTTTTAGAAAAGTGACACTACATTTACCTTTAGGTAACCGCTGCTCACGAAGTCTAAGGTTAAGGAATCAACAGTGAATCAAAGAGTATGTGAATGAATAGAGGTGTGATATGCGATGGCCAGTGCGGAAAGAAGAAGGAAGCAAACGCGCAAGATTCATGACCGGCTGAAGCTGTGATTTTGGACCATTTTGATTGAAGGAAAAACAGCAAGAAGATAGCAGATGTCGAGAATTAGTGGGCTACCAGCATGCGTGTCTGGCGCCAGTTTCTCTGCGTATCTCAGAGATGGAACAATCTTGCGTGTGTCCGTCTTTTCCTCCGCAGAATCAGGCCGTCGCCTTGTTCAAGAGTCGTCAGTTTTACTAACGTATGTGCACAGTGGCTCGTTTGAATGAATACCAGGTCATTGGCCGTAACCTGCCAACTGAATCCGTTCCTGAACCAAAGTTGTTCAGAATGAGAATTTTCGCTCCAAACGTGGTGGTCGCCAAGTCTCGTTACTGGTATTTCTTGCAAAGACTCCACAAGGTCAAGAAGGCTTCCGGTGAGATTGTCTCCGTCAACGCCATCCACGAGGCTCACCCAACCACCGTTAAGAACTTCGCCGTCTGGGTCAGATACGACTCCAGATCTGGTACTCACAACATGTACAAGGAGATCAGAGACGTTTCCAGAGTCGCTGCCATCGAGTCCTTGTACCAGGACATGGCTGCCAGACACAGAGCCAGATTTAGATCTATCCACATCTTGAAGATCGCCGAGATCGAGAAGACCGCCGATGTCAAGAGACAGTACGTCAAGCAGTTCTTGACCAAGGACTTGAAGTTCCCATTGCCACACAGAGTCGAGAAGTCCACCAAGACCTTCGCTTACAAGAGACCTTCCACTTTTTACTAAGCGTACTTCAAACCTGAAAACGAGCGGGTTCGGCATATCGTTCAGGGCCTCTCAAGGATTTATAATCTGTAGAAATCTATTTCAAAATTGTTTCAAATAATTCGGGGACGCATCAGGCGAAGCATCCAAGCGTGCGGTGCTGGAGCAGCTTGCTTGGCCATGGGCTCGTGTGTCGACAAGCTTCGCTCGATGCTTAACGTTCTATTCGATTCGTCATGAGTGATGTGAGTTCATTTATTGTATAAATTGACCAATATGAACAAGTCAAGAAACTCAAGCAAAGGGACCACTTGTCGTCCAATCGTTTACTATTTCATTTGGAACATCAACACTGTTCAATTATCCATGAGCTTTCTTTCAGGTGCCCGATTTCACATGATATCGAAATGACTATTACGTCCATAGTGATTACTTTAGAAATTAGCCACATCAAACATAATACTATATATCGGTAGACTTGACAGATGAACTAAAGATCCAAGTAAACACATTTGAACAAAGAGCCACGACTTTCCTTCAGAAGGACTTGTTGCACCATCAGTACATGGTAGAGTTACAGGACTACAGTGCGGGAGCGATCTCTGATACCAGCGGACTTACGCGTAGAGATAGAGCTGCTCGCGATGCCACGTCGACTTCAAACGACTCATCGAAAAAGCTGCAACCTATAGCTGTTCAGACCCAGGGGTCTAGCAGCGATGTCCACCTCCCACTAACACAGATACGTCTCAAGAGCCACGAATGGTTCGGGGATTTTATTACCAAGCACGAAGTGCCCAGAAAGACTCTTCATTCGTCCATCGGGTTTATCACGTTATATCTCTACACTACGGGGGCCGACTACCGGAATGTGAAGTACCCTTTGATAGCAGCATTCGTGACATTACTGACGCTGGATTTGATCCGTCTGAGATGGCAACCGTTCAACAAACTTTACTGCAAAGTTGTCGGGGCGCTGATGCGCAAACGTGAGATCCACACCTACAACGGGGTTCTGTGGTATCTTTTGGGTCTGATCTTTGCGTTCAGCTTCTTCCCCAAGGACGTGGCACTCATCTCGCTATTCTTGTTGAGCTGGAGCGACACGGCAGCCTCCACATTCGGACGTAAGTTCGGCCACCTGACGCCCAAGCTTGCCCGGAATAAGTCCTTGGCGGGCTCTATCGCTGCGTTTATCGTTGGAGTTTCCGTTTGCTATGGATTTTACGGCGTCTTCGTACCCCACTATGCGTACGTGAACTCTCCGGGCAAAATAAGCTGGTCTCCCGAGACCAGCAAATTGACGCTTGCCCAGTTTTCGCTTTTAGGTGGAGTTTTGGCGGCCTTCAGCGAGGGCATCGATCTCTTTAACTGGGACGACAATTTTACCATTCCTGCATTATCTGCTATATTCATGAATACGGCCATTCATGTGACGAAGAAGGCCGCTTTAACTTAAAAACGCGTCTGGGCAGAGCTTGTGTTTACCATATATATGTATAGATGTCAAAGCATGATAAAATTCGAACCTTGAGAGAGGTCTTGATGGTGTCAGTGACGAATAGCACGCCTGGGGACCAAAACATGAAAAATTATAGGAAAGACTGGAAAGCCCATGTGTAGTGGGGGAAGGGTGGGGGAATAACAACACACCACAAAGTACGGGATAATAAATACACGTTCCCGTGGTTCTCATCTCACTGTGGTTGAACCGAAGATAGTTCCTTACAGTAGTGCGACAGAACAGTGCAAAGTGATCTGACATTTAATTAACATTTGAACGTCACTATATCACACTTCAAACAGCAACAAACTGCCACTCCCAGAAGCCCGCGGAATTCCAAAACACTATTTAGTCAGCCAAATAACCTCCAATACACCACAACCGCAATGAAGATACCGAAAACTCAATATTTATGATTAAATGTAAAATGACCATCCCACTCAACACCAAACCATATTCAAAAATAAATCGCTGACCCTCCGTAGTGCTTGTAGTGCTTTGTTCATCCACAATTAATCGCTGTCTTTCTCGATTGTTCAATAATACTACGGGCTCTCTACTTATTTAAAATTTACCGCTAGCGCTCTCAAGTAATCAGTAACACTAAGAGTAGCCCACTTATTCATAATTAATTGCTAACGCTCTCAATCGTTCAATAGTGCTTGTAGCCTAGTTCGCTGTCGCTCTCAATCGTTCAGCAGTGCTTGTAGTACCCGTTTTATTTTCCTGACGCTCGATTTCCTTTTTCAGTTTTGAAAAATTTTAACTATGCTGAAATTCAGCTAAGCTCATCGGTTGGAAAACTTTTCGACCAAATTTCAACCCCATCGCTCAGAGAAAGGAATCGAAAACATCCAAGAATCGATCCATAATATCTGGTCTTGAGCCTAAACGTCCGCACTTGTATTTCACAGTATTTAAAGCGTGAGTTTTGCCGAGTTTTTTAGATCAAAATCCAGTTAGTTGAAGAAGATTGATTTCCACAGCATTACGAGATGGCGTACGTGTTGACAGAAACCTCTGCTGGTTATGCGCTGTTGAAAGCGTCCGACAAGAAAATCTACAAGTCGTCGTCTTTGATCCAAGACCTCAACTCGTCTGACAAAGTGTTGAAGCAGTTCAAAGTTGCTGCTTTCTCGAAGTTCGGTTCCGCTGCAGAGGCATTGCAAGAAGCCAACAGCATTGTCGAGGGTAAAGTGTCGACCCAGCTGCAAAAGTTGTTGGACGAGAGCAAAGCCGACAAGAAGGCCACTTTGGTGGTCTCTGAGACCAAACTGGCCAATGCCATCAACAAATTGGGTCTCAACTTCAACGTCGTGTCCGATGCAGTCACTCTGGACATCTTCAGAGCCGTCAAGGAATACCTGCCAGAGCTTTTGCCCGGCATGAGTGACACTGACATGTCGAAAATGTCGTTGGGTCTTGCCCACTCCATTGGCCGTCACAAACTCAAGTTTTCGGCCGACAAAGTCGACGTCATGATCATCCAGGCCATCGCCCTTCTCGACGACTTGGACAAGGAACTCAACACCTACGCAATGAGGTGCAAGGAATGGTACGGCTGGCATTTCCCTGAGTTGGCCAAAATCGTGACCGACTCCGTCGCTTACGCTCGTCTAATTTTGGCCATGGGTGTGAGATCCAACTGCGCCGACACCGACCTCAGCGAAATTCTACCTGAGGAAATCGAAGAGCGTGTTAAGGCTGCTGCTGAGATCTCGATGGGTACCGAAATCACTGCTGTGGATTTGGACAACATCAAGTGTTTGGCTACTCAAATTACCGAGTTTGCTGCTTACAGAGAACAGCTATCCAACTACCTATCTGCTAGAATGAAGGCTATTGCCCCCAATTTGACCCAGCTGGTGGGTGAATTGGTTGGTGCCCGTTTGATTGCCCACTCCGGTTCTCTTATTTCTCTTGCCAAGTCTCCTGCCTCTACTATCCAGATTCTAGGTGCCGAGAAAGCTTTGTTCAGAGCTCTTAAAACCAAGCACGACACTCCAAAATACGGTCTTCTATACCATGCCTCTTTGGTTGGACAGGCCACTGGTAAGAACAAGGGTAAGATCGCCAGAGTTCTAGCTGCTAAGGCCGCTGTTTCTCTACGTTACGATGCTCTTGCTGAAGACAGAGACGACTCTGGTGATGTTGGTTTGGAGGCCAGATCCAAGGTGGAGAGCAGACTGTCGCAAATGGAGGGCAGAGACTTGAGAACCACTCCTAAGGTGGTACGTGAAGCCAAAAAGGTCGAAATCACAGAAGCTAGAGCCTACAACGCCGATGCTGACACTGCTACCGAAGCCGCATCAGCCTCTGTCGACTCCGATGAGGAAGACTCCGATGCCGAGGTCGAGGCCGAGGTGAAGGAAGACAAGAAGGACAAGAAAGACAAGAAGGAAAAGAAGGACAAGAAGGACAAGAAGGACAAGAAGGACAAGAAGAGAAAGAGAGATGACGAAGCCGAAGAAAAGGAGTCCAAGAAATCCAAGAAGGACAAGAAGGAAAAGAAGGAAAAGAAGGACAAGAAGGACAAGAAGTCGAAGAAAGACAAGAAATAATTTTCTCCTCTCTCTCGACAACGTCATGATACCGACAAAGCACTTTGTTCTTGAGTTGAGCCGTTCAGCATCCACAACGCAGAAGCGGGTGTTGGAATTAGAAAAAACAAAAGTCAGAAAGAACAATTCCAAGACGGAAATCTAGAGAACTCAGTCCACTTTTCTCGAATCTCTTAACCCCCACTAGTCATCATAAATTGTATTTTTCTGTCATACATGTAAATTAGTTATTTTGGACCGCGATGGTGCTATGTACCCTAATCCAACATATAAATTATAAAGCTACGAGCGAAATCTTTTGTAGCCTCGATTTCTCCGTTATTTTGAAACATTCGACCACTAGAAGTTGTGTTTTGGTACTGTATTTGTACTGTCTTTATACTTTGTTGATATTTAAAGTATTGACATATTTGTAGATGGAAAGCTATCCAAAATGCTTTAAAGTTACGACACTTCGAAGAAAGACAAACCATTAACGATAGGACGACATGGTTGAGCATGTATCTCTTTCAATTGAGGAAACAAACAAGTTGAGAATTTCATTGGGTCTTAAGCCTATCGAACCTCCTGCTGACAAGAACAGTGACCACTCAGTGAAGATTGAAGATGGCGATGAGTCAGGCAAGAGTTCAAGTTACGACAAAAGCGCATTCATAGACCCCAAAATTGCAAAACTACGATGGAATTTGCAGAGAGTACAGTCGAAAGCTCAGGAAAATACTATTTTGAGTGACGGTAAAGACGATGACAGCCAGGATTGGATTGAAAACGTTAAGGTGAAGGGAAGGTCAGCCCGTCCGACATTGGCGAAGAGCTATTACGATGAAGATAACGAAAATGAAGACAGTGAAGATCAGTCTCGACTGCGAGTGTCACACCAATTGTCGGAAATAGTGCCTGGCAAAAACGTCATCCTCACGCTCAAGGAATCTGAAGTGGACACGGACGATGTTGAGGACACTCTGATAAACGAGGGACTAGCCCATGACAAGGAACAAGCCAAAAACATGGGTTTGAAAAGGATGAATCAAGAACGGAAACGCCAAAAAATATCAATTGGGAGGGGCCATCTGGAGGACGACGACAACGACGATAACAACCTGGACGCCGATTCGAAAATCTATCTAGTTGGAAGTGAAATAATAGGGAATCAGCCAGATAAGCAGGCTCAGAAAGAAAGTCGAGATGGCCAGAAAATTTACGTTGGAAGTGAATCAGACGATAGAGAAGACGTAGCTCAAGAAGCATCTGACTTCGCTGCCGTTAAGATCAAAAAACGCAAGAAACTCAATGCGAAAACTGCCTCCAACAAGCGGTCGAGGCCGACTTCTCAGGCCCCAAGAGTCGCTCTTGTAGACGAGGACTTTGTCGACTCAGCCGAAGAGGAGATGCAGGACTTTCTCAAGGTCCGTAATCCCAAGCAGCGCGACCGCGAAGAAAGTAACAAGACACCAGAGGAGATAGCCAGAGAAGTGGAACAAGAGAAAAAGGAAAGAGCCTCCCACGTACGAAATATGAATTACGCACAAGGCATTACGATAGATGAAAACAGTGCGTTTTTATCGAGTCTTAAGGCAGACCTGGTCACTGGGAAGGGCGATTCTTCAGAAACGACGTTTCAGAAAGTTGATTTGAAGGCAGCAGTAGCTGATCCCGAATACTCTCAGAGTGCAAAATCAAAACATGTATACTCTAGTGACGACGACGAAGATCATCACGACAATGACGAATATAATGGGGGAAAAGCCAGCGCCAGCGGCGAAGATACTGGTGTCAATTTTCAGGACGGTTTAGCAGCAACGCTAGGGTTTTTACGAGATCGCAACGTGCTCCCAGCACAGCGCGCCGGAGGAGCCTCTGTCGATAGCAATGACTCAAAGGTGACAGAGCTTCTTGCACTTCGACAGCAGCAGGTGGCTCGCAAAGTTCGCGATCAATTTGCCCAAGAACTAGCACAGGGAAATGTCCGCTACAATAAAGAGGAATTAGAACAACTGCAACAGCTGCAAGAACAGGAGATCAGCAAGCGCAATCAAAATCTCCAGAGACAAAGACTGGCGACTTACAACCCTGACGTCAATCTTACCTACAAGGACGAGGCCGGACATGTGCTGACGACCAAAGAGGCCTACAAGAAGCTGTCACAGGCGTTCCACGGCACCCGATCGAACCGTAAGAAGCACATCAAAGCGCAACAAAAGGTACGAGACAGAAACAAAAACCAAGATACCTACATAGCTTAAAGAAGAGAGTCCAGTAGCGTCAAAAACATGCAAATCACAGGACCAGAAACTCGCCGCCCAAGCATCTGAAATCATCATAAATGTTGGTGTGAATTGTGCCTGTTATATTCCTACAAAAAAATAGATTTTGGACGAGACCGGAGTCGAACCGATGACCTCTCCCATGCTAAGGGAGCGCGCTACCAACTACGCCACACGCCCGTGTTTTAGTTGAATATCCGAATTAAAAACACACACATAAAGCATAAACTTTACCAAGCGATCAAGTAATTTCCGACCGGCAAACCCGGCTAAACAAGGTATCGCTATGTACGAGTATCCTTAAATGCTATCATGTGACCGGCTGAAAAATTATTCATTCTAAAAACAAACAATGGTCCCGATATATATATTCATATACATCATCTCCATCGCCAAGAACACCGTTGTAACAGCTGGAACCCTCTCTGTTGTCCATATTCTGAGCTAAGTTCCAAGCCTTTGAAGCTTTGTATCTGATTAGGCTCAACTCTGGCATTTTTCCTGCGAAAAGTGCGTTCAAAACCATAAATTTTCAACAACTCTGCGCACCCAGCTAACAGCTCAGCATCAAACGTTTTGAGAAGCTACGCTGTTTTGTGCGTGTTGCAAGCCGTTATTTCCTGTTCTTTCGCCCTACTGTGCTAGTGCAGACAACAACGCTCGCATTTTCTCCCGGTAAAATCCGCCCACACTCGCTTACAAGCTGCTAGGTCACTCGCTGCCACTGCACTTACTTTCAAATATCGTTAGTTCAAGATAAAAAAAAAGCCCCCAAAGCCCCCAAAAGCCCCAAATGATCACCACGCAAAGTACCACGCAGAGTACGACAACGAAAAGACGTAACTCGCTTCACACTAATCTTTTTGACCCGCAGCTGTTCCAGGTACCGTCCGCGCCCCAGGGCTACCGGCGCTCGCTGAGTCCACTGGATCCTCCTCGCTCGACTCTTGTGCAGCGCGGCGCGCTGCAAAAGCTATCGTCTCATGTCCCCCAGAAAGTGAAAGACTGTCTTCCCGACGTCAACATCAAAGTAATGGCTTTATGCTGTGTCTGGTACGTCACATCGTCCGTCTCCAGCAATCTCTCCAAAGCCATTTTGAGTGGCTTTCCGCATCCAGTGGCTCTCACAGAGCTACAATTTTTCATCAGCGCATTGTTGTGTGTGCTTTTCGTCACCATAGCTAACCAGCTCAGCTCCGAGGCCCATAAGGCAGGTTCCATGTCTCGAGCTGTCCTTTCCTTTCCAGAAGGTATAATCCCCAGCTATCTAAACGGCAACTTCAAGTTGTGCGTGGTTTACAAGTTCTTGAGGCCATGCAAGCTAGCATTGGCTGCTACATTTCCGATGGGCATTTTCCAGCTAGTTGGCCACATTAGCTCGCATAAAGCAACTTCTCTCATACCAGTTTCCTTCGTTCATTCGGTCAAAGCTTTGTCTCCAATAATGACTGTATGTTACTACAGATTTTTTAAGGGAAAACACTACAACACGATGACATATCTTACATTGATACCTTTAATAAGTGGGGTCATCACGACCTGTTGGTCAACACATGGTCACAGAAAGGTGGACGGACCAGTCAGCGAAAGTCAATTCATCCAAGGCCTATGTTTTGCTTTATTGTCGATGATGATCTTCGTTTACCAGAATATTTTCGCCAAGAATATCTTAACCGTCAAGAAAGAGCGTGGGATTTTACCCTCCAAGTCTGAAAAGCAGTCTATTCCTAATAAAAAAGAGATTTCGCCTTTACAGATCGACAAACTCACAATCCTCTTTTACTGCTCATGTATTGGCTTTATTTTGACGTTACCCATTTTCATTTCAAATGAGCTGCTTAACATGAGCTCAACTAAAAGCGTGTTCAATGACCTTACAGGCAGTGCTCTGTTGCTGGTATTTATCCACGGATGTACCCACTTTTTCCAAGCCATGCTTGCATTTCAACTAATCGGGATGTCAAGTCCTGTTAACTACTCCATCGCCAACATCATGAAGCGCATCGTTATAATCGCGGTGGCTCTTTCATGGGAGTCGCGCTTTTCTTTGCAGCAAGTTTTTGGCCTGTCGCTAACAGTGCTAGGTTTGTACGGTTACGACAGGTGGGGACTTGCTAGGAAATGATTTGATTACTATCTATAATATATACATATACATACTAATGAGGTATCCGTTGCGTTTCATTGAGCACTTCAACCGTTCGCTGGCGACATGTGCTTGGCTCGTTCCATGCGTGCACGCGTTATTTTGAAACACATTGCGGAGCAAAGCTCTTCAAAAGCATTATCTATCACTTAGAATCTCTATTAATGTTGATTATATACCTCTCAGTGCTTGGCAGTTGGTGTTTCTCCTGTTAGCTTGCCAACAAACTCCCTTGCCATGTCACCAAAACCAACCATGAAAACGGTTTGCCAGATGCCCAATCCGACTCTTGGGGCTACACCACGGTATAGACCTTTGAGACCGCTAGTCTGGTAAATGTACTTGAATGCAGAGCCCACAGTTAGGTTCTTTGGCCTCTTTGGGTCGTCTTTCTTGGACTGCATCTCCACTCTGATGACCTCAATAGGCTGGTTCCAGGCACTCAAACCACCACCGATGGCAGATGCAAAAATCTTTTCCAAAGCTGTGAGTTTGTCCTCGCTGTTGGTCTTACCGGTAAACTTTCTGATACCTTCCTCCACCAATCTGGAGAAACCAAAACGGGACCCCCAGTTTGTCATTTGTCTGATAGCCACTGCATTGACGCCCTTGTTGATACCTTTGATACCTTCCTTGTTGTAGATGTCTTTGAAGGCGGACCACGACGACTGTGGCACAGCTCCTGCCACAGCAGATTTAGCCTTGGTGATTTCGACAGTCTTCATGCATGTGCAGAAACCCATCGTCAAGTATGCCTGTGCAACACCACCGGAAACACCACCCATGATACCAGCACCAAAGTTACCCAAGCCTGCTCTCTTGAACTGGTATTCTGCCTCTGCGGAAACGAACAGTAGTGCTGCACCCTTCGTAGAGGCCTCGATCCAAGCCCATGGGATCAACCCCTGGTAAAACCCGAAAACACCACCACGCGACCAGATGTGTTTAACGGATTGCAGGAAACTCAGGTTACGGTTCGCAGCCATGGTGGTCTTGATCACCTCCAGAGGTTGACCCAAGGTCGTAGCCTCGCAGAGGTTCAACGCTGAACCCAACAAGATGTTGGAAAAAGAGATGGGTTTTTTTTTAAGTTCCGCTGGCTGTTCAGGAACAATTGACATACTGCTATCAGTCGGAGTTTAAGGTGGAAGTACCGGTTTGACCAAGACACATTGCTAATAGGTTGAAATATCAACTTGAAGATTATCTCTTGATTTATGTACTCTAAAATTTTTCAATTTCGAAAAAATATAGACTCAGATATGAGATTGACGAGAAATATGATTGTTTTGACTGAGTGAGATGTCTCAGCCAATCGAGGGTATTGAATATGAATAGCCATAATTTTTAGCTTTCATTTGATACTATTGGTGTGTTTTTAGCGCCGAAACAGCTTTCCTGAGAGCAAGTGTCAGTAAAACATTTCACTGTCACGAAGTGTGACTTTGGTCATGAAGTTGACTAGCATTACTTCGGGATTCTGAAAAGAACGGGAAAACTGGGCGTGTCGGCGAACTGAAGATGAAATATATCGTGTATGTGACTATATTCTATGAAATAATGGGTAGGAATCGATGCAAACTGTTTTGAAAAATATGGTCTTATGGTTCCTGGACGCCACAATGCGTTTGTAAGTCGTCATGGTTTAATATCGTTGATTTTGGAAATGTCATTACTGGTTTAATTGAATCGCTTTAGGTCTCAGGGTTCTCTTCTTTTTTTTATTATTTTTATGTCATACAGGGCGGTTGTATTGCCGGAACTTGAGCCAATGAGACACCCCACAGCCTTGTAGAAGTTTCGAAGCATATTCGTTTTCGTAATAGTTCTGCAGTTTGCCCGAATTTTCGACATCGTACCATCCTTGGTGCAACTTCAGCATTTCGATACGGACGTAGATCAAGGGAATTGCCAAGCTGTTCATCACGTTCAGGCCATCGCGCGTTAAAAAGTTAGGCGAGCCAAGCACTAGCATGTACTGGTTTCTCTTGTGACTTGGGACTGCGGACGAAAACGCGCCCATTGTCTCCCGCACTTCTTTGCCCGTAATTTTGGCACTCGTAAACGCCTTGCACTGAACAAGCACGTTCAAGGGTTTGAAAGGCTTCTGTGATTCTAGTCTGTGTATGACAGGTTTGAACTGGGCTCCGCATACGCTAACTTTCTTGGCCACACCGTCCTCGAGCGTGCGTTTGTCTTTGCTCACGTTGTAGATGGTGTCTAGAGGCCAATTCCCACGAATATCGATTCCAGCGTCGTAAGAGCCTCCACATATCTCGAGCTGCTGCATGGCCAGTTTTTCACCGAGTTCTCGAGCGACTGTGTGTTCATATAATGTTCCTTGGTAAACGGTGGAGCCTGCGATGCCCACATTTTCCTTCAAATACTTGCGAATGGCTGAGTTGTGGTTTCTTCTTAAGCAGCAGCGCATCCATATTCGGTGCTTTGAAACACAGTGGCCGAACATGTCAAATCTTATTCTTGTTTAACTAAAAGATTCTAGCCTTCAGTTTTGAGATGCCTTTCGTTATTCGTTGTGAGAATACAACTATGATTTCAAGAACCCATGGAAGACGCCAAGACGCAGTAGTAAACACCATTGTGGAGCCAGAACTAAAGCTATTTCAGTGCCAAATTAGAGAATTTCAAGACTCAATTGAATCGAGTAGCATAATATTTTCCCCAGGAGTCACAGCCATCAGAAATCGACGTAAATCTATATCTATCTTACCTGAGAGAGCACTAACTCAAACGCACATTCAAGGTATACAACTTCAAAAATTGAAAACACCACCATATGAAATGGCAAATCTCAACAACATGGAGGTAAACTGAAAGTGTGAAGTTGCCAGAGTCTTCCAAATCAGTCGTCATAAGCTCATTTCGACTCTTCGATTTTTCAAAGTTCGAAAATCGATACCAGAATTAAATCCAAAGCTTAACTATCCGAAATCTATTAAATACGACTCACCGCACTCAATAACGAGTCTTCAAACGGCCTAAAACCACCCGTCTTGGCCTGATCTTCCAACACTGACGTGGTCCCGCGTGAAAAGTGATATGTTACCTGCCAATTCTACACAACTATTCACATCTAAAGTAAACATGGTCAACGTCGCACAACTTTTTCGATATTTATGGGAAGCTAGCGACTCAAGAGCTGGCCACTTATGTCTTCTCTAGACGTATCTGAAAAACCTGCGGGTCTCGCTGAAGAATCTAAAATTGAAAACGGCGAGCAAGTGGTCACCGTTTTCGATTTAGCAACTGAAATCGAACAATCGCTGCAGAAAGTGATGGAAGATGTGCGAAAAAACGATCTTGAATTTCAAGAACAATTTGAAGCCATTCAGAAGCGTTTGAGGAGTCTCGAGAAATAAAAGGTGCGAGATTTCAGGTCAACGGTGCTAAAGGTTTAATTTAGTCGATTTTTTGGTCAGAAATGAAGATTTCAAACAATGGCTAGAGAAAGAGGAAATCTGAGGCCCAATTCCAAAAGGCAGCTATTAGAAGTACTCGAAACAGCTGCAATTAGGGTGAATTGAGGGCCAATTGTGTTGCTGTTGTGTTGTGTCATTGAGACTCCACTCCTCGTCTAGGGTGATATTGGTAGTTACGTAGGTCTATATTAGCTCATCAAGCGATGCCTTATGCTCTTCAAGTCAACATTTCGGGATTAGAGGCCTCACATCGACGCCCTAGCAGCTGATTCCGACCCATATGAGTACCTCCAACAAGAGCAAGCGTCGCCAGAAGTCCAAGAAAGTCTCAAAGTCCGCGAAAAACGGTGATTCCAGACAGGATTTGCTTAAAGTTGTTGATCAGATTAAAGCCAAGAGAAACAATCAAAACCCCAAACCGAAGTCCCCGGGTGATGAGAACACAGCTCAAACGAATACCGTGAAATCCCAGGTAAATTTTGAGCAGTTTAAGAAAGTTTTCGCCAAGTTTCAGCCTCTGGAAGCAAATGGAGGGTCCAACACTGAGCAGGTAAGAACTCACTCTCGCAGGGGCAAAATCTTCGAGCAGGATGGTAACTATTCTGGCAAGAGTAGCTTGGTAAATGCAGAGGAACAATTTGAGTCTCTAGAAGAAAGCCCACAACTATCAAAACGCAAAAAACGCCAGCTCAGCAAAGTATCTCTTGCAGAGCTGAAGTCCATTGTGATATACCCGGAGCTGGTGCAATGGTACGATTGTGACGCTCCAGATCCAGTAACGCTCGCCAAAATAAAATGCTCCAAAAATGTGGTACAGGTACCGAATCATTGGCAATTGAAGAGAGAGTACCTGTCAGGAAGATCAGTGGTTGCTAAGAAGCCATTCGAATTGCCCGATATCATACGTCAGACCAACATAGAAGAGATGCGCAATACGCTCCCTACGCAGGACTCGAATGACGAAAAATCACTTAAAGAGAACGCTAGAGCACGGATACGTCCTAAACTGGGCAGTTTAGATCTCGACTATCGCAAACTTCACGATGCGTTTTTCAAGCTAGGACGACACTGGAAGCCAGATCATATGCTAAAATTTGGTGATATGTTTTACGAGAACCGAAATCTTGAGGAGGAGCGGAAGTGGGCACAAATGGAAAGAAAGCTGCGACCGGGCAAATTGAGTAGAGAACTGCGTCAGGCTATGGGGTTGCCAGAAGGTAAGCTCCCCCCTTGGTGTTCCAAGTTCACCGAGGTTGGGATGCCACCTTCATACCCCGACTACAAAGTAGCCGGTGTAAACTGGGATATCTCAAACCTACACGACGACATCTACGGAACTTTAGGGCCACTAAAAGACGCTAAACATGATACCCCACTATTTGGCCAAATGATTCAGCTCGACGATGCTAGTGAAGACGCTCAAGACTACGAGAAACCTCATGATAATGAGCAGGAGCCCACGGCGAAAATTGGCGAAGAGCCTGCGCAGCATAAGGACCGCATTGAAATAGACCAAAAATTAGAAGACGAAATTCGTGCGAAAACCATGAAAGAGGTTCTCAAGCGGAGAGCTCAAGAAAAAGCATTACACGGAGGTCAGGAAGGACCAAAAACACTCTATTCTGTTATACGTCAGAAGGAGAACGCTGGAGACTCTGAACTCACGGGGAGCAATATTACATACGATTTGAACGGATTGAAGCAGAAAAATGGCTCTACTGAAAAACAAAAGCGAGCCTTTCCGCGAGAACCACAACGTTCGACAGATCAACATTCAAATGGTGACAGAGATGAGCAAAATTTCAAGTTTTAGAAGAACTCAAGCTTAACGCGATTTCATGATGCACTTTTCTCGTTACTGCACATCGTACTCTTCTCTCTCCGTAAGTAGTCACCACATGCATTTTCTTCCACTATCATTCCTTCTCTGTACACCACACGGCCTTTAACGATGGTAAAACGGGGCCAGTTAGAAAGCGGGAAGCCTTCGAATGGCGTATAGTCACAACCGTGCTCGAGAAGGTCGTTTGTGATACTATCAGGCCTGGGCGGATACTTCCCTTCGCTGCTGCCCTGCGGGTACCATATGACGATATCGGCGTCACTTACACCGGGCAAAAGAGATCCCTTTTGTGGGTAACAACCATAAACTTTAGCAGGATTGGTACAGTTAAGTTCGACAAATTTCGCCATATCTCTTATTTTACCATGGGTGTAACCGTAGGTCATCAATAATGGCAGCCGGGTGCACACGCCTGGCATCCCGTTGGGAATATAACGAAACCTGCCATCTTTGTTGTCACGAAATGCTCTATGCTTAGAAGCGCCAGATACCTTGTCATAATAATAATAGGGACAATGGTCGGAACCTATGATTGTGAAGGTTCCATCATTTATCGCATTCCATATGTGCTCTTGACATTGCTCACCCCTGATAGGCGGAGAGCAAATGTACTTGGCGCCCTCGAACTGGTCGGCAGTTTTGTTCTCGGTTTTTTCGAAGGAGGACGAGTTGTGTCCTGCAGGTTCTTTACCATGATGACATTTTGTCAGTTCATCTGATAGCAGCGCGTACTGAGGACAAGTTTCAGCGAACACACGCAAACCGCGCGCCTGTGCTTTGCTTATCGTTTGGATTGCATCGGGCGACGATACGTGCACGAAAAGAATTGGAGTTTTCAGAGTCGACGACAAAACAATTGCCCTGTTCGTTGCCTCGCCTTCAAATTCAATGGGTCTTGATACGCCGTGGTAGAACGGGTCCAGCAAACCCTTGGACTCCAGATCTTCGATCATCCATCGAATCAAGTCTCCATTTTCGGCATGAATCATCGTGGTGAATTCGTTCGATCTCGTCGCATGCATTGTAGTTAGAATATCGTAATCACTCATCTGCAAACCTGGATATGTCATGAACACTTTGACACTGGTCACGCCAAAATCTTCGTATACATTCTGAAGCTGAACGTCCAAAAGTTGGCGACCTGCTATGGAATTTTGCTCGACTTGGAACAAGATTAAGTGCAGGGCATAGTCACAATACAAAGTTTGCTGGGCATACTCGTTGACGACCTGTTCAACGGAATTTGATAAAGCCTCGGGTCCCTTTTTTTCTATGTCTTGGGTAGCAAATGCAATGACAGTTGTTGTACCACCAGCCACTGCGCTTCTGGTCGCACTCTCCATGGTGTCTGCCACATCGCCAAGCAGTTTGCAAGGCTCATCGACGTGAACATGAGCGTCGATTCCTCCGGGAGTGACAAACGCGCCCTCAGCATCGATTATTCCGCCAGCCAAACTCGAGTCAATATTGCTGGCAATGCATTCAATCTTGCCAGCACGAATTCCAATGTCTGCTTGATACAAGTCGCTAGCAGTGCATATCACACCGTTCTGTCGGATGGAATTGGGTTAGTTTTCGCTCGTTGAAAAACTGAAGATATCGCACTGCGACAAAGAACATACCTTGATGACGAGATCAAACATGGAGACTGAGGCCTTGCTAACCTCTAATTGAGATGTGATGGATGTCTTGGATCTCGAGTTGTTCAGCAGCTCTTCTATATTGCGCAACTGAAATATCGAAAGCCTTATCTGGTATGCCAAATTAGGAAAGCTGATAAGGACGAGTACATAAATTGCACGAGTACCCAAGAGCGATGTGGGATGCTTTTGATGAGGGAAAACAGGTCTGGACATACCAGAGCGGGTGACCAGGAGCGTGTAATAATTGTATAATAACCGTAAGTTATATTGTATTCGGAGGGTGTCAATTGGATGCTGGAGTTAGAAAATTGGTGATGTGAGTGTCGCCGTCATGAAAACCTTTTCGCAGCATCGGAGATCTTTGTGTACTGGTATTATGTGTGTTGAGATGGAGCAGGAGTTTATAGTACATTAGAGATGTCAAGAGCTGTGATTTTAGCATGGCCTATGTTCAGTTCTCAAGACTGTGACAGAATAGTACAGAGTGATCGGATTCAAAGGTAGCTTCCTCATGACAGATCAAGAGCGGTGACATAGCCGTACTCTTGCTCCGCTTCAAACTAAAAGGTTTGATTAATCTTCATGCACTAGTCGCAACATTTCCAGCAAGCCTGTGTACGGTCCTCAAAGCTCTTTGTCGAACAGTGACAGAACAGTACAAAGTGATCTGAAATAAATATAGCTTCTTCTTGACAGATCAAGAACAATGATAAAACCACCTAACCAGCCAGTTTCAAGACACAGCGTCTGAGTAAAGTTTATGCATTAGGTAAGGATGAGTTCGGGAATTGATCAAGATTTCCCTTCCCAGCGCAGATCGATCTATTGCACAATTTCAAATTGAAGCGAGAAAAGCACACATTTATAACCAGACTTAGCCCGAAAACCAAGAAACAGAAGCATAAGAAATCATAAACTAAAGCCCAATCCTGAAGTGCCCACAATGTACCGTCTCGCTTCGTGAACGAGATCATTCCGGTCTGTCAATTTGAATTAAACACACACCGTACATAATGTTCAATCTACTACGAAAACATTCAAATGCACTCTAGCTCATCGCCCAACCGACAACTTTCCCAGGACAGCTTCAGCAACCCTAAGACGTTCTTTTATAGCTTCAAAAATGTCTGATAGTGACCACGCCGACTACGGGAATCCAAAGGAGTCTTTAAGTGGCTCTGCTGATCTGAGGCGCAACGCCTACAGCATTCACAAAGGAAATCAAGAAAAGATGGGCCCTACAGATGTTTACCAGTATTCACAGGTTTTACAACTGGAACACGCAGTCACCAATTTCCTCAACTACTTTAACAAAATAATTCAGCTCTCTCCGAACTACAAGGTATATCTGGAAAATGTTGACGCATTACAAAATACGAGAGTCGAGATTCTGCCAGCAATGCTCAGACATAAGCTCAAGTGCGCTGCAGAACTGGCATCTTTGAATGAACTCGGAAAATTGCCGTTACTTAACGAACTTAACACTTACGAGGAGAAGTTTTCTAGCACAGACAGAAAACCGGTTTTGCAAGAGCTGGAGGAAAATGACATCGAGAAACTATCTGCTTCGGTCAATAATGAGATGGTCAAACACTGGAGCGAAGTTTCTCAGAAAGCACAGGAGGATGATGAAGACGAAGAGGATGATGGCTACGAGCCTGACGAGACCAAAAAAAAGTGGCCCCCAAAATTGCCAGAAATAAAAAACTCAGCTATAAAGGCCCGTGTCTTCATTCACAAATCTATCATCAACGACAAGCTATATCTATCTGAGCATGACATGATTAAGGCCCACAATGAACGTTTAGAATTTCTAGGTGATTCCATTTTGAACACCACCATCACAATGATCCTTTACAATAAATTTCCCCACCTCAGTGAAGGTCAACTTTCCAAACTCAGAATGAAGCTTATCAGTAACGAACGCTTGAAAAAGTGGTCGTTCCTTTACAAGTTCAACGAGAAATTGAGGACAAACATAGACAAAACTTGTGAAACCAGTGAATTTAAGCAGGGCAAACAAAAGCTTTATGCTGACGTATTCGAAGCTTATATTGGTGGCTTACTGGAAGACGACCCGAAGCACAATTTGCCCAGGGTGCGGAAGTGGTTGAGTAAGCTTGCCTTACCAGTAATCGAAGAGGAGATCAAGAAAGACGACGATCTCGATCTAACGGAGGTTGACGTAAACGCCAAGAAGACATTGTACTCTTTGATAGGCTATGCCGCCCTGAACTTACACTACAAACCTATTCAAAAGCCATCTTTCGAGAACCCAATCGCTTTGGTGGAATGCCGCATCAAAGATGGAACGATTTTAGGAGTGGGGAAGGGAAGAAATATCAAGATAGCAGGTATGAGGGCAGCTCAACAAGTCTTACGCAACAAACCGCTAATAGAGAAATACGCAGCTTTTCGGGCTGCTGTGCCAAGATCAGACTCAGTCGTAAAAACATTGGCAGGCAGTAAGAGATCCACGCCTGGCGAAGAAGGACCAGAGGAAGAATACGGGGACGCCTACCCAGCCAAGAAAACGGATCTTCGTACTCAAAATCAGTCACTAGACGCATCGACCAGTCGAATTATTCCCAACGAGGACGGCTCCCTGAGCCTTATATAGGAGTAGCTTACCTATAATTCCCACCAACTCATACCAACTCTATTTCATCTTGTAGTTTTATTCGCTTCTCAGCGTGGAAACTAGGAGATTGGCTTGTTTCAATATCGCCGCTTGGTGTGAGTTCTCGCCCTCGCCTTTTCTTCTTGAAAGGCTCAGGCCCGTCGAACTCTCTTGCGATTATTGCCAGCAAGGTATTTGCTCGTTTAGAGATTTCTTGGACACTTCTTGATTTGAAGAACCAATCGAACTCGAATAAGTCGCTTTCCATAATCTCCTGTTTTACTTTGTCGTAAAGATTCTCCGCAGACAGACCTATTTTGTAGATGGTTGTCAAAATAAATCTATCTTCGAAATGGTCGAAGGTCTTGCGTGAATTGTTTGGGGGATATTGGACTACCATGTCATATAGAGGATTTTCGTACAGCTCAACCTTCCTCTTGAGTAATGACTCTTGGTTCTTCAGCCTATCAGCCTTTTTCTCACCTGCTTCTATGGAGTTCAAGTACTTTTCATGGCCTGGCAATTCTGAGTATCTGGCCCAGAAAACTTTGGCGTATGCTTTGACGTCTTCAACACTCTTGTTGTCTAGTGTTTCGGCAATCGACCCATAATCATCTCTTCCAAACCTTGCGCAGCTATTGATGAAAACAAAAAACTCCTTTCTGTTCCAATTCATGAAAGCTTCGCCTATAAGCTTTTGTTTCAGCTCTTCATCTTCCTCTGTGTATTCTGTCGCATTATCAATTTTTGATTGTTCTTCACGCACGCGTTCATCGGGTTCATCGCCAACCGCATCCGTTTCATCTACGCCAAGGTCGTATGCTGAAATTCTGTAGTTGACCTTTTTCTTAAACCAAAGCTGCTCCTTCATCTGAAGCTCTTTGACTTGAGGTGGCAAGAATTGATGGTCCTGAAAATTAATGGTCTTTGGAGGCCTGGCTGCTCGTACCTGAGAGCTGCTTTTAAGACTTGCATCCTCATCTCTGGGATTATCTTCTGTAAAGTACGATTGTTCTCTACGTCTTTCCCTTCGCGAAGGATTGATCCATGTTTTTATTTTATCATCAGGTCTTTTTTGAAAGTTTTCACCATTCCACTCATAGGCCGACTGATCGCCGAGACCATTGAACTTTTGAAGGTCGTCTAAGCCAAGTTTCTCATACTTTGCATTCAATCGAAGCGTTTTTTGTTCACCTTTCCTTAAAATTTCATCGATGTCATCGTCGACACTAATGTTTTGAGAGCTATTACCAAAGACATCTTTTGCACCAAATTGGATCATATCTAACAGCTCACCCTTCGAACTTCCGATGGAAGAAGACTTTTTCCCCACACCCTGCTGAATCACAAGTTGGTCCAACCGCAATTTTTGAGCTGCTCTTTCTATAACTTTCTCCTCAATTGCGTTCTCAGTCACAAAACGATAAACGTGGACCTGTTTCTTCTGTCCAATTCTATGTGCTCTGTCCATGGCTTGCAAATCTGCTTGCGGGTTCCAGTCTGAATCGTAGAGCACCACTGTATCAGCAGTAACCAGATTGATACCGAGCCCACCTGCTCTAGTGGTCAAGAGAAATATAAATTTACTAGACTCGGGTTCATTGAACTGATCGATAGCTTCGATTCTTTCTTCGTGAGAGGTAGATCCGTCAATTCGACAGTAGTCGTAATCTCTGAAGAAACAGTAATCTTCCAGAATGTCGAGAACTCGAGACATTTGACTGAAAATAAGAACACGGGATCCAGCCTCTCTTTTCTTTCGCAGTAGCTTATCGAGAACAATCATTTTACCAGCATTGAAAATAAGGTGCTCATCGGTCGTGTATGGGGGTCCCGGTTCAGCACCTTCGAAAAGATACGGATGGTTGCAGCATTTTCGCAACTGCATAACGATGTTAAGAAGCCTTGTGCTTCCTTCGCGCTTCCCAATTGCTCCATTGACAGCGTCAAGATCTTTTTCTAAGAGACTTTTATACCACTGAACTTGCATTTTTGTCATCCCCACATAAAGATTTGTCTCGATTTTAGGCAAAAGAGAAGTCTCTACTTCTGATTTTAGTCGTCTGAGCAAAAATGGGCTCAAGACAGTGTGTAATTGCTGAACAACTACATCCTGATCTTCTTCGCTATCATTTTGCTCAAACCACTGGTCGAAAACGTCAGAGTCACCGAAAATATCCGGCAGTAAAAAGTTCAAGAGGGCCCAGAGCTCATGCAAGTTGTTTTGCAGCGGCGTGCCTGTAATGAGAAGCCTACCACGAGAACGGAAAAGACGAATGATCTGGGACAAGGTGCTTTGTTCATTTTTGATTCTGTGTGCTTCGTCAACCACAAGAAACTGCCACATTAGCTTCTTCAAGGCGGCCTTTTCTTTGATAACCATCTCATAAGAGGTGATGAGGATATCAAATTTGGCCTCGAGCACGACTGTGTTCAAAATATCGTGGCGCTCTTCCTTGTTCCCGCTCAACACCACTGTTTCGACTTCGGGAGTCCACTTGGAAAACTCACGCTGCCAGTTGTTGACCGTAGATTTTGGTACTATGATGATGGTAGGCCCGTCGATACCTTTGACGTAACGTAGGTAACCTAAAAACGCAATTGTCTGCAGAGTTTTTCCCAGACCCATTTCATCAGCCAAGATACCCGAGAGTTTCTTTTCATAGAGTGAGAGTAGCCAGTTAACACCTTGGATTTGGTAGTCTCGCAGAACGCCTGATTTGATGTAACTAGGCGATTCTGTTAGAAGTCCAGCGGTTTCAACATCCTCCTTTTCCTCTTCCATCAATTCTGCGTCTTCCTCTTTTTCGCTCTTTCTATGGTGTCGCCAGTCCTGAGATCTGGCACCTGCACTTTTTCCGTGAGTGCTACCATCAGATTCGATGGTTTTCAGTAATTTTTGAATGTTTTTGTCCTGTTTGGCTCTGATGCTCATAAAATGGCGGAATAGATCTGTTAAGTTGAGCAGATACTTAAAACGCTCATATGTCTCTTCCTTTGACTTCTGCTTCTCTGCTGCTACCCCGGCATGTAGAAAAAAGCGCTTCTTTCGAGCTGCCCAGTAGGCCTTGTCCTTTTTAGTTTCGACGTCCGTCATCCGTTCAATTCTTCGATTCCTGTTGAAACAGGTAAAGGATTTGAAACCGGCTTTTTATATCAGACCGTAGAAACAAACAGTTTCAACTGGGTGGTAGTCAAATCAGTGACTGGGAGACTGGATTTGCGTACCAATTCTATCGCAATGTATCAATTTATGTCGCGATGATGTTTACTTTGGTTAGTTAAGGATTATTGAAAGAATTGTCTACGTAACGAAAACTAATAACTACGCGAATAGAGGACGAAAAAAGATCGAGTAGAGGACCACCAAGATAATGGACTGGATGTCTCTGTCTATAAGTCGTGAGCCTGGGGCGATTTCAACTTTGGTTCGAGAGAGCCAAATAAACCATAGCGCACCGTCTGTGCCGGTAAATGAGTAAATCACAGATTTTAGGATAGTGACATGATCACATCGATGCTTTTGTATCTATTTGTCTTTTTTGGAAATTTCTGCGTGTGCGATTGGGTTTAGTGTGATTTTTTTTGCCTCCATTTCGGTGGCCTTGGTCGGAGGTTTTTGTCGTTTGGCTGTTTCCAGCTTCGTTGCCTCGGTCTGCCTTGAGTTGTTGCTGAACTCTTTCCGACTCCGCAGCCCACCACTTCGCAAACCGCTCCTCTTCAATAGCATCTTTCAGAGATCGTGACGGTTGAGCCACTAAATTGTTGGTGTTGCTCAGATATAACGGAATGGTGGAACTTTCGCCTGTGCTTGTTAAACCGATAGCCTGGGCCTTTTTTCTACTGCCTTGATCTTTCAAGGATTGGGCAAGCGAGGGAAATTTGCTCGCTGCTGTAACGGTAGGTTGAACGGGCGGTTTTGCAGTGTTGCTACCCCATACAGGTTTCGTCCTGGGTTTTGAGTCTTGTGCTACATCACGGGCTGCTAATTTTATCCGCTCTTTTTGAGATAGCTTTTTAACGCTCGAAAAAGCGGCACCATTTGATCGGGTTGCTGAATCAGAACTCATATTTCCCTGCAAAGAGTTTCCGAGCTCCGGGAACAGACTCCTTCGATCAGTTGGCAGACCTTGAGCCGCCAATTGTACTCCAGCTTCTGCTATGCCTTCAAACTTAGCATGAGTCTCAAACCTGACAACATTGGTATTAGAGTCTGAGGCAACTAAGCCAGAAGACGAGCCTCTAAGACCGCCCACCGGGAAAGTTGCATCTTTTGGGCCTTTGGATGGCTTCCGTTTATTTTTACTCACAGTCACAAAGCCCTGATCACCCGTATTCTCATTTTCGTCGTCAATAGCCACGTCGTTTGCCTCGCCTTGGCAAAAGTCAAATCCACTGAAGCTGGGTCTTTTGATTTCTAACGAAGATGAAGATGGCCGACGTACATTCACCAAGTCCTCCTGCGCTAAAGAATTTTTACGGTTGACGGATGACTTCCTGCGATCGGCTCCCTTTTTTGGTCCCGTCAGCTTCTTCGCGTGGTTCCGGACCTCGAAACTTGGTTTAAAGCAATTATTCGGATCCATGAAGTGTCCGTTGTACTTTTCGAAATTTTCTTGAAAAAGGCGAAGCAGCGAGCTAGCTTCCGCTTCATCAATATACCAAGCCTCAAACCTTTCGCGGTTCATTTTTCTGGTATCAGCGACGAAATCTTGCAAAATCACCCACAATGCCGAATCAAAAAACTCCTCTATGAAGGGCGAGTTTCTTTCTGTGAAAAGAAGCTCAATGTTATTGTGAATGAACCAGCAGCACTCAATTACAAGTGACTTAGACATTAGACGATGTGCGTTGACTAGGATGATTAACACCGTGCTGGCGTCAATAAAGTCCACTAACGTGCTCTCCAAGTAGCTCTTGAAATCTGTCATCATTAGCTCAGCTGCCAGTTGAATCAGTCCCAACACAAAATTTATGAAACTCTTGTAATCGGCAAAGGAGCAATGTGAGAACAGCTCGGCATATGAAAGAGCGTGAACGTACTTCAAAACACACGTCATTTCATAAATTGAAACGTTGTGCATGTGAATCTCCTTCAAGTTTCCACAGGTACGACCCCAATCATCAGAGAGAAGTGCTTCGAAATAAGCAGACCTCCCCATCAAAATGAATGAATATGCTTCGAGGACTTCATTATTGGCAAGCATGAACCTCACATCAGGCTGAAATACTGGGGAAGAAGCACTATTATTGACACAGTGGTCTAAGAGTTTCGTTAGGGCAAAAGGTAACTGATCCCCTCTGAAAGCCGTCAAGTGCAGGTCCAATACTTTCATCAGCCCTTTTATTGACGTGTCGAGGTGTCTCCTTTCCTGAGGATCAACGATGAAAGATGTGTCGGGCAAGTCGTCGGTGTATAGGTATTGCAAAGCGTAGGAAAGCGCTTTTGGGGCGTACTGCCCAAGGTCCGTTTCTATCTGCACCTGTCCTTCAGCAGCCGTGAAGTCATCAACCAGGCGAAAAGAAGCACCTGTTTCATTATTTGATGTTAAGCTTCCAAATGTCACCAATTTAGTCACAAATAATGTCGCTCTTGCCTCCAGCAAGCTGCGATGACATGCTCCAATGATGGCTCCTGTATCCTTCTCCACAAAAACAGTGTCAAAATTCATACAATCGGCTAGATCTCTGGAAAACGCCAGACCTTCATCCTTCAAGGATTTCTGAAATTGATCGGTACGACTGGAAAATTTACGGTTTCCCCATCTCTCTACGAAGAGACTCCAAAGCATGTCGGTTTTTGAGGACTCAAGTTTTATGCCATCTAATCTTTCGGGAAGAAAGGACAATTCCTCGCATTCATCCTTGAAGCATTTTACAAATTCATCGAAATGGCAGGGCGTAGTTTGATTATCCTGCAATTCATAGTTTTGCAGTGCTCTCCGACTTCGATGAGCTGTGGCGAACGGGGATATAGATGCCATATTACTGTAGACATTCTGCTCAATGTAGCTCAAAGGTATCATATCCACATCGTCTTTAATCAAACCAAAGGATGAAAAAAAGGAATCGCAACTTACAGAGATGATCTTTCCTGAAGTCAAGTTCTTACTTTTCAGACACTCAAATTTGGGGTTGGTGGCAGAATTAGATCTGTAGATATGACCTCCAGTAGTGCAAAGAACTAGTTGTCCGTTTGCTGCTACGTCGAAATCGATACACTTGTTCCACCCATAATAGGGTGTCCAGTAAATGCTGATTGGCAACAAATTCGGTAGTTTCGACCAGCCATGTGCTGCATTTTGAAGCAACTCAGAGGAAAGTATCCCAACGCTCCCACTGTCGTAGAGTACACAGAGATTGTTCCCGTTGGGATGTGTCGTCTTCAGTTTGATAACGGTATTTTTTTTACTCAACGAGTTCGGCGTAAACACATCGAATTCATTGGAGGATGCCTGCTTTGATGTCATCTTTGGAACGCTGAAATTTAATGTCTTATAATTGTTCAGTACGCAGAGCTGATTTTCACCCCACAGGATAAAGGTTGCGAAGTCTGTGCAAAAGAGCTGCTTGATTTTGTTAACAAACTGTGGAAGTTTGATCCGCAAAGGAGTAGATACTATCCAACCCTGGTAGCCACAATAATTAATTCCGTTGTCTTCCGTGTAGCTCTTAGTAGTGCCCATTTGACCAAGGTTTAGCCCCCAAACGTAAAGATTGTTTTGGTCATCAATGAGACAAGTGTGAACTTTCGAACACGCCACGAATGTTGGTTGTGCACTAGAGCCTTTTTTCCAGGGCGGGTTAGTGAGTTTCTTAGGGTTTGGGCTGCAGATATTTTCTTGTGCTGATTTTTCAAGTTTTTTACCACTAACGGAGGTGGTGGAGTATCCAAGCTGGGAGTATCGATTCCAACCCCAAGTGAAAACCTCACCGTTTGTTGTTAAGGCAATTGAATGGTGATCACTGCTGTCTAGCTGAGATACGCGATGATTTTCGAGATTGATTTTGGAATGACTGACGTTTGATATCTTGATACTGCCATTTCCAAGCCTACCTCTACTTCCTGTCCCTGCAATCAAACAATCACCAGCTGTCGTGACTATTATCGAATGATACCTTTTCATGATCACAAGTTTGAACCTAGGTCTAAGGCATGGAGTTGCGAAATCAATTACGAGGTACTCATTGAACTTGAACAGCTCTTTCCGGTCTTCAGAGTCTCCTGTACCCAGTTGCAAATTTGTATTCGTTCCCGTGGTATAGAGCTCACGCCCACCACGCAAATGGCAATAGACATCTCGCAGCTCTTTGACGCTACGCCCACGATATCTTGACGATTTGCCATTTTGAGATCTTGGTTCCCATTGTACTATAAACGAAAGTCCACGATCTAGATTTGCTGGTTGAGCTACAGGAGATATCGCCCCCGGAATTTTGTGGTAGTTCCATATGTCGTTCTCACATCGGTAGAGCTCAATGGGCGTCAAACCCTCACGATCTGTTAGGTCCCACACGTTCTCCAGACCAGGCTTATAGTGCAAGTGATGCTGCTTCTTCCACAGCTGGTGCAGCTTAAACGCTTTTCTGAGGTAGCCTTCCCTCAAACAGATGTGGAGGGGAGTGTAACCACTCTCCATATCATGAGAATATAAGTCAATTTTGTTCAGCTGTTCAAGTGCTGGATGGCACGCCACAAGGTAGGACAAATCTCTCCCGAAAACATCCCTATCCGTGTCCTTCTTATTGCTGCCCATATCACCAAAGTTTAGGGTACTGGAGGCAGTTCAGAGCGTCATCGAGGGTGCTATTCGCCTGTATTTGTTTAGTTGGCGATGGCACATGAGTTATAGAACTCATACTCTAATATAAATCTAAAGCTTCACGAGTACAAAAGTACTTTCGTCTATGACATTCAAGACAAGTACTGTCGCGCGAGATGAAAGTATCAAAATGACTACGATGTGTATGGCTGCTCCACCAGGATATTAGTTACTGGCAGAACATTTGATGGTGGTCGCTCTGATATTTTCTTCGCAACGTACGTAGCCCATCTATTTTTTTTTTTTGACACTACGCGCAGTCAATATTTGCCAAGCATATCCAAAGTATGGCTATTTGAATAGCAGTGACGACTAGATCGACTACAAAATCTATTCCGGACACTAGAGTTCCCAAGAAAAGCTCTTGGTTTGACCTGCTTTCAAAATCGAACTTTTGATGACTTCCACATCAATGACAGGAAGACTGACTAGACAAACAACCTAAAAAACATAAGCAAGAAGCTGCTGTAATACAGCTGGTATAGTAACAACGAAGTGAAAGTAAATACAAATAATCCCGTACCTTTTAAACCTTACAAGGCAGTCCTTATCTACCTAGTAATAACCTGTTTATATGAATGTTCTTAAAAATCTTAAAAGCTGGTATATCCTTGAGTGAGCCAAATACAAGATTTACCGTCTACAAGACTCTCTCGGTGGCCATGGTCTGCACTGGGACCTCGAATGCGACTGTGGTCTTGGCGCTGGAGCTCTTGACCTTCTGGTAAGCGGCGATGTTGTCGAAAAACTTGTCGAACAACACGGCGGAGTCCATAGGACCACCCTTGGCCTCAGGGTGGAATTGCGTGGAGAAAATTGGCTTGGAAGTGTGAATGATACCTTCGTTGGAGCCGTCGTTCAAGTTCACGAAGTAAGGCTTGAAACCATTTTCCGGTAGAGTGTCAGCGTCGATGGCGTAACCGTGGTTCTGAGATGTGATGTGGCATTGGCCAGTGGTCAAGTCCAACGCAGGAATGTTGTGGGCTCTGTTACCGTACTTCATTTTGATGGCAGAGGCGCCGGCAGCAATGGCTAGAAGCTGGTGACCCATGCAGATACCAAAGATGGGCAGACGCTCGAATTTGGGGTCCTGAAGCAAGACTTTCAAAACCTCAACGGTTGGCGTACACAAGGAAGGGTCGCCGGGACCGTTCGAGATGAACACACCGTCGAACTGCTGCGCCACGTCCTGAACTGGGTAGTCGTGAGGGAAAACTGTGACGTTGGCACCACGCTCGGCCAAGCAGCGCACAATGTTTTCCTTGACACCACAGTCGATCACTGCAATGTTGGCGGTGGCGGCGCCGTTGGCGCCGCTGATGTAGTATGGCTGCTTGGTGGAGACCTTGGCGACCAGGCGTTCCTTCATGGTGTCGACGTACGCTGGGGCAGGCTTGCCGTCGTCCACGACGATTCTTCCCAGAGACGAGCCCTGTTCACGCAAGTACTGGACCACGCTGCGGGTGTCGACGCCTGTGATGGCAGCGACGCCCTCCTTGATACACCACTCGGACAGCGACTGGACGGCGGTCCAGTGCGAGTATTTCCAGGCGTATTCGGCCACGACGATGCCCACGACGTGAACGCTTGGACTTTCGTAGTATTTGAGCAGGTTGAACTCATCGCGGATTTCGCCAGAGGGCACACCGTAGTTGCCGATCAACGGCTGGGTGAACACCAGGATCTGGCCCTTGTAGCTGGGGTCTGTCATCGACTCTGGGTACCCGACCAGCGAAGTGGTAAACACTGCTTCGCCGGCTGCCGATTGCTGCGCACCAAACGAGATACCTTCGTGAGAGGGTCCGTTTTCTATCTGGAAAGTTGCTTTAACGAATTGAGGAGCCATTGTGGTGGTGTGGTGTGGTGTGGTGTGCTGTATTATAGGATTATAGGATTATAGTGTAGAGGGCCCAAATTTTCAATGGCCGTTGGTCTTCCAGATATGGTCCGGTAGATAGTCTTCACAAGTGCAATTGGTCTGGCAAAGCTTGAACATGCACAGAAGAAACAGAAAAAGGAGAAAGAATAGTTATAACAACTATGAATGAAGCACGAGAATAGTATTGTTAGAAACACGCACAAGGGTCGCTCTTCTTGACTTGGATTGAGGCTTTCTGTCAATCTTTATATACGCGATGAGCTAGCGCTTTGGGCGATGGATTTTACTCAATTTTTTTTTTCACTGCGTTTTCTTTTTTCCAGTGGATGTGATATGCATGATGAAATATCTAGTCATGATGATGTCAGCGAGAGATGGATGATGAGCAATTGCCGTGTGGAGTGAGGAGCTGGCGAGTCGAGAGGGAGAGAATCGTAGGCGAGAGGGAGTTAACGTTGGATCGTGCGATTAGTCTTGAAACGGTGTGAGAACTGGGTTGATGGTTGTGCCACGCTATAAGCTGTGTTTTTAACAAATAGAAAAAGTCTTGCAAATGAAGTCACGTGACGCACCAAAGGGTCTTTGAACGAGACACACCAATCGTCTCATGGGTCCCAGCCGGCAGTCCTATGGGATGTACCTGTTCTTGTTGGCAAGTGGTGTCTTTGCCCAGCGTTTCCAATGCTCAGGGCTCGATGTTCTACGAGCCTCTCTTGTCAGGTGCAATGTTGCGTCCAGTATATTTCATTTATTCTTCCCTTTTTACGCAACAAGCTCGCGTGGCGTAATGGCAACGCGTCTGACTTCTAATCAGAAGATTGTGGGTTCGACCCCCACCGTGAGTGCTTTTTATTTTTGCAAACGAGCTCTCATATATATATATTTTTAACCTTGGTTCGATTCTCCATGTCGACGTTATTAAATTTGGATTTTTTTCCTTGCAGTAGAAAAAGCATTGGTCCTTAGAGCATATGTTCCAACACCTGTGAGAAAACATTGGCCCCGTTCGCTCTTGTGATATTTCAAAACGTATGTTGTTTCCATGTTCTTGCATTGAATTCCCTAGCTAATCGGCTCTGCATCCATAGCCCATTCCGAGAGCGTTAGAATTAAGTTTGAAGTTTAGTGGGATAATCGTGTCAAGTTTGATTAAATGTAATAAAATTAAATTATGTATAGATTTGGTGACTTTTCGTGGACTTCATAGGAGTTGTGGTGCCATTAGGGTTTCTTTGGCTGACTGAAAACTGTTTTGGAAGTTTGCTGGCGTCTGGAAATGGCAGCTTGTGGTTTGGTGACCATATAGTGACGTTCTAAGGTGGGATTGAATGTTAGATCACTTTGTACCATTTTGTCGCATCATAGTAACTATCTTAGATTCCACCACAGTGAGCCCAAAATCATGGGATTGTGTATTATTATCGAGCACCCTGTGGTGTTGTGCACCCTCCAGCCTCTCCCATCACACCTCGGTTTTCCAATCTTTCTATTATTTTTTGAAGTTTAAAAAACTAGTTAATCCATTTTGCCTCCTTGGCCCAGTGCTGTATTCTGTCCCAAAGCGTTCTGGGAGCGCAGAGATGGAATTTGCTAGAACTTGAAAATGACCAAAAATCCTACTCCAGGGATCAAACCGAATTTTTGTTGCGGAGTACTCGAATGAATCTGGAAATTCACTAATTCAATGCCGTTGCATTGGATTTCTTGGTTTATCTGAAAATTAGCAAAATCATGATATTTCATGGCGAACAATAATTCAATACCCTTGCGTTGGACTCCCTAGTTTATCTTTCACCGTTGCCTGATTATGATACTTTAGTTCAGCAATAATTTAATGCCCTTGAATTGAATTCCTTAGCCTACCTGTTCGCTCAGTCCTGTCCTTTGTCTCGCAGCTCTCTTGGAGTGGATCGCTGGAACTTAGATAAAATGATTGTATTCCCTTCTCCAGGTTTCAATCCAACTAAAATGCTGCTCATAGCGCTGGAAAACAGGTCTTCGAATCCCATTGCAATATTTTTCACGTCGCTCGTCCCTCCCCTCTACAATCTATGACCTGGCACGCAGCTGAATATCACGGTAAAGATCCCCGTACTCACCAGAATCAGAAATAAACACCAATAGGCGCGCCTTCTGATCATGCTGTCAATTAATGGAGTTCGTATTTTCACCAGCCTGCTGGTGCCACCAAATAAGCGTAAGAAGATTGGAGCGCTATGGCCCATGCGGTGATTCGCAGAGTTTCGATTGAGCCCTATTTCGAGGTCTTTGGTCGAGACCAGCTCATTCGATACCAGCGATTGCGTGACACCACAGACGGCGTACAGAACGTCGATGCGGTATATGCCACACCAAATAAAGTAGAAACCCAAGAAAAACGGTATTATGGTTGTGACCCTGATGCCTCTGTTGTAATTCAAAAAAACGAGAACGTAGCCCAACCACAGCCCCATCCACACAAACACCATCCCCAAACCAATGCGCGAAAGTGCTGTATACTGCGAGAAAGGGTTCGTTCTCCGGCGCGAGGGGCTCTTGGATTCCACGATTTGTCGTGGTGTCTCCTTGGTGATGTCGTCATGAAGGTTATGCAGCGCCATACGGGTCAGAAACTGCGGAAAGCACTCTAGTTCCATAAACTGGAACGCAATAGACTTCAATTTCTCAAACACGTCGGGATCGTGTCGCTTTTCCGTTTGCACCATGTACACCGCTTGCTGGCGCACGTGGTCCGGCAGTTGTATCAAGTATCGAGGACTATCGTGCGGAGACTCAAGATAGGTATGTACTATGGTCTGTGCGTTGCTGAGCAGCTGTTTTGACGTAATTTGAGCTTTATGGAAGTCCTTGGCCTGTGTTTTGAGAAAGTCGTCCACTAGGCCCGTGAGCGGACTTCTGAAGGGCGCTTCTGAGTTCAATTCCTGGTCGGTTTGTTTTTGCCAGTTTTCCAGCAGATGTGTTAGCCTTGGAGAGTCAGTTTGGCCTTGCAAAAACTGTGAGACACGCTTGCTGTCTTCGAAATCCAGAAAGCCATCGTTCATAAGAGCCTCCAACAGCAGCGAGCTGGACATGGAGTTTCTGTTTTCAGGTGTCTCGACAGCGTTATCGTTCTTACCAATGGATTTTTTGGATTTCTCCTGAGAAACCTCCCATTCTGCCACACTTTCGCGAATTCCGCGAACGTAGTCCTTGCACAGCCGTAGGTGAGCCATTGTATCAATCCAAAAGTCCAAAAACCTGATTGCATACGGGTACTGAGACAGGAAAGTATAGAACGACCATAGATCAACTGGAGTGAAAGTCTGACGGTTCAGCACCTCATACAGAGTCGGCAATCGCTCAGATTGCACAACATTCATGCTGAAAAATGGTCACTGTGCTGCCAAGAGGAAGGGCGTTCGAGGAGCGAGTGTCACGGTCCAGTCCAGGCTAGTGATGAGGTCAAAAGTTCTTGATTCTTGATCCTGGGAGAGGCATTCTTGATCTCTTTTCATATATATTGAGAAACCAGCCATCTCGTCGATAGTGAGACTCTCTCTCTCGAGAGAGAGAATGCTTATGTAAGAAATAAATTGAACCGTTGAATTCGAATAAGACGACGACAGAGATCGATAATGACAGCGCGAACTTCGACGGAATGCTTGATGCTTGAGCCAGAAGTGTTGTAGTTTAGCGTATTTGAATTACGGTATGGCATAAGTTCTCAATTGGCCCGTTCAAGCGCTTTTGAAACATATAAATTTGATGTGGGCTTGAAGCTATGTAGATGACAAGTGTAAAGTGTAAAGTGTTCATGGCTATAACGGGCATCCCAAATGCATCCAAAATTGCCGATTAGTTATTCCAAATATCTTCAGATTTCCCAGAGCCTTGTACGAGAGAGTGAATGAGTGTCTGCGTGTGTGTGTGTGTGCATCAAGCACGGCGTGTTCCACATCGCTGTACTGTACATTGGTCATGGAGTGAAGACATGATTAAAAAAACGCCTGTTTAATGTTCATGTTCGCATTTGGTGCGCACCAGCCCGTCGCAACGGCGCGTCATGATGTGGTGTTCGAGCCACTCTGCATTGTTGTCAAATTCCTGGTAGCACGCTGCACACCGGCCCTTGGAGCGATTGCGTTGGCTTTTGGCCACTCCCACCGGGTACACGAAATGGATGGATTTCAAATGCGTCTTGTACGTATCTTTGCGAGAAAACTCGCCCGTAGAGTGGCACCGACACTGTTCGGTCCAGAACGGACACCGGAACTCTTTGGTGACCATATGTTTTTTCAGGTGCCGCGTCAAGTAGCCCTTAACCCTGAACCTGGCAGAGCAGATTGAGCACTCGAAATACGGCTGTGTAGCCGGAGCGGTCGTGACCGTGGCCAGAGCAGACGACGGATGGCAAAATGGAAATGACGATACCAGCTCGCCGGTGCTGCTCACGACCCACTGCACCGGAGTTTCCTGGACGTTGTGACCACCGGCCGGGTACGAAGACGACGACGACGACGACAACGATCCAGTACTGACGATGGACATGTCTCTCGTGTAAGGTGACACATGGTTGTGAATGTTAGTGAATGGAAGCGAGTCGAAGCGCAGTCCGCAAAGCTCTTCGTCCAGCGAAGGTTTGCCACTGCTGTTGTTGTCAGTTGAAGTGCTGCAAGGCCTGTGGGAAATTTGTTGTGGGTCTGCGTAGTCCTGATGCTCGGTGCCCATTATATCTGCCCACATCTGGGCCAGCGAATCAAAGGTGGATGACAGCGCCGTAGGAGGTGATCCGGAGGCGACGTCGCCAGACTGGGGACGAGCAGGCTGAATGTCCTCATTTTGAGTAGGTGGTTTCTGCGAGGTGGCCCAGCTTTCCAAGAGTCTATTTTGCTGTTTTTGGTTTTGCAGCTGTTGTTTCTGGAGCTGGCGGTGGAGCAGTCCCAACGACACTAAATTGTCCTCTGGCACGGCGATCTTGTCGAATTGGATGTAACCCATGGTGGACGGTCAACTCGATGTGTGTGTCAAAGAGAGAAGGGTTTGTAAAGCGGCGCAAAGCACAGCTTGCGTGCGGGGACGGGAGGAAGAATAATATTATTTGCGGCTTGTTGGGAGAAAAAAACCTACTTGATTCGCAAACGAACGAAACTCAAGCTGGCTTAATTAGTTGGATCGGGCTACTGGAAGAATCCAAAATCAGCAATTCAGCGGGGTTGGAAATTTCGCTTGAACGCACGGCAAGGACCTTTAAGTACGCCGTTTATATTTTTTTGATCGACAAAAATTCCCAGCTGCCTCGTTTGTCCATATATATAAATCACAACAATTCCCACTCACAGCCCATTCGACAGTTGGAGCTGCAAATGCCCACTAAGACCGCAGCGTATGTGCCAAGTAAAAATTAGGAGCTGAGAGATAAGAATCGACGCCATGGTTCGAGGTTTGACCGAAATACTCTGCACGTCATTTCTCTCATTATCTATTGGCAGCAGCAGTAGCGACGCGCCGGTCATAGTGGAAAAAAAAAATTACTACTACGGAAAGGCAGATAGGCAGAAAGAAAGACAAAGAGAGGAAACGGGAGAGGATACGAGAAACAGAAAACTGTGTGTGGATGGAGAGTGTGAATTTTTCGGAGTCGAATGGTGGTTTTGGCAATCGTAGACGACTTGTTTTGGCGAAGTTGGATCAATTTGTTAGCAAATAGGATTAGTAGGATATTTTTGTAGTTGAGCTCGGGTACAATTTCGTCTTGGGTATTATGTTATCGTTCAACGAGTTGTTGTCGAGCGGTTTGCGGGAGAGCGGTCGGAGACAACCAGTAGCGGAAGTAATAGGCAGCTTCTCTTATCACTCGGAGAGCGTTGCGCGCGCATCTGAGAGGAATGCGTGTCACGTGACCATGAAGCCGCGAGTTTGGGAGACGAAAGAGACGAAAGGCAGAGAGAAACAGCATAGTGAGACGTCGACGATATCACCCCGTTTCCATCTGGTCGAATCCAAGACAGCAGCGAAGGAGTTGTGAGGACAGTGGTGAAATATCTATGATGGATTAGTGTATCACTGCGTACGATATTACTGTGCTCGCAGTGTTGCCCCAACTCTGGACATGAAATCGAAGCCCAACTCGAAGCCAAAGCCCAAGCCAATGCACCTGTGTGTTGCCCTTTTTTCGCTACCCACGAGCGCATTTTCGGGCAAAAACAACGCTCTCGTTTCGCCTCTCAGAGCGCATGCGGCATTATAGCACGCAGCTTCCGTGATCCGTGACGGAGGTATCATGGCGGAAAAAAGGCAATGCTTCGACGATGACTGGTTCAGATGAACGAGGTCAAATTGTCTTCCCAAATCCATTCCAAACGGCATTGGTATTAGAACAATGGTGTGATGTAGTATGGCATGAAAGACAGCCCGGTATTTTGGCGCCGGGTGACTTACAAAAACAGCCCAAAATTGAGAGAACCCGAACGGAATCGTTTGGCATGCAATGGGATCCAAGGACTGCTTCCAAGTTGTGTGTTATACACCATGTATATACATATTCGAATTTATATTAATATCGTGTCGCGACAGACTCGATGACAAAATAGTACAAAGTGATCTCCCAAAATTTTAGGTAATCCCATTGAGACTCGATGTAACTCGAGTAGCAATCGTACGTGACATTGTGATAGTTGCAGTTACTCCTGTAGACAACAGACCATGAAGAAAGACCCCTTATTTAAGAATTCACTTGAATTTGGAGCATGCTCTGCCGATTGTGAAGAATTGCCGATTTATCACTTTCCGCTCCCAATTAATCGAAAAAAGATCAAAGAACCTGTGGACTAGGCCTTTTCTGCACTCTTTTCACGGCTGTACCGGTCAAGCTCTCCGTTCGCTGCGGGGACTTGCAATCTCTACCCTACATAACACACTCGTGAGAGATGATGCGACCTGGTGAGCCGTTATAATCGTCATTCTCGAGAAATATAGCTCACTGATTCAGTGTTGAGAGTGCAGCCCGTCGCTGAAAGCTCCTACGCTCATTACGCTGTGGAAATTGCACCTGTTGGTCTCTAATTAAACATCAACTAGTCCGAAATGCAAATGCCTCATTTATACGTCCTCAGTAGTCTATTCAAAACACTTCGTGCTATTGTAGACATGGCCTAAATCTATGGTATTTTGACAACGGCGAAATACAACCGGGCACCCCAATAAAAGGTGAATTTATGGGTAGTATTCTAGCCTTGTTACGTATGTAGTGACATCATATATTCACGATCATCACATTAGAACTCCGGATCCTGGTTCTATACTCATCAAAGCCACCTTCACCTCAAAGCGCAAGACGCTGTCGGTGGCTATAAACTAACTTGATTGCTGCTCCATCTTTTTTCTGTAGACCGTGTTTTACCTTTTTAACCAAAATGTCAGAATCCCTTCGCAGAGCATTGCTGGCTAAAATGAACAAATCGGACTCTCTCATACAATCAAAGAGAAGCACAAATGATTCCACCAACCCCATTTCACTGAATAACACTTGTCCCGGCAATCTTCCAAGTTGGCAGGAATTTTTCACCCAGAATGAGCAATTCTTCATCAACAATGGCTCTTATAGGTTTAACACTTATTTCTCGTTACCAGAGCCTGAGCTACTTCTCAAAGCTTCCAAGAGTCAGAGCATTCCAATTTTCATATTCCATCATGGAGCCGGGTCGTCGGCTTTGAGTTTTGCTCCTTTGGCTCAGTCTTTGCAAGAGAAGCTCGAGAATCTTTGTGGTACGTTTGCATTCGACGCCCGAGGTCATGGTCTTACCGAGACCCCTGATACCGCGACCTTTCGATTGGGAGACTTCGTGTCCGATTTCTGCCAGATTTTAGACCTCTTCTACAGCCGTTTCCTTCGAAATCGCTTTTCAGACCGCACATTTTCACTTGTTCTAGTAGGGCACAGTCTGGGAGGCAGCATTTGTTCAAGCGCATTTCATGAAATAAACGATCAATTACGTCAAAGAATTGTGGGTGTCGCAATGCTGGACATTGTAGAAGAAGCTGCTAAGAAGGCCTTGAACACAGTCGACACTTTTCTCACGAAAACGCCAAACCTCTTTCCCGACTACACGGCAGCAATAGATTGGCATGTACAGAAAGGACTTTCTCGTTTGAAGACTAGCGCTCAAATAAGCATTCCAAGCCTTTTTACCCCCACAGCTTCTGGCAAAGTCGTACGCAGAACAAACCTTCAAATATTCCGTCCTTTCTGGGATTCTTGGTTTACAGGTCTTTCGAGTAAATTTGTGGCTTTACCAACCAGCAAGCTCCTGGTACTAGCCGGAGACGACAATCTGGACCGTGAGCTGATAATAGGACAAATGCAAGGCAAGTTTCAATTGGTTGTCTTTCAAGACTCTGGTCATTTCATAGAGGAGGATTGCCCAAGCAAAACCGCTATCACTCTCATCGACTTCTGGAGGCGCAACGACACGAAAAACTTAGTTATAAAGACGAACTGGACCAAGAATGGCTCTCCCATTTCGTTAAATTAGGTTTATAGAAAATACATACTTATGAGTTGTGCAATTCAGTCAACAGACATCACGTCCAATGCGTTAATATCTTTACCCTCGCACTGAGCAACGATGTGATCAATCTTTTTGGAAGCCCACGCGAATCTTGGACTGATTAGGAATGGTCTAAGATCAAAACGATTGTCGTCAGGAGAATACTGCTCGGCGTGGTAGCTAGGCGTAATAACGGTTTGCTTGTGTCTGTTAATGGCATAGAAGAAAAAAAACCTCTTTACTTTTTCTGCCACTTGAGCCGGGCTCAATCTAGGGCTCCACTCATGAAGAAGCTTTAAAAACATCGAATAAGGTCCGCATTTCTCGACTTTTCTTAGATATCCGAAAATGCTCAATTCCTCGTAAGTCATACCCATGTCGATTTCATCAGACTGCACATAGTCTTTTGTGATAGGTTCTAGTTCTGCAGTTGGTGTTGCTGTCAAAAAGTCGTCCAAAATTGGCATTTCAAAAGTCTTGGAGGCGTAAGCAATAAACCGCTTCAAGTCCGTTTTTGAAATGCCACCAATTGGATTGATGTCCGCTGAGGAACAATCATACTTTGTCAAATATCCTCTCAAACATTCGTCAACGTTAGCACTACCCAAGACCAGAAGACTACCAGCGTTCGAAATACGACGAATCCATGGAAGAAGCTGAGCAAACAAATACGCCAAAACCATACGCAGACGAGCTTGAATGTTCTGTAACGCCAAATTTTCGATCTGCGATCCTCCAAAAATCTTGAAAATTGGTTTTCTTCCGGTCGTTACTTCAAATAAACTTACGACACTGCTAACCAAGCTGTCCATGTTTAGATCGACATGATAGGACGAGATTTCTTTGGCAAGCTCGCGGCTTCTGGATCTCGTGTCCTTCGAAGAGTTTTCTGTACCCATAAAGCAGGTGTAGAATAGAAGACCAGCCAGTTCCTGAGGACTTTCTGGAACCCAGTCAGAGTCCTTGCGCGAAAGTTTCCTAGCATCTGCTAAGACTTGTAGATTGCCTTCGCGGCATTCTTTGACTACTAGGCGGCACATAGAATGAACAATGACAGCTGTAGCACATGAATCAATACCTCCGGAAAGCGGTAAGAAAAATCCGGTACCATTACAGCGTCTCAAGTAATCCCACAACCAGCATGCAGGGCCTAGAGCAATTTCTTCTTCTGGGGTATGATAAAAGATAGGTCTCTCCTTGGAGGGCGCGATTTTTGGATCAAATCGGTTGGTCATGGGGGCGAGCTCTTCATCAACTTCGATTCTCTCGTATTTCACGTCGCTGGCGGAAGCTTGCAAGCCACGCGATAAAATAGAGGCCCTGTGGTTTCTCACTTCCTCCAAATCAACAGTAGCAGTAACAACTTCGACGTCCTTGAGGCAGAACTGACTTCCCTGGGCCACGACTTTCCCATTCACGGCGATCAGGGCGCATCCATCGTAGTACAGACGGTCCCCATCACACCCACGCTGGTTGGCGTAGAGGTACACGCCACCACAACGGCGAGTGGCACTTGTGATCAAATCGAGTCTGAGATTTAGTTTCCGCAACTCGTGATGAGAGCCAGAAGAATTGGTGATTATTTCGACTCCGTCAAGAGACATCGCGATGTGGGGTGATTGTGGTGTAAAGAGCTCCTCGCAAGTTTCGGCCCCTATACAGGTGTCGAGTGTACGTATCACAGCGTCTCCAAACGGCACGAATCTCTGGCCTGTGATTTTCTGGATCAAGGGAGGCAGCAGAAACTGCTCTACATGCGACGTTTTCATCCAAGGCGTGAAAAACCGCATTTCCCGATAGTTTCCATCGTTTGCCAGCCAGATCTTGGGCCTGATGAACAAAATCTGTCCATTTAGCGACAACAGCCGGCAGTTGTACCGAACGTTTTTATGCAAGACGGGCATCCCGATGTCCAGCAGTATCTCGTGTGTTTCTGGCGCCCTAATGATCTGAGCATACATTTCCCACGAGTGCAAATACACGTCATTTTCCAGGAAATGGTCTAAACATCCATAGCCAGTAATCTCAAGCTCTGGACCAACTCTAAGCCTTGCACCTCTCTCTTTGGCTATTTTGATGGATTCCAAGATCCGATCTCTGTTTCCTTCAAAGTCGAGAGCCCATTGGTTTAAGTTACAGGTAGCTAGTGTTATTAAGTGCGACATTGGGCTGTGGTAAAGCTCACAATTGTTGGGTGTGTTGAGAGGAGATTCTTGAGATGAGATGAGTCTTATGTCTTCTAGCTTATCATCAATCTAGTCTATATTAAAGTACTCATGGAATGTACTCATGAACTATACTCGCGTTATATACGCAGCCTCACAACTCACCATACAGCTCAGCATAACCTATCACTCTCTAATCTCCTCGTCCCCCGTTCTCCATCATTCAAGCCTCCGATGCGTACGTAGCTCTTAGTCGTTCTTGTAGATGTTCTGCCGCTGTAATTGTAGTAGCTGGTTTTCCCTTGGAATGCTCTGCAACAAGCTTACTTGGCACTGGCACCAGCTCTGTAGCGTGCTCTGGGTGCACGAAAAACACTATTGAGTAGCGATCCAGCTCACGGGTCTCACCAGGAGAGAATTTGACGCGGTGGAGTGTGCTTTTCAACACACCGTTTGTCCAATACGACAAAAGATCGCCGAAATTGACCACCAGTGGAGGTGCTAGGCCCTTATGCTGCGAGCCCACGAACGGAACCTCAGTCCAGCCCTGTTGTGCGTCTTTTTCGCAGTCTCCCGTCTGCAATTGCAGTCCCTGTTGGCCCTCGCGTTGGAACAACAGCGTTAGAGAGCCGTAGTCCGTGTGAGCACCAGCTCTAATCGTAGCATCATAGCTGTCAGCGTCCACCGCGTCACTTCTAATCAGTGGGTACCGCAACATTCTGAAAACACAGCCACTGGCTTGGTCGGGCCGGTGTTTTTTGGTGAAGAAGTCTGGGTCTTCCACCTCCAGGCCCTGGCTCATCACTTGCAAGATTCGCATCGCTGTAGCATGTAGTTTGCGAGAAGTCTGCGAGATCAGCTCGCGATGCGCTTCGAACATTTCAGGAACGGCGTTTTCGTGGTCCTCTGGCGTGCGGGCACGCCCATTAAACGCAGCGTCATCCTGGTTGAAGGTTCCGGTCTTGAAGTTGATATTACCAAAATTGAAAGCCTCTTTGAAATCCCAAGCCTTGCGAGGATCAAGCTGCTCGTTCGTGAAATGCGTGTACCCGATGTTGTTGGACTTTATAGCGTACTGATTCTTGACATCCTCTGGAGTCTCTGTGAAAAAGCGTTTGGACAATGCAAACAGAGCATCTACTTCTTCTTGGCTAAAGTCGTGGCCGTCCACGAACAGGAATCCTTGTTGTCTCGCAGCTTCGAGCAAGGGCCCGCTTATACTGGCAGTTGGTTGGGAGATGTCCACAACTTTGAGTGGATTAGACATTGACGATGAAGATGCTAAGCGTATCTGGAATCAAACTGGAAGCGAGACCAGAAACAGGCTGATTGACGTCTATTAGACGGACTTTTATTTTGTTGTTCTACTGATTAAAGACATTCATTTTATATACAATAGATACGCTAGCTTTTGTTGACTTTTAGCAGGGCGCGTTAGCGTCGGGAAAATATGATGATGATTACATAGCTGATGACACCATAGCTGATCATACCATAGCTGATCATACCATTCCAACACCTTTACTGGCACATCCGCTTCGGGTGTTTTAGGCTGGTGTTTTGGTTCAAATCTAACATATTAAGTTCACCAATCACCCTCCGTAAGCGTTGCTGAAGACTTCTCTGATTTCAGCAATGCCAAACCGCTCAAACAGACATAACTGTAATAGAATTCTGCTTTTCTCTGGGTTCAAAAACCCGGACGCAATAACGTTACTTCTGGCGCTGGCTGGATCTTGTTTAGGCATATTTGCCTTGGGAACCATCCCATCCATTGATCTTTTCGAGTACACGACGGGAATTGGCAATTCCTGCACGACATCGTTGACAGCAGACGGCAGGGAGCCAGCCCCCATCGTAGCAATCACCAAACCCGCACATTTGTTGCCCACTAATTTCACCAGCTCCGGTGACAGCGATTGGTGGCCATACAAAATGTGGACGATAGGAAACGCAGCGGAGGGGTTCTGAACGCCGTCTTTGGCAAGGTCTTTGACACTGTCTTTGACACTGTCTTTGACACTTGCCAGTGCACCGCTCCAACTTTTGCTGGAGGCGTCGTCGCCAGGCCACAGTCCAAGCTTGAACTTATGGCACACTTCGGGCTTGACCGGTGGCCAGTAGTAGTGGACCTCGTTGTTCACAAAATTGCCCAGATAGCCCTGACGGACGTTGAACGAGTCCAGCGTATTGGCGTTGGTCTTGGTGATGTAGTAGCCAGCTGAGATTTGGTCGTTGAGCGACACCAGCACACCGCGGCCCCGCGACCGTTTGTCCGCCGCTATGCAAATTGCCTGGTACAAGTTCATGGGCCCATCTGCAGAGACACTCGTTGAGGGCCTCATGGACCCCACAAACACTAGTGGCACGTCTCCAGAGTCGATGGTGCTCTCGATGAAAAAAGTTGTCTCCGCCAAAGTATCGGTTCCGTGAGTGATCACAATACCGTCAAACGTTTGCAACGCTGCAGATATTCCATTGTATATTTTGAGTAGCGAATGCTCGTCGATTTCTTTGGAGTCAACATTACACAGTTGTTCGTAGTCGATATCGCAAATCCTCGAGATATCAGGAATCGATTCCAAAAGCTGTTGAATAGTCAAGTCGACATGGTATCCCGCAGTGTGTGACGACGAGGCTCCCTTTGACGCAATTGTTCCTCCGGTACCAAAAATCTTGATCTTTGGCAGCTTTTTCCCAGCATGTTTGAGGTCCGGTTCATCCTGCTCGCTGCGCTCATGTCCTGAAGACAAAAGTATAAACTTGGACGACTCCAAGTCTGCACATATAGTGTTGATCTCAATGTCGTTGTTGGGCATTGTAATCGGGCCTTTAACCTGTAAAAGGAGCGCTGTTGATGATCGTCTTCGAGTTCAGCGAGCGATGAGCTTGAACTAGACAAATTGTCAATTTTTCACACCCATGCACCAGGAGGGCTTCGCGACAGTGACAATGACAATGACAATGACAGCGACAGTAGCAGGGACAGTGACACTTACAATGGACCTTTAAACAATGCTAAATACTTAGGACATTATTCTACGGTGTTGCCATAATTATAGATTTTTGGAAAATTTATCCGGGTCTTGTACGGCTTCAGGAAGACCTTGCTTATATTCGTTTCTACTTGCGTCCAGACGGCTCTAGACGGCCCTGTCATCACCACAACGGGACGACGTTACTCCAGTCGTGCCGTCTTCTTCTTTCCCAGTAGCTATCAGGACCTGAGATCAGTTCCCAATGGTTATTCGAAACCTGATGGAAATATTGAGGCAGAGAGTCTTTGCCATCGAGACGTCTGATACGCTGCTGCTGCTCGAGTTCAAGTTTCAAACGCTCGGCCTCAGCAACATCACCGTTCTCGTATAGACGCAAATCCGGTCTTAATCTGGAATCTGTAGCAGGAATGTTGTCTTTTTCCATTTCCGTAATTTCGTTCAAATTGGCAGTGAATTGCGTGAAACCGTATTTCCGCTCTTGACGCGGAACCAATTGTCCTGCCTCCCAAATCTTGGCGCCAGTGTGCGAGTTTGTGATGCTCTTGGTCCAGTCACCCTTTAGAGTCGCGACTTGCATTGAGCCCCGATGGATGACAATCAATAGCTCTTCAGAGCGCCCGCTGAACATTCCTGCAGCCTTGAAAGCAACTCTGGCTTTGACGTTGTGAGAAGACACCACTTCCATGTGGTTGGCAGGTTCCACGTATCGCTCCCCAGCAAATAAGTTTTTCAAAATCGTAGTAGGTTGCGACCATTCGTACCTTTCTCCGGTAGACTTAAAGGTTAGCTTGAGCTCGCCCTCGTTGACGAATTCAATCGATTTACCCCAAAACTTCTGTATAGGAGAGACAGAATACGAAAGCTCCCACTCTGCGTGATCCACGTGGAAGGCAAATATCTGAGGTTTGTGCGAGACCTTTTCTGCAATCAACCTCATACCTTTATCCTCTCGAACCAGTTCGAAAGTCTCACCCAGAAGCGGGTTGAATGGTTTCCGCAGCGCCCGTGTTTTGCTTCGATGCATCGAAAGATACGAGCATGTAAACGCCGCAACCAAGGCCATTCGATGAACCTCGTCTGACGTGGCAGCTGCTTTATTGAGAAGCTCTGAGTACTCGAACGTTTCCGACAACATTTGCAAAATAGTGATGGGTTCGTTCGATGTAATGGGCATCGATATGGATGTCAAGTCTTTGCCAACATTCTTTCGTAAAAATGATAAGAGACTGGGGGGTGTAGAGGTCGCTTCCGGAACATCGTTCCTGCGCACAATCTTCTTGGCGTGAGTCAATGGGTACAAGTCTCCACCTGAGGGCGCAGGAACACTTTTCTGCACAAATTTCGCATCATACTTGGAGGAATTATCGTCATCATTGTCCTCCGTTCTGCCAGTATGGTCATTCTGCGACAACAGTAGCGCATTAACGCCCTCTTCGTCATTCAGCATGATTACACCATCAGCAGATTCTGGTTCAGACTCATTACTTAAGTTGTCGTCTTCTGCGTCATAAAATTCGTCACTGAAAATGGAGAAGTCATCTGGAGGCATACTTTTGCCAAGTAAGTTGGTACTGTAATTCAGCCATTGCCGTACCAGGTCCTCCACCTCACCCAAATCTCTATAGAGTTGATGTTCCAAAGGTAACTGTTGCGGCTTTTCGGATTGATTATCAGAAGGCGTATGAATAGCCTCACTTGAAATGTTTTTATGCTTCCCGAAGATATGTGACAGCGAATGTGTTGAGGGTGTGCGGGATACAGAGCTTGCTTGCCCGCTAGATCCTGCTGCGGCCTTCACGTCTTGCACGGGTGGATAGTAGCTCAGTGATTTCGCGCGACATTGATCTAGTTTCTGCTCGATAATTTTGAGACCACTTAGTAAAGTTGTAGGGTCTGAAGACTCTGCCAATTGATTGGTTGCCGAAGGCTTCTTTTCCTCCTTCTTGTAGCAGTCCTGGAGGGCCTTGATCCATTCACTCCATGAAGACTCGTCTTTGGCCTTTAAAACCCAGATCTCCATCCCGGAATCGATGATAATCAATCTCGTCATTTTGTTGGCACTGACTGTCGCTAGGGGAATCACAATTTCGCCTCTGCAAACGTTGTTGTGCTCGTTGAGGTAATACGAAAATGCCTTGTACTTGAGGTCTAGTTTGAAGAACCTTTTGGTGAACCCTTGCAGCTTCTTTCTTCTCTTTTTCAGCATGTAGCCTTGTAAGATGCGGCCCTGTTTGACACGAACCAGCTGGGAACGGGACCTGTGGATGGGGATTTCGGGACCTTGCGTTTTGTTCTCCACACCAAGCAAAATCTTCTTTTTCGCGGTTTTGGACGCCGTGTTGTCGAGAACAAAGGCATAGTACCCGTCTTCGTCAGCCTGAACGTTCCCCTCGACAAACTCATTGCCCGGAATGGTGCCCAGCCATTTGACCTGAGTGAAGCCCTGTGCGGTCAATTTTTTGTCCAGTGGAATGTCCTGGGTTAAATGCTGGACCGCAGAGATGGTCTTGGAACGGTTTCTCTGCGTAAACTCTTCCGTCGACGAGTTACTCCGGTTTAGGGCGTAGTCCAATAGTGACTTGGTGTCGGGCGCAATATGCAGACTGCCGAGTTTACCCACGGGTTTGCCAGATGGTGAACTACTCTCGCTGTTCTTGGCATTCGTTTCACCATTTTGCTCGAACGTTTCGTTGTTGATGGCCGTGTGTCGCCTATAGATCCCAGCGTCCACTGACCTTTTCAAAGGCTTTAATTGGAAAGTAATGGTGTCGCCTTTACTGACTTTGAGCCATCGCACCACAAATGATCTATTCTGAACGTCTATTGCCTCCATTATCTGGACGAAGTCGCTGCAATTGAGGGTTGCTCGGAGTTTCCGCGAACCTTGAAACTGTTAGAGTTCCCATGTTAACTAGCTTTTGAGTATGGACTGAGTGGTATTCTCAATACAAACTTTCGTGTCACGTGACTAGCTGGTAAAACCACGATGGTTAGGCTTATTCCAGAGCTGGAAGTCTGCTTGTGAACGTCATTAGCAGCAGCTTTGATTCACAGATCCTTACACTTTAGTTTCTGCTGTCCGATGAGTGTTTTTTCTTTGTTTTTGAGCTATAAGAGAGTATTAATTTGGTCAACTTCATGAAAAACATAGTGTTGTATACATACAATCAAGCATAAAACTCTATTGAATTCGACAATTGCGCGCCTCTGCCAGCTTGAAACTTACTACACGCTCAGGCTGCTGGCTTGTTGGTGTGAAATTGAGCTAGCAAGGATAAAAACCGATCAAATTCCGGCAGGCCCGGTTGTTCTGCGATGGAAAACCCATATGAACAGGTTCAGCAGAGCATCTTGGCTCGAATCGTCAACAACTTAGAACGACTGAACGAGAGCGTTGTTACATTGAACCACGAGCTGCAAAACATCAACGCCCGTAACAAAAACCTGCAATTGATGGGCCAGATGTGCGAGAACTATCACAAGAGCGTCCAGTTCAACATGACCGCGACTAACCACAAGCGAGGGCCACTATAAAGCACCGCACGCTGTGCGTGCGTGGGTCCTCTTACCCCTGCTTTGCGTTGCTCTGCGTTGCTTTACATTGCCTCGCAGCAGCCTCTACAATTCAGCAGACTTGAAAAATAAGTGATCTTTTCAATGCCGTTTATTCTTCTGCACAAATATTATAATATACATCTAAATGGAGTCCCACAGCACCCTCACGGGCCACCTCTTGTTCAGTTGGGGATCATGCCGAATCTCTTTTTCAACGTCACTCTCTGTCTGGAGTACTTGTCGTCGGGAGAAAATCTGGCAGGGTGCGCAGACTTGGTGATTTCGCCCTCCTCGGTCAGCTTCTTTAGCGTGTACACACGCTTGCCATCAGGGCCCAAAGTGTACATCAAATGCATGGCTGTAGGTGATTCAACTGTGTGAAAGATGCGGTGTTCACTACAACTATTCTTCAACCGATGAGCAGAGAGCATCTCATCTGTAGTTTAAAATTTTCCAATTTCTCGAATCTCTACTAAAAACGAGCACTATATACGAGTGCTTAGGTAATATAAATATGATTGATGTGTTGATAGCACTATTCACGAAAATTGGGTCAAGAAATTGACATTTTTTAAAGAACTCCAAAGGCCTAACTTTGAGAACTTTTGACCACATCTGTTCATAAGGCTTTTGGCCTTACAGTCAGCATAAATTACATGGCAGATCCATTTGCAAACCTCTTTTCTACTTTTAAAGGTGGAGAAAAAGACGTCGATACTGAGAAATCGCGACCAGGCGTCGCTTTAAGCTCTCAAAATGTCCCCCATTCCGGATTAGACCGAAAACTCTCGAAGAACACTGAACTAGACGAACTTTTCGAGTCCAAAACCGTGGCTAGTAGCAAAAAGACTGTTGCAGACGATTTGGATAGTGCGTTTGAAATGTTCAATTCCCCACCGCCGCCTCAATTGCCAGAGGCATCGATCGAAGCCGTGACACAGCAGCAACAGACGCCTACGCCTGAACCGTACATAGTGGACGAAGTTAAAGACATGGAAATCGCCAAACTCATGTCGCTTGGGATGGATTGGGAAAAGGCTGCCAGCCACTACGATCGGGGCATTCTATATGACCGTCTTGTAGAGAAAAAAATCGCCAGAAAATCCGCTGCGAGACAGGCCAACCCTATACCGTCAGAGGAGCCAGATCTGTTCTCCCTAGCGTCTGGTTGGCTAAACAAGGGGCGAACGTTTTTGGACTCTACGTTTAGACAGCCTTCGGACTCACAATCTGTGTCCTTGAGCCAACAAATTGCAGCCCGGTCAGAATACAGCAACAGTCCTTTCCTACGCAATTCCTCCACAAACTCGTCCACGTCCAATGTGTTCGGAAGAGACTCATCGACAGATAATCGGTCGTCATCACCAGTGCCAGCTCTCCCGTCTAGACCGTCTAGACCGTCTAGATCGCCAGGATCGCCAAGAACTAACAGCCCAGCCCTATCCGAGAAAAGCGACTCGTTGCCAGCTTCCTTGGTTGACTTTGAGGCGCCAGCTAACGTTCAACAGAACGAAGAGGAAAAACTACTGGATTTCGATTCGCCGGCCAAACTCCGACAGGAAAATGTCACCCTTAGCGCGCACCTTTCGCCTATTGAGCTCCACAGTTACCAAGAGTTCAAAAACAAGGCATCTAAGGCTTTTGTAGCCGGTGACTACGATTTAGCCTTGCAGAACTATGAAAAGACGAATAACACTTTGCCTGCTGGCCATCCTTGGCGCACGGTCTCATTGTCGAATATGATTGTCTGCCAACTGAAACTGGGACAATATCGACATGCGATCCAAGGCGCATCTGAAGCATTGGTTGGGATACCCTCACAGGACCTGGATCAGGAAATTCCGTCAATGGTTCCAGTGAAAACTTACAAAGATATATGGACGAAAGTTCAATCAAACAAGGCAGAAGCTCTCGAAGCAACGGAAGACTACAAAAACGCTTTTGCAACTTACCAACTACTGATCGAGAAAGGGATGGCATCCAAAAAGATCCTAGATGGCAGGTTACGCTGTCAGAAAGTTTTGGAGCCTGAGAAGTTTAAAGCGCCTCCACAAACAAGAACTAAAATCAAATCGGTGACTTCCAATGCTAGCTCTAGGTCCCCTTCAACTTCAGTGCCACCCAATTCCACACAGTCCCAAACTCAACAAACCAGCGAATTAGAAGAACAAAGATTTCTCCTGCATGACAAAGTTGAGCAGCGAGTTTTCTCATGGTCAAGCGATTATGAAAACAACTTACGTGAGTTACTTTCACGACTACATTTGATTTTGGATTGGTGTGACTGGAAAGAAGTTCCTTCCTCGACGTTGGTCATGCCCAAAAAAGTGAAGATTACTTATTTGAGGGCTGCCGCCAAGACGCACCCTGACAAGATACAAGAATCATGGCCTTTGGAAAGAAAAATGATTGCAGAACATGTTTTTGTAATTTTGAGTAAAGCCTGGGAGCTTTTTAAAGAGGAACATAACATTTCATGAGGTTCCTAGCTTGAAAAATCCCTATGAGGTGTGCTTTGCATCAAACGTTAATTAATGTGAGTTCCATTCGACAAAAGCAGTCTACTTATTCTCATACCTTTTAGCATACAAACCCAGGGCTTTGATGGGAAACAAAAATTTATAACTGGCGTATTCAATGGCACATGAATGGTTGAAGACACCCTCGGGTGCGTCGAAAAACCATTCACCAGTGGCAGACTGTTTGTCTTTCAAGAACTTGATACCTTTATCAATGACTGTCCGATCGGGGTATTCTGCTAGTAGTAAACCAACCAGGGCCCATGCAGTTTGAACGACCAAAGATTTTTCTGCCTCCACGTAAGTGTGAAGCTCGCTGGACTTCATAGACTCACTCCATCCACCATCTGCTCTTTGTTTGGAGACTAAAAAGTCGCAGGCCCTCTTTGCATTACTTGAGTTGAGGTAATTCTCTCCAACAGTGCTGAAGGCCTCCAATGCAAACATGCCTGCATAGGTGAAGCAGATTCCCCAGCATCCGTACCAGCTTCCATCTTCCCTCTGTGCATTTTTGATATATCTAATCGCAATGTTAATGGCATGCTCTATTTCGCTCTTACGATAGGTGTAGTATTTTGTGAAGTAGGTCAATCCCAAAATCGACGAGTCTGTACATTCCACATATGGAAACTCTACCATGATGTTTCCAAAGACCTCGGCAGGATTGAGCTTTTCCATAGCTGTCGTTGCTCTTATTTTCTCGTAGGTAGCAAAGGATCCATATTCGAATGATCCAGTGTTTTGAAGACTTAGAAGAACATCAATGGCTTTTGCAAGTCTTTTATCTGAAATCTCATTCTTTAGATCTTGGAACGCAGCGGAGTTCTTGACCATAATAATAGCTTTGAGGGCTTCTGCTGTACAGTCAGATACAGTGTACCCTTGAGTCTTAGTAGAGAACGGCCATCCGCCAACCCTGCTATCGCGATAACTTCCAGGTACACATTCCGTATCGAACTGTGTCCTACAAAGAAATTTGTATGCAGCCTCAATAGTCGAATGGAACTCTGGATTTTCTGCCAGTCCGGCTATGAAGTAGTACTGAATTGCAAACGCACAATCCCACGTCTGAGCACCATTCGTTCCCATAACGGTCATGCCGTTGGGCCCCATAAACAAGACTTCATTGAAACCTTGTACAAAGCGATTAAACTCATAAGAGTCGCGTCCCTCTTCCGCCAAAGTGACGACAGCACAAAATGCCATATTTACGGGAGCAATGCACAGGTAATCAGTATTCTGAATTTCCTTCTTTATCAGGTCATAGGCTCTTTGGTTGCTGTATTTCGCGACAAAGCTGGGCCTCAGATACTTCCCGTAAAAGGTCAGAACACTATTCGCCAAGTCCAAGAATTTGGTGTGGGGATAGTACAAGTCAACATTGCACACGGTATTGCGGTGTTGACAGAAATCAATGGAGTCGAAATCTTGTAGGTAGATCTCGCCTCGTATTTCCTGCAGAAGTGGCGTCAGCGTGCACGAGTACTGCACCGATGCTAGGTATCCAAGCGCTAGAAACACTGCCCTTGTGTGAACCCACCATTTTCCAGGGTGGATTGGGAGCGCATAAGGCAGTAGCCAAAGCTCGGGGGGCACAGGATTGACCCCTTCCCACTTGTATAAATTTAATATTGAAAGCCAGGATTTTCCCCAGTGAGGAGCACCGACGGCACCACCTAAGCGGTGCAAAGTCTTGCGAGCCCTCTGGCACACTATGTGGTCTGCTGGAAGACCTAGGAGTCTCAGAAGGACATAGTTGATGGCCGTTCCGAAGGCAGTAGATTTGTCCACCTCGTGGAGACCCCATCCGCCGTCGACTGGATGAGCGCAATTGACTATGTACCGCAGCAGTTCAATTCTCACAGGATCCGGAATTGGTATACCGGCACAGTACATGGTTCCCACGTAGCCCACGGTCAAAAACATGGGTCCTTTGTACTGACAAGGAAAGATGCCCGATTTTGGGTCTTGGAGCAGCGAAAAAAAGCGGGCACCTTGTACAGCCGCCTCATAAGCGCTCGATTCCTCTTTTTTGATAGGTTCTGGCTCCTGAAAGTCGGGATTTCTCAGAAGATGTTTGGCATAAGAGGACTGTTCATCGAGTTCCGCAGCTTCTTCAGTCAAATATTCCCACTTTTCACTACCTAAATTGTCAACCCTGAGCCTCCAAAGCGCATGATTGGTTTTGGGCAGTCCCAGTTCGTCTGAATACAGCATTTTGATAAAACCTGGCGCCTTCTTAAAGCTAAATTGGATGAAGATGGTAGAAGATTTCCAAGCTTTCAAATAAACGAGCTCTTAATATACGCACTCTATAAACTCATCACCAAAAAACAAACTGTCGAAAAACGGCATGTTGAAGCTTCTGGATAACAGACGATATCTGTATTTATATCCTTGCATTCTTCTGCAAGGGATTGCGGTCAATTTGGTGGTAAAATCGTCTCAATTAGAGCATCAGAAGGACACTGTTTATATCCTTTCTTCTGGCAACTGGATCAATCAAATATTCGCATACCGCGGCAATCTGATCTGGACTGTTGTGTATATAGCATTAGCATGTTTTCAAATTCATCTGCAGCTATCAAGAGAGGGTTTTCTGCCGCTGGACCCTCGCAGCGAGAGCGAGCGGAATAAGAAAACCTTGTTCAAAGCTGTAAAGCCTTATGTTGCCAAGTTAGTCCTGAAAAATTTAGCCCTGCTGGTCGTCTTCCTTGTCATTGATCGCGTTTTTGTCTGGACTGGGGGATCCTGCTCCACTAGCAGCACGAAATCCGCAGAAAAATGTCGGAAACAGGGCGGGCGATGGGAAAACGGATTCGATGTCAGCGGACATTTCTGTTTCCTCACGACGGTAAGCTTGATACTTTGGCAGGAGCTGCGCCTTGCATTCCAGTATATGGCTGCTAACGAAATCAATGGCAGAAGCTCGAGAACGTGGCTCGCTTTGCAGTCGACCACTTTGGCAGTGCTTATTGTGTGGGCATTTATCTTGTGCGTAACTGCGATCTACTACCACACACTGTTGGAGAAGGTTCTGGGGCTTGCCATGGGCTACATTTGTCCCGCAGTCATTTATTGGGTCATTCCCAACAATCAGAAATTGAGTTCATTACTCTACTAATGCATCCAATCGCTTGGGCAAGTCAAGCACCGGTCCCAGCAGCGTTGTAGTCCAGTTATGCACCATGAGTGGTGTGCAAGAATACGCTACGATGTTATACGCATCAATTTCCAGCTTGAAGCGCGTGGGAAGGCCAGGAATCTCAAAAGATGGCACCGTGCAAGCCGGGTCGGTTTCCAGATTAGAGATCTTGGCATCTTGCTCCAGTTTTCGGAGCGTTTGTAACTTCATAGACACACAAAGCAACGCTTTGTAAACTTTCTTAGCAAATACGTGCACTTGGGGCAGGGTTGTCAATGGGCTATGCTCGCATGTCTGCTCAAAGAGGTCTTCGAGTCCAATGTAGGACGGAATAGTATGTTTGAATAATTCCCAGTGTTGCGAATTTATGCCTTGTTTGAACAAAATGTAGTGAGGCTGCTCAAATGCGCTATCCAGTTCATTAAACACCTCGAGTCTCAACCCTAACATTTGTCTTTTAACTTCCACGATCTCATTACCTTGGCGACTCAGGTCACTGGGATCGACAACTGGGAAATTGCTAATGCCGAAAGCTCGGTAGAATCCCTCCAGTTCGATCTGATGAGCCAATTCTTCTTGTTTTCGACTCGTTGCCACATTTTTGCGCCTCGATGGTGATGTCAAGATGTCCGTACTAATGAGATCCTCCAAGTCGCTATTGAAGAGTTTGTGCTCCACGAGTTTTAGCGATTTCTGCTCCCATTCGGACTCTGAAAGTTCAGACGGAAGAGTTTCCGACCTCTTTGTAGGCAAATCCTGTTTTTTGGCGTTGGAAGATGGAAAAGCTGGTCCATTTGCTACTTCATTGTAAACACCATCGGCCTGCTCTGAGTCTGCAATTGCATCTGGAAACTTGGCAAATACGTCGCTCAAATGACCAGATAAGCCTGGCGTTGATATTTCAACACCTTTGCTAAAATCATTAGTTTTCTTCAAACTTTCCAGCTTCTCTCTCAAATCAGATACTTGTCAATGTTAGTGAGAGTTGAGGATAATTGAGTTTAACTTCGTTTCCATACTTTGTGCTTTTAACGACCTGATTTCGACATGATGAAGTGTCTCATCCGTCTCTTGAGATTGTTCATCCGTCATGCCAGATAAGTTATGTCTGATAGCTGAATCGTCACTTAACATTTTGTTATTTAGTAGAATTGCAATCTAGAACCAAGCGAATAATCTTGCATTGATGTTGTATCAACTACAAAGCGCTACTCTATATAAAAACAATTGATGCAATTTATAATATCATATTCAGTTGGCTAGAATGTAGAATATATGCTAACTTGTCTGACCGGCTCTTGCTCAAGCTAATTTGTCGATCTGATCACTTTTGATGACTTCGACAAAACTGTCGCTGTCGCCAGAAAACAGCGAGTTTATGGCGACAACATATGCAACTTTGTAGGCCGGGACTACATATCCAATCAGTGGAGAACAACAGCGCTGGTAAGCTATTTTAGCACAGATTTCGCTGAGTTTGGTTTTGAGTCCGAACTTGGATAAATCTCTGACAAACCTGACCTTGTGCTCTAGACAACTTCTTTTCAAGCGATAAATGGCGAAAAACGTTTTAGGAACAAAAGCTGGTTTTGGTGATTGTAAACTCGGCTCGTGTGTGTTCTTGGCTTGGGAATGTGAGCCTACAAGTGGGCCAGGTCTCAGGATAATTAATTTATCCAGCCCTGTCACTTTGGTAGCCAAATCTTGTTCCAAGCTCAGCTTGATACGGAAGTATTCGCACGTAGAGCTGAGAAAATAGTTATTGAAACTCGTTATAACTATGGCTTTCTTCTTGACGCTGACAGCTTTGCTCTGACTGAATATTTGGATCATTTGCATATTCAGGTCATGGTCTACAAACCCACGCGAGATCTTCGATGCTCGCTCCTGAAAGCTCGTAAAGCCCAATGCTGACAAAATGGTACCTATTTGTTTGATGGGTGGAAAGGTCCATAGAATGGTCTGCTCGAGTTTTTTAGTGACTACGCTGGCAGCAGTGGGTTCTTCGCCAAACAAGGTTGAAAATAGTTTTGGCCATTTAAACGAGTCCTTCTCGATCAAGGTAACCACATTAATTTTAAGCTCTATTATCAGCGTATGACGACAAGATTCTCCGTGTGTATCTTGCAAATTTTCATACGTCAACCGATAACAATATTGTTGAACCTGTACTTCGATGGCGGCATCGAGATTTTGTTCCTGGTGATTCGGTAGCTCCAAAAATCCCACACTTTCCACTGGCTCATCGCAATGGAAATTCTCGCTTTTGCACAAAAGTTTTGAGCCCTTATAAGCGAGTGAATGTTCCCAAGCCGAATTGTGTTCCCCTAGGCTTCCGGCACTTCCTGTTGCTAGAGGTTTGCGTGTAAAACAAAATAAGTTCTTGATTATCTCGACGGTTTTCTTGCGGGTCAAGACGTTGCAGAGAGGTGCTTTTGGTCTCTTGAAGAAGTGGCTATTTTTTTCAGGCTTTTCGATGGGGGAGCACAAAGCGTCTACTTTGCGTTGTACTTCGTTTGTAGAGCTCAAATAAATCCAGGGTTGTGTCAGATTGGCAATAATAAGAGAACCGGTCAGGCCTGTACTTCCCAAAACCACGGCATTGTCGACCGTACGGTGTTTGGAAAGACTCAAAAGGTCACCTTCCAAACTTTTCGCAATTTGTACCAAAGAAGTCGGACTGGATGAAATCAAAATCTGGTCATGGCTAATACCTCTTGAACGCCCCATTCCAGCTTCGTGACGGCTTTTAAAAATATTCCCAGTTCGTTCGCGCAAGCGATTTCTAAGAGCGTGCTCCTTCGATTCAGAAGTTTGGACTTGGGAGGACATGCCAAGTTGAATTAAGTACTGGAATTAAGTAGTTGAAGAAGTCAAGACAGTTCTGAGTTCTTAAGATCTGAGATGACTGACACAAAGCTTGACACAAAGCTTACCGTTGACAATTTTATCATTATAATGATTATGTGACACTGTAGATTCGATATAATTATATACGTTGCTGTCACCACACTGATGCTTAGTGAAGATATCCAAGTTCCCCAGCTGATCGTTTCGAGGTAGTTTTTGAACCACGATATGTGAATGAAGTTATTATCAGTGGAGCTGTGTGGTTTACCCATCCTCCGCCACAACTGCATTTTATGTTGTTCGTCCGAGCTTCTTTGTACAGTTCTGATAAGTTGTAATTATGGTGAGAATAAGAAATCGAGAAAACGGGTTTGTAGCGGTTGTCACCCAAAATTGAGCGTCTGGGTAGGATTTTGGGGCATGGATCATTCAATGAGGAAGTAGCGAATGTAGACATTAGCGGGTTTATTGAATAAACTAGCCAGATCTGTAGAAAATCGTGATGACAACAGAGCTTTAAAATATTGGGTAAGATCTTGCCAAGTGCCAAGCAAGCGCAGCCTGAGTGAAAAATGAAGGAAACCATCAGCAATTGATAGTCTTATTTAGCTTAGGAGGCTTTCGGGAACATTTTTGAAAATTGTTGATTTCTGGACGAGGATCATTTTCCCGTACATTAGGGTAAACCCCGGCAAACTCATACTAACAAGGAGATTTTACCTTGATTTTTCCAACCATGACTAGCCTTGCAGCCTATATAAATCGTGGTGTCAACTTTGTTATACGGAAATCACAGTGCAAGAGAGCAAAATTGACTGTCGATTTGATCGTAAGTAGCGTCCGAGCAGATTGATCTGAACTTGAAACTGGGCGTTTCCCTGCGTTATACAGTCTTTTTTAGCCATAATTCGACCCCGTTTGGTCGCCAGTCTTCTCGCGAATCAAGACCGTTCGTTCAAATCTTCACTCAACATGCTGGCGCTCACTATCTTCTCACAATGATAAGAGCCTCAAATTACTCAATTTTTCAACAAGAAGCGGATTTAGCTCAGTTGGGAGAGCGCCAGACTGAAGACAACTTCGGTCACTGTAATCTGGAGGTCCTGTGTTCGATCCACAGAATTCGCATATCTTTTTTTGCAAGATCAAAGAGCATGCAGACTTGGTACGCAACCGATACAAGGAATCGTGGTGTTGTACCAACAGCATTTAGCAGTCCATATTATTTCTTATTTGATGGTAATTACTATCGAGCTATGTAACCTTTTGTTTGGAAGGGATGTTGTTGAGTCCGATTCTAGATCACGAACTCTCTTCCTACTACAGCTGTCTTTTTCCACAACCTCGTTGTGAATGTGTTTATCGCACCATGCCGTGAGATCCAAATCAGTTGTGAACAACTCATAATCAAGCTTGTTCAAACACCAGCGTTCCATCGTGGATATGTCTTTACAAGACAATCCACTTATTTTTTGCCACGACGCCATTGAGAATGACTGGTCATTAAGAAACTTGTGAGCCAGGATAAGGCAGCACAGATAAACGCGTTTGGAGCATCTGGAAAACTCGGGCAAGTTGGTAATCGAGTCCAGCTTGCGGGTGTACAATTTGTGGAAGTAGAAAATGGACAACAAAACGATCTTCTTGGAACATTTGGTGCGTTTGATGACTTTGGTCAAATATGCCACCAGGTGCGGCTTGGTGTTGTTGACGCGGTGGTTGGAAAACTTCGACGTCAAGGCAGACAACACGGTTGCGACCTGGTTGACCAAAACGCCCTGTTTGGAAAAGCAGGAGGTCCCACTGGCGGTTTCAGACCGTGGCGGCGAGAGAGGCCTGGGGTTCTGTTTGCCCACGGGTGTGGCCTGCGGTGTTGAAAAGGGATGTGGAATGGCAATGTTACTGTTACCACTCGCTAAACTTTCATATTGAGAGCCGCTTGGAGACGCCATGCTGGAACAGAAAAATGAAAATTGGAAATGTTCTAAATTCTAATCGCTTTCACTGGTAAAGCCCGCTAGACTCAAACAATGACGCACATCTTTCGGGATGTGGTGTGCTCAACAAAAAAACAATACGCGGGGAAGATGGAACAATACAGAATTTTCTCGGTCAACTGAGTTGATGATAATGCAATGTGTGATGACGATGAGGTCCCAAAAAAGCTTCAGAAACTCGAAATAAAGGTACCGTGGGGTATAAAATTTTATCAAATGTGAGTCCAAAGAAAAAAAAACCGATTTCTTGATGAACTTAACTGGTCTAATAAGCTGCTTATCCAATAGCTAGGCCAGATCGAATACACCAAATAAAGTAATCTCACAAACACCTTGAATTAAAGCCAGAAAACAATCCTAACAAAAATGTATCAAAAATGTACCGAAAAAAAAGACGATGATGCTAGAAGAAAGATGCTCAAAACTCAAACTGTAAGAACTCTCTGGTAGCTTAGCTTGAAGTCTAATCAGCCACGCAGAGGTTCTCTAGCTTCTCATATAAAACCTTTAAAAATCCAACTTTTAGGTAGTTTTCCCACATTTCCTGTAGTTTATATAGTATTTCGAAAATCTATCAAATATAGAGTATGTACTCATTTTTAATTTTGATCGGTAAAGCCCCCTGAAGTTTCTGAATGTAAAATTGAGTAAATGAGTCAGCCCATTGCCGTCGAGGGTGATCAAAGTGGTGAATCATCATCAGCAGTTAGCATCATCAGACATGATTATGATGATTATGATAATTATGCTGATATGAACGATGCGAGCCACGACTGGGAGACATTGATTTGAGCGGGAATTATGGTGGCGGGCCTCTGTTTTGTTTATTATCTTGTGAGGGTCTTGATATTGAAAAGTTGGTCACGGTGACGGGCTGGTGTGGCCCGTTGGTCTGCAGAAAATACGCATGGAATACCTGCCAGGAAGTAGAAATTCAAGGCGTGAGTGGGAGTGTGTGTGTGTGTGAGAGAGAGAGAAAGAGAGAAAGAGAGACTTTGAAAATGGTGACACACCCGTGTGTAGTGATCAATAACAGAGAGATACAGTGTGTGTGAGAATGTGTATTCAAGCGATGAACGAGTCGGTGGGAGCAGATCGGTTTTGAGGCCGCTGAGAGTGGTGTTGTGTGGTTTTCTGCGACCTCATTCTCTTGCTGTTTTTTTTCTAACTCTTTCCGTCCTCTTTTCGCCGTCGCTTTAAATCAGCTCGTCTGGCAGCTGGAAACTGACGCAGAACATAGGCTTCGTAGGAGCCACCTTCCGCACCAGATGGAATTGTAGATTTTCAAACGGAAGAACAGTATCGTTGGTCTTCGTTATGGTCTTGATTCTGTCGTGCACCCGACGATGCAGCTCCTGCATACTGGGCTCGGGGCTCTCTTCCGCATCGTACTTCTCAAAACAGTGACAATGGATCCAAGGCGCTTGGAAATCAGGCAATTTCTTCAATTGCTCAAGGGTCTCAGGGTATCTCGAGTACAGGCCCACGAACTCGTCCAAAAACGTCAGGGCGCTGTCAGGCAGGTTCATGACGTAGTGGTGGTAAAACTGCGGGATTTGAACGGACTGGGGCTCGGTTCTCTTGGTCTCGCCCGTTTTGGAGTCCTTGTATCTCCTCCCACCTGGGATTACAATACGCGCTTCGGTTTTTTGGCGCCATTCCGCTAGCAAACGAGGACTTTCCCTGATAAAGTCGCGTCCGTCCAGATTTGAAGGTTGCACAAACGAATCCGTTTTGTTTTCGGCAATATTTTCCAACATATACTTGTAGCTCTCCGGGTTCAGATCGTTGGCCAAAACCATGACTTTTTTCTTACCGGCTGGCACGGCAAATGGGCCAACCCCGGCAAAAACATCGCCTACGCATTGTCCCGGCTTGAACTTTTGGATCAATCTGTCGTGCTCTGTGTGCAGTCTAGAGTTCCAGTACACTTTGCTGAAATCGAACTTGAATTTGCAGTTGGATTCGCGTTGTTCCACGACCAGATCGTTCTTCCCTGCCAAGACCTGCATGTGAAAAGTTCTGAACTTGGTTGCAATGGAGTCTACTTTGTCCACTACAGTCTCGATTTTGCTGTTTTTGTCGAGAATCACCTGTCCGATGAGGTTCCCGTAAGGTTTGAATTCATTTCTTAGATTGATATGCGCGATATGCCCAGTGGCTGTGAACCCGGAAGGAATCTCGTCCAAGAATTGTTCAGGCAGAATAGCACGGAAGATCTCCTCAGTTTTCCAAAACGAATAATCCAGAACACACTCGTACGGCTGTGCGATCGCCAAATTGTCTTTCAAAAACTGCTGGGCCTCCGCTGGAAGTTGCAATGGAACTTGGTCCACCTGCGTTACTGATTCTCGCAGTAAAACTCCTTTTCTGATGTGGTTGTCGTTTGCTGGGTTGGACTTTTTCAGCGGTGGTTCTGGATTTTGAGCGTCGGACGTCTCAAGTCGAACTACCCTCGAGATACGGGGGATGTTTAGAACCTCTTGCTTGAATTTGGATGTGAAAAGGCTGATATTCTTGGGATCGGGGAAGTGAACCACGACCATAGGAACCTTGGTGACGAAAAACGATCTATCAAGTTCGTGCATGTCCCGGTTGACAGGAGGCTGGTATTTGAACATGGTGCTGGTAGTTGCAGCAATGGTATGGCTAGACATCATTGATATTTTACGCACTAAATTTCGACCACTTGTGCGCATACAACTCGACACTGACACTTCAGAGAGAAGCTGGATAGGATGTCGATGAGCTACTAATGTCATTTTACACCATGGAACTTTTTCACTTTCGTGACAGGTGATTAGAAGGTCGTCAATTCACGAAGGTTAAACTGCAAACACAGCACGGTGAGATGCCGTTTGAATACTGAAGTTTGGGCTACAAAATGTTTGTGTACTGAATTGAGTGGACTTAGTTTTGTCTGTCACTTTACGCCTGGACCGAGGCACTTTTGATATTTTTGCATTTACTCGTGGTGACATAATAGTACAAAGTGATAACTTAGGAACCAAATGACAAAACAGTCTGCGCTGTAGCAATTGGCCACTGGTGTTAGCTTTTTGTGGGCTAATACTACTACTACTACTTTCTTCGCAGCTCATTCTTTCATTTGAGAGTTGTATGAATTTGCAGCTTTGAAGTGGAGTTCACATTTTTCCAAGAGTCGAGAATGATTTCTTTGAAGTCTTTACTGTATATTCGCAGAACACTGTTAAACATTCTAGCTATGATAGCGTGTCTACATCATTATTAGCCGCCTTGTATTGCCTAGCTGCCAGCGTTCTAATAGAGGGACTCGAAGCTCGAGTACTTCGAGTACACCGAGTACATTTGTACTCGCCTGACTCGCGCTGTATATTAGAAAATTTGACCTATAAGCAAGCGCTCGCGATGAGCTCATGCCAAACATGTAAAGACCCCTCTAAAGTGCTACAATCTATAATGTCTATCGATGTGCTGAGCGTTACAAAGAGACAGGAAGGTTTCCAATTCGTGAATGAGGTCGAATCAGAGTCCGACAGCGACGTCGAAATGACCAATAACGACGAAAAACCAGAATCTAACACGATAGCCAATGACGGAACCATTGTTACGCCTGGAGAGCTGGTCACTGATGATCCAGTATGGATGCGTGGTCATGGCACATATTTTTTGGAAAATCAGACCTACGCCTCCGTGGCAGGAACAGTCTCTAGGGTGAACAGACTGCTATCCGTAATTCCACTACGAGGACGCTATACTCCAGAAACAGGCGACCACGTTATAGGGAGAATCGCAGAAGTTGGAAATAGAAGGTGGAAAGTCGATATTGGTGCCAAACAGCACGCTGTTTTGATGCTCGGCTCTGTCAACCTCCCAGGTGGTGTACTGAGAAGGAAATCGGAATCCGACGAGCTTCAAATGCGCAGTTTTCTTAAAGAGGGCGATCTTCTGAACGCCGAGGTTCAATCTCTGTTTCAAGATGGTAGTGCTTCTTTGCATACAAGATCGCTCAAGTACGGAAAGCTAAGAAATGGTACTTTTCTTCAAGTGCCCAGTCCCCTGGTAGTACGTTCCAAGAAGCACACTCATAACCTACCAGGAAATGTGACAGTTATTCTGGGTGTTAACGGCTTTGTCTGGTTGCGGAAAACCTCAGAGATCGACACGGCTAACAATACATCTAGCGTGGCCGGCAGGAACGCAGCCGCGCTTTCAGGCGCCTCGGGTGAATATAAACCAGGCTCCAACTCTGTGAGTATAACGAGGCTAGAGGAGGAATCCTCGTGGGAGATCTACTCGGATAAAAACGACCCTATTTCAGAAAGCATGAAGAGAACTATCACCCGATATTCGAATGTTATCAAAGCTCTAGCACACTGTGAAATTGGCCTTACAGAGGCTAGAGTGGTGGCCGCATACGAAGCCAGCATGACTTTCAGTCATGTTGGATCCCTAATAGAGAGGGAAAACATGGAGTCGATAGGTCAGGATGTTATAAATGCTGAGAAAATGAGGGGAAACTCTTGAGGTATTTGTACGTAGAGTTTAATGCAGCGTCATTTGAAAAAATATTGATCGAACTATGTACAAGTGGTTTTGACCATTTCTATTTATCACTGGTAGGGACGTTGCCGTTATTTGACTGATTAGAAGTGCTGGTATTTTCGTAAGCTTCGATTTTTTTCTTAATGCTCGAGCTGAAATACTTCTCGACAAACCCGACTTCCTCATTCTTCTTGAGATCTCCTTTCCTTTTGGCAACAATGCACCAAGTTGTACCCAGGTGTGTTCTGTTTTCCTCGACGACTTCCAATCCAGAGTCATCTAAAATCTCACCCAGATCCAAATTCCACCGACAGCCCCATGTTTCCAGACGCTTCTCTGCTCTATCATCTAAAATTTTGTTGATGAAGCTGTAAGTACCTCTTCCATGCTCCAGCAAGACAATTCTTCCGCCAGGCTTTAAAAGCTTTTCGAAATTTCGCAAGGCCCTAACGGGGTCTTCTAGAGAACACAAGCCGAAAGCCTCTATAATGGTATCGTACTTGACTCTTGTCTCAGGGTTTACTCCTTGACCCTCACCCCCCGCAGCCAGATTAACGAGGTTTTCGGCTTTACCGACAACAAAGGCCGCTTTCTTGAAGTTCGGAAACTCCTTGCGAAATTTGTCGTGAGTGAGCTCCATCATCTTTTCAGAAGCGTCTAGAAAAGTGATTGAGTTAATTTTCGTCAGGTCTGCGTATTTCAAATTTCTTCCTGTACCGCAGGCAGTCTCCAAAACATCGCCTTGACAGTGTTTCATCAGCCATTTACGTCTCTTACCCATAAAAATAGCCTTTTCTTCAAAATTCACGCCTTCATCGTATTCGGAAGCCTTGAAATCGTAAAAATCGGTGGTATCACGAGCGGGTAGAATCTGCTTGTTTGTTTTGTTCTCATCATTATTTTCAAGCGTAATGTTGTCGTACTGAGACGAGTCCTGGTTTTCGTCCCATTGCATTTCCCGATATTGTGCCAATTTCCGCTCATCTCGGGTTCTTAGCTTTCCCCTTAGTTCCTTGATCCGTAGACTTTCGAATTCGTTGGCCCTGCCTTCTAATTGTCTAGCCTCCAGCTTCTCCAGTTCTTTTTCCTTTGCATACATTTTCTTCATGAAGAATAGACCATATATCAAGAAGAACACGTAGGCTCCGATAAGGTATTTCGTCATCCCCTTTGTGAATTTTTCAGTTCTCGCAATAGCACCCCATCTTACAAAACGGTTGTCGGACTTAAGTTGTTCTTCTAACTTTTCCTTCGCCAGCTCTTCTTTAGTCTTGACGCGTTTGACTCTAGCACTCGATTGAGGTATGTACGACGACCGTAGTCGCACGAAAGACTGTTTGATAGTAGCCTGAGGCAATCCGAGCGGCATCCAAGTCGAGCCACGCGGCAGCAACCGGCGTATCATTAGAATGGTTGATGTTTTCAGGCTCTGACAAGTTGTGCAATAGGTTCCAATTTTTGACAATTTTTGAAGAATCGAATACTATGCAAGATCTTATGAAGAAGTGAAAGAGAAGCGAAGAAGTCGATGATCAGACCTTTGAGCATGTTTATCTACAGTGTTAAAGAGTTTTAGAATCTTAGTTTTGAGGAGCTTTACGGAACGTTTGATCAATTCGAAAGCTTTATCTTGACAGAACCAGTGCTGGGTCGATTAACGTTGAGAGCGTAGACATTGTGCGAACGATAGTGTATGCACTGAACTTTAATCAAAATTTGGTGACAGGTCAAATTTAAGACCACAATATGACGAAAGGGCAATTCTGGAATTTCTAGAGTTAACAACAGTGTTTCCTAAATTCCGATCGGAGAGGTAGTATTCGATGTTTCCGTGAATCAATCTCTTGACGCGGAACAATGGAGTATTACCACCCTTTGTCTCGATGCATCAATTTCCTGCTGCCCTATGGCACGCAGCGATTTACCTCTAGCCACTGTCTTCACTTTACGCCTACGCTGGCTTTACAGTAAACCCGTCTGCTATTGGTATCTCTTATTTCAACATCCCATTGAGTAGCGAGCTTTTGACTGGCGTCTATATCGACCTTTTGGCCGGGATACAGATTATGCGTGTTCTTGTACTTTATGTCGCTGACACTCAAACCTAGCCCAAACTGCATGTATTTGAGTATAGCGTGTACCATGTATGGGCCTTGAACAATAACGTCTTTGTAGCCCTCTATGTTCCTGCAGTAAGCCCGATCCCAGTGCACTCTGTGAGAATTGTACGTAAGCGCACTGTATCGAAAGATATCGCAATCCTCAAACGTCAGTTGCGTCGAGTGAATGTTGGGTTCGTCAAAATCAGGAGTTTCCCAGCCGACTTGCGCCGACGGAGTCGACGGAAGGTTTTGTGTATAGACTAGAGTTCGCAGCTCATTTACGACTGGCAAGTTACTTTCAGCGTCCAACACTTGGCGGTTGATGCCAACGTAATAGTCGTTTTTGAGCGGTTTCACGAAACGCACAGTTTCGTGACAATGGTAGTGCCGATCCACTTGCAAAGAAGATACAAACTGCATGGTTCCTGATGCCCACATTCGTCTTTTGAACCAAAGGTTTTCGTTCTTCAGGATAGATTTCGGAGTTTGGTAATCGAAGTATCCATCCGGGCTCAATTCTGCATTTTGCGGGAAATTAAAGAACAGCAAATGATCTCCAGCAGATGATTGACGTTCCTCGTTGCTCAATTTCAAGTTTGGCTGGAACTGTTTCGAAATCAAGCCATTGAAAGCAGCTATTGGTGTCGTCGTGACTTGATCATTTAAACACCATTTCAAGCTCCGCAAACTTGCACCCAAGGCGCTCATTTTTCGAAGTAAAAAGAGTTAGCCTCGAACGCGCATAAACCAAGCGTCTTAAATACGGGGTACGGCAGAAATGGTGGTCTTTTCAGGGATCTTAAATGAACATTAACCTAGCTTTTATAAAGCTAAAATGTGAACAATGGAGAGAGAGCTTTCGATGCCATTCGTCACAGTGTACGACTGTGCTCTCGGGCGACTGAATATAGAAAGAGAGAGAGACACTGGTTGAACACGGTAAAATCACATCTCGGGTGAGGCGTCGAGTTGGCTAGTATTTATTCTGGCTCTTAAGCGTGGTTTTTATGCTTGAAATTTGATATATGTAGCATTAAGGACTTTGTTGACGCTGTTTGAATAATTTCCTGTCGTCCAGTTCTCCGTAATGACAGGGCTGGAAGTGATCTCTTGCTAGATGTAGCTTGCAATTTGTCAACACGATTGTGCTCAGAATCGTTATTTGTTTTTTCATAGGTTGAGAGTTTAGTCTGCGAATTTTCTAACTGATGTGCTTCACAGGACGGTGCTGAATGCTCGGGTTTGATTATAAACTTTAATTTGGAATATAGTACAGGATCAACATCGGTCAAACAATTTGTGAGAGGACCACAATCAAATGCACTGAGCTAGCATGTTTAGTAAAACAGGCTCTTCTCTATATATTTTAATGGTCCAGCAGCTTTTTCTGCATTATTTTTTGGCTTGACGGCTGTGACGCCAGTGAAGCATGATGTCGGATAAGTAATGTAGAGAGCAGCATATCAGTTATCCCTCCAGGTATGGATTCTGCACAGAATTTCGGCTCAAGCAACTGTCAAGTAATGTGGGAAGCCTTCCCACATTCATATTTCTCAACACAAACATTTGACGACACAGATACTCTATAAGTCCAACGTCACAATTACCAAAAAACAATACAATGCTCGTCGCGTGCCAAACCTGCCTGCCGCGACATTGAGCTCCGTGCACTAATGAATTTCAATACTCACGAGCATTTGCTGTTCCAATCGCATGTTTAAACAAACTGCTTTTCCAAAGATTCGGGATAATCGGCACGTAGTGAGAACATTTCAGCTCTTCACAGCTAAAATCTGGTGAATCTATTCAATTGTGGCAAGACATCAAAACCTTGCAAGCAAAATCATACCGCAGAATACATTTACAGCAAAGCTGCCCTTAGCAAAATGCCCCCCACCTGACTCCTAAAGTACTTTCAAAAACAGCGTCTTCCTTGTATTCGGAGGAATCCTCGCTTTGGCTTTTCACTTAGAGTTCCGTTCTCTAGCGTTCCACTGCTTCGATTAAAACAGTATATTATTTCATTGAGCGCTCGGCGACAATTTGATCAGAATCATCATTGAACAGCTGCCCAGGGCTTGGAAGGACTTAGTAAACTCTCTAGCAAAGGTAGCTGGAACCAAGACCGTCCAAATCCGCGATGCTAGACATTTTTCAAAACTAAAGCCATCAGTTGGAACCTTACTAAAACACTTCATAACCTGGGTGAAGGATGCAAAGTATTAGAGCTCGAGAAATCAATTCGGTAACCGATCGGTATTTCTTTTTGCGAGTGACAATCATCTATACAAGATCTAACTGACCATGGTAAAAGTTCTCATTTGGAGTTTTACCTGTGAACCATTTTTTGCTTTCGATGATTCTCAGTTCCATTTGCTTCATGGTTAGTGGTGACCCCATGGATGCTTTCACACACTTGGGCGAGTGCTCCAAAGTAACAGCCAAAACCTGATGCACAGTGGCCAAAACCCCATTTATATCTAGACAATCCATAGTGTTGGAATCATTACACTTGTGGTGAATGTAGTCTATCAAAAGCGCGGAAAACAGGTCACCTACGCCTGTAAAATACGAGTCTATCACGGGAATTTTGTAAATCGAGGCAGGTTGGCCACGCATGGATGCGACGCAATACAGATGGTCGCTATTGCCGAACAGGCCCGAGGAGCACGACGTCACGACAATGACTGGAACTGTTTGGTGTAAAGTTTTCAGTGCGTCCTGGAGCTCTCTGACACTTTTTATTTTGCGGCCGTATAGTATTTCGAGTTCGAACTGATTCGGAGTTATCACATCCACGAGAGATGATGCCACCAGAGACTTATACTCTGGTATAACGTTTTCGTCCACGTAAAGCTCCTCGTCGTCGCCCATCACTGGGTCCAGGAGCCACGTCAGGCTCGGATCTCTTCTTTTAAGATCAGCATGATTTTTCGCCATGCAGGCTACGGATTCTCGGTTGGGCAGATACCCTGATAGCATAGCATCGTAGTCTTCGAATTCCTTCAGACCCGTAAACACAGATTCCAACTCTGCTGCAGATGTAGCGGTTCCGAACACCTTGTCCATGCCATATCCGGTGTGATTCGAGAATTGCACACTGTTGATGCAATCAACGTCCCATCCTTTGCATTGCAGAGGGAAAGTGGCAGCTTTGTTGCCCACGTACCCATGAACAACGTGCGATTGAGTAGCTAGAAGACGTGGCATGAGTGGGAGCGCAGCGTCGATTGGACGTGGGAAAAGTTGAAGTGATCTTGAGTTTTCAATGATTAAAATGGCCCATCTTCATTTATTATAGATAAGATGAGATATAGTCTGGAGCGCTGACTGAAGACAATGAACAAAAGCGAGTGTTTAGAGAGCGTTTAGAAGATTATTTTGGTATTCGGAAAGCTTCAGGCGCGAATTATGCCTGTTGTAGTGTTTTTTTGACGATTTACGAAGCTCCAAAATGTGAACCAACGGGTTGAAAGATGGTTGAAAAACGGGAAATCGAACGTCGTGAAGATGGAAACTAGTGGAGTGGAATTTTGGTAGCATTAAGTGCACCGAACTTGGCACGACTGAAGTCAAATCTGTGTCTCGAGGTGTCGGTCTTGAATGAGACTTATGGAATACTATGATCACTTTGCACTATGGTGTCATCTTAAGAGCTCGTCTCGAGAAGGACTTCGCTGGAGAGCTGATGAAATGGTCGCCTTTGACTCGAACTGGATGCAGAGTTTGACCTGATTTCTACGATGAAAGCGAACGCTCAGATCGTTACCACTCTCGATTAATAATTGGGTTTATAGACATTAATAAGAGTCTAAGCGTTGTGAAACCCATTTAGAAGCCCTTCTCTGTTGCATAGAAATAGTTTTATCGTATTGTCAATGGCTCACGGAATATTCTGCGATTTGCAATGATAATTTCTCGAGAGATATACTAGGATGGTTCGAGCTATACTAGGATGGCTCGGGTTATTCACAATTGATCGCTGACGCGCTCAATTGTTCAGCAGTGCTTGGAGCTCTCTACAACTACAACTACAACTGCGATTTCAACATAATCCCCGCATCATTTTTCCAGCCTCTGCACAACTCCCGGCTTCTGCGCACTCCACTGTCTGCCCTTTTATCGCTTTCAGGCCGGAATTTCATATGTAAAGCCCAATTTTATGCTGAACTTATCGCCATCTTCTCGTCATTTCCAAGACAAGCCATCAGCTCTGCCATCACCCACGCATTTTCCCTTCAACGACCTTTACCCTGCAACAACCTCAAGACCAATGACATTCGTCGAAAACCTGCCAAGCACACGAAAAATCCGCAACGTAAGAATTGTCAACTCAGATTACCCGTGAAATGACAACAACGACCGTCTTCCACCAACAATGAGCGCGGACGGCCGGTTACGAATGAGGACATAACCAATCTTTCTTTTCCACCTCTAGTGCCTCGAACTCGAGCATATAAGATGCCAAGGTTGGTGACAGTCGTGGGCCAGACAGATATTTGAAAGTAATAGTAGCACAGTTATAGAAATCCATATACACACTCTATAGCTCGCATCCCGGTTCCTGAATTCTTGTCGCAAACTACTATGCCCTTCGAAAATTACCTGAGAGGGCCAACTGAGAACAGAAAAGTCCCACAAGAGCCTCCTGTAGAGCACTACGAATCGGCCAAGAGTCTTCTGGACCTGTTTTCACAGAAAGGAAAACTTGTGGTCGTCACCGGAGCCGCAGGCGCCATAGGAGGAGCCATCTGCCATGGATTTGCTTCTGCAGGAGCAGATCTGTGTGTGCTGGACTACAAGTACGACACCGCATTGGCTGAGTTTTTGGCTGAAAAATACAACATCAAGGCCAAGGCATATCAAGTCGACATTACAAAGGCAGAGGACGTCGAAACCTGCGTTAAAGCCATCCAAAAGGACTTCCCAGGCCGCAGTATCGACACTTTCATTGCCAATGCCGGAGTTGCTTGGACGCACGGCAGCATCCTAAACGAGAGTGCAACACCTGACGCCTGGAAACGGGTTATGGACGTCAACGTCCAGGGCACCTTCCATTGCTCCAAATATATCGCTGAGGTTTTCAAACTGCAGGGCCATGGATGTCTAATTTTGACGGCTTCGATGTCTTCGCACATCGCCAATGTTCCCAACTACCAGACCTGCTACAACGCATCGAAAGCAGCCGTGAGACACATGGCACGCGGTTTTGCCGTCGAGTTCGCACATCTGACCGAGCCAGCCGGCCGTATTCGCTGCAACTCGGTGTCTCCGGGCTACACAGACACTATTTTGAGCTCTTTTGTTCCCACCGAGCAGAGAGCCCAGTGGTGGGGGTTGACACCGCAGGGTCGGGAAGCGCTTCCACAGGAACTGGTCGGTGCATACCTGTACTTGGCATCTGACGCTGCCACTTTTACAAACGGCTGCGATATTCCGGTCGACGGAGGGTACACTTGCGTTTGAGAGAGTTAAGCATTGATGCCCGAAAAATGTGAACAAACTGAGCAGACTATTTACGAAGATACCAAGATGAACTTCAAATCATCAGGACCTCTGAATTGGGCTGTAATAGGTTTGACCATTTTGACGTAACTTACTGTAGTTATATAAAGTGCAACTTGTATAAAGCGCAGATTTGACACTGAACAGGAAACAACGGTGAGTTGCAAGAAGAGAGACATTGGTAGAGAGGAAGAGAGGTGAGTATAGAGACCCAATGGCACAACTCTGTCGAGAGACCTATTGGTAAGAGTTTGGCAATGTGTCCTGTATGTTTTAATGTCACTCACTGTTTACCCACGCTATATCAAATCATATCTTGGAAATTTTCAACGGTCAGCGCCGTGGCGCAGTGGAAGCGCGCAGGGCTCATAACCCTGATGTCCTCGGATCGAAACCGAGCGGCGCTATTGTTTTTTGAATTTTCAAGCTCTAGAAGACATATTAATCACCAGGATTAAATCGAGTTGAAATATAAAGTTCATGCAAACTGTCTCGGTGACAGTGTAACGATAGATTATTCACTGCTACTTTTTGACCTGTCAATTGGTGTACATCGACTAATTTCTCAAGCGTTCGGGGACCTGCGTTTTCTAGGACACGAATCTCAGTTTTTCGACCGCATCACCTCTCATCACAAGCTATGAACTCAGACATCAACAAGTTCATTCATTGCCGTCTAACTGAGGATGTTCAAGTCGTGCTTTTCACAGACCTGATGGCAAAGTTCTCTATCACCAGCAATGAAGCCAAAGCTGCGATGTATGACTTTTACAATGCCACCACCTCCAAAGTGCACTGTGTGATAGTATGCGGATACAAGAGTGGGCTAATACGAATAGTGGACGATCTGGAAAAGTTCGAGGACGACGACTCGATCCTGGACGCGTTCATATATGCGTTCAATCCAATGGACCAGTTTGTGCCCGTGAATTCTATGACCAAAAGACCTGTAGCGGTGAGTAACTGCTACGAGCTTGCCGTCGAAACGGCGGTACCGAGCGGTACAAATATGGAAACCAAAATGGGCTCTGAGACCATCAACACAGGCCCAAACAAGAGACCAACTGTCAGGTCTCAAACTTTGCCCTCCAGGCTTACGGGATCCAGGCCCCAATCTCCTGCAGCTACAAAACTACAGCCTAAACCAGCGGTCAAGAATACAGGAGAGCTGAGGTCCACAGCTCTACTCCAGAAAATGCGTAAGGAACGCGAAGACAAGGAACGCAGGCGACAGGACGAACTGCGCAAGCGTCGAAAAATGCAACAAGACAAGGTTAATAACGACCCCAAGCGTAAACAAGAACTAGAAGAACTGTCGGCAATGTTCGACAGCGACGAGGAAGAAGGAGATGCGGAGGGGAAACAGCCTCGAAGCGACCCTCCTAGCACAAATGACGCCAATTTTTTTCCGAGCGAGACGGCAAAGCCTACAGAGGCCGAACTGGGCGAACTTTTAGAGACTACAGCAGAAGAATCTTTGGTCGAGATCAAACCCCCCTCGCGAAACCAGAGAGCGGCAGATGAGGAACCCGACAAACAAGGCGATGAGCCGCAAACCTATTTAGACGAAGAGGGCTACACCGTGACGCAAAGACCAGCCCAAAGAGCCTCGTCCACGCCTGTCAAGCGATCAGCTAGGATTGTGCCTAATATTTCCGAGAGCGTCTCGAAGAAACCGAAGCAACAATCGTTGATGAATTTTTTCAACAAACGGAAGTGATGACGGGGTGAATTTTGGGAGTTTCGATTGTCAGCGCGAAGCTATATTAGACCATGTATTTGGGTATCCAGAGAAGAGCTGTGTGATCTCGTTAAAGGCGCGAAGGGGCGCAAAGGAACGCTTATTTAAGTACTACGTGAGAATTAGACTCTAAGAATTATTTGAGTGAAGGTTGTCGCTCCACATGGTGAATAACTGTGTTCAACGGGGTATCATCAGTGACCGTCAAAACATAAAAAATACGGGAGAACGATAGAGAGGTGTTGCACACACAGAAGGGACCAATTGAGTGCGAAGAATACCAAGAGGTGAGCTAGAAGGCAAGCACATAAGCAAATCAACAGGAGCAGGGCATCGTTACGATGAGTATTTGAGAATCGCCTACGAAGGACTGAAAGCCGTTGAAGAATACTCAAAACAATTTTTTTTCTAGCGTTGAAGGAGCTGTTTGAAGTAGGCCGAATGTCAGATATCGGACATTCACACCACACCACACCGTCCGCTCAAAACATGGCAGGCGCTGGTGGACGTAGAGAGATGGCTCAGTCTTGAAATCTTGTCCCTGACGAAGGCGAGTGATAAGCTGCCACCCTGATGGCCGTAAATATGTTACAAGAATTAAGCTAGTGCCCCTCCAATGCTGTTCAAATGCGAGAAGCCATTTGTTTCTACATGGACAACACCGAGCTCTGGTTGGAAAGCTATCAGCACAGTATGATCGGCAGTTCACGCAAACAGCGAGTACATGAGTACATGAGTATAAAAGTACAAAAGTACTCGCGGCTGCTTTCCAGTTACCCTACCTCTTTGTCACGAGTACTTTTGTACTTGCCGCTTTCTTCCATTACCCTGCCTTTCCAGACAAGTACTTTTGTACTCACATTGCTCTTTAGGTTACCCTCCCCGCCATCACACCACCACCCACACACCCAATTTTTTTCGTATAGTTAAGGGGGTCACCTTTTTCCCATAGGGTAAAATCTCAAAATGTGACGCCCTAGCATATATATAAGTAGCTAAAAACCGTAGTATTTACTCATATCTTTACGTTAACCTTTTATCGCAAGAGCACAGAACTGAAGAACAAAAAGGCCATAAAAGCCCTCCAACAGCCTGTTATAGACGCCCATACACAGATCTAGTGTGTGTGATTATACTCTACAGTTGTTTGCGCACAGATAGCCGGTTTTTTCGACGTTTGTAGCTGCACTCTAGCGCTTTTTACAAGCCTTTTCACCCCCCAACAGCAAGCCCAACTCTATCCCTTTACTACAGCATCGATGGCGACTGAATTGTGCCCCGTTTACGCGCCCTTTTTCGGCGCGATTGGCTGTGCCTCGGCCATCGTATTTTCGTCGTTCGGCGCCGCCTACGGAACTGCCAAGTCCGGTGTCGGTGTGTGTGCCACCAGTGTGTTGAGACCAGACTTGCTGGTCAAGAACATCGTCCCCGTGGTCATGGCCGGTATCATTGCCATTTACGGTCTGGTGGTGTCCGTGCTGGTGTGCTACTCGCTGACCCAGAAACAGGCCCTGTACACCGGGTTTATCCAGCTCGGTGCAGGTTTGTCCGTTGGTCTCAGTGGTCTTGCCGCCGGTTTCGCCATCGGTATCGTCGGTGACGCCGGTATCAGAGGTAATGCCCAGCAACCTCGTTTGTTCGTCGGTATGATTTTGATTTTGATTTTCGCAGAAGTTTTGGGTCTTTACGGTCTGATCGTCGCCTTGCTCTTGAACTCTAGAGCTACCCAGGACGTTGTGTGTTAAATCACATAACAGGGACCTTCCTCTCAAACACCGACGCAAGAACCGTTGGTGTAGCCCAGAATCAAAAAACCCCGTAAATTTTTTTTTTTTTTTCCTCTTTCCTACTGCTTTCCACCATGAATTCTAAGCAAACAACCCGAACTATCAAAATACTACAACACTCAACCTTTTAAATCTTCAGAATAATCATCAACACTCGTCCCAGCCACGCGCTGCTGCTTGAAGCAATGGCGCATGGGACGTCTGTTCTGTCAAAAATGTAGATGATCGAAACCAAAAAAAACCGAGAAAGTTAGGAACACACTCACACACACATTCTCTCCGGGACATATAAAAAGCAGCCCCGCCAGTTGCGCGCAATTCCTTCCATTCGTATATAAAGTGTTTTCTCTAAAGATCCTATCTATCATTATTTTTTGAATTAGGAAAAAGAACCCATCAAGTGAAAAAACGCTTTCTCTCGTGGTTCGTAGTAGACTCGTTTTAAATCATCTCAGCTAATTCATGAACTCTTGGCAAACTTTGAAATTCAGTCTTTTCCTCACCAATTTGATCAACCCGTCTAGGTCGGTTGGCAAAAGATCGGAGTCTTCGCGTTCTTTCAAAACCTCATACAGCGCAACACTTTTGTCGTTGTCCGATTCAAAATTGTTTAAAGCTCGAATTATGCGTATTATCTTGTCCTCGGAGATCTGTTTAGAATCATTTTGTAGGAAAACGGGGTATAAAAACTTGGCCATCAGTAGTGCAAGATAATGACTTGGCAAGTACGGGAACTCAAATAGGATCAAAAGGCTCTGTAGTGCTCTATCCCAGTCTTGCTGGCCCGCTTGTCTGTAGAATTGGCACAGTACAGCGTACGGTGAAAGTGTCTGTCTCATGGCGTCCGTTAATACATTTGCCAAAATTTCTCTAGGAATTTCCACTTCCGCTCGTCTGCTTACTATCGCGTCTATAACTTCATCTTCCAATGGCGACCCTTGGATCACAGAAGCCTCGAAAATCATCCACGAATAGTGCTTGACCCACTCATACTCGCCTGCTTTACTGAAGTTTGTCATCGCCTCTATCACATTGTTCTCATACAAAAACTTGTTGCCCAGAATTCGATATATGGTCTTGGCCACCTCTGGAAGTCTCCATTTCGCGCATAGGGTTAACATCCATTCCACATCGTCATTATTTTCAAATGGGAAATGTGGTAACAGTTCCGCAATGGCCAACCTTACAGCACTGCTGCTACCGCTGGGTGACAATGCTAAGGTCCCAATCGCCACCGACCACAGGTGTTTGTCGTCATAAGAACAGAGCTCCATCGCAAAACCGTGAAGCAAAAAACTCGCCATACTGTTTTTGGAAGAAAACAAATCCTCTTCGATGCTATCGTCATATTTTTTCGAGTGGTTTAGTAAACTGTTGCTTGATTCCAACAACCCTTTTGCCTCACAGATTCCAGCAAAGAACGCAGCTACGCAGTAATCTTGCGATTCCAGCATCGGCAGTACTGCGTAGACTTTACCTCTTATTACATCGACGCAAGCCTGCTCCCACGCGTTGCAAACATCGGCAGGATGAGCGTCTAGCGACAGTTGCAAATATTCTTCTGATAGGCCTATTGTTGGGATGTAAAATGTCAATAGTCCACAGAAGGACTCAAACCAAGTATTGGAATATTGGATGATTTTGGCTTGCGTCCCGCTAATCAGGTGGAGCATGTCGTTTATAAAGTCCCTTAGATCTGAACCCAAGTTTGTGGCGCATTCGGAGAAAAATTGCGATAGATTCAATGCCGTGGCTTTCCATTCTCTGAAGCTTACCCCGTCACTGTATGGATACTCCTTCAACAGTGAAGTGGCATCGGTCAAAACATTAAAAGTAACCTCACACTGAGATTCCAGGGCGGAGAAGATCCCAGAACGCTCCAAAACAGCAAGCGCTTGCTCGAAGAGCCCCCTCAGCAGTAGTTGATTGACGAGTTTCCAAAGAGAAGATTTTTCGTAAACCTTAATGTCGTTGTTACCTGAGAACACTTGTTCGATAACTCGCTCTGATGGCTCTCCATCCGCCCTGTTGATCCAGTGTGCGACATTTTGAACGAGACTGCCGTTTTCCAGTTCCTGGTCTTGTGGATATGAAGTGAAATAAAGAGCTTTGACGCAATTCAGAACCGCAATGCATTCTTCAAGCTCTGAGGCTCGTCCGAGGCTCTGTGTGAGCGCAAAAGTCTCTAGTTCATCCAACAGCGCGTCCATGGCCAAATTGACTGCCTGCGAATGCTCAATTTGCGCAGACTGGCTGACAAGTCCCAGTGTGGGGATCGAGAAAAATCGGTCCTCGCCCAAATTCTTGTAGATCTCGAAGCATGTGAGAACAAACTGTTTGTAAGCCTCCGAGGAGTCCATGCCGTGGAAATTGGGCGTCAGCAATCTCACATCTTTCTGGTCACCATTGCCAGCTTCTTTGTCACCAATGCACTTGTAATAGCCTAAACTACGCGCTCTTACTGGGGCCATTTGGAATTTTAGACCACGTTTAGGGCGAACAAAGGACTCTCCAGATCCACCGAGAGGCCCAAAACCCTCAAAAAATGTCTGTAAAGCCCCAGAAACCTCATCTATTGACGATTCTTCCGCAATTTGATAATTGTCCATATCTACATCCAAACTCGAGCTTTTTAAAAAATTCAAGCTGCCAACGTCCATCAAGAACCCGTTGTCCTGGCTCCAAGAAACTGAGCTCATCCTAATCCACCCAAACAAGTCCCAGTCAAGCTCAAACTTACTCAAATGATCTATTTGAATGTTTGTCCTTACGCTGAGTTTGTTGATTTATTCGATAATTTAACATTTCTTCAATCTCGCATTACATAATCAAACGACTGAAAAATTTCGATATTTGAGCGATGAGCTATAGATGAATAGCGAACAACTTCACCTTCAAGTTGAGCTACTCAGAACAAAGAAGTGTTAATCTATTCAGAGCCAGGTTGACTTTGAACTGACTATAAAAATGGACGTTCTGCCGTCTACTGCTTCCCAATTATCCAAAAAGCTGCGGTCCAAGAATGTGTCTACAAGTGAAATTTACGACATTTCTGTAAGGCTTCTAGAGGGCAAAATAGCAGTTCATTTCCCGAAAAAAGAGGTGTTTGTCCTGGAACTACTGACAGACAGATGGAACAATCAACGGAATACCCAGTTTAAGCGAGACCCGCACATGTGGCAGCTTTTCAATCAAATGTGGGTTGCCGTGCACTCTGACGTTCTACGCAAGAAGATATTCAGAAACCTGAGATACGTACCGCATTTGATTCAGACACTGGAACTTGAAGATCTGGCGTGCACTGCTGAATTGGCAGATGCGCTGGCAACGAATTTCGAGCTGCTGAACTCCAGCTTCATGGTGGAAATGTCTCAAGACCAAGCTATGGCCATCATCGCAGGTGTGCTCAAAATCATACTTCACGCGCCAGACCTTGCACGTCCGTGCTCGGAGAAGCTGTTGAACGAGACCCTGAAACTTACACATCTGCAAGCCAACATCTGGACGGGCAGCATTAACAAACTAAGCCAAAGCTTTTGTTCAACTTTATTGCCTAATCTCTTACAATATAGTGCCAAGTACCAGGACGATTTCGCACCCGCGTTTGGTGGTCTCATCGATGAGTTCCTTTTCGCGGCCGGCTTTGACAGCGTGAAACAAATATCACATTTCCTAGAGGTTGAAGGATCAGCCCTTCCCTTCCAATGCTACATGGTTCTGTACCGTGAGTGTATCAGAGCAGTATCAAAAGGTTCCATTGGACAGCTCGAACAGATTTTTACAATGATCACCAAAAAAAATCCGTCTCTAGCCTCAAACCTGCTTCATGAATTGAGCTCGCTCAGAAAGACACTGTCTCAGCAGTTTTTGGAGACTTTATTCCAAGAAACTTATCAAAAAATCTTGGAAGATAAGAAGGGTACGAATGATGAATACTGGACGATGGTAAAACAACTTCTTAAACTCGATATCGAGGTGGGAATCATAAATACGATGAAGATTATGGATGCTATGGTCACAACATCTCTAGATGAAAATCTATTGAGAGTTTGGGAAACTTTGATAGAGTGCTACGTCAACGCAAGAGAATTCCCACGACTCTTAGATCACTGGAAAAAGTACTGCACCTCTCCTGACAAGTCTACGCTTTTCGTCGATGACGCCAGGCTTCATTCGAAAATCACTTCTCAAGTATCTGCTATGTCAGCGACTCAAATTAAAGCCTATTTCGACACAGTTGTAGATGAAATCTCACAACAGGGCCACGACATGCGACTAACTTTAAAACTTCTAAACGTCGTTCTCGTGGGTCTATACAGCATGCCATACAGAGCTCTTCCGGGACTTGAAGGGTCTTTGATCAAGCTGCTGGAAATTAACGGTGCCAAGTTCCCAGAATACTGGACGTTCACCTACCATTTCTTGAACATTTATGATGACATTTTACCTGAAGATCATTTGACGATGATCCAATCAAAGATTGTCGCCTCACTCCAAGGAAAAGAGCAGTCAAGCGAATTATTCCTCACAGCCATGAAGCTCAGAGAGTTGAAAGAGTTTGATGTCGACATCGCGATCGAGAGCTTCATGTCATTTTTTCGCCAATCTCATGCAGCTGAAAAGCGCGATCTTTTAAAAGAGCTATTCTGCAGATGGAGCACAATTCTAAATTTATGCTTCTGTCAGGAACATTTAACAGAACTAATCGATGAACTGTTGATTGATGAGAATCTGGAATTGCTCGATTTAATTACCCTCTCAGACGACTTTTACGAGGAGACAAGAATCATGGGCATACTTACTGACAAATTATGCGATGGTATTGGTAAAGAGACCTTCGTCGAGCGTTTGAACAAGATACCAATACAGTGCACCGCCAAGGTGACCCGTGTGAGGGCGATTGACAGATTGTGCTCAGAGTCAAACTTGAGCATTGCCGGATTTAACTTGGTATCGCGCCTTCTTTCAAACCCTACATTCAGGTCAAAAGTAGAAGTGGATATCAGCGCTTTGGAGGCAATTTTAAAGCAGAACTCTTATTTGTACCAAATTGAGAATCCAATCGCTGAAAAAGTTCTCGCGAATCATATTTCTCAGTTGAAGGATGCTGTGAGCGAGCAATACATCGCGAACTTGACGTCGTTTCTGACAGAGAAGCTGCAAGGAGACGTCGATTTTACAACCTGGAAACTGGCCTTTCTTCTCGTTAAAACGGTTAATTTTGATCTTGAATTGAGTCAACAAGTACAGAACACATTAACCGATAGGCTGAATGCATTCGTTTACGGTGTGTCCGATTTCTCAAAAGATAAGCCTATGCTTCTCTGGTCTCTAAAGGTGCTCTATGAAATCTATCAGGGTACTGAATCCGCGCAGTTGAAAGAAAGCATCAATTCAGTGACCAAAAACATCGCAGAAAAGACTTCTTCGGAGAACTTCGACAGCGATTTGAAGGCTGTTGTATTTGCTCTATTTTGCTGCGCGAACACGAATGAGCCCCTAATCCTCTTGGCTCACTACATGGTCTTGAGAGAACATATATCGAAAGAGCATATTTATGATGCGATCGAAAAGGTGGTTGTGACAACTGCTGCTAACTCTCGTATGTTTAATGAACTGCTTTTCGCAACATTGGCATCTGTAAAAGAAGAGGACTCAAATTACACCAAGTGTGTTCTAGAAATATTAGAACTACTCTTCCGCCACATCCAAAGAGAAAACGAACAGGGAAGAATCTTATTCTCGAGATGTCTATCTGAAATCAACACCCACATGGACGTCGCAGTTGGAATTCACAAGGAAATTTTTTTAGGCTTGCTCGATACAATTAAGGGATTGCTTGTTTGGAAGCCATGGCTATTTAGCCAACACACAATCGAAGCACTCTTTCCATTGTGTCTCAGAGTGAACGCAGTTGTGATGGATTTAAATGGGGAAGATAACGACCCTGTGTTTACGTCCACGACCCAACTATTGTCACATATTTTGATGTATCACCGCTTCAAGCTGACGAATCGTCACCACCTGGTGAACTCATACATGTGCGCGGCGTTAGAGATGCTTACATCGAGTTCACGCTGCCAGCTGTCGCTGGAATCTGCCCAATCTTTCAGCCGGTTCCTCGCGGTCTTCTGCGAGCCATCAAACGACGCAAAAAACAACAAGAATCAAAACTCTCTGCAATCACAGGTTGGTCAAGTCAAGAAGGTTCTCAGAAGACATGTTTCAGTCTTGCTCTTGAAATACATCAGTCTTGCGATCGGATCCTCATTCGGGACTCAGGTCAAAGAATGTTTGAATTCTGGGTTCTTCTCAGTGTTTGATATTCTTTCACAGGCCGAATTGATGGCCGTGAGCGCTTCCTTAGGTAGTCCCGGACGCATTTACTTCAAGACCCTGTTAGCCGAGTATAAGAGAACGGGAAAATGGCATGAGGGATAACGTACATTTTATAATTAACACCAAACATGATAATGCATTTTATTGATCTTCCGGCAGCTTAAATACAGCTCGAATAGTCGACCAAAGTTTGTGCTCCATTCCAGAATCGAAGGAGTAAAGTGGTCCGTGAGCCTCTTTGTGCTTGAATCTCTCGAATTTTAAAAGGTCTTTTCTTGTTATCAAACCCTGCGGACGACCCTTGGCCTCAACAACCACAAACTTACATCCCAGCTTTCGGAAGTAGTGATGGAGCAGCTGCACTGGGAAGTGGTCAGCAACCACAACAGGAGAGTGGTTTAAAAGGTGCTGTAGGTAAATGGTTTCCTCTTTATAATGAGTGTTGGGACGATCTTCGCCATCGAAAACAATTTTGACTGCATTATCGACATTATTCTCCACTGCTGCTGCTATCTCAAGGCTCAGAGTTGATCTTTTTAGATAACCAATGAGCATACCAGACCCTTCCTCAACCACAGGGTATTGCTTAAATTGGTCGTTTCTATCCAAGAAGTCAACCATAGTGGCCAGTGAAATTTCAGTTGGCACAGAAGCGATGTGGTTAGCCATGATGTCGCGAGCAGTGAATCCTTCCATGTGTCTTTCTTCTCCTTGTAGACTTTCAAGTATTGGAAATCCGTTCACAACAATCATCTGGTCCGCAATACCTCCTTTCGCACTAATAGACCCGAGAACTAGGTGCGTAACGGCCACTACAATCATCGACGGTATAATGTACGAAAAGGCACCCGTGAGTTCTATCATAATAACGACAACAGTCAATGTCAAATTTGTGATACCGCTCAATGTAGCAGCAGCACCCAGGAAAGCATATGTGCCAGGTGTGATGGTATGTGGACCCGTTATCCACCTCTCCACAATCAAACTTACCGCACGGCCAAAACTCGCCCCTACCGCCATCGATGGAACGAAAATACCAGCAGGGACGGAACAGCCATAAGAAATCACTATGAGCAAAGACCGCATCACTGTCGCAATGACCAGTGAGAAAAATATTTGTATGAAGACCCTTCCATGGGTGTTGGAATCCAATTTACAGATTCTATGTGTCCACATTGAATCACTGTCGTCCGCAACGCATTCGTGAAATAATATTCCCATGCTTTCCGTCATGTCCAGTCTTAAAAACTCGTTGAAATATGACAACAAGGCAGTAATCAAAGTCAGAACAGCCACTTCTTGAATCCTGTACTTCTGAAGGTAATATTTGCGGAAGTTCACATACCGAACGTTCCAGTTGCTCACCAACAGTCCATACAGTCCACCGAAAACTCCCAGGGCAATAAACACCGGTATCTCTTGAAATTTCCAAATATTGTCGTAGGTCACTTCGAAGAGAACAATTTTACCATTTCTGAAAGGATTCATGTACTGTAAAGTAGCGACCGCACATAGAGCAACATAATAAGACTTCCAAAGCACAGATAAGTTGAAATAAGATGTAGTGGACATCTCTTCCAAAGCAAAAAGCACGCCGCCTATAGGGGCTCCAAATGCCACTGCCACACCACCGGCTGTAGCTGCTATTAGATACTCTGACTGGTGCGAGAAGCTGAGGCTGTGCTTGAAAAACATGTTCGTGATAACGAAACCACAGCACGTCGCGTAATGAACAGAAGGGCCCTCTTTCCCTACACTAAGTCCGGAGGAAATTGCCAGAGGTAGAGCCATGCTTTTTACTACCAGAGTTTTGAGATTCAAAAACTCATCTTTGTATTTGAACCCTGAGACCCAAACCTTAATTTCAGAGATACCGGACCCAGTGGCCATGGGGGCGATATATTTCACCATGAGACCGCTGGCAACGGCGAAAACCAAGGAGAGTAAAATGAAAAGGGTGAAATCCAAGAATGGATTGGTTCTTTCTATCCATATTCCGTCTTTAATACAGTTGAGCTCATCGCGAGAATCAAAGAGACGCTTCACGTCCTGGGATTTCTCGAGACCTGCGCAGCAGAAAGATTTGTTGAGCAGCCAGTTGCGGCTGCAATGGCCCGATTTCCAATTTACCAGAGTCTCCGTCACCACTTGTATAGAGCCTGCAATAAACCCTAGCAGAAGGGCAATACAGGTGAGTGTGGTAATTTCACGGAAACGTCGCCATATCCAATGACGCAAATGGCCCCATCTAGTTTCGGAGTAAAGCTCAGGACCGCTTTTTATTGAGCTGGAGGATCCATTCTGACTTTCTTCTATCCAATCAACCGTTTGGAAAAGTGGGAAGTTTTTGGTCTCCGGAATCTGCAAACTACCACCACTTTCGAGATCTGTCAATTCTACTGGCTGAAAATCCATTGGAAGAGCTACTGTTGAACGTCGGAAGGCCGCTATGGGTAGTGTCCAAGTCTTAAGTTGAACAATTGTCACTCGGAGATGCTAGTTCAATAGCTGTAAATAAGGTGAATAATCGTGCAGGATGCTAAATTCTCCAGGAAATTGCCTAAAAGCTATGAGACGCAGCGTAAGAAGACTTTAAATCGCTAGGGGAAGTTTGGACTGGTATTCAAAATACGCACGGTAAGAGGGCTCAACTTCAACAGTTACCTTGATTTATTATCGAGGCCTATATTAAGCCAATTAACGCAATTAACACACCAGGTATGACACTTCTACAGAAGTCAAGTTTTGGATAGTATCTTGGAATTGCGGTGTGGCACAGCTTTTACCAGAGCAAATCAAGAAACGTAGCAGAAACACTCTTCTCTGTCACTTCTCGACATTGGATACATATATGCCTTGCATCTTTTATTTGACGACGACTCAATCAATTAATCTTTCCTTTTAAAGCCGCCATCTAGTCGATATGCTATCCATTCTTCAAGTCGACCACCTCCCTCGACTAGCTGTCACCAAAAGTGAAAAATAATTTTCCAGCTTAAAAATTTTACAAGCTCATCGCCTTCACTCTCGCTACTGATTCTTAGTTCTTACCAGAATAAACCATTCAGGCGAGCTTCTAATTGCAAGGAACTTGAACTTCAGGCCACTGTACTGTTTATTACCATCTCAAAATGTCTACCACCCCAAACCCAAAGGCTTTCCCATTGGCCGATGCCAACCTATCTCAACAAATCTTGGATGTTGTTCAGCAAGCTTCCAACATGAGACAGCTAAAGAAAGGTGCTAACGAGGCCACCAAGACCTTGAACCGTGGTATCTCCGAGTTCATCATCATGGCTGCCGACTGTGAGCCTATCGAGATCTTGTTGCACTTGCCATTGTTGTGCGAAGACAAGAACGTCCCATACGTTTTCGTTCCATCCAGAACGGCTCTAGGTAGAGCTTGTGGTGTTTCTAGACCAGTTATTGCAGCTTCTATTACCACCAACGACGCCTCTGCTATCAAATCCCAGATCTACGCTGTCAAGGACAAGATTGAGACTTTGTTGATCTAAGTTCACGCACGGTAGACTAGCATGGTCAGGATTTCATGAGTCCTGTGGGTTAACCTTCATTGACAACCCATTTAGACTTTTGGATATTCAAATCTGTATAATAAGAGTATATTTTATATTTTAGAAAAGGTTTAAAGCGCAATCTCACGTCACTTCCTTATCCCAAGTCTGGTGGGAAACATTGGTATCATCCAAAAATACAGCCCTTAGCCTCATTAGCAAGCTCGTGGTTTGCCCCGAAAACGTGGGTTTCTTCGCAATTCAGGTGTTCCGCTACGAGGTTCTCCACGGATCTTTCGATGAATTGATTCAAGGTTTCTTTTGATGTGATGGTACTGACCAGGTAACACCCTCCGTCACTCGTATTAACAAGAACCAGGGGCATGAACTTGTCACGCAGTTTCGCATACGCCTTGTAACCTACATTCGATAATCTGTCCCCACTGCGACTTCTTGGCTTGATGTTTACCAGCTCGAGGCCTGTTACCGCGCACAATCCGGTGAACTGAGCCCCGACATATGTCTTATCGCCACTACAGGGTGTGCGGTACATCACAGAAACATGGCCCTTTTCGTTTGCTGCAGCGAGGCAAGAAGCAGTGGTATTTACCTCGCTTTCCTCGAACCCAACCTTGACGGCAGATGAAAAACGCAGATCTGATATGCAACTTGAAGCCTCGCTATACTCCGACACAAGTCGATGCTTAATTGTGACCTTTTCCAGCTCTGAGCTCAGCACTCCTGCTTTTAAACGTCCTACAACCTCTGCATTCACTTCAAGTTCTTGAATCCCTTTCACCAAACTGTGAACTCCAAGCACTTCTGGCTCTTCATTTGATTTTTGCCGCTTATTCTGACGTTGCATTTCATGAAAAACAGGTTTGGTTTCAGCTTTCGAAAAGGGGAAACAGGATCCAGCAAATCCATCCAGATCTAAAGGCGCGGAAATGAGTTCGAGGCTGAAGTGCCCCTCTTTTGCCGAATACTCCAGTTGCAGAGCCTGTATACTTTCGCCCGCGGCAAAAATTATACGATTGGAGTGGTTGAGCAACGAAGTTATGCTGAAGTCTACCCGGGTTTTAAGCTGCAATTCGATCTCACCCGTCTCATCATCGAGAATGAACAGCAGCAGGTTTTCCTGTAAATCGTCCTCGGCAAATTCCAAGCTTAGTGATACAAGAAAACATTTTGCGAAAACTAGCTGTTTTGCAAAAGTTGTTTTGGTGTCCATATATTTGTTCCATAGCACAGCCTTATGGTAGGGCACTGCAGTGAGGTCAGAAATTAATGCCTGTGGAAACATTGGGGAAATTCGATACCTCTGTACCATCTTACCTGCCACCACATCATATACTTGGAGCTCGGAGCTGTAAACACTCTTTTCCTGACGGGTGTCATAAGTTTCAGCCAATGCGCTCGTTATGACGAATCGACGAGATATCTGGAGTGTCAGATGCTTCGTGAAAACGTGGGACTTACTTCGAGAAACTCTCTTGATGATGCTAGAAGAAGTGGTCAAGAGTTCTGAAATATCTCCCTGGTACAAAACTGAATCAGCACCTAAGGCTATCATTTGGGCACAAGATGTGATTTTCATTCGCTTCAGTCGCAACGGCAAGATGACTTCGCAAGGTGCAATTTCTGATGGTTCAATGTTTACCAAAAAAACGCAATCCATACAGCAGATGAGGAATCTGTTGGAGTTTGGAAGATCCTGGAGATAAAAATTGTGGCCGCTAATCTTGAATTGCAAAGATAATGTCCCATCCTCGCCATAGATCTGAACGGTACCGAAAACATCAATAAATATGACCAGCGTCGCAATATCCGAGACCTTTACCAGACAATCACAAGCTTCCGATAAGCCTTGCAAGTGCACCAACCTAGAGTCTGTGTTGAAATACCACACTGAGGTCGAATTCCAACAAACCACAGTAAGTTTAACTTTGTTTCGAACCTGCGCCGAGGAAACATAAGGACTCGCGGACGCCGAATTTGCGAAACCAGGTATGTTTAAGCTGGCGCCATTGGGACTCCAGGTGATTGTTCCATTACTCTTTATAAGGACAAGCTCTTCAGGTTTAGAAAACACAACAGGCTCGACTAGAACCAAGCCATGTTCCCGAAACGTTGCAATACCGTCGGCATTAACAAAAAGCACGTCTCTTTTGTCTTCAAGTTGGCCGTCTTTGTTGTGCAGCATACCGTTGGAGTCTGACCAGTAAAAACCGTGCTTTGTTAACCAGAAGTCTACCACAGGATTTTTTATGGTACCAGTCAAGGGTTTTAAATGTGGAGAGCTTTCACACCCTAAGAATGTGCATTCAAGAAAACCTGAGTTACCAGAAGACCCTCCAGACACTAACAGGCGCATGAAATTACCCCTGTCCCCCGATATACTTGAATGCAAAACCGCCTCGTTCGAACATGGGATAGTGGACAATATTTTACCAGTCATATCAAGGACTACAAGACCCATTGTAGTTGTGGATATGAGGAACTTAGACCCCTGGAGATGGATACATTTGTCAACAGTGTCTAGGTTACCTTGGCCCAAATTTAGGGTACTTTGTAAAGAGTAAGTCAAGGTTCTGATAGGCTGCGTGAGTTTCATATCTAAAAACTCCCCGTCGCTTGTACACCCAAAAATAATTGGCTCCTGTTCCATTGATTGCTGCAACGCTGGGAAAAAGCGCGAGTCAGGATTTTTGATCTCCAAAATCGACCTCCAATTTGCTTCAAAAGAATCCCACCTCGGCTTTTGCGAGAAATAGGCCTTCTGCGCGTCATAAAAAATTGTCGTTTTCGGCATCAGGCAAATAAACCCAAAATTGTCTCTTGCAACAAGTGATATTGCATCACAGAATGCATCCTGTGAGAAAGATCCGAGATCTACATTTTTCAAAACCGGCTTCCATTTGTTGCGAATCAAGTCCATTTCTTCCCAGATCGCAATGCCTGGCACATTGCCATTTTCGGGTTGACATAACACGCAAATGTTGTAAATTTCTTCCATGTCGATTGAGTTCCAGCTAGCTGCGAGTGACACAATTGGATGTGGCGATCGAAATGCCACTTTTCGAGCCAGTCCTGCTGCTGGAAGCTGGAAACTGAGTGGCCCCACTTTATAATCTACTTGAGCAACGGAAAAGCGATCCCAACATATAAAGAAGCGGTTAAACCTCGTATCGACCGCTATCAAGGGTTTTTCTGAAAAGTCCAAAGTCTTCGTGTGTCTTGTAGAGTCCATAATCGCCAGTTTTTCATCTCGTACCTCGACGAGACCCGATTGGTAGAATATTAACGCGTACTTGGTTTTAGAAGTCAGGTCCGGACAAACGCAAGCCTCCAAAACGGTCTCAGAGGTGACCAAACTGCAAAGAGGTGTTTTCCCACCGTCCAAGTACGAGAAAACAGAAATTTCTCGATTTTTAACTACCACTAAGCGTTCGTCACTGATCAGGAATGCCGTGACAAAACGCACAGGAGCTCGAAGCTCACTTATCGTTAAATTAGGCTCTAACCCAGTTTCAACATCGTCATTATCCATCAAAATGCACAAAACATTAAAACGTCAGAAACTGAAGAGCACGATGAAGAAGGAAGAGAAGCACAACAAGTCTGTTTCTCACCAATTGTCTTGTATGACAGGGGTGGATTGACAAGACCTGTTGATGCCCGTAATTCATAATCTTATATATGAAATTGTACATCGCTCTGTACGAATACGAATAATGTCAAAGGGCGAGATCAAAACTAAATTAAGATATACACTTGAGCTGTTTTTTAATGAGAACCTCAACTTGATCAAGACCCTTTGAATTCCTGTTTTCTGGGTAAGATATTTGTTAGATGAATTGTGCTCAGCCAGAAATCTCTTTTTGTCAAGCTAAGCTATTTTTTTCCCGTCAGTAATTTTTGTGACGCTTTTCAGTGGAACTCTGACACCTTCGGAATATCAAGAAAACTGGAATAGTTTCTTTCCCTTTGGAACCATTATAACCACGAGTGAGTGCTCACAATTTTGAGACTATATTTGAATTGAACAATGGTGAACCTAGCCGTCTTCAAGAGAAAGCATAAAAGCCATCACAGCGACGTCGAGGTGACATTTGCAAGTCACTCCAAGGGCTCGAGAGATAATTTGCCCACAGGTAATTCGAAGTCGCCAGTGGTCTCTACTACATGTTGTTGTTGTGGTGCAGCGCTCAAACATCCACAAATTGAGCACAAGTTGAAATGCATGAGATGCCACTGTACACTGGAACTGACGTCGAATGTCGAAGTCCGTACAAGCCACATTTCTGTTTGCAGATTTCAACAGTTTGAAGATGTGGTTGTGGGCTGCAAAATGGAGCTAGAGCAAAAAGGAAAGACCTTGGGCTCTGACTTTGCAAAGTGTCACTTGCACGAAATTTTCCGCCCTCTTGAGATTTTTTTGGAACGTCTGTTTTCGAGCGTGAGTAGTTTGAATCACTTCTGCACTGCCAGCAACAGTGAATTGGGGCAGTATGATTATAAAAACATGTCGAGCTTCTACGCGACGATTCTTTCCCTTCCTACCAAAAAACCCTTTTACAAGCTTTTGATCTGCAGCAACGAGCGTCTGAAAAAGCCCCGCGCCAACTTTTATAACGACAGCTCTGTTTCCAATTTTGACCAGCTCTTGTGGGTACTGATGATCTTGGAGAATCCGCTCCTGCGACAGAGTCTCAAATATAACGAAAACTGTAAACCTCTGGCACCCCACATCCGCGCCATCCAATATGAAGTGTTAAAGCGATCCATCGGATATTTGGCATCGGTCAATGAAGCTACCGGCAAAGATGTCATCAAGTATTTACAGGGGTTGAGCTCTCGGAGATTTGATGTACTTGTCGACCTGCTGAATTTATACATAACGTTCCATTTTTCGAGGATTCTGCGCAAAAGAGCCAAGATGGAGGCTTGTTTCGGAAGCCCAGATTTGGACGAGTTTTGCTCAGACTCAAAACTTAACCCGAGGAAGCTAGACAATGATTTCGAAATACTTCCCAGAATGGTGGGTAAGTTTTTGACCAGCAACGGACGGCCCGACCTCGATCTGCCAGTGAACTTCAAATTCAACGTAACCGAGTATGGAAACGACTGGCACATTAGAACGGCTGCAAGGCTGCAGTATTTTCATTTTGTCGCAAGTCAGCGCAAGCACAAATGTGCCACATCGCGCTTTTACAACATGCTTTCTGATTACTTGGATTACAAAAAGGACTATGAGCAATGGAAGATAAAATTAAAAGGGAATGCTCCGGAGTCACTAAAGAGCTTTGTTGAAACGCTGGATGGTTTGACATTTTCACCGGGCAAAAACCCCGAAACGCAATTCACAATGTGTCAGTTCCCATTTTTGATGACAATGGGCGTGAAGATATCGATAATGGAATATGAAATACGCAAGGCAATGGAACACAATGCTGAACAGGCATTTTTGAAAGCGCTTGATAAGAAGAAAGTGGTGGACGTTTATTTGAGAATATGCATTCGCCGAGACCACGTTGCGGAGGATTCGTTGCGTTGTATCGAAGCACATCGCTCTGACCTTGGTAAATCACTACGAGTCGAGTTCATTAACGAGCCCGGAATTGATGCCGGGGGATTAAGAAAGGAATGGTTTTCCCTCTTGACAAAGGAAATTTTCAATCCTGACAATGGGCTATTCATTGTGATCGACGAAAGCAGATTTTCTTGGTTCAACATGGCGTACGATGGTTTGGGCGGTAGCCCCCAAAACTCTTCTAAGCTTTACTACCTGTTTGGAATTGTATTGGGCCTTGCAATATACAATGGAACGATTTTAGATGTTTGTTTCCCAAGGGCCCTTTACAAAAAACTATGCGGAGAACCACTAGGTAGTGGAGACTACCTCGAGCTTTATCCTGAAACTGGTAGAAACATTATGAAAATGGTCGAATACAAGGAGAAAGATTTCGAAGACATTTTTTGCCTGAACTTTGAAGTTAATTATCCAGACGCTTGGGGTCATAAGATTCACAGAAGGGAACTTTGCTCAGATGGTGCCAAGCGGCAAGTCACGCGCGACAATTGTAGCGAGTACGCAAGATTGTGGATGGATTTCCACCTAAACAAAGCGATTGGCAACAGTTTCGAGGTTTTCATGCGAGGTTTTCAAAGGGTCGTCAGAGGAGACGCATTTCGTTTGTTCAATTCGAAAGAAGTAGAACTGCTTTTATGCGGAAGTCGCGACAAGGACATTGATGTCAGTACTTTGAAGAGTGTTTCCAAGTACGGCAATGGGTTCACGAGCCAGTCAACGGTGGTCAAATGGTTTTGGGAGATTTTTGATGAACTGAATACCGAGGAAAAACGGAAATTACTTGAATTCGTGACCGGGTCAGATAGAATTCCGGCCACTGGCATTTCTACTATTCCATTCAAAGTCTCTCGTCTCGGCGATGATTGTGACAGATTGCCGATCGCGCATACATGTTTCAATGAGCTTTGTATTTACGAATATGGCGATGGCGCGAAACTCAAGAAAAAGCTTATGGTCGCGATATATGAATCAGAGGGCTACGGATTCAGATAACAGGACCACAGCTAGAGCCCAGCTTTGGACACACACCGAACCCGACTGTGCTAAACTCTTAGCGACTTCTACTCACTATATACGGATGCGACACTCTTTTTACTGACATCAAGGTCACGTTTTATATATCGCCATAAACGAACCAATGAGATCCATCAAAAAATTTACAGTAGTAAAATTGACAAAACTCTAAGCTCGCTAATTTCGGTCTGTTAGGTTATTCGAACTCATCTTCATCGTCAACACATCTGTTTCGATAACAAAAACGTTGCGACATCGTCTCACGATCCCAATACGCAGGTTATCTTGTTTCTACAATTGAGCAAACTAGACTGCACCTTTTTCGTCCAGCTCGAAGCGTTGATTTAGCACCTTTGTGGGAGAAGTTAGCATATTTATTACCATAACCATCATCGCGATCATCGTAAGCATAAAATGTTGGGTTTGAGATCTTCTTTCAGAAGCTCTTTGCAAGCGATGAAAAGTCAGTCGAGACTTATCTCTGCTTCGGCTGTTTCCGCCAAGTCGACCTACAGAACCCCCGACTTTGGCGACTACATTAAGGAAAAACAGGACGCGGACAAGAGCCGTTCTTATGCCTATTTCATGGTGGGATCGCTAGGTCTGCTATCGTCTGCCGGAGCCAAGTCTACTGTGGAGACTTTCATCACCACCATGTCTGCTTCTGCGGATGTTTTGGCCATGGCCAAGGTCGAAGTCAACCTTGCTGCCATTCCAGAGGGTAAGAACGTGGTTGTCAAATGGCAAGGTAAGCCCGTTTTCATCAGACACAGAACTCAGAGTGAAATTGACGAGGCCAACTCGGTGGAGATGTCTGCTCTTAAGGACCCTCAGACCGACGCCGATAGAGTGAAAAACCCAGAATGGCTAATCATGTTGGGTATCTGCACACATTTGGGTTGTGTGCCTATCGGGGAGTCCGGTGATTTTGGCGGCTGGTTCTGTCCTTGCCATGGTTCTCACTACGATATTTCTGGTAGAATCAGAAAGGGCCCAGCTCCTTTGAACCTGGAAATTCCAGAGTATGAGTTCGACGACCAAAAGCTAATCGTCGGTTAAAATAATTTGATGCTTCTGCGTTGTGCCAACGATGGTTAAAAAAACAACAACAATAATCAAAAAAAAAAATATTAAACCACCCGCATTTATTCACCTCCTCCATACGGTCCCGGGCTTTGTTGACATTTGTCGTCCATTAACAATTGAGAGAACCATCCCTCTATCTCCTGATCTGTTCCATTATCTTTTTATTTATTAACGAATTGGGAGGAGATTCCGCCAGAAAAAACATGAATATATTCAATTGAACTTTACCTTAGTCTGAAGCAATCGACCGTTCCTTGGAGCTCCATTTGTCGTCAGACTGTGATGATTTTTTTTAAACGTTAGAGGAGGGATATCGTCAAATTCATTTCAAACCTCCCAAGTTCCAATCAACATTCCACGACCCATATAACTTGTTATTTATAATCTTCATGATGCCATGAATATAAACGATATACAAATTATCTAATTACTTATGGCGTTCCCTGGCTTCTAGCCGGCCTTACTACAGATCAGGGTGCCTCATTAAGAGATCGCTTAAATCATCTGGAACTGCGTGAGGAAAACTAGTGCGCCATTGTTGGAGTACATCGCGGGCCTCGGCAACAACGCGTTCGTAGTTTTCATTGTTGCGCTGTGAGCAGTTTTTTCTGGAACGTTTTCGAGAGCCATTGAATCTCTTCAAAGGCATGCCGTCTTGGTTTTGTTGCTGCGAATCCAATGGTTCTTCAACTTCGTTAAGAAGATCAACGGCATACTGAGGCAAGTTAGATGGTCTGTAGTCCTGGTAGTATAAGACTCTCCAAAATACTGACCAGTGAAGATCGCTGTCTTCACGGAGTTCCCTTTGACGACCTAGGTTAGGAACAAAAGCGCTTCGCCATCTACAATCTTTGTCCTGTACCTTTCGCCTAACTGGCACTAATTCGACAAACCACCAAGCAACAATCTGCCAAACTGGCTGATTGCCACGTCCTGCTTTGCTGGGCATTGACATGTCACGCTGCGATCCACTCCCTGTTGGCGACGAATTCGAGCATTTGAAATCGCATGACCGAAAGAGAAGCTCGTTGCATCTACGTCCATACCTTTGGCCTTTCCCGCACGCCCATGCGACTTTAAATTTACCAATCCTTACAATTCTCTTTACAATGCGTAAAAGAATAGACCTCTTCCGATCTGCCAATGTATCAGGCGTGGTTTCAGCAGTTCCTCTGCTCTTAAAATTCAACATATCATGAGACAAGGCTGTGAAGCTACCAAATGCTGGATACTTTTCTGAGAATTCATTTATAACATTCTTCTCAAAAAGAACGCCGTATTTGACTGCTTCAGCGAGCATCCACCTCATTGTTATGTTTGATAGATATTGTTTTGTATCAAAGTCAGGAATCCACCCACCGCCAACGTCAGCATGGTCCCCAGGAAACCATTTTTCAATGATATCTGGTGACAGGGACTCGTGGCTTAAAGAGCTTTTGCAAAAAGTCGAACGATAAGACGTGGAGTCAGTGGCAACTGATTCTTGTGGCCTGCTATCGGTTTCATTGTTTGCTTCCGAAGCTTTAGACTTGAGAAGCGAGTCGTGAGAGCCGTGAGAATTTGTTGCCTGATTCAATTTTCTGGCCCGATCGCCTGACTCTGATGTATTCTTCGAAAACGTGTGTAAGCTACTCGAAGTCGAGCCTGAGATTTTGCTGCCCAAGCTGCGCCAAAACGGTGAAAGATACCCATCTCTTGTGAGTTGCAGGAAGTTTTGTTGCTGAAATTTGCCTCTATGTTCGTCGAGGCTCAAAGCATGTCTGACGTGTTGTACAATAACGCTCCTAGCGGTAAAAGGGAAGTGCCTGTCACGAAGAAAGCCCGCAGAGTTCACTGAGTCAAAGCAACCTTGGAAAGTAATAACAATGTCATAATTGCGGGAAAATGTTTTCTTAAATTCTTCTGCCAGCGTTGTGGTGTAGTCGGGTTGAAAAGGCTGTGCTGCATACTCCCATTTTTCGTAGATTTTCCAAGCGGTTGAAATGATATCCTCCAGTCCTTTGTTCAGGAGGCCGACTCTCTCGATCATTCCTGCCAAAATTCTCGCGACAAATGCTCCTCTACTCATTCCGAACATGTAGATATGATCGCCTTTCTTGTAATATTTCATCAAAAACATGTACGCAGAGCATACATGAATTGTTATCGTGAAGGCAAACAAGGAGTCCACAAAATTCCTTACATTGTTGAAGGTGACTTTCCTATTATAGTTGAGACTAGAATCGAAAGTTATTGCTGTTCCAATGCCTGGTTGGTAATAACAAAGTTGCCTGTTTTCGTCACTACTGTCCAACATTCGATACAGTTTTAGCACATTCGAAAATGGTTTAGGGCCGAAGGTCCCATCTGTACCGTCAAAACAAAGGATGATATTTCGACTGCCTAAAACTTCTTCATCGACTCTACCAAGAACGCTGCCATTCCTTTGAATGTTGCCAAAATCTCCACCAGAATTATGTTTACCGTTTACACCCGTCATGACAAGTACTGTGAGGTACTTGTCCATTGGTGAGAAAGCATGAAATGGGTACCAAGTCCGCTTTATACTTTCTTCATTCTTGTGTGTTTGTGCGTCAGTATGATCCGTTAGTTGAGATGCTGACGCTGACGCTGACGCTGACGTTGACGCTGTTGCTGACACTCTATAAAACAAAGTGGCGTACAAGGTGATGGCTACGATGCTGGCGCCAAGTCGTCTTTCAGCGTCCACCGGCCGTCTGTCGGTTGAAATGTAGCTATTTGCTTCAGCAAAGCTCGTATTTTGATAATATCCTCTTTGGCAGTTAGTTTGATACCCATGTGTTCCACGATTTCAACAGACTTAGCAGCAAAGGCAGGCTTAGTGAGAAAGAAAGATCTGATCCCTTCCATCGTTTTCGCAGCTTCCTCACGTCGTTTGTCCGTGAAGTTTTCCTCATTAACTTGCTCTTTTTTCCTTAGGTTAGATAAAATGGCAGCAGAGCCCAGTGAAGTACCAACAGCTTTTTTCTTTTTAACCCTGCCAGCAGTCCCAAACTTACCAGTCCATGTAGGAGTTCCGACTTCGAAGTTCTTTGTAACTTTTCTTGATTTCCGTAATGCTGCTACTGCATCTTCTGCAATCCGTGTGGCCTCTTTCGATATAATATCATCGGAAGGCCTTGAGTGAAATTCTACCACAGATGCATGGCTCTTTGCACCTTCCACATTTCCTCCTGAAAGGACATCCATGAGACGATCATCTTCATTTCTACTTCCTTCTTCTTTGTCCTTTGCGCTGAAAAAGCCCTCTAGCTTGGAAACTCCAGAAAGTTGCACGACTTCCTCAAAATCGTCACCCTCTTCGGTCTTTGAGTTTTTCAGGTTTGCGGTTTCTTTCTGGACTTCGTTCTCTAAAGTCTCATTTGAAAGACCTGAATCACCGCCTAAAGTGAACAAATCTTGCAACTCGTTCATTTTGAAAAAACGTTTCTGTTTGGGATCCGTCAAGATTTTATTTGTTAGAAATTGCTTGAAAATTTGGCGATGGTATATCTTTTCCTCGATTGAGCCTGCAATCATTAGTCTGTAGATGGAGACTTCCCGTTTTTGGCCAATTCTCCAAGCCCTCTCACGAGCTTGCATATCCGTAGATGGATTCCAGTCGGGATCAAAAATGATGATTCTGTTAGCACCAGTAAGATTGACTCCAAGCCCACCAACTCGGGTGGTAAGTAGAAAAACATCGTACGGCCCTTTATTGAAAGAATAGACAAGAGCTTGTCGAGAGCCTATACTTGTGGCGCCATCCATTCTCAAATAGTTCAATTCGGCCAATTCTGCATCTTTAGAAAGAAATTTCTCAAGTATATCAAGCATCTGTCGGGTTTGAGCGAAGAGCAGTGTTTTATATTTTTGACCATGCCATAATTTGAGGAGCTGCTTAACGACCTGCATTTTACCGGATCTCCTAGGGTCTCCATAAGAAAGTTCGTGTTGCCTTTCGTTCTTTACCAGCATGTCGGGGTGATTGCATATCTTCCTCAAAATGTCAATGCCAAACAAAACTTGCCGTTTCCCATTCCTGATCTTAACCAAATCCTCCGAGTTGAGAAACTGGACATATTTATCCCGCTGATACTTCGTTAACTTGCAAAAAAGAACCATCTCGTTCTTCTGTGGGAGGTCTTTTGCGACGTCTGCTTTTATCCTTCTCAGTAGATATGGTGAAATCAAGTTTCGCAACGCAATGGCACATTTATAACCAGTCTGTACCTGAACGTTCGTGGCATTAGCATACCCACCCATGTTGATCGGAACAGAGAATTGCTGCTGGAAGACCGGTAGTGTTCCAAGTCTTCCGGGATATATGAAATCGAACAAACTCCATAATTCTGTCAAGTTATTTTGAATCGGTGTGCCCGATAGAATTATTCTATTTCTCGTCTTCAATTGTTTGCACGTCAGTGAAATGTCGGCATCAGGATTTCGAATTTTATGTCCTTCGTCCAACACTGCATAGCTCCATTTGATATTAAGAAGTTTATCAGAATAAACTCTGAGACCAACATATGTTGTTATAAGTACATGACCTTTCGTGACGACTTTTTCAATAAGAGCGTCGCGAGCCCTCCCACTTTCTATACTGCTTTTAACTTTCTTCCTCTCCTTGTAAGCATCAAACGAGACCTCATCAGGATTCGAGTTCATTACAAGTTCTTCGAGCTGTTCTTCAGTAAGAGTGTCTTTTTGAGTCATGCCCGAGCCAATGGAGTGTAATATTACTGTTCTAAAAGCAGGCCACCAAGTATGAAGCTCCTTGCACCACTGTCGTAGTACTGTTGCCGGACAAACGATAATGACAGGCCCATCTAATTTATTAGAATGATGCAAGGAAGCCAGAAAAGCTATCATTTGAATTGTTTTTCCTAAACCCATCTCGTCACCGATTATGCCACCGCACTCTTGTTGGTATAACTCATACAACCATTGCACACAAGTCTTCTGGTAATTGAACAATAAGTCAAATATCTCCCCTGGTATCTTGAAATCTCCATTAAGTTTTGCATCATGGTGTTCGGGATGGGACTTGAGGTATTCTTCTGTCGCTGGATTTTGGTCATCATGTCTTCGCCTGCTTCTTTCACGTATCCACCGTTTCAGTCTTCGTTGGTAGCTCAGTTCGTCCCCGTCGTCGATCATACCAGTATTCCTGCGAGTGCTTTCTTCTTCCAAGTGGTCTTCGTCGAACGCATGATAGTCAGAGTCGGAGTTGACGACCTCAGCATCCTCTCCGGAAGATTCCATGTGGGTGCCATCGTCCTCGACACCCTCACCAGGATTGTCGAGATCAACGTTTTTCTCCAGAAGAAACTCTGATTTAGTTCCAAATGCCGTTTTCTGACCGATTCTTATTTGGTAGTCTTCCTCGGATTCTGTCGGCTGCCTGGCTGTGGGATCACCATATGCCGTTTGCGAGCTCTTCGTCGCAGACAGTGAAGCAACACGACTTTTTATATCATTCACATCGTTTTGCAGAGGTCTTATCTCATCAGTAGACAAAGCCTGGAGTTGGACTTGCAGTTTCTGCCGTACACTGATTCTAGTCGCATTATTGAGTTTACGTTTTAGCAATTCCCGTTTTCTGACAGCTTTATCCAGAGCATTTTGGGCTCTCTCTAATCTTTTAAGCTCCTGGTCCAGTGTTTGTTGATCTATGGCGCTCTGTGCACTGGTTTCAATCTGGTTTTCCAGCGCATTCTGATAAACTAGTTCGATTCCTAGATCTTCAAGGGACGCTTGGTTGTGCTCAGAAACCATTCTGGTATATTCTCCTGTTTTTATACTGCTCCCGGGCGTCAAGCTTGCCGACACAACACTTGAATCTTGGCGTGGCTCACTTTTGTTCTCTAAGTTGTGCTGTTTGCCATGTAGAAATTGTACATCGTCATTTAGCGTATGATGATCGCAAATGAATAGGATCGACCTCAGTGCTCGACCAGAGGGAAGGAACAAGATCGTGAGACGGACCAGTACTTGATACCTGCCGGTCAATGCTGTTTCTATATACATGTGCTTGGCGAGCAGATTCCGAATAGATCAGTGGTTTGCGGCCTGTGAACGTCATAATATCATCGTCCGATTCCTATTTACATGAATTTAAAGAAAGCAGGTCTTTGACTGAGACAAGAAAACAGACCTCTCGTATCATGCGGTCCCACCAAATTAGTTCTTGCTAGCACTTGAAAGCGTTTCTAGCTTGTGTAGCTCTTCTCGGGCGTCAAAGTTCCCGCTAGAGAGGTTGTCATATTGTTGATCGTATTTTCCCGTAGAGAGCGCCCCGTTTCCCCTAAAACGCTTCTTCATATCTACCATGCCCCTCTTGCACTCTAAAAACGCCTTCATCTGCGCCATGCACAGCTCAGGCAAGTCTTTGCTCAGGTTGGGATCTTCTAGGCATTGTTTAGGAGTATTTCGCTCGATCAAAACACAAGGTGATCGTTGCAGGCAGATAGCAACGGCTTTTCTCTGATCGTTACAGCTAGCACCCATATTAGTGAAGGAATCTAGAAGTAGAGTACGCTTGGAATCGTTGTTATAAAATGCGATTTGTTAAGACTGGGGATGCCTTGTGCTTCTTGCAAAAGAGAAGAAAATATAGTTTTTTTCGGGGAAGATCGCAAAGGAGAACACAATCTGGTCTGAAATGCTCACCGCTCACCTTTAACTGAGTAAATGACGATAGATGTGTCAGTTACGTTCAACCTTGATATTCTAGATATAACAAAATCACTACTATTGGGTTTATGACACCTCGTATATGATGATATCAGGCTTGGATGAGAAGTCTACGCCAAGCTACAATGGTCCTGTCATCTACAGTCAAGACGGCTCTGACCTCTGTTGAAGTGAAATACAGGGCTTTCAGAAGAATGACGGCATTCGATGACTGACTTTTGACCTAAAATTCAGCTTCACAGCCCAAACCATAACTTCAATGGACAATACTGCTACGAACAACCGTCACGTCAGTGATACTAAAGAGCAACGATATTCAATCGTACGCTGCCAATTGAAAATAATCAAGTATATTTGCAACTACTAATTTCACCACCCTCAATGAAATCCCGTCATATTCTGAAAGTGAGTAAACAGATTTTTTCTGAAGCTCGTAAGAATCATCACTTATAGAGCTCTTTATATACATTAAGGTAAATTATGGGCGTCATTTCCAAACCACCAAATCCGATCTTAGGGTGTGGTTTTCCTCGCATTTATTCTTTAATATGTATAGTTACACCTCTACTCATTTTCTATAATTTACATATATATATATAATGACAATCTTGATCTTGAGAAACACAGGAAAGGGACACCCTTCCATAAAGCGCTGGATGTCTACAAGCAAGCTATTGTGACGTACATGGCACTTAATTTTTTGCCAGGACAGCCAAACTCTACACAGCAAACAGTATGCCAGGGTTTGTGGCAGGATCGCACCCTACTTGCTTACTGTTCGGGAAATAACCTAATAATTGTATCGAACGACTTCAGTCGACTGCAGACCATATGCTTCGACTTTGACTGCGTTGCAGTTGATATTAACTCCTACAATGGCCATATCGCAGTGGCTTCAGGGTCTAAGGTTCATGTTTTCAAGCCCTTGCACCAGGTAATGAAAACTCCAAGGTGGGTTTCTTGCATCGATATTTTTCACGACGATTCGCCAGTGAACAGCATCAGCTGGGGTCTCAACGGAGAAATTGCTGTAGGATCCGACTATCTTTCGTTTTGGAGGGTTCAAGATGAGTTCGGCGAGTTCAAGTCTTCTCTGCTGTGGACGAAAAAGCAGTTCCGACCTGTCTATCGATGCGCCATCTCGGAGGACTCGCAGGTGATTGCCAGCATGTACAAATACAGTCGAACGGTGAAGATGTGGAAGCGAATTTCACTCGGCAACGATCGTGTGCTATTCGACCTAACATTCATCTCCCACCCCGGTTACGTGACATACTTTCGATGGAAGCGGTCCGACAATCGCTGCGAGCGCGAAAGAAACTCGCATGTGTTTTATACTTTGTGTACAGATTTGAAGTTACGAATCTGGACTTATTACGAAAATAACAGTCAGAAGACAATACAACAATGGGGGCATTTGAACTTGGATCCGACAAAAGATCAGAGATTCTGTCTTTTACTAGATAGCTGGCTGGTTCAGAAACTCTTGCAAGGAAGCAAGATTAAGAACTCAGAATACTACTCCGAAATGCATCCCGATTTTGCCGTATTAGCGAATTGTTCTGGGGAGCTTGAATTTTACGCCCTAGAAAACCTCTCCCACGACCCGCCCAAATTGATGGACCACAAGCTTGTGGCTACTGCCACCATTGAGCAAAAATCTTTTGTTTTCAGCTCTGAGTTCCTGTGTTTCGCCGAGCCTCAAGTTGCAGACGAGGACTCAAGCCAATTCTCTCTTGTAGTACATGACATGAGAGGCGTTTTACGACATTCGATAATCAATCTTGAAAGTGTACTGTCTGGTGAGCAACGAGAGATAGGAACGCTTTTGCACAAATTTACAGGCCACAAGAAGTCAATTCAAAAGCTTGTCAGAAGTAGCGACGGCCAGGCCATGATCACTTTATCAAGATTCTCAGAAAACACTGTTTGGGTTCCCCAAACTTTACCGAGTGGAGTTTATCTGCGCAAGAAAAACATCATTCTGTCAGAGACCCCTTTGATTGATGCTGTTGTTCTCGAACGCGGCAGTCTGATCTTGACACTTTCGAAAGACTTCAAATTAAATGCATGGACCTGTTCAAATGACCAAGGAAGCAAGTTATCAACTCTGGAGGCGGATTTTGCCCTGGGCTCGTCAAGAGGGGCTCCGCTTTTAATGATCAACACACCAGAAAAAAAACACCATCATGATCGACACTACGTGGCGCTAATCTACTCTTCAGGCGAGGTTTTGAGCTTCTGTATATCGCTTCCAGATGGAATCATTCCCATAGCTACAAATAATCTTGATATTGGTGAACAAAAGAAGATTTACCTGATTTCTTCCATTGACCCCGTCAATTATGGATTTCATTCTGACAGATCTCTAGTTGCTTTGATCGATGAAGATGGTCTCATAAGAACTTTCAAGTGCGCTGTACAGGAGAAAAAAGTGACGTGGAGGCTAAGCTACAAGGTGGAAACGAATCTTCATAATAGCACGCTTATAAGTGGCTCATCGATCGATAAGATATGTGTTGTAGCTAAGTCCGAGAAAAGACTAACAATCTGGGACTTGCGGCGAGCATTCCTGGAATATGAAACGGAGTTCAGCGATCCTGTTTGCGATATTGACTGGACTAGTACGCGGTTCAGCCAGAGCATTTTCTCTGTTGGCTTCGCGGACCATGTTCTTCTCTTCACGCAGCAAAGGTATGACTATACAACAAAGATTCCCAGCTATTCCCCCGTCGAGGAAATTGCCATAAGGGAGTACACAACGCATGATATTGGTGACTCAATTTGGCTGACAGATGGAACTTTCGTCATAGCCTCTGGAAATCAATTATTTCTCAAAGACAAAAGTCTTGATATCGGTGACAAATTCACCAATCAATCGATTGGGTCCCGGAAAATACTTTTAAGGGATATTATGCATTTAAGCAGTGTTCTTAATGGACCGCTACCGGTTTATCACCCACAATTACTGATTCAGGCCCTCTATTCTGACAAGCTTCTGCTCGTAAAGGAGGTGTTGCTCCGCCTATTTTTGGCGCTACGACGACTGGAATTTCATTCTGCTGATGCAACGAAGCTAGGGGCTACCCTTGGGCTCACTTTTAGAAAATTCATTCACCCTTCTAATGAGACTTATGTTACGGACAATTATCCTGAGCCCTACAACGAATTCAATGGCTTGGTGTCTTCTGACTTAAAGGATAAGTTGACCAAACATGTCTTGCCATTCATCACCCGTCATCAACAAGTGACTCTCATCGCGGTCATCGAGGCGATAGATGAAATAGATAAGAACAAAGCGGCATTGGATCTACCAGGAACCTTGTTTATATTAGGATTGAAGCTATTTGAACTCCACAGGAAAACGCAGCTATCAGTGCACGTCCGTGACATTCAATGGGCACTACACTCTTCGAGCAAAAAGGCTTTATTTTCCAGCGTTCTTCCGAGCATTGATTCCTGGGAACGGGCGCGCCAGTACAAGATAAGCTTATGGGTTAATCGAGAGGATCTGATAGCATCATTTGAGAAAATTGCTAAACATGAGTTTTCTAATGGAATAGAGCGAGATCCTAGAAAATCTGGCCTATTTTATCTGTCACTCAGGAAAAAGCAAATCTTGATTAGCTTGTGGAGAGTCAGTACCGGCAATCCTGAACAACAGAAGATGCTCAAATTCTTAAACAACGATTTTAGAGAAGAAAGATGGAGAAAGGCAGCTCTTAAAAATGCTTTCGTGTTACTAAGCAAACACAGGTACTTGGACTCGGCCTGTTTTTTCCTACTGTCCGATTCGCTCAGAGATGCGGCAATTGTAGTTCTGAAACAGATGGACGATATAGCTCTCGCCATAGGAATCTGCCGCCTGTATGAAGGGGACCATGGGCCGGTTTTGAAGAGACTTCTGGTGGACACTGTTCTTCCACGAGCTATAAAGAGCAACGATAGATGGATGACGAGTTTCATCTATCAAGCTTTAGAGAAACCCTCGTTGGTATTAAAAGCCCTTGTTATGTCTCCCATTGATCTCGAAGATAATAAGGAGATTGTTAGTCAGGAGGATTTGAGCACTCGATCTTACTTGGTAGAGGACCCCGCACTGCTCATGCTTTACGCGCAAATCCGAAGAAGAAATGAATTTTATTTTGCAGCTTCTATGGAGGTTCAAGAGAACCTAGAGTACAAAACGGTCCAAAGGGTCTCTGCCATTTATTCAAGAATGGGCTGTGATTACTTAGCGCTTTCGCTGTTGATGAACTGGTGTTTTCATCACCAGGCCAGAGAAGAGCGCGAGAAAAGCAACTATGTTCACACACCTGTTGAAAAGTTTAAGGTCTCTGATACTCGCACTAAAAAACTTAGAAGCATATTTGACAAATTTGATGAGCTATCCCAGACTCCTTCGGACTATTCATCGCGAAACTCGGCATACAGTGCGTCTTCCACAAAACCAAAAAATCTGCTCGATAATATCGATGGTAACGATCAAAATCAATCACCAGGCATCTCGCAACAGGGTACCGACGAAAGTGCCACTTCAAGTATGAACTCCTCAGAACCAGCTTTGGTGGGCAACAATTTGACGTCCGCAACTACTCCTCTGCTAGACAAAAACGAAACGAATAATTATGACGGAAAGGTAAAAAGTACTCATCTTCAACAACCACGTAATCTGCTGGACGATTTCTTTTAAGAACTATGTGCTTACTCTATCAAACAGACCTACATGTATGCTGCTACCCAAAGAATTTGGCCAAGCTTTTCCTGGTTTTTTCCTTAGCTTGTTCTAGACATTTCTCGGTGTCTGCGATTTTTTTGTCCACTACACTGTCTTTGGGATTTAGCTCTTTACAAGACGCATATGCCGTTAAAGCTTTATCGAACCGGTTCTTGGCAAAATGGCAGTTCCCCTGTCTATATAGAGCCTTCGCTCTATCGAGTGGAGAGGACTCAGACATTTCCAAGAGGTAAGTCGAGTATGTGAGGGAATCTTCAAACGATTTCAGCTGGAAGTAAACGAGAGAAATGTTTAGGTATAGTTTAGCCTTCAGATTGATGAATTTACCATTGAATTCTTTATTGACATCAATTTCAGGAATGAACTCATTCACGTAGCGCAGAGATTTTTTGTATTTGAAGAGGGCGTCTTTATAATTGTTGTGCTTGAACAGAAGAGATCCCGAGTCTTTGATGATCGTGGCGGCCTCGAACGCCTTTTCAGATGACTCTTTGTCAAAATTCAGGTCGTCATCTGGAAACTCTTCATAAACGTCTCCGCCGATAGGGTTGTTAGATGTGTTGAATACTGGAATTGGCATGGATTTGTTCCAGACCCCACAGTCTTTAAGAAACACTGACTCCGCGGGAAAACCGTCAGAATCAACGCTGCAACGTTCTACTGTGCGAACCACAGACTTCCCATGTATTACTCTTCCAAAAATGCTATGCTTGTTGTTCAAATGGGAAGCAGCCTGTGTCGTTATGAAGAATTGGGAGCTATTGGAATTTTCAGTTCCCATGTTGGCCATTGCAACCATGAATGGTTCCGAGAACTCACCTAAATTTTCGTCTGCAAAATCCCCATAGCATTGTATGCCATCCAGCGAATCTTGCGTCTCGAATTCTTGTTCCTGAGCAAAAATGGAACATCCACCTTTCCCGATCTCGCTAGATTTCGTACTATTTTGACCACCCGAACCAAAAACAATGTCACCGGCCTGAATCATAAAAGTTTTAATTATCCGGTGGAAGCAGTTGTTCTTGTAACCAAACCGTCTTTTATTGATCTCAATGCCATCTGAACACAGAGTTTGGAAATTCTTGCAAGTCTTCGGAGCTTTATCCCCAAAAAGCTCGATAACAATGCGCCCTATGGGCTCTGTCCCAATGTTGACATCCAGAAATACAAATGATTCGGACATCTGCAATAGAATGGTGTTTCCTTGTGAGATCTGCTTGTTCGTCGTCGAGAGATCATGGTTCGTGCTCATCGGCTCTTTTTCAAGCATTGATTTATACGTCATAATGACATTATGGTACGAAGTGACGTGGACGACCTACAAATGACGGAGACAAATACTCTGGGAGCCGAGTCTAGGATGAGGAGGCCAGGTCTATGTATCCAATGGCACTCCATAGTATTATTTTGAAGGATTTAAGATGTAAGGTTTTCGAGATAATTGATTATGTCTCTTTGATGTTCTTTAAGGTTGACGTTATTTGAATAAATTGCAGGAAAAATACTGTTAGTGAAACACAGGTTTAATTGCTGACATTTGGGTATTCAAAAAGTCCAACCATACTGAAATTTAAAATACAATCACCCATTGCCCAAATCAATAAATTGAATGTGCGAATTGTATATGATCTCGGTTTTACATCTTGGTGCAACATGAGTGGAAAAGTGTAAACAATATACAACTCGCGCGCGATCAGAATCTTACTTCTCATTTTGATTATTTTGGAGTTGTCTGGAATTATCACACCAAGAAAAAGCTCGAAATCTCGATTTTTTTTGCATGACAGTAAAGCTGTCATAAAAACTCACAGCTTTATTCCAGCACAGATTCACAAGATTTTAAGCTAGCAATGAAATGAAAGCCTCAGTGTACTGATTAATTTACAAGCATAGTGCCTCGAAGCTTCTCACAGTCTCTAAACACAAATAACGTAGTGAAAAATGTATCAATATATTTGCTTAACATGGAAACAGCTCTTGATTTTTGCAGATTAAAAGAGCTCCGACGATTGAAAAAGTAGTACACTCACTGCAAGGCTAAGAATGGAGAATGTAGAATCCCAACCGCTCTTATAGTCAAACTCAAACGTCTGAGCCGTTCGAAGTTTAATCCACGTCTATAGTGACCAGAGATCTGGTAATAAGAAAATATCCAGACACCACTGTTTCGAAGCCAACTGGTCAACACAAGTTAGGATCACGACGGACTTCTCAAAAGGCTTTCCTGCTCGCGTTTGTACTTTTATCAAACCATTTAGTAAAGAGCTGATCGGAATTTTTGTCTCCTGGCTCAGTCGCGTAACAATATGTCGACGATTCAAAGCGATGTGGCTGTTGATCCCGTAACGATCGTGATAAAGGAATGCATTACCCTTTCGACTGCCATGCGCAAATACTCCAAGTATACCTCTCAGACCGGTGTGGCAGCGCTGCTGAGTGGCGGTAGTGAAATTTTCAGCAACCAGGATGACTCGCTTGCCGATACTTTCAACAATTTGTCCACGAGCAAAAACAAAGACCCGCTTTTATCAGGGTTGGTGCAATTGAGACTCATGCTCAACAATCTGAGCTCGCTGGACTCAATCGACTCTTTGACTTTACTACAGCCCTTTCTAGTCGTAATAAGCACACCTACTATTTCGGGCTACATCACATCCCTAGCGCTCGACTCGTTACAAAAATTCATCACTTTCAATATCATATCTGAAAAGTCAATCAACCACACGGTTGCGTACCGTGAGGCGGTCAATGCTCTTACGCACTGCAGGTTCGAAGGATCTGAGCAGACGAGCGACGACTCTGTTCTCTTAAAGGTTCTCGTGTCACTGGAGGCAATGATCAAATCCAAACATTCTGATATCTTTTCCGATTCGATAGTATATGAGGTACTTCAAACCGTGATGTCTTTGGCCTGCAATAAGAAGCGCACCGAAGTGCTTAGAAAGGCGGCTGAGATGTCAATGATGTCCATCACTGTCAAAATTTTTACCAGGTTGCGTTATGTCGAGGCCACAGACTCCCAGAAGTACATCAACGACGAGGACTTTTCCAAAAAGGTATTAAAGGATGACACTATCGGAACCGGCATCGAGGATGCTGTAGATGAAGCGGAAACAAAGGACGAGCTCTCTTCAACTGAGAGTATAGAAGAGCAACCTATCGCCGAAATGCGGCCACAGTCTCTCGAAGAAAACTACGGCTTACCTGTCATCAAGGACTATCTCAGCATTCTGATCTCATTAATCATGCCCGAAAATCAGTACAAGCACAATAATTCTACTAAAGTCTTCGGTTTAACTCTACTGAACATAGCCGTTGAAGTCTCCGGTAACCTATTCCCAAATCATCCCATGCTTTTCACTTTGATTTCTGATCCGATTTTCAAAAACGTTCTATTTATCATACAAAACACTGACAAGTTGTCTCTTTTACAGTCAGCACTGCATTTATTCACTACTTTGGTCATAGTCATGGGAGAAAACTTGCAAAAACAAATTGAATTGACCTTTGAAAGTATATTCGACAGTCTCCAAGGGGACAAAAGCACAAGCTCGAGACCTAGGACGTCAGCTGCCAAGGAACTAATAATCGAACAGATATCCATTCTCTGGACAAGAAGTCCTTCCTTTTTCACTAATTTGTTTGTGAACTATGATTGCAACCTCAATAGGTCTGACCTTGCAACAAAGGTCCTCAGTTCCCTCACTAAACTGGCCCTTCCTGAATCAGCTCTTACTACAGCAGATAGTGTTCCACCCATATGTCTGGAGGGACTGATCTCCTTCATCGACAACATGTATGACATTTTAAAAGGCGCTAATAGACAAGTCTTGGACCAGAGTTCCATGATAGAAGCCCTTAAGGAACGCGCTAAGAAGACAGAGTTCATTAGATGTACGGATGCATTCAATGAAAAACCCAAAAAAGGCATTGCCCTTTTGATAGAGAATAACTTCATCAACTCAAGCTCCGAGAATGATATTGCCAAGTTCTTGTTTGAAGAAAATGGAAGACTTAACAAGAAGGCTATTGGTGAACATTTGGCTAGCCCGGAGAGCCTTCCGCTTTTGAAAAAGTTCATCGAACTATTTGACTTTAAAGATTTGCGTATAGACGAAGCAATTCGTATCATGCTAACTAAATTTAGGCTTCCAGGTGAATCTCAACAAATTGAACGCATTGTTGAGACCTTTTCGGCTTCCTACGTGGAAGCTCAAGAATACGATCCTCAAAAAGCTGATCAAAATATCGAGAATGATTATGGCACAGTGCAGCCCGATGCCGATTCTGTTTTCATACTGAGTTTTTCTGTTATCATGCTCAACACCGATCTTCACAATCCACAAGTTAAGAAGCATATGACCTTTGACGACTACACATACAATCTAAAGGGATGCAATGATCAAAAAGATTTCCCAATGTGGTACCTAGACAGAATATTCTGTTCTATCAGAGACAAAGAGATAGTGATGCCAGAAGAGCATCATGGAACCGAAAGGTGGTTCGACGATGCGTGGAATAATCTGGTGTCCTCGACAACTGTCATAACTCAAACAACGGTCAACTCGATCACCAAAGAACCAGTACTTGATCAAAAAGCAGCTCTTCAATTCGATAAAGCAATCTTTGAAATTGTCGGGGACTCGATAGTGAAAACCTTATTCAAGATTTTTGAGGTAGCTTCCGATGACCATATCAGTACACGTATGTTAACGAGCATTGACAAATGCTCGCGCATAGCCTCTTTCTTTGAGCAAAGAGAGCTTTTCAACACTATTCTCGAAACAATTGCTAAATCGACCCTTCTGACCAAACAGTCTTCGAAGCAATCTTCAGGTCTTCAAGATATGAATGAAATACCTGTTGTTCAAATCAATCTGGAGGAGTCTAAAGAGGTACTGACTGTAAGCAGTTTATCCGTTCGATTCGGTAGGGACTTCAAGAGTCAACTATGCAATGTTGTGCTGTTTAGAATCTTACAGCAAAATGACTACTCCGACATGGTTGGTGATAATGTGTGGACCTTGGTAGTTGAAATATTGCTAAACTTGTTTGAAAACTTCCTTATTTCGCCAGATGTTTTCCCTGATCTTCAGAAAACCTTAAAGATTGGAAGGCTACCAAGACCGGCCCCAGAGTACTCGATTAATAAATCGAAGATAAACAAAGGTCTTCTTTCTACTTTTGCATCCTATTTGAAAGGTGATGAAGAACCTACCGATGAGGAGCTAAAATATTCTTTGAGCGCATTGGAATGCATAAAGTCCAGCAGAGTTACTTCCTCAATTTTTGGCAACGAGAATAACGTCATGGGCCCGCTGGTTTCGGTGCTGTTGAAGTCAGTGCCAATGCAACCTTCTTCGGAAAATAGCAGATACTTCGAGTCCGAGATTTTGTTTATTATGGAATTGGCTTTAGCCTCTTACTTATTCTGCAAAGACAACAAAGATGTTGGAAGAGCAGTCCTCTCGAAATTGAAGGACATCTCGGCGCTCAAGGATGGAACAAAGGCATTCAAGCAACGTATTTCGGCTTACAAGCTTCTTCTGGTCTCGGTTTTGGACGAGCCGCAAGCAATAACAGACTTAATCAATAATGACGTGCTCGCAGAGAAAGAGATTTATAATTCCGAATTCTTCGTCAGTGAGCAGGGCTTTGAAATGCTGCGGATGATACTTTCTCTCACCGAAATTGAGAACTACAACGCAGTATTGTTGCAGGACGATGGGTTCTGGAAAATACTTCGTCTTTTTGCAGCTACTGAAGGCCACACATTTACCGTTTTCGAATTTTTGGACAATTCGATCTTGAAAAAGGAGCACACGGTAATGCCTACCAATTTTCTATCGGTGCTTGGTCTCCTGGACGAGATTTCAAGTGTCGGCGCAATGAGTGGAGAGTGGGAGGAACACAATGAAAAGCTGGCTGCAAGTGGGCAAAAGCCTCGAAATGAAAACCCTTACCAGGATGCTGTCGAATTATCTTTGAAGTCAATTAACGCGACCTCTCGGTTGTTGGACTTGAAACATTCTGAACTCTTCAGCCAACGTGAGCTAACCGGCTTGCTTCAAGCTCTTGCTCATCAATGCTATAATCCTTGTTTCCAGCTGAGAAGCTATGCCCTCAGCATGTTGGATGGAGCACTTTCGAAGCATCTTGACATGTTTTCAAAAGCAATGGCCGTGTCTGAAATCTTCGAAAACGGTCTTTTGGCTATTATGGAAGGCGATAAGAAACGTGCCTACGTCCCCGACATTATGGCCTTATTCTCAAAAGTTTACATCCACTACTTGAATAACGGGACGGGAGATAATGAGACCTTCTTGAAGTTAATGAATATTTTCGACAAGTATGTTGATGATCCGGCCGTGGAGAAGACCTTGCGAGACCTTCTTACAGAGAAGAAGCAGTTTGACAAAACATCGAGTTTTGCAAAGGACGATACTGATGGAGAACCGCAGAAAGAACTTGGCCCTGCTATTAGCAGCGAGTAGATTCTATCTCTAGTTTGTATTTTTACGTAATGAATATGGACGGAATTAATGACGATTAAGGGCCGCTATGGCGACGATCAATGGCTTTCTAAAGCATGTTCTGATGAAAAGTCACCCAGTTTGTTTCTCATAAGCTCCAGGCATAACAAACCAGCTGTAGTTCCCGGGATGATGGCTAATGTATTTCTGCAAAAGCCTTTGTAGAGCCATTTGCATATCGCTCCAGTGCTCTTCTGAATGAAGTAAACGTGCTGAAAGGTATCAAGGTAGGAATGGTAGTAAATGTGGAAAAGCCTTTGATTTCCAGGTTTGATCCTTATTCTGGTGATGCCTTCATTTAGACGAGGGCTCCGTTGATAAGGTTGACTGCCAGATTGATTAGATGTTGCTTTCATGTAGATGTCGAACGCTTCTAGCCTAGAGAGATGGATCTTTTGTAGCTTGAGAAATGGGTATTGGATAACCTGCAAAAGAAAAGCGGCCGAGACACCGCCAACAAACACGAATGCTTGATGGAAACGCTTTTGCTCCTTTGCGCTCATCACATTAGCAGGTTGAAGATTTTGTTCATCTTCTGAATCGTCTTGAAACATTCTAGCGAGCTTGCTCTGTTGTAATTGTAGTTTAAGCTCGCGGTAACTTGTAATGGAATCAATAGTCCACTGGCAAACCTGGCCCTTGAGAAATTCGAAAACAGTGAAATACGTGGCGAATCCAAAACACTCTTTTAAAAGTGAAAGACCAAATCCGCCAAAACAGCCTACCAGTCCGATCTCTTGAAGCTTTCTAAAGCTGTAAACCCACAAATTGTCGTAGTTTTTGGCTTGGGTGAGCAATTGATCCACAGTAGATCTGGTGTAGATTGCATCAATTGGTGCAGAGGCAAGAGCTTGTGCTGCCCCTGCTATGAACCCTGCTCTCACCACGTCCCAAGGTCTGTGATAGCCAGAGCTGTTGTTAGGATTGGATTGGGCAAATGCATTCAGGGTCGTCAAATATGTGGTATAAAGAAGCACACCCGCGGCCGAGTTGGCGATCAGCGGAGGCAGAACTCTTTCTGGGATTACTCGCCATCCGTATTTATTGAGTCCCTTGGTGAGAATTCCTAGGGAAGTGTTTTCCAAATAGTAAAGATATCTTGGACTCCACACATGCGATTTCAAGGTGAAATGTGCCGTATTAGGTTGTTCGTGCTTGGGTGTTCTCGTTTTGTCATCTCCAACTAGAAGTACGCGCAGGTAGTGCAAATAGTCGAATCGAGCTGGTCGGAAAAGTTTGAGCGGGGTTCTCAAATAGAAAGATGTCATTTGGTACACCAAAGAGCGACCTCCAGCTGTGGTAGCTCCAATTAGAGAAGAGCTCGAATTTGGCGTGGACCCCGGACTCGCCCGGCCAGTTGAAATATTTCCTTCCAAATCAGACACAACTTCCTGGACCATTTCATTAGTTGCAAGAGTCAATTTTTCAGGTACATTCAGCTTCCAAAAAATCAGTTAATGATGCCAATGCTATTTCTACGTCACTGAAAAGGCTGACTTCGACCAGGCAATATTGTCAAGATTTAGGATCTTCGAGATTTAATAAGAAGACAGGAAATATCAACGAAAGTAGCTCTTTTAAAACGGGGGAAAAAATGCATGCACTCACTCTCACAGCCTTTTAGCTTCTGGCAGCAACCTCGAGCGAAACAATGACGATTTAGTCTTATAAATCTGATAAAAAGAACTGATCTTTAAATCAACTCATCGCATCGAAGTCTATGTTAATTATTGAAATTTTTCGATATTTCAACAAGCTAGAATTCTAACGAACTTTAGATATTTCAATGAATAAGACATCCTAGGTCGTTGTTAGCCTTATTTTGATCCGATAAACCCTTTTTCAAGTCGCTACAGGCTATAAGGATTTTTCTCCAACAATTTTGAACAATTTTGACCTAGTTTGGCCAATTTCGCACTTTCCAAAATGTCCAACCTAACCTACGAGGCAAGAGCTCAAAAACATACCAGCCCAGTGGCTGCCAAGCTGCTGAGGCTGATGCACGAAAAGGAGACGAATTTGTGTGCTTCATTGGATGTGAAAACGACCAAGGAACTGCTAGAGCTAGTGGAGATCTTGGGACCTCACATCTGTCTGCTTAAAACGCATGTCGACATCTTAGACGACTTCACGATGGACGGAACCGTCAAGCCCTTGAAGGATCTGGCACAGAAACACCAGTTCATGATCTTTGAGGACCGTAAGTTTGCGGATATCGGTAACACCGTGAAGCTACAATACTCGTCGGGCGTTTACAAGATCGCACAATGGGCAGACATCACCAACGCACACGGCGTAACCGGGCCCGGAATCGTAGAGGGCTTGAAACAGGCTGCGCAGGAAACTACACAGGAGCCCAGAGGACTTTTAATGCTTGCGGAACTCTCGAGTAAGGGCTCGCTGGCGCACGGCCGGTACACGGAAGAAACGGTCAAGATCGCCAAAAGCGACAAGGACTTTGTGATTGGGTTTATTGCGCAGAACGACATGGGCGGCCGCGACGAGGGGTTTGACTGGCTGATCATGACTCCCGGCGTGGGACTGGACGACAAGGGCGACGGTTTGGGCCAGCAGTACCGCACAGCAGACGAAGTGGTGTCCAAAGGTGCCGATATCATCATTGTGGGACGTGGGCTATTTGCCAAGGGCAGAGACGCCAGTGTTCAGAGTGCAAGATACCGTAAAGCCGGCTGGGACGCGTATTTGAAGAGGTGCGAAGCCGGGAAAAGTGATATATAAAGCCAAGGCGAGAGCCAGAGGGGGAGCAAGAGCAGTGTTTACACAACCTGGTACTAATACGGACAACTAAATAGTCAACTACCACGCGTGAATAGGAGACGGAAGTGGTCTAGTTGATCTTCCTGTGTCGATTTGTAGTTCTCGCCGTCCTTTATATACTCGCGATGGGACTCGTAGACAGCGACATGTTTTCTACACTCATTTTTAAAAAATCTTCAAATTCTAGCAAGAGCACACCAATTGACAACACACTTCAAGAACGCTACAAGAAAGAGCTCGATTCACGTCCAGTCGTTGATTTGGCCACTACCCAGCTTCTTCTCCCAGTCGTATTTCATATAAACCCACTCACCCGTCACACATATCGCCATGGACGCCCTAAATAGCAGAGAGCAACAAGAGTTTCAAAAAGTCGTGGAACAGAAGCAAATGAAGGATTTCATGCGTCTGTACTCGAACCTGGTCGAAAGATGCTTTACAGACTGTGTCAACGACTTCACGTCTGCCAAACTCACCAACAAGGAGCAGAGCTGCATTTTGAAGTGTTCTGAAAAGTTTCTAAAGCACAGCGAGCGTGTGGGACAGCGTTTCCAAGAACAGAACGCTGCGTTGAGCCAGAACATGGGTCGTTAAGCCTTGTGAAGCGTCTTAAAGCCTCGCCAAGCATCGTGTAATCGTGTAATCGTGTAATCGTGTATATAAGTATTTAACCTGGAAGTTAATGACAATTCCTATCTATTATGCAAATCCATTCATTGCAATCACCAAAAAAGAGCGAAACATTGACAATAATCGGTATCGGGTTGAACGTCCACAAGTGAACGTTCTCCTGCCATTGCACTCAACAGACCTTTGCCAATGATTCACCACTGACAAAGTCAAACGAAACATCCGCTGCCATTCCCATCACGCTTGAGTACGCTCGACGAGAGTACTCGAACGTGTAGATTTCTGATAACAGCGACCACACTCACTTTCCAGTGGAGTTCTCTCACGAGAAACAAGAATCCATCGAAATAGACCCTTTTGGTATAGATATTCGAGATATCGTAGTCTCGCAGTGTTCCACCGAATTTCCCACCTGCCTATAGGAATCATAGTAGATTGTGTGCAAGCAGGTTGAATTGGCAGGACAATCAATGTTCCGCACTCGAGGTTCGAACCTGCGCCCCGAACGCCATCGGGAGCCGCTGCTCCAAACGGGGTCCAGGAGGAGTAAACCTGAGAAAAATACGACCGCCTGGCCCTAGTGGTTGGACCCAGATCAGGTGCGTTGGTGTCAGCGACAGCGACGTGGACAACAAATGGGTGGTTCTTTGGGCTGTAGACGTCGGGTTTCAGGTTGGACTCTAGTCATGGTTGATTATGTATTTGTAGAATATATGTATTGTATATCTTTTCCGGTTCAAAGTTTCGGTTTGTTCTGCCAACCAAATTCAAGCTTGCCCTGACGTCCGGGCTCGATGATGACGTTGAGCAGCGCCGGTTGTCCCGTAGCGGCGATTTTTAACGCCTTTTGGAATGCATCGTTCAGTTCTGTAATGTTTTCCACTAGGAACCCACGGCATCCTAGCCCCTCTGCCACGAGATCGTAGCGACACTTGCGAGTTAGCGATGTCGAGGCCAATTCCCGGTTCGAAACGGTCCCTGTGCTCGGATCATTTGCACCAGAATCGCCATGGTAGATCCCTCCGTTGTTCATAACCATAAACACCATCCCGAGATGGCACCGGGCCGCGGTTTCTAGTTCCATGCCGGAAAACCCAAACGCAGAATCGCCCTGAATGCACAGCACCAGTTTGTCTGGATGAGCCAATTTCGCAGCAATGGCGTACCCCACTCCTACACCCATAGTCGCGTTGGTGCCAGCGTCGAGTCTCTGCTTTGGGTAGTCGGTGGGGAACGAGACTCGGGCCACGTCCATTGTGTTGGCACCTTCGCTCACAATTATGGTGTTTTGATCCACGATACAACGCCGTACCATTGCGTAAACCTGATTGTAAGTGAGTGCTGTGGTACCCGTTGTCTTTTTGACATCCTCTTTAGCCCTAAGCACGTCCTGATTGGCCTGTATTTTGTCACCTAGCTCTTGCGATACCCCGGTGTACTTTACTTCCTTCAGTAGCGGCGTCAGTCTCTGCAACGTCAAGCCAACGTCACCGCACAGCGAATACGTGGTCCCATGGGCGTTGTTGTGACCCAGATCCTCAGCCGTGGTGTCTACTTGAATGAAAACGGCCGAATCCTTCCATCTGGGAGGTTCTCCGAAATGCAAGATCCAATTGAGTCTGGCTCCCAGCACCAGCACCACATCAGCAGAACGCAACGCCAGGGATCTGGCCGATGATACGTTTAAAGCACTCGAATCCGGAACCACGCCCTTCGCCATAGGTGTGGGCAGAAATGGAATCTGGAACTGTTTCACAAACTGACGTACCTCGTTGGCGTTATTCGTGGCACCTTTCCCAATCACACACAGAACGTTTTTGGAAGATCGCAACACGCCTGCGACAAATTCCAGGTCCAAGTCTACAGGTTGATATTTGACCGCGTGCAACGGTCTAGGTCTCTCAGGCTCATTTCGCAAGCACTTCTGATGAAACACATCGCCTCGAAGATCCAAATATGACACTCCCGGGGTACCCAAACTAGCCTGTCGCAGTGCATTGTACAGCATTTCATCCACATTTGAAGGGTTTAGCCGAGCACTAAATTTCACATAGGGACTCAAAAGCGAGACCTGATCTAATTCTTGGAAACCACCGCGATGCACGTCTTCGCTGCTGCCCGCTACCACGAGTAAAGGCCATTTATTGGAAATCGAGTTGTACACGCCAGCCAACGCGTGAATCACACCGGGACCGCCCACCGTTAGCAACACGGCAGGTTTTCCAGTCAAATACCCATACGCAGATGCTGCGTAAGACGCAGCCTGTTCGTTTCTGAACCCAACAAACCGTATTTTACCCTTCAAGATCAAAGTATCTGCCAATTCCACAATGGGAATCCCAACTAGCCCGAAAACGGTGTCTACACCGTACCCACAGAGCGCATCACACAGGTACTCTGGGAATGACGACATACTGGCGTCGAGAAGGTGTGATGAGACCAGAATTGTCGATGTTTGTTGACCGTAGATGACATTCATGAGATGAGCCTGTAATTAATAGGAAAAGTCTTGGCAGAAACTAGACAATATAGAAAGTTGGTTATAGAGAGGGGAAGAAGATGGTCTTGAGGTCGATTTTTATGGTATGTGATTTTGGAGGGTAGGTTCTTCATCAGTGTGAGTTTGGAGTCGATTGGGATAGTTGGATTGTGAATTTCGATCAGAATTGTATCGAGCCGTTGGCAAGTCTATGAAATAGGATGGGATAATGAATACCTGCTAATTGAGATCAATTTGGGTTGGTAATCAATTAAACAGCCGTAGAGTGTAATCACTGGGAGTTTGGAGTCATTTGTTCTGATGTTTTCATGGATTTAGATCACAATTGTATTGAGCCCTAAGCAATTCTATGAGGTAGAGTGCCATCATTAAGGTCTGCTTATCAAGGTCAGTTCCCAATGATACAGAGTCTCGTAGTCATGAAGCTCAATCGCTCAGAGTTTCGAATTTGAATGCTTTGCTATAGTAAGGTCTTAAATTTTGGTCACAATTGTATCGAGCTGTCAGCAGTTTTATGAAATGGAATAGCACCATGAAACCCGTCTGGAAAACGTCAAATTCTTTGGGAAACAACCCGGTATTCAAAGTGTATAATCAGAGTGAGTTTGGGATCGTTAGCAGGAGCTTGGTCTTGAATTTCAAAAACAATTGTATAAGTCCTGTTGCAAACGGCATTAAGCGCTGTGGATCAAAATCAAGATACACTGGTGAACAACCCCAAAGTCATAAAATATAATCCGTTTGAGCTTGGTGTCGTTTGAGCCAGTTTTAGCTCAAACTTCGTTCACATTGTAGCCTCTAAATGGCACCATGAGACGCTACAAATCAGGGCCAAATCCCATTGACAAACACCTTGGCAATAACGAAGTACAATAGCTGAGAGTTTGGAAAATTGCATCGGGCTGTTAGTAGTTCTATGAAATGGAATTGCAAGATGCCCAAATAAGGATCATTTCCATAATTAAACTGGCCCGTAATCATAGAGTATAAGCAGTGCGAGTTTGCAAGCCTTTTCAGCATTTTGTCCTGACTTTTGCTCACAATTGTCGGCCGTCAGCAATTTACGAGACACGATGCCATCATCAGCGTGCTCATTGCCAACATTTCGTAGTTTTAATGTATAGTGGTTCACTCTCGCAGTCGTTCGCGATTGTAAGCGAGCGATTGTTCAATTGTGCTTGCTGACGCTCTCAATTGTTCAAAAGTGCTTGGAGCTCTCTCGATTGTTCAGAAGTGCTTGGAGCCCTCTCAAAGTGCTTGGAGTCCTCGCCCTCACATCTGAATCGACCCACCCGCGGTCCTATAAAACGGAATCGCATCGCGAATATTATGCGCGCCAAACAACCACGAAACCAACCGTTCCATGCCCAAACCGAACCCTCCGTGTGGGACGCTGCCGTTTTGCCTCAACGCCAGATACCACTCCAAGTCACCCGCGTTCATGCCCCGACGGGTCATTTCCTGCACCAGCGCATCGTAGTTGTCCTCGCGAACACTGCCCCCGATAAGTTCGCCCATTTGCGGGACGATCAGATCAAAACACGCCACGGTGCGCTTATCCGCGTTAAGTTTCATGTAAAACGCCTTGCACTCGCGTGGGTAATCGGTGATGAACACGGGCGATGCGAAATGCGAAGCTAGCCATTTTTCATGCTCGCTTTGTAGATCTTGGCCCCAGTTGGGCACAAACTGGAACGGTTGCGTTGCGTGCTGCTGCGTGAGAAGCTCTACGGCGTGCGTGTAAGTGATACGCGGCCATTTACGCTGCAAAAGCGAGTTCCAGCGTTCTTGCACCGTTGCAGCGTCATCAAAATCCGAGTGTTCTGCGGGCACCAGCAGTGGAAGCAGCTCGTTTTGCCTAGCGACACACATTCCAACAACCCGTTTGAGCATGGCCTCTGCAAACACGGTAAGGTCCCAAACTCGATCAACAAAACACAGTTCTGCCTCGAGCATCCAAAACTCGGCCAAATGACGGTTCGTGTCGCTGGTCTCGGCGCGGAAACAGGGCGACAACGTCCAGCACCGGTTGAGCGCCGCTGCGAGCACTTCCAGATGCAATTGCGTCGAGACCGTGAGATACGTCTTGGAGCCAAAATAACGAGAGTCCACGGCAAACAGCTCTCCTGCGCCCTCGCAATCGCCCGACGTGAGCACGGGCGGTGCCACTTTCGTGCAGTCGTGGTCGTCCATGAATTGCGCGAGCGTCAGTTCCACTTGCGACCGGAATCGCAGCAGTGCGCCCAGATAGTTGGATCGATGTTTGACCACTGGGTTCGCGCGCAAGAACGCGAGCGAGTGGGCTTTCTTCTGCAACGCGTACGTCGCGGGCACGTCGCCGATCACACGCACCGCGTCCTCGCTGGCCCGCAGCTCGAAGAGCTGCTGGCGTCCCACCGTGCGCGTCCAAACGGCCGAGTCCACACACACCGATTGGCCTGTTTTGAGCTGGAGAACGCTGCGAGCCTGGTTCGCCCCGGGTGCTTGGCCGCCGCGCCGCACAACCAGCTTCACCGCGTGCGGCGTGGTGCCGTCCTGGAGGTCCACGAACGCCAGGTTCTTCAACACTCGCACCGACTTGACCCAGCCTTGGACGTTTCGCACCGTTTCTGGCGTGTCCGGGGTGCTACTGGCGCGTTTGAAAAGCGATTTGAAAGTTGTGCTCGGCAGCCGAAGCATAGGTCGTTGGCGAGTCGTTGGCGAGTCGCTCGGGAGTCGTCGAGTCGGTGGTCTTGACCAAAGATGGCGAACTTGAACTGGTCTGTCTTGGACTGAAAAATTTCGAGGTTCAAGAGGTCTCACTGTCGCTGTCGCTCTCGCTACAACGTCGGCACGCTGGCCGCGTCCGCGGCGGTCGCCGCGGCCGTGCGTGCCTGGTCGACGCGACACCGTAGTTCCATCACTTCGTCGCGCACCATGTCCCTCATCGCGATCTTCTGGCCACAACCGGTCATCGGACAGTCCTTGGTGCTGGCATCGCCGTGTAGATACTGGTGGATGCCACTGTAGTCGAAAACATGGCCGCACTTGCGCGAGACCATCGGCTGCGTGTAGCGGCGACAAGTGATCGGACACGTCAGTTCGATGCGGCCGCCCGCGATGTGTAGGTCTTCGTGTTGGTCGTCGGGCACCACGCATCGCGGGTCTTGCAAGATGTAGGGCAGGGCCCGGAGTAGCGAGGCGAGCGAGTCGGGAGACGTTCGAGCAAGCGCGACGCTCGCCTCTTCAAACACCTCGCCCAGCCGGGGCGCGCTGAGCGCGCCCTCGCGGTACTGGTCCCAGTTCTCCCACGTCACCGTGGGCATCGCAGCGCTCGCTGCGACGTAGCGAGCGCGGGCGTCCTGAACACGCTGCTCGAGCGCTGTCTGGCGCTCGCGCAGTTCTTGGAACTCGCCATACACCGCGGCGAGCCTTTCCACAGCACCGCCGGCGCTCAGGACATCGGTTTCGACCGTTTGGGCCAGAGTTGTGGTGAAGTGGGCGCGCGTGTCGTTGAACAACGCGGCCAAGTCGCGCGGTTTCCAGCGTTTGAGCTCGTCTGCGACCGCAGGGTGCAATGGCACCGTCTCGGGGACGTACCAGGGTTCCCGGTCCGGCATTGTTGGTAGTGGTGGTTTTCAGACGAGAGGTGAAGGAAATGAACAAGTTAGGAAGACAGTTGATCGGGAGAATCGACTACTCGGGCGACGACGAGGACGAGGACGAGGACGAGGACGAGAGACTTGACTACTACGCTCGCTCGCGCTCTCTCGACTACTACGCTCGCAAGCTCGCTCGATTACTACGCTAGCGCCCGTCCGATGGACGAACTCATCGTTCTACAAACGCTCTACACGCTGCTAGTCCAGAACAAGACCAACCGGGTGTCACTGGTGCGACTCCAGACCGAGATCAACGACAACGCGCTGCTCAAACAACTCGTCCCCAGCACGCGCAAGCCCGCGGTGTCCGTGCACGACATCCTGGAGCTGATCAAGCGACTTTTCCCAAAGAAAACCTCGCTCACAGAGGGCCAACTGACGTTCTACAACTTGCACCTGGGCGAGATGCGCGAACAGCTGTTGGCGAGGTACGCTGGAATCCGCGAGAGTCTGGTGAGCCAGATCAGCGCGACGGAACCCGCGATCGAGGCCCTGGTCAAGGACAAGACCACGTCGCAGCGAACCCGGCTCTTGGAACTGTGTCGGGACACCTTGTTGAACAAGTTCGAGGAGCACGCCCGTGCGCGCATGTACGCGCACAGCGTGGGTGAGGACGCGGTGCGCGAGCCCGTCAACTTGGCGTTGATTCGCGGACGCACGCCCGCTAGCATTTTGGAACTGCAGGCTTGGTTACAGATGTGTGTAGCGAACGCGACGATGTACTATGGCAGTGGGAGTAAGGAGTGGAGGGACGCGCGGGAGAGTCAGGGACAGTTGGACGAGACGATAGGGTTTGTGAGGAGTGTTTTGGAGTAGTCCGCAGCACAGTTGAACAATCGAGAGCGCTAGCGATCGATTGTGAATAGTCCAGAGGGCTACAAGCACTTATGAGAGGGCTCGGAGCACCCGTGAGAGGCCCTCCAAGCACCTGTGAGAATGCTTCAAGCGCTGTTGAACAATTGAGAGCGTCAGGCTCGAAGCACCTGTGAGAGGGCCCCAAGCACTTCTGAACAATCGATCGCTAACGCTCTCGATTGTGAATGCTCCAAGCACTCGCTTCAAGTTTCTCTTCAATTACTACAAGTTTCCTTTACAATGACTGACACTCTCATTTCGAGCTCTGGTTCTTCTACTGACGCTCAATTATTCAACTGTGCTGAGAGCAGTCGCTTCTTCACAATAGAGGGCATTAGCGATCAATTGTTCGATATTACTACAAACCCTTGACTTGTTCACAGTTGAGAGCGTTAGCGAGCAATTGATAGTGATTATGGCCTTTCTATAAAGCTCTCAGTTGGTCAACTGTCTTTACGGGTCCTATGATCATTCACAATTGCTCGCTGACACTCTCAATTGTTCAGTAGTGCTACGAGCTCTCTTCTCATTCACAACTATTTGCTAACGCTCCCAATTGTTCAATAATCCTTCCAGTTCCCTAACATTTCGAGTCGCTAACGCTCTCAACGCTTCAATAGTAATGAAGTCTACTACCTAGAGTGTCAGCGTTGAACTGTACAATTTATAACGAGTTATCTATTGTCTTCTGACGCTCTCAAAAGTACTACGAGCTCTCAACTTATTCGCCGAACTCTCAGTTGTTCAATTGTACTTCGAGCTCTCTAGTTTATTCACAATCGAGAGCGTCAGCGATCGATTGTATAGTGCTTTTGGTATTTAGAGTTTTCTAGATTAATTCACAATCGATCGATAGCGCTCTCAACTGTTCAATAGTGCTTGTAGCCCTCTCGGCTATTCTCAATTGGTTGCAATGCTCTCAATAGTTCAAAAGTACAACGAGTTCTCAACTTATTCGCCGAAGCTCTCGATTGTTCAATTGTACTTCGAGTTCTCTAGTTTATTCACAATCGAGAGACCTAGCGAGCAATTGTATAGTGCTTATAGTACTTTCTTTGTTCACAATTGATCGCTATCGCGCTCAATTGTTGTGTATGACATCTTTACTCGTTATTCGTTAGGCTCGCAATTCTTATTACAAGCTCCTCACTGATATCGCTCGAGTGTTCAACACTGCTCGGGAAACTTCACTCGTCAACACCCGTGTGTTGACGCTCCTATCTGCTTCGTAGTAAAACGAGTTGTCCAGTTGCAATTGCTCAACTCTACTACTAGCTCTCTGCTCAAATTAGCAATCGCTGTCGCTCTGAATTGTTCCGTTAGATTACGAGTCTTGAAGTCCTGACGCTCCCAATTCTTGTAGCCATATCTCCTGCTGTAACTCGGCTCTCAATCTCAGTGGTTCATTTGCACTACGAGCTCTCAATTCTCGAGCCCTCGATACTCGAGCTCTCTATTCAGTCAATTCGAGATAACAACTGCTCCATTTTAGTCGTGCTTGTAGCCAACCGACGTGCTTAAAATTGATAACTTACACTCTCAATATTTCAGTTGTGTTCGGAATACCGCTTTCGCTATCAATGGTCGCCAGGCTTGTAGACGTCTAACGTATTCTTAATTGATGGTGAACCAGTTCATCGTTGAGAGCGCTAACCATTGTTTTTGAGAACTCTAGCAACCAGTCCTTAGCACTAAGACTGCTGAATTTTGTAATTCTTTGAATTCAAAGTAAGAGTACGAGTTATCAATCAATTGCAGACGCTTGCAACTTTCTACAGTGTTTGGATTCCGACGCTCGATAGTTTGACTAAAAGTACTTCACTTTTCACAGTTTACCGCTGACGCTCGATTGTTGGTGACCCAGCTAGTGCAGTATTTGTTCACAATCGAGGGTATCGAGTATTCTCAATTTTATGGAATCTGTTTCTATTCACACGCTATTACTGTCGCTCTCGATTATTCAGTAGTGCCTCAAGCTCTTCGACTAAGCACTGGCAATCGATTGTTACTGGGTTTTTGTTCGCAATTGGCGGCTGACGTTTAGAACCATGACCTCTCTAGTTTTTCAAATTCCATCGCTGAACGCAAGGGTATTCCGCTCATTCACGATTGATTGCGGATGCTCAGGTGTTCGGAAATACCACAACTTACTCACAATTCATCGTGAAGGCTCTCAATTCTACGAGTCGTCGACGAATTCTCAATCAATCACTGAACATCTCGATTGTTCAATCTTCCAACGAGTTCTTGATTTGTTAAGAATCAATCCCTGACGCCCGGTAGTTTGCGCACTCGATTGTTCAAAAACACCAGGGATGTTGAACTCATTCCCAATCAATCACAGACATTTCGCCAACGCTCACCTGTGATGCGAGAGCTTGACAGTGTCAAGAGTTGTTTATAAATGGCCTTTCTTGTGAAACCACGAGTTCTTGATTAAATTCGAACTCGATAGCAGATGCTCCCGACGGCTGATGCTCGAATACCGGTTATCTAGTTTATTCAAAATCGAGAACGCCAGGTATCCATTGTTCAGCCCTAAGAATACGAGCGAAGCCGACCTCTTGCTATACACAAGCTATCGCTGATGTGTAGTACTACCTTTTCTTCACTTGTTCGGCGAGCGTACGAGTGCTTGGAGTGTTTCACTTTTACAAACTATCGCTACAACTTGTAGCACTCGCCTAAGCTCTTTTTGGTCGAGTTTCCTGAAGCATTCCAAGTCGGCTTCTAGTACTATTGACACTCTTGATCGTTCAGTAATTTTTGGAGTCCTCGGCGCATTCACAAGGGAGGTTAGCAAGCAGTTGTTCCAGGAGCTTGTAGCCCACTGCTTAATCACAATCAAGAGCGTAAGCAAGCAGTTGTTCCAGGAGCTTGTAGCCCACTGCTTAATCACAATCAAGAGTGTAAGCAAGCAGTTGTTCCAGGAGCTTGTAGCCCACTGCTTAATCACAATCAAGAGCGTAAGCAAGCAGTTGTTCAGTTGTCCTGGGAGCTTTGTTCACTGTTCAGTAGTACTTGTAGGCCTCTCTTCGTCGCTCAATAGTGCTTCCTTCGAGCGCCCTTCGCTAGTGCCTCGTACTCCGAGTTGTTATGGTCATGGCAAATTAAACGTACACACATATACAAATAAACACTTGATTGCCACGAACGACACGCAGTCACTGGACAATGGGATATCCAATCAAGAACTTCTTTTCCCATGCCCCGCGCTCCACAACGGTTTCACACGTTGTCCGCACACACACACACACAGATCAACGAGCCAACGCCATTTCGCGCCGCCAAGTCCGGCAGAGACCAAAAAAATAACAGAGAAATACAAAAAAAAGACGGCACACGAGCACGCACATTGCACGCACATTGCACGCACTCTTCACCACACCAGCGTCACACATCACACCACACACACACACTCACCCACGTTGATTCCCCACACACGCACAAAGCACCCATTGCAGAACACAGACTCACGTCATTCCCGCCACCTCAGAGCAACACACTTCCTCTGCAGGCTTTAGAACTTCTGCAAGCCCTGCTTTCTAGCTTGCATCTTCTTGTAGATAACAGTGGAGAAGATGGCAAGGGCAGCCAATCCGACAAGGACGAACACCAAGATAACACCGGCTGGCAACATTGTTTATTGTATAAGTGTGTGGGACGTTTAGAGTGTGTGTGCTGTGACACCGAGAGAAAGGAGAACAGTGAAACTAGCGCATTCGTAAAGAGATTATCCGGTCAAAATTGGGCGCCTTTTATAGTCGAAAAAGGGGCAAAATTGGAATTTGGGTCGTTTCGTACGCATTGGAGTTTCAGCCAATCAGATCCATTTCCTCGCAAAAGGCCGCGGGTAGCGTGAATTGGTGAAAAGGACGCACACGGAACGAGCGGAAGCACAGTTGAACAATTGAGAACTTCAGCGATCAATTGTGAATAAACCGGGGACCTCGAAGCACTACAAAGCTACTACAAAGCTGCTACAAAGCTGCTACAAAGCTGCTACAAAGCTACTTCAAACCTCGACTCATTCACAATTGCTCGCTGACGCTCAATAGTGCTTGTAGTACCCTTCGCTAACGCTCTCAGTTGTTCAATAGTGCTTGGCCTTCACTTTGCGATCGATTGGTGAGTGGGACAACGAAATTCTTGATTGTTCACAAGCTACCGCCGATGCTCTCGATTAGAAGCTCTCTATTCACTTAGAGTGTCAACGATCAACATTGCGATAATTTTCGAAGTCCCTCACGCGCTCTCCAGTCACTGACGCTCTTGACTGTTCAGTGATACTACGTGATTCTTGATTCATTGGTGAAGCTCTATATTTTCCAATAACACCACTAGTCCATCGCTGAGACTCTGTATTTTTGGAAAATGCAATATCTATATAATATTTCGAGTCCTCTAACTCTCGATTGTTCAGCACTTAGGCAGTGAAATCCAAGCCTGAAGCTCTCAATTGTGAACAAGTCGAGCTTTGTAGTAATATTGAACAATTGAGAGCACCAGCTTTCAATCAAGAATGGGTGAATTACCGGTAAAATACTTGGTGTGTCAGCTTGCTGGCTACATGCGCTACACTTGGAACATATACAAGTACTATCCAACAAACGCTACACTATAAAAGTTCCGGCCCTGTCGCTGCAAATAAACAAAATTTGTTTTGAATAACAAGCTGAGAGTTGACACCCCATTGCCATTGAGCTAGATGTCTACATAATATCTTTTCACACTAGGGAGCTAGCGCCAGCAGAGCGTCGCACGATAAGAGCGGTCGCTTTCATATGCGTTTGCCATCGCAGTTTCGTTGTTAATAGAACTACGAGATTGCAAGTGTGATCACTCCAGTGAAAATAATTTATCTGGCTACGAGCACCATGAAGAAGGCCATTTCCACTCTCGTTGGCACTTCTAATACAATACCAAAACGCTGTATGAAACCCCGGTAAGAGCCCACTTCGATTGTCCCAGGCAAAGTATCCGTCAAACCAGTTCAGTGCTCATTCGCAGACGCCGCCTTACTCTACTTCTCGCTATCGAGAGCGTCAATCTCACCGTTTTACAATCGTTGCACTGGGAGCTATCGATTTTTTTGATACAGGAGTGCTTATTCGCTATTCAGCGCGGTAGCGATCAACGGCTTGTGTGTTTTACTCCAGTTCTCAATATATACTAAAACTTTTCGACTTACGGTCTTGATTGTTCAATAGTGCTCGGAGTTCTCTTTTTATTCACAATCGACTTACGGTCTCAACTGTATTGTGCTTGTAGCCCTATCTTTATTCACAATTGATCGCCGACGCTCCCGATTGTTCAATGGTGCTTGTAGTGCCCTTCGCTAACGCTCCCAATTGTTCAATAGTGCTTGAAGCCATCTCTAGCCATCTCTAGCCATATTACAATAATCTTACATTCGTTATTACAGTCTGTGTCAAGGACTCACCTTCCACCTGTCCTGACGACATCTTACAAAACGTACAAACACAAAGCGGATCCGGCAAATGCCAAGATAAATGGCAATAGCCCCAATTGTAGTTTCCATTCCGTCAACGCAAAACGGAACCAATGTGCTGTCACTTCAAGCATGGACACAGATCCAGCCACGTCTTTCACCGCGTAAGTGGCCTCGTCTGCAAACGACGGTTGCCATTGCGTCAGTAACAATGCCAATAGCGCTTTTGCCACGTGGAACACCATGGGATCCAGTAACACGTCCGGCAGGTCGTAACGGATGAAATTGATGTAGTAAGAAATGAAAGCCGGCAGGATTAGCGACCATACGGACCAGAAAGACGTCAAAGCCGCGATTTCTTGCCACGTCGAGGTCACAGTGACAAACGGTTTGTCTGCAGTGAGCTCCAGATGGTTGCGAACCACGTAAACGTACGCTTCCACTGCGAAAAACAGCGCGTCCACGGCCGGAATTGTGGACAGTACGTCCTGGACGCTGCCGTTGGCTTCCATAGTCTTGTTTTGGACGTCGTGCATGAACTCGTTGAATTTGAACGCGAACGAGCCTTGTGAGGGCGTGATGCGTTGGAAATCCAATTGCGAGAACCAATTTTGCAGTGGTGTTCCGTGTGGCAACACCAGATCGTCCTGGTCTTCGTCTTCGGTGTCTTCGGATTTCGTTTCCGTGGGCGTAGTGATCGTGGTGACCGCGTTGCTTACGACTTCGGCGACTGCTTCTGCTGCGTCCTGGACTTTGGTCTTTAGACGGTCTTTCAAGCCGTCTGCATCTTCGCTGGGATCACTGCCCACTTCGTCGTCACTATTGGCTGCTGATTCCTGGTAATAGGTGGCCAGTTCTGGATACTCTGCCAGATCTAAAGGTTGATCTAATTCCTTCAAATGTGCGTCAATGGCATCTGCGATTTTGGCCTTGGTCGACGATTGCGCCACGTACAAGTCTAGTTTGTCGGCCAGATCTAGCAACTGGATTTTCTTCCATTTTCTTAGAGACATGTTTTGAGAGAGGGGAAGTTTAGTTTGCTCGATGTGATTGAAGAGTCGGGGATGGGGAAATATCACAAAATGAACCGATATTTGGAAGTTGAGTTGGTAAACGGATCTTATAACAACTATTGATGCTCAAAATATCAAAACCCTTTTGCGTCGGTAGGTTTTATGAGTTTTGATGATGGTAGGTTTAAGTTGAGGGGGCCGGTTTGTTTACACTAAGCCTAATTAATATGAGTGTGGTGGTCGTTGTGTACGTGTGTGAGTACGGGCGCGAGTACTTTTGAACAATCAGGAGCGACAGCGACGGATACTACAGCCACTATTGAACAATTGAGAGCGTTGGCGATCAACTGTTAATAGCATGTGTGGCTAGAGCGACTACTGAAATATTCAGAGCTTCAACGATGAACTGTGACAAAATAGAGAATTTGTAGCAAACTCGAAGAATCAAGAACGCTGGCGTTCTTATTAAAAGCTTAGTAGTCACATTTGAATATTAATGAGTGCTATTCGCCAATCGAGAACGGTAGTGCATGAGTACGCCAAACGTAGTTTTATCGGCTTCCTGAGGTGACAGCGATGGGTGTCGAGGCCCGAGTACGAGTACGAAGACGAAGACGCTCCACCACTAAGCAATCTAAAGCGTCAGCAATCGAACTTGAAGCACGGCTGAACAATTGGGAGCGATAGCGAGCAATTGTGAGTACGTGGAGAGCTCGTAGTACACTTTACAATTCAAAAAGGCGGCCATCGTCAACCTCTCGAGCATTCAGGGCGCCAACGCTTATTTGTGAATATCTGAAAGAAACGTAACGAACGCTTATGAGCAATTTCGAGCGTCAGGGATCATTTTGTAAGTGACTAGAATACTCGCAACGCTACTGAACAATTGCGAGCGATAGCAGTCAATTGAGGAAAGTGAAGCACTAGAAGTACTTGTTAGAGAATGAGCTTTTTAGAAAAGACCCTCTTCAGTTGGATAAGAGCAACACTGCTTGGACTATCGAATAATTGAACACTCTCACAAGAGCTGGTAGTTTCCCGGGGGGCATCGTATCTGTTCACAATTGAGTGCGAGAGCAAAACTGTCAGTAAAAATGAGCAAGCGAGAGCACTCGACTTTGAGCTAGCCTAAAAGTCCTGCTAGGCTCTCAACTGCTGAAGACATGAGGTGGTGAGATAACCAAGTGCCGTGACTGTTGGGCGAAGGAGAGCGGTGACCAGGAATACAAGTCGCGTGCTTTGCTTGACGACAGCGATTAGTTGTTAAATCGACATCGCGCCGCCCCAAGTGACAGTCGTCAATACAGCAGGAGTTCTAGCCTCAGGCTAGCTAAAAGAGTTATACCGTCTTTTCAAACTTGCAATTGTGCAGCGGCACGATCTTGTGAGCTTTGATTTTTTCCTCCATCGCGGACGTTCAATGAGTTCAAAACTTGTTCAACGGTATTACGAGAACGTATTCACAGTCCTCCAAAAATACGCAGACTTCTCATATTATTCACAATTGCTCGTTAACGCTCTTAATTGATCAGTTGGGCTCCGAGTTCGCTAACGTTCACGATGAGTACCTTTGCGAGTACAACTGTAAATGACGTTGTTTGTCTTCGAGCGCATACGTCAGATTTAGATTCAAGTCTCTCGTATATCAAGGACTGAGCAATGGCACACAAGCTTTTAACTCCGAGCGCAATGGCGAACTATGCTACGAGGTCGATTGCTACGAGCACAATTGATCGAATACAGAGCTCGAAGCCCTCAAGCTCAGGTAGCAACTCTCCGAGTTTAGACGGTCTCTACCTTGATAGACTCAAAGACGAGCCTCTCCCGATGAATTCCTGATACAAGACTTCGAGCAACATGCTTGTGGGAGCTCAGAGGGCGTTGAAAGTCGGGTTCTTGTATGGTGGAGCTCGTCCTCTTGGTTAAGTTGAAGTACGTACTCTTGATTCCTGAACTGTATTACGGGCTCCCTAAGTCATAAAAGCTCACCATTGTCCAGTTAGGCATTAAGCCATTGATCGCTAAAGCTAACAAATTTGTTAGTGCCTTCGTAACCGTCTTGCGCATTCACAACTGATCGCTAACGCTCCTCTCAATTGTTTGGGTGTGCTTGGAGTTAGTCTCAAACTTGGCCCTTTAAATTGGATCTGCAGGCTGCTCTCATTTCATGTGCATAAGGAATCAGCTCGGGCAATCTCGATCGACGATCGGCAATGATCGACGACAATCTCTTGTCGTATAATCGACGACAGTTGTTTCCGTCGAAGAAAAATTCGTTTCCAAAACCTCCAATTTGTTGACGCGGTAGAGTCGCATTCATTGCTCTGGCGATGTCGTCCCACTTTGATTCATCTTCCCAAGGCCGAAACTCGTGAACGGTATTCATGAACTCCAGCGAATTTGCGAGAGAAAGCTCATTTGCTCTATTCCAAAAGAAATAGAATGAAATCAAAAGGTAGCACTCATAAATCGCAATCAAAAACCACCAGTGATTGTACATTAAAGTTGGTGTAGTAAGATTTGTGAAAAAGATCTCTTTCTTAAAGCCCGAAAGAATCCATGTGGCCTTGGACCGATAGATCTCTATAGGTAGCTTCTTCTCACTTGAAACACTGCTGACATGATCAGTCGTTTCGTTCTCTTGCTCGCAATCGAATATAGACTTTTCGTATGTCTGTGCAGCGTCGCGAAGCATTGCAATTTGTGCGTCACCATCTAGCTTGCCATCCTGTAAAGGAATATAGACCAGTGTCCTAAAATACCGGAAAAAAGTAGCACCATCGCAGGGGGCCCACGTACAATGCTGCAATGCTTGCTTGTTCAATAGGACGGCAATGGCGTCCCACTTTTCCAAGGCTGTTCCCGGCTTTTGTACCAAGACCTCGCGACATAGCTCCAACCTGTGCTGTCTCACAATGTTTCTTCTATTATGCTCTATGAGAAGCACTTTGACAACAAAGAAAAGTACAATCCAGAGTAGAGAAAGCAACGTACTAAAGACATAAGCCCATGGTCCTGCACCAAGAGCCAGGAACAATTTTCCAAACCCAAATACTGAAGCAAAAAGGAGCAACACAACCAGGAAATGCTTTGGCACTTTTCGAAACCCTCTCCATTTACACGCATCTCGAATTGCAGGACCCTGGACCTTTCCGTCCGGGAGAGGCCCTAAATGACTGTTTTCTTCCATTAGCAAATTTGAGCAGATGAACGGGAGCTTTTCAGAGTTTGGTAGACGATTGCTGGGTTTTGCAGGAGAGTTTACGGAGCTTTTGTCAGGGATGGGTACTTTAATTCTATATAAGTGGGCTCGGGGATTTCCAGACATAGGGCACATGACAGTATAAGCCTTGGCAAAAAACCGTCAATGACATCCAGCTTTAGTTAACCAGACAATGAAACATCATTTCACTCTTATTAGGGCAATGTGACGCTCGATAATAAGTGTGTAATGAGCTATTCTTTAAAACGACTTTTTTCCCGGTGCAGTAGCACAACATACAAACAGGTCAGTACGGGAAACTCTCTCGCTGCTTGGGACAAAAGGCAAAGGGATATATAAGAGCTCTCTACTTATTCAGAATTGTGCCTGAAATTTTCGGTTGTTTGGTAGTGCTACAATCTCTCGCTAGATGATCTCTAGCTATTCACAATTCATGGCCAACGCTTTATGATAACGAGTTGTAAATTAAAATTGTGCTTGTAACCAAGCGACGTATTTCAATTTTAAAGTGACTAAGAGCTCTCTACGTTTTCACAATTGACGGCTTTTCAAGCTCCCAGAGGTAATTGTGGTATGAGATTTCAATGGCAGTTAAGGTATAGGCTGTGAATATTAGTTGTGCTACAAGCTTTCAAAACGTCGGTTGAACTACAAGCTACCTGGTTATTTGCATGCATCGCTGACGGTCTGGACTGTGAAGAAGAAAGGAGCTTGAATCACAGGTTTCTTTGAGGAGAAATCCTACAGGAGAGCGCACTTTGAACTCTTTCCATTCACACTTGAATGTCGGCGATCAATTAATTGTTCAATTGCGGTGTTGATACTCTACTTGGGAACAACTGGTCGCTGCTTGTAGCGACTCTACGTTTTCACAATCGATTGTAATATCTTTCTTGTTGAGCTATGCTCGCAGCCACACCCATACGCATCGTTCAATTGTGCTCAAAGTACTCTTACGTCTTCGCTTACGCTCTCAGTCGCTCAGTTTTGCTTGATGCCATCATGCCATCTTACGTATTTGCAATTGATCGCTGGAGCTCTAGATTGTACAGCTGTACTCGCACTCGGGTCGTTAACTAGGCCCTGTCTCCGTACTCGTACTCGTACTCGTACTCGTACTCGTATCCGTACTCGTATCCGTACTCGTATCCATACTCGTATCCGTACTCGTACTCGTACTCGTACTCGCCAAAAGCAACTTTTCCTTTTTCCCCGTTTCTTTTCCCAACGCTCCCCTATTTTCTTTCTTTTGCATCATTCCACACGTCACTGTCCCGTAAAGCAATTTCCAACGCCCGCTCACGTCAAATCTAGGAACTTGCCCTGGAGCTCACACAAACCAGAGATTCGCATATAAAAGCAAGACAACAATCGAGTCCCGATCCCATTATCTTCTTTCAAATGACTCTCACTTTTGAAATAGGGCATCACAACCACTCTAGTCAACTAAACTACATCCTTCCGTACTCCTTTCTTCCCCTTTCTTCCCAACTATAGCCAATTTACACCAAACTAAAAATAGCTATACCATGACCAACGCTCAAACCCAAGTGGAATCCGCTCAGCAAGACCAACCTTCGATCCCCGCGATCGCAGACATTCTGCCCTCGTTCCGTCTCGACGGCCACGTCACAGTGGTCACAGGCGGCTCCGGCGGTCTCGCACACACTTTGACCCAGGCTCTACTGGCGCAGGGCTCGGAAGTGGCACTGCTGGACCTCAGCGTCGAAAGACTCGAGTACACGGCTCGCGAAATGCAAGAGTTCTTGAAAGCCAACAAACTGCCCAAACTCACAATCTCGACGTGGCCCTGCGATATCGGTGACGCCGCCATCGTCGACGAAGTCGTGCGTGCCATTCCGCTCAAACACAACGGCCTGGTCGCCGACAAGCTGGTGCACACCGCCGGCTACTGCCAAAACACGCCCGCCTTGGACTACGACGCGCGCCAGGCTGAACTGCTGGTCCGTGTCAACCTCATGGGCTCCCTCTACGTGTGCCAGTCCATGTCGCGTCTGCTGATGCAGCGGTCGCAACGCCGTCGTTCCGTGTCGTCCGACTCCAGCGAGGCCGCAGAAGCGTGTCCCCAGCTGTCCAACGTCTCGTACGTGCTCATCGGCTCCATGTCCGGCTGCATCGTCAACAACCCACAACCACAGGTCGCCTACAACATGGCCAAGGCCGGTGTCATCCACATGGTCAAGTCGCTGGCGTGCGAATGGGCCCGCTACGGTATCCGTGTGAACTCCATCTCGCCCGGCTACATCGCCACTGCGCTCACCAAAAAGGTCATTTCGGGATCTCCCGAAGGTGCCGCGTTGCAGCAAGAATGGACCTCGCGTGTGCCCATGGGCCGTATGGCCGACCCACGCGAATTCGTCGGCGCCATGTTGTATCTGCTGAGCGCCTCGGCCTCCAGTTACACTACGGGTGAGAACCTCGTCATCGACGGTGGGTACACTTGCTGGTAGAGGGATTGAGATCGAGAGAAAGCGTGAGAAAGCGTGAGAGAGAGAGAGAGAGAGAGAGAGAGAATAGAGAGAATAAGCCCACCTAATTGACATAGAACTATACTCCTCCACCCCCCTCTCTTTCCTCTCCCCCGTCTGCATTGTTTGTTTGTTTGTTTTTTTTTTTTCTTTCCGCCCACTCACACCCACTATCCTGGATTACTTTTGTCATTGTATAGTATATCGTCCGTCCAGTGTGTGGGTCTTTTACAAGTATATCTATAGTACAATACAACAACAACAACAACACACCTAATTTCTATATCACTATGCAACCGGTCTCGCCGCCATTACCACCGTTGCTGCCGTTGCCGTTGCCACCAGTCAAATCGTGGCCCTCGATTCGTTTCAGTAGCTGCAATACCACATCGTTGACCCCGACGTTCAGCTTGGCACTGCACTCCACGAACCCTGCGTTCAGCCGTTTGGCCAGCGCCGCACCTTCCAACCGTGTCACCGCAGCCACACTGTCACCACCGTCGCCAAGCTCCTCACGTAGATCGATCTTGTTGGCCACAACAACTGTTGGGATGTGTTCCAGTCCCAGCTGGTCTATAATCTTGTCTCGTATCAATTCCACAATCTCGAAACTAGCTCGGTTCACACAGCTATACACTATCGCTACTCCCTTCAACCCAATCAAAGACTTGGTGTTGACCAGTGAGAACTCATCCTGACCCGCAGTGTCGCAAATCTCCAAAGTGTAATTGGTTTTACCCAGAACCACTTGTTTGGTGAACTGATTCTCGATCGTTGGGTAGTACGACTCTACAAAATGTGATTCCACGTATTGAACCGTTAGCGAGCTTTTACCAACATTCCTGGCACCCACCACCGCGATTTTACGATGTTTAGAAAGCCCATTTGTAGTATTCATGGCCCAAATAAGTACAAAGAAGTTGAGGTTAAGGTTAAGCTTTTTTCAGCGTCAACACTTTGGCTTAAAACTCACTTGTCGATTCAAGATTCTGTGAATTGACTATTTTTCAGCTATTGATGAAATTAACAAAAATTAATGAGTATCGATAAAACTCGGCATGATTGAAAAGCTGCGCCCGTCGGTATAAAAGACACGAATCAAAACACTTTTGACTCAATTGGTGCCAGAATTTTGACATTATACACTTATTGTTGCAATTTTACCTTTTGATTCGAAAAGGTTCTCGCAAAAACTCCCCATTTTGACTCGCTTTTCATATTTTTAACTCGTTGGCATACCGTGTAAGAATCTGCCCTCAGACCACTACTAGCTGCCGATTTATTGCTCAAATTCCCATTTTCACAGGTCTATTTGAGCCACGCAGTTCCTTTGCTCTTTTCCAATCTCAGCCTCTAGCATTTGTTGCACACTCATCTCGTCAACATTGAACATTAAACTATCACCGCTGTTACCACCATTCACATCACTCTTTTGTTCCTTTGAATTGCCCTTGATCTCACTTCTAAAATGTCCCAGTTCTCCGGTTTTGGCGTTGAAGTAGAACTCAAGGACGGCAAAGTCATATCGGGTACCGTGGCCAAAGCAAACGGTAAGTCTCTAACCCTCTCAGACGTCATCTTCAGCGATGGCGGGACATCTCAGGTCTTCAAAGTCAAGGCCACGCGTCTGAAGGACCTCAAAGTCGTTTCCACGCCCAAACATGTCGCTCCGGAAAAATCCGCTAGCAAACTCACCTCCAAGATCCCACCTTCTGCGGAAACGGGCTGGGAGGACGACGATGCCGCTGCCATCAAAAGACAAGACGATTTCGACTTTCAAGAAAACCTCCGCATGTTCAACAAGCAGGATGTATTTGCCAAGCTCAAGGAACAGGATCAAGTGGGTCAAAACGCACGTCTGGTGTCGCACAACCTGCGGGACCGTAAAATGGAGACTGACGAGCTCGTTATCCCAGACGCCAAACAGGACAATTGGGACAGTCTCGAGGAAGAATCCACACATACCGAATATTTGCCCATCACCAAATCTATCAACATTACCCATCTTTTACAAACTGCAGGTGATACGGATACTAAAAACGATCAAATGCTGTCACAGCTGCAACGGGCGCTTAAAAGTCCCCGGTCCTCGTCCATTTCCAAGAGTGCTGGCTTTGTTGCCGCTTCCACAGGCATAGCGGTCCCATGCGCAACTCCCGTGCAGCTTTTAGAAATCGAGCGGGTATCGAGCGATTCTTTTGGATTCACATCAAAGCTGGCGCTAGAACATTGGGCAATTCACATGTCACAGTTTGTAAAGCAAAAAATGGGCGGCAGAGTTAGGCTGCACGCTCAAAATTCCAATCCACAGCCATTGGTGGTCATTCTTGCAGGTGATAACAGATGCGGTGCGCGCGGTTTGGCCCTGGGCAGAATCTTGTGCCAATCGTCCTTGGTCCGCGTGATAGTACTGTTTACCAACACTCCTGAGGACCCTGAAGTAAACGAGCAATGGCACTTGTATCAGAAGAGCGGCGGTAAGACTGTCGAGTCTTTGCAGTCTTTGAAGTCAAGCTTAGAGAAACTGAACTCGCCCGTGGAAACCGTTTTCGATGCCATGCAGGGCTTTGACTCGAACCTGCAAGATATGTGCTCTGATGCCAGTGACGAAGGACGTTTGGAAGATATTATAAACTGGTGCAACTCACAAAAATCTATTTGGTCATTGGACATCCCCAGCGGGCTCGATGCGGCAAGCGCGATGCCCAATTTCTTGGGTGTGCATATTAATGCGACAACTGTGATCTGTTTATGCTGGCCATTGACGGGGACATACAACCTGAAGACCCAACTTGCAGAAAGGGGTCTGGAGATTCATCTGGTCGATATGGGGGTTCCTCAGGCCGTATATTCCACGCGTACGTCCTTACGAAAGTTCCAAATCGCCGATTTATTCGTCACGGAGGGCATGGTGCAGCTACTCTAGAAATTACGAGAATGCCAAGGGGCATGGTTTGAGGAGCCAAGATTGACGGCTTGAGAGAGTTCTCGGCGGGGTTCTTAAAAACCCTGGTCCGAATTTATTTTTACGTTTGGTCCGCTCTATAAAACAAATGTATATATATATATACGTCGCTCTTGCACCAAGTAAACGACCCAGCCTTACCATCGTACGTGCAAGATATGATTTGCGTTTGGTCAAATACCATGGCCCACGTTTGTCAAGTCTATGTCTTAACGACAGTAATAGGTTCAACCGTGTGAACTGTCTCCATCACTGAGTGACAGCGACGCATTGGTACAAAGTGACGACATCTAGTTGAACGAGAATAAAAACGGCGGGAGCGGCAAACTGCTGATCGAAGGGCCCTTGATAGCTATTACAAACGCTTTAGTTTTGGAGGGTCCAATTACCACTTACAACCAGAATACTCCGAGAGGCAATGCTCCGAGGAAGAAAATACTCCGAATAAAACTATCTTATTTCTTTTTTCTGGTTCATGTTTTCACACCAACAGATGCATCGTTAAAACAGGTGTATTAAAACGATTTCCTCGTCATCAGACTTTCTGGTCTAGTCTTAAGTCTGAGCTTACTAGTCTATTCAGTTCTCGAAAAAAAAACAATCTCGAAAGTTATCACTATAGTCTCTTATAAAACTGAAAATTCGCCAACAGTACTAGCCATAAATTCCCCAGTACCTTCCTCATCGAAAGAGCCATTCACCAACAACCCTTTCCATCAACAGTTCGCGTCGTCACAGTCTTATCTCTATAACTTGACAGAAAAGTGGTGATGTACCTCTAAACGAACAGGTTAAAATTTTGTATACTAGGAAATTGAAATAGTTTCTCTATTGTTACTAAGTATTCCCCTTAACATAAGTTCTTTACTCGACTAAAAGTGAATCCTAGGAAGCCAGATTCTTCAGTTAGCTGACCAGGTAAGGCATTCCTGACACGCGGTATTCACTATTTCAGCTTTTGTAGCTTTAAAATAGCGTAATTACGGGGGCATTCACAAGTTTATCGGAAAGAGAAGAGCACCTTTTCATCATCAAATAGGCTGCAGAAAGTGTCAAAAGGTTGAGAAACAGTGCTTCAGGAGTGGTGAATCGTGACACTGTGTACAAGAAGAAGTGCTAATCGTCACAACTTTGCCGTTTTTTTCGAGATTTTACAAGGAGAATCCATAAAGGCATTGTTGGTAGGACGGACATAGGAAAACAAGCAACAATAACTTTGAGAAATCAAGAAAGGAAAAAAAAAACCATTGCCAAAAAGTGACCAATGGGTATCTGTTGTAGTTGTATGGGGGACGCTGGCGACGACGCCAGCGTGCTTCCTATCGCAGATAACGAGCGTGAGGCTGTGACCTCTTTGCTGGGATATTTGGAAGATAAAGACAGATTCGACTTTTACAGCGGTGGCCCGCTGAAGGCGCTCACCACGCTGGTGTACTCCGATAACCTGAACTTGCAGCGCAGCGCGGCATTGGCTTTTGCAGAAATTACCGAAAAATACGTGCGGCCCGTAAACCGCGAGGTCTTGGAACCCATCTTGATCTTGCTGCAAAGCAGCGACTCGCAAATCCAGGTTGCAGCGTGTGCCGCGCTGGGAAACCTCGCTGTCAACAACGAAAACAAGATTCTGATTGTCGATATGGGCGGACTCGAGCCACTGATCACGCAAATGATGAGCAGCAACGTTGAGGTGCAGTGCAATGCAGTGGGCTGTATCACTAACTTGGCCACGCAGGACGATAACAAGGCCAAGATCGCTACCTCGGGTGCGCTCGTACCGCTTACGAAACTGGCCAAGTCTAAAAACATCCGGGTTCAAAGAAACGCGACCGGTGCACTGCTCAACATGACCCATTCTGGCGAAAACAGACGTGAGCTTGTTAACGCAGGTGCGGTTCCGGTCCTAGTGTCGTTATTGTCGTCTGTTGATGCCGACGTGCAGTACTACTGTACAACAGCGCTTTCCAACATTGCAGTCGATGAATCCAATCGCAAGAAACTTTCTCAAACGGAACCCAGGTTGGTCTCCAAGTTGGTTGCTCTGATGGACTCGCCCTCTGCCCGAGTAAAATGTCAAGCCACTTTGGCGTTGCGTAATTTAGCCTCCGATACTGGGTATCAATTGGAAATTGTGCGCGCCGGCGGTCTTCCACACCTGGCCAAACTCATCCAGAGCGACTCTATGCCACTAGTGTTGGCGAGTGTAGCTTGTATCCGAAACATTTCCATCCATCCTCTAAATGAGGGATTGATCGTGGACGCCGGGTTTTTGAGACCCCTGGTTAAATTATTGGATTTTAAAGCTTCCGAAGAGATTCAATGCCATGCCGTATCTACTCTCAGAAACCTTGCAGCTTCTTCAGAAAAGAATAGACAGGAATTCTTCGAAAGTGGAGCAGTTGAAAAGTGTAAGGAGCTGGCTTTGGACTCGCCTATGAGTGTGCAAAGTGAAATTTCTGCTTGTTTTGCGATTCTGGCCTTAGCAGATAACTCTAAGATTGATCTGCTGGATTCAAACATTCTAGAGGCTCTAATACCCATGACATTTTCGAAAAACCAAGAAGTTTCCGGGAATGCCGCCGCCGCGTTGGCCAATCTATGTTCAAGAATCAATGACTACACAAGAATCGCCGAGTCTTGGGAAAGACCCGGAGACGGTATTCGCGGCTTCTTGATACGGTTTTTGCGCAGCGAATACCCGACTTTTGAGCACATTGCGCTTTGGACTATTCTCCAATTATTGGAAAGTCACGACGACACCATTCTGCGCTTCATCAAAGATAACAAGGAGATTGTTAAGAGCATAAGGCACTTGTCGGACGTGAACTTTGAAAGCGCACAAAAGGCGTCCGTGGCCATGAACTCTCAAAATGGTTCAGGGTCCGCATCAGACCACTTTGACAACGCAAGTCTCGAGCTGTACAACATCACGCAGCAAATCATTCAATTCATCGATTGAGGTTGTCACATTCTTTTGTTTTTGTCCGAGTACGCCCTGAGCTGACCTAACTGGATCTTATAAACTAGAAGAACGATAACGGACGACAAACGGGCAAGAATGGTTTCCTCCCCGAAAATTCACAAACACTTGGTCCGCTCGCGCTCCGCTCCCTCCAACCAATACCTATACTAATACTAATGACTGCTCTGCCCAAAAAAGAAAACTACCACAAGATACAGCGTTTCTCGAATACCTTGAAACCAAGAAGTGAGCACAGCATGGGTTTGATCAAAGAGGATCCCGGATAAAAGTTATTTTCCATTTTAACAAGTTGTAACGGTAGCACATCCTCTCACAATATTTAGCCTTATACAAAACTCGTATTAAGCATTTTTCATCCATTTATCATTCATCTGAATGCACACAAAGTGCTTCATTACTCAATTGACTATGTTAGTCTCTCCAGTGTTTTCTATCCTGTTAGACCAACATCCTTTTAGTTAGTTGGTTCATCGTGCGTGAGACGACCTAAAAAAAACACTGGGATTCCAAATTGGAAAAAAGGTCTTACCCGGATTCGAACCGGGGTTGTTCGGATCAGAACCGAAAGTGATAACCACTACACTATAAAACCACTTGTATGATAATTACTGGTGGTTTATGCTATAAGTATCATCATACTAGCAGATGACTACAACGAACGACCGTGGCACCCGTCGGACGTCTATGACTTCGTTGTCGGTCAATGTTCTTCAGCTCTTGTCTAAGTTCTGCTGGCTCCTACTATCAATTCTCTTCATTTTGCCATTCTTGAACAATATACACATCAACTTCGTTCTTATTCTGCCACCTTGCTGACCACCTTCTTTGTTGATGTCTTGTAGGTTTTGACAGCGCTAGTAACTTGTCCGTCAAAGCAGGTTTCGTGATTATCCTGCGTTAAACAGCTGCTTTTATTCATATTTCTCTAATCATCCTCTCAGAATGGCCTCTTAAGAACAACTTATCTATCTCTATCTGAAGGCTCTGATGCAAACTTATTTAACCAGTCAATTGGTGAAAACCAACATCTTTCAACAGTGGAAACGGCACTGCGATCATGGCCGTGTTCACCACCAATGGTATGTTCATCCTCGATGAAATTCACACAGACAAGCAGAGCTTTCACAATGTTATCGGTGGTGGTGGGATGTTTGCCATGTTAGGTGCAAGTGTTATATGTGCTGACCCCAAGATCTCGAAGAAACTAAAATGGATCGTTGATCGGGGATCTGACTTCCCAGACTTCGTTACGGGTCAGATCGATACCTGGCAAACCGGAGCTGTATACAGGGACAACAAGTCCAGGCTGACGACAAGGGCATGGAATCTATATGGAGACAACGATTTGAGACAGTTCAAGTACCTTTCCGAGAAGAAACGTATTGACGTGGAGGACTGGATTGAGGAGTTTGGACTTCAAGAGGTGTCTGAAATTCCCATTTTTCATTTGCTTTGTGCCCATGACAGAGCTATTTCCATTCTGGACGAGCTGCAGAAACTGGGTAGTTCCGAAAACAAGGTTTTTGTCTGGGAACCGATCCCAGATTTCTGCGATGAAGCACACGCAACCCAAATTCACCAAGTAGTCAATCGCCAAGATCGTATTATTATCTCTCCAAATGCGGAAGAAGGCGCGCGTCTTTTTGGCCTTAAAGAGCCGGTTTCGCTGCAGGAGTGCGTCGAGTTGCTACAAAAGTTTGACCACTTCATCGCAGATCATAACATGTGCGTCTTGCGGTGTGGGAAACTGGGGTCTCTCGCGCTGGGCACCAGATCATCCCAAGGCCGTAGACAAATCGTCCATCTTCCAGCGTATCATTCCCTGTCGCCATCCAAAGTCATAGATCCAACGGGCGGCGGGAACACTTTCCTTGGTGGATTCTCATTAGGATTTCTGTTCTCCAAAGGCGATCTCACAATTGCTAGTATTTGTGGTAATACCGCTGCAGCCGTAGCCATAGAACAATTGGGTGTACCGCAGCGCCAGGGCTCTAAATGGAACGGACTTACTTTCGAAGAACGCTTGAACAACTACATTGAACTACACAAATTGCCATACTCTAAAAAATCAGTATTGGATACGTTGACAAGTTCAGGTTGGTAGAAGCTCCTTAGTATTGATAGCAGGCTTCAAAAAACTCATATTCAAGTTTCAAGACCTTTTCGAATACCTCCGATACCTCGTTGTAATCGCATTTGTCAACCTCGGCTCTTAGAAAATCACACCAGGTCTCAAAATGACTGCCAGCGTGTAGATCAATCCAAGTTTGATGTTTCCAGTGCAGGTTGTCCGCCTTTGGGAAGTATATAGGCCACTCCAGATAAACCAACTCCATGCAGTACACGAATGTGATCAGCTTGGCATAAGACGTTTCGTTCCGTGCACATTTCTCCAAGTAATCGATATATCTTTCCACTTGGGGCAGCTTATTAGTCCTGAAGTGTTCGCCGTCCGAACTACTCAAACTATCGCTAACTTCAGCCAAGCATTTGTAAAAGTAGTCGTTCTCATCGTTGGCGAAAAATCCAATTTTCTTAGCAAGCGTAACTAAGCTGTCGCTGTCTGGTGCCAACGAAGTAGTTTTCGTAAGAAGCCGTAACCCGCTTTGAAAGAATTGTAGGTCTTGCGCTAGGTACACGAAGAGGACCTTGTCAGGTAGTGTGCCCGCGCATAGTTCCTTCGGTAGCATGTGATGCGTTGCCTTCTCGAAGAGCTCGCGGTGGTTGTCGATGAGTTTTTGAGAAACAGACATGCTTGGTGTGGGCCTTTCTTACTGAGTTGAGCTTTATAATGTTGGCTCGGCTTTGAATTTCGACGGGACTAAGTTCTCAAAAATTCTTGACTTTATATTATTTTAGATTCTAAAAGTTTCCTTCAATAGCTCAACGAGCGACCTCTGGTAAATGCACCAGTTTAAACGATTATCTGCTTTGTGACAAACATATTTATTAAATTCACAGGTCCGTGGATTGTCGACAGTGGACCATCCTGTTCAAAAATTTCTTGCCGTGGATAGGGTTTTTTGAGTCTTATTGTTGGCCCTCAATAAAGGGAGAGTTCAAGGCAGCGTCGACGCCAATTGTATTAAAAGAAGGATGTCCGCCGTAATGTCGTAGCCCATTCTGATCATGTACTGCACTGCAAATCGGGGAATTGTATTCGAGGCTTGCAGTCTGCCCGTTTCAAGCCACGCGTGTCTCATATTATGTCCTCAGACCATGCAAACTTCGATTTTTTTATAGTCTCTAGCTGCGTAGCCTTTATCTGTATGGATTCTATTGTTGTTTGTGGGACGCTGATGAGACCCAGTTTTCGAGAACGATTGGCACTGATCTCCTCGACGTTGTCTAATAACAAATTGAGTTCCGAATCGGTGGCCACCAGCGTACCTACAAGCATGCGAGCTTTGGTGACGGTAACAAGAATTTCGGAGCCTATGTAGTCTGCCATCTTTAAGCTCTGCATAACTCCGCTGGACTTGCTTGTTTGCTTGTTTGCTTGCTCGCCTGCGATTTTAGTATTTATGGTTTATCAAGGTGATCTCGATGAGAGTAAGTCTTCTGCGCTTATTGAAGATATATAAATTGACAGACAGCCCAGAGAAGAGAGAGAGGGAAAGAGAAGAGACAGAAATAGGGCAGAATGTGAGAGCTAAGTTGACTAGGAGTCTCGGAGGTTGAACAATATGGACTGTGATAAATCGTACGGATGAAATGTTCCAATGACATGCGATGTCGTGTTCGTTCACAGTGATGGTATTATACACGCAGACGCTTTGAGAGCACTTGTGCTACAACAATAGCGGTTTCTCACGTTTCTTACCGACATTTACAAGGCACAGTAATGATGACTTTAATTCGTATCACCATGGATTTTCCGTGTTCAAGCTCACTTCTTGGATTCTTTTTTGAAATTTTATATTTGACCTTGCGCTGGGCCTTCGTAATCTATAAAAGTCCCGCGACCCAGCTGTGGAGATTAAACTATTCTCAATCTCAAATGCCCTTGAACAGTTAATATGGGCACGTCCCTCTGGAACTGCACATATATCATTTTTGACTAAAAGGACATCAACCAAAGTGAAATTCCGCACAAAATACGAATGTTGAGGTCGCAAACTCGGATTTGCAGGAGCGGACACATTTAAATCGAATCCTGACGGTCCCTTTCGAATCTTCTCGTTAGGACGCTTTCCCTTCACTCTCGGAAAGCTCATCACGTGTTTTATTGCCCATGGATATTTTATTGAAAAATGAGAATGTCAACATACGAAGAGACTCGAGTAAATGCTAGTAATCCAACTCTGATTCTTGTGTGAACAGCCATATAACGCGGAGGTTCGAAAGACTGTACTCTTTTTACATTTTCTTTGACACTTCCCACAGCACACGCCCTTTGTTCTGTCTTTTTCCCATCGAATAGGCCTAGAAAACATGTCTCAAAATACCACGATTACACTCAAAACGCTCACGGCTCATGAGCTTTTATCTGCTCGAGAAAACGTCTGCGAGCTTTTCGGACTCATAGACAACTCCGAACGTCGCACGCTGCTGGTCGGAGACAATCGGGAAGCGCAACTAGAGGCGCTTAAGCTTAAATTGGAAGATTTGAAAAGACAAGTCGAAGAGGCTAAAACTAACGAAGGAGTATGAGTCTGGTGCACAGCGAAACTTTCCAATAGTCTCCATTAAGCAAGCGTTCTCGCGATTGAGGCCTCAGGCTTCAGCCTGGAGGCAACGAGTTCGAGTTTGAATTCGAGCTGAACTTACACGTACGAAGGGATACCAGCTGTGATTTTTCATAGGGAGAAAGCGAAATTGAAACGAGGGAGATGATACACCCTCATTCACCGTTGAAATAGCCAAGCGAAGGTCCATTGGGAGGGTAGTGTTTGGATCTGTGCGGTGGTTGTTGTCTTCGAAAACTAGACTTTTAAAAATGAGGTATGTTACCGGATCCTAGATGTGTTGATTTGTGCTTCTCGTACTGCAGTGTGTCGATGCTAACACTTTCAAACAGTAACTCCAAAAGAAGAATAGAAACCGATGTGATGAAGTTGCTAATGAGTGACCACGACGTAGAACTGATCAATGACAACATGCAGGAATTTCACGTCAAGTTTCATGGGCCCAAAGATACACCTTATGAAGGAGGGGTGTGGAGACTGCACGTTGAACTGCCAGACAACTACCCATACAAATCGCCCAGTATTGGGTTTGTGAATAAAATATATCATCCGAACATCGATTCGGCGTCAGGGTCGATCTGTCTCGACGTGATCAACTCTACCTGGAGCCCGCTTTACGACTTGCTCAACATTATCGAGTGGATGATCCCGGGGTTACTGAAGGAGCCCAACGGCTCAGATCCGCTAAATAACGAGGCTGCGACGCTTCAACTGAAGAACAAAGAGCTCTACGACCAGAAAATACGGGAGTTTATCGACAAGTACGCGACAGAGGACAGGTACCGCAGCGCGTTCGGGATGGGCAGTGACGACGAAAGCGACAACGACGAAGACGATGAGAAGCTGGGAGAAGCGAGCCAGGACGACGGCCCAGACGCGTCTACTGCGCGCAGCCAGCGGGGGACACGGGACGTGTCACGTGGCGTCTCAGGGCAGACTCCATCAGACGACCTCGAGGTGTCGGACGACTACGATTACGACGACAACGACGAGGACTCCGAAAATTTGAGCGAGGAGCTCACCAATATCCAAGTGAGCGACGACGACGACGGTATCGGGATGTACGACGACGACGATGATGATGACGGCGATGACGACGACTAATGAGTGAGACAGAAAGGGGCCCCGTATACGGAAGAGACTCGCGGTCCAAATCTCATGCCCACCTAGAGGGAGGAGTATCAAACACAACAAACATCTTGTCGTTGTTTCGTCCTTCTTCCGTCATTCGTCCTCGGTGATACACATCTGGATTATGTAATTTATGGCGGATCTCGTGTCACTTTGTACGGACTCTGGCCAATTTTCAAAAATTTGTCTTTTCTTTTTTTTATTTGTTTACCTTGTCCCCTTTTTTTGTCACATGCTATCCAACCGAATTGGCCCCCATAGTATTAAAACAAGGGGCGGGGCAATTCATCGGCCAAAAACTATAAAAGGGCTAGAGTTCTGGTACAATTCAAGACCTGAAAGGGTTAGCAAAGTAGGTCCAGAGCACCAATTGTTGCGAGTTTTACCTGCAGTTTTCGAGCGTTTTTCGAGCATTTGTCGAGCAGTTTTTTCAAGCCCTTTTCAAGCATATTTCCCCCGCTTTTCTACTACTTTTAGAGCGGCTTTCAAGCAGTTTTAAACAGATTTAAGCAATTTCAAGCGTTTTAAAGCATTCTTTACAGACTTATCAGACACTAGGATATGGGAAACATACCTGAAAATGTCAAGGGGGCAGTGGACGTAGATCCTTGGCTCGAACCTTTCGCAGAAGTTCTCTCTGAAAGAAGATATCTGGCAGACCGCTGGCTGCACGAAATCAAGCACAGCACGGTCGACAACTCGCAACAGTCGCTGGCCGACTTTGCCCGGACTTCATACAAAAATTACGGGTTGCACGCCGATCCTGCTACGAAGCAGATCACGTACCGGGAATGGGCGCCCAACGCGCAGCAGGCTTTTTTGGTGGGTGAATTCAATAATTGGTCCACCAGCTCGCACGAACTCAAAAAGGACCAGTACGGCGTGTTCTCGACCACGCTCCCCGCGTCTGCATCGGGCGACTATGCGATCCCACACGACTCCAAGCTAAAGGTTTTGCTCGTCTTGCCCGATGGTTCTCATGCATACCGTCTACCCGCGTACATCACAAGGGCCACACAGCCCGATAAGGAAACAGCCCGGCAATTTGGGCCCAGCTACGAGGCTCGGTTTTGGAATCCAGCTGTTCAGTACCAATTCAAGAACAAGAGACCGTCTTTCGAGAGAAAATCGGACTCGCTGAGAATATACGAGGCACACGTAGGAATCTCATCGCCAGAGCCAAAAGTCGCGTCTTATAAAGAGTTCACACGCAACATTTTGCCACGGATCCGCGATCTGGGCTACGATGCCATCCAGCTAATGGCCATTATGGAGCATGCCTACTACGCCTCGTTCGGATACCAGGTGACCAATTTCTTTGCCATCAGTTCTCGGTATGGTACCCCAGAGGAATTGAAAGAGCTTGTCGACGAGGCTCACAAAATGGGCCTTTTAGTGCTGTTGGACGTGGTCCACAGTCATGCGTCCAAAAATGTCGAAGATGGTCTCAATAAATTCGACGGAAGTGACCACCAGTATTTCCACTCGCTCCAGTCTGGGCGGGGCGAGCATCCGCTATGGGACTCGCGTCTGTTCAACTATGGATCATTTGAAGTTCTAAGGTTTTTGTTGAGCAACTTGGCTTTCTACATTGATGTATACCAATTTGACGGGTTCAGATTTGATGGTGTCACGTCAATGCTATATAATCACCACGGAGTCGGCGCTGGCGGCGCTTTTAGCGGTGACTATAGCGAGTATGTGTCGCGGGAGAGGTCCAATGTTGATCATGAGGCACTTGCCTACTTAATGCTAGCCAACGACCTTGTGCACGAAATTTTGCCAGAAAATGGCATCACAATAGCAGAAGACGTATCCGGTTATCCGACTCTGTGCTTGCCTCGTCACACTGGTGGTGTAGGTTTTGACTATAGGCTGGCCATGGCTTTGCCGGATATGTGGATCAAATTGCTTAAGGAAAAGAGCGATGACGACTGGGATATCGGTCACATCGTGCACAATTTGACAAACAGGCGTTATGGCGAAAAAGTTGTGGCGTATGCGGAATCCCACGATCAAGCGCTGGTAGGCGACAAGACTCTAGCATTTTGGCTTATGGATGCAGCCATGTACACTGACATGACTGTTTTGAAACCTCTCACCCCAATTGTGGACCGCGGTATAGCGCTGCACAAACTCATTCGCCTCATCACACACTCATTGGGCGGAGAGGCGTATTTGAACTTTGAAGGCAATGAATTTGGCCATCCGGAATGGCTGGATTTCCCCAATAAAAATAATAACGACAGCTACCATTATGCCCGTCGTCAGTTCAATCTCATCGAGGACAACTTGTTGCGGTATCAACACATGTACAATTTTGACAGAGCCATGCAAGAATGCGAGAGCAAGTATAAATGGCTCAACACACCACAGGCTTACGTCTCACTAAAACATGAAGTTGACAAGGTCATTGCGTTTGAACGTAACGGGCTCTTGTTCATTTTTAACTTCCATCCATCGCAAAGTTTTGCCGACTACCGGATTGGTGTTGATACGCCAGGTTGCTACCAGATTGTTTTAAATAGTGATCGCGGCGAGTTTGGTGGGCACGATCGTATTGACGAGAAAGTGTCCGAATTTTTCACAACGGACTTGCGCTGGAATGAGCGTAGCAATTACATCCAGGTTTACGTTCCCACAAGGACGGTGCTGGTTTTGGCGCTTTCTTCCTGATTTCAAGACTTGTAAAGACTAATTTGTCTTGCAATTACTGTCCCAGCTTCCAAGAAATGGAGCCGGCTCCATTTGCAAGACGCCAAATGAACATTCTGCATTCATCAAAGGTACTTGTACTGGAATAATACTCAGATATGTATAGACTTTGCTATCAAATTTGATTTAATCCTAAGATTTACGGTTCAGCACAGCTGAATGCGCTCGTAACGCTGGCTTCAATAGTTGTATGTGCTCTGCTGGCTTATGGTTATTTTTTTAGAAATTCCAATATTTACAAATTTAAACCAACCGATCAACTCTAAATCGGTCTTCACATCATAAAGCGGTACTTTTAGCCATGGTCACGGTTAATGCGAGTATCGTACCAGTGTTACATACCGTGTGTGCTTCTGCGGCTTTTATAGCTGCGCTTGTGGTGGGTTGTAAGCTCCACTACATCAAAATCATCACGAATGCGCATTATACGTATCCCGATGAATGGTTTCCGAGTGTCTCGGCTACAATCGGCGACCGATACCCAGAACGCTCCATTTTTCAAATTCTGATAGCGTTGACGTCGTTCCCGCGGTTTCTGTTGCTTCTCGGACACTACATGATCAACAAGTCGACCTCTTGCTTCATGGTTGGCGTTCTTAGAACAGTCACCTGTGGAGGATGGGTGTACATCACTTCCACCGATGACCATGACGCTCACGACGTTTTTATGATCTCTTACATTCTGTTGACACTCCCCTGGGACCTCCTGGTAATCCGTCACTCGACATTTAAGACCTTTAAGGTGATTGCCATGTCTACTTTCTTCGCCATCATGGTGCCTTTAGTCTACTGGTTCATACAGCACAACGTTTATCACAGGCCCGGAGCTTACTCTATTTATGCTTACTTTGAATGGTCCTTGATCATTTTGGATATCGCCTTTGATGCTTTGGCTTATAACGATTTCAAATCGCTTAGTTTGAATCTAGAGCTAACCTCTAACGTGGGCAACTGGTTTTTCATGTTCGAAAACAAAGAGTCGCTACAACCGGCTGCCGCCAACGAAATTCAAAAGGTTATCGAGGAGGAGTTATCCGAAAATTCCAACTCTTTTGTTCATGACGCTGCAGCAGATTCAGACGACCCAGATTACGCACCGGAATTTGAAGAATCGAAACACGAAGGAGATGTTTCTGACCTGTTGGATGATGACGGCGCATTACTTTTGTCCGCTGACAATACAGAGCTCAAAATCATGTTGCAAGAGGATGAAGACATAAGCTATTTTATCAATAAGAGCTCTTCGTTGCGTGTTCCTGCCCAAAGCTCAATCATTTACATTGTTGTCAACGTTTTAAATTCTCTTCTATTTTGGACATTACTGACGTCGCTACTCTGTATGGTGTGGTACTTCCCCTTGTGGTATATGGGAATTTCTGGGTACGAAGCGTCTATTTTATCGGTGACATCGCCCTTGCTTCTTTACATTCCGGCCATTCCAATGATAGCAGACATCTACGGTCCATTGTTGACAGCTACAATCGGAATCGGAGCCTTCCTTGTTGAATTGCCAGAAACACGACTTCTCACCGCATCTTTGGCTGCCGGTATCACTTCTCTCACTTTTGCAAGTACGCTGAGAAGCATAACAAATCAGGCTTCTGTCCAAATGTACACAACGACATGTATTCTAGGTCTGGTTGGCTCTGTCATTCTGAAAATGGCATTCTTCTCTAGAAATCCACTATGGCCTATTTTGAATGAGGAAAATGGAGGCTGGAACAAGTCTGGCCTTGCTCTTATGGCTTTGGTGGCTCTTTTCACTCCACACGTTAACGCTGTTCACTATCAAAAGTTGGAAACGTTGCCAAAAAGATCGCCACGTTTCATTTCAAAGCTTTTAATATCCGCAGGTTTCGGATCTCTAATATTTTCCATTCATCAGCTACTTACCGACGCTTCTACAATAATTTATTGGTCATGGGAAGGATGGGCCTCCAATGGCTCTCAGGGTCCTCTGACTTGGCCGTACAGCTCGCTAACGTGCATTGCAATGCTTCTTGCGGCATTGACTTCGCAAAGCTTCTGTGGAAAACCCTTGGTACCTTCTTTGCTTCTGTGCGTCTCGACAGGAATTCTAGCATCCCCATCTATCACCGGATGGTTTAATTACGCATTTGGTGGTATCGTTTACATTTTTGGAATCATTTGGATGATTCCTACCTTCTTTTCAAAGATGAACATTATTAAGAGTCCTTGGGCTTACACCTTGGCCTCTCTTTTCTACCTGATCTTCGTTCTAGCTCATGTTTGGACTGTTGCTTATGCCTTTGTTCCTTTTGGGTGGGTGTTAAGAGAGAGCATGGGGCTAGTCCTAATAGGATCAAGTTTATTGATAGTCTTTGGTGCACTTTTCGGGCTCAAAAAAGACGTGATGAAAAAGACGATCAGTAAAAAGTTTTGGAATCGCGTTAACCTCCTCGGAGTTCTGTTTGTTGGCTCTATAGGTTTCGTCACTTTCCGATTGGCTCCTACTGGTACTCCTGTTCCATATCACGCTGAAGACAACTTAATTACTGCCGGCATATGGACTATTCATTTTGGCCTCGATAACTACATGTGGTCTTCAGAGGACAAAATGACACAGCTACTCAAAGACATGGAGGTCGATGTTGTGGGCCTACTTGAGACTGATACTCAGCGTATCACTATGGGAAATCGGGATTTGACGAGCAAAATGGCTCATGATTTGCAAATGTATGCGGACTTTGGGCCTGGTCCCAACAAGCACACTTGGGGCTGTATTTTACTGTCTAAGTTTCCGATCGTTAATTCAACACATTATCTGATGCCATCGCCTGTCGGTGAGCTTGCCCCTGCTATTCATGCCACGTTGCAGACTTATGATGATGTCCTAGTAGATGTTTTTGTCTTCCATGGTGGACAAGAAGAAGACGAAGAAGACAGGCGACTGCAAAGCGAAGAACTTGCTAGAATTATGGGCAGCACAGATCGTCCTTCTATTCTCCTAAGTTATTTGGTAACCGATCCACACGAGGGTAATTACAACAATTACGTGAGTGATAAATCGGGTATGCACGATATTGATCCCAGTGACGATGACAGGTGGTGTCAGTATATTCTTTACAAAAATCTCGGAAGGACAGGGTACGCCAGGGTGAGCCGTGGTAGCGTCACTGATACCGAGTTGCAACTCGGCAAGTTCAAGGTCTTGACCGAGGATGAGCTTGTGGAATATGGAGGCTCCATCTACGACGCCGATTTGTTGGATGACGAGTCCGATGTCGCAGAGTCTCTGCGATTTCCCGACAATTATCACGGCGAAGGACAGAGAGGTCACCACTATCATGTTTTCGATGCACCACGATATTACCAAACCGCATGGTGATTATTCACAGGTTTTCGGTTGCAGCTAGATTAATATATAACCTCATGTCAATCATTCTCGTCTATATAGTCTACCAGGTCTATCTCTTCGATTATCAAGTTTGCCATGTGCTGTTCGCGACCTAGAAAAGGAAGATCTGTAGTGTTCTGAATGTTGACAACCTCTTGTATCAAATTACTGGGTTGTTCAGATGCCTCGATGATTGCACGAAGTTGACTACACCTTGTAACGATTTCGGGACTGTGATGAGAAAGCTCCTGGAGAACAGAATCGCATTTTTCCAATGCGATTTTGGAAAGCTCGGAATCATTGGCAATAGCGCGATAATAACTGGGGAGGGCTGTCGTCAACTTTACAGGGATAACATTAATGTCAGTGAAGTTTTCCAAGAATCGCAATAGCAGGTCGCGAGAAACTGTGCTCATCCAAAAAGCTGTTCTTTAAAAGTGATGCGAGTAGACTACGCCAAAAAACTAAGAGAAAGATGACCCAAGGATGATTGAAACGACCACTTTTGATTGAAAAGTAAGCTAGAAGAACACGAAAGGTGTCACAGCTCGTTGATTTTAGGAGTGTGAGTCGAACCTTCTACTTTGCAATGTCAAAAATGTGAATTTCGCGGCCATAATAATACGGCTGTCACTTTATACCAATCTGAATTCTTCACAATAAACGTTCAATTACGTATAAGAATCGTACACACACCATGGTTGTCAATATCCATGGTCCCGTTATATGCATCGCGTTTATGGAAAACCGAGAAATGAAGCTTCACTAAGGCCTCGACCAATTATGCTCTAGGGTGTTGTGACAAATCGAAGCTTCTTCGAACCAGAGACTTTAACTTAAAAAAAAAACCCCCCCAAGCATATAATGGACCTCATGCGCATATATGCGCGGCCACGCCAGATTCAAAACCGAGCTTCCAAAGTTCTGAATGGCTAAAGCTTATGATCATTTCACACATGTGTGTTAGCAGCAGACCATTTTTTTATTTTAGTTGACTTCAATTGAAGGGAGCAAGAAAGCCAAAACGGCTCAGGAACCTGCCGTGCGAGAGCTTCAGACTTTTTATTGTGAATAGCTCGTGGTGTCTTCAAGAGTGTCGTTATGCTGAAAGTTAGGTTTTTCACTCCTTGCGTTCTCGAGGTGTTGCGCTCTGGCCAACAAGCCCAGCTTGTTGCCCTCTTCGTCTTCCACAATTGGTAGCTCTGGAACATAGGAGGCAGTTTTCCAGGCAGGTATTTCGTCGGCCCACATTTGATCAATTTCCTCCAAGGTTTTGCCCTTCGTTTCTGGGAACATTAAATATGTTTGGATGGTGAGACACACTGAGAAGACTCCAAAAATAATGTAGGTCTTCCAAGTGATTTGTTTGAAGGCCGAAGGTACAAACATTGCCAAGGCAAAGTTAAATGCCCAGTTGACGGAAGCACACAAAGCGGAACCCTTGGCTCTCTCCATGTTGTTAAAAATCTCCGAGCAGTAGATCCAGATACCAATGCCCCATGTAGGTGCAAAAGAGCATACAAATAGGTAACAGGCGGCAATGACGCCTCTTGCGGCAGCTTTGTTACTAGAAGGGATGCTGATTCTGACGGTGTCATCGCCGTCGAATCCATTGGGTTCGGGATTCGAGTATGTGGCCAATAAACCAGATACAACAAACAGCCATGTGAACATAAAAATACCACCCACAATCAAAACAGGCCTTCTGCCGGCTTTGTCGACAAGGAACAGGGCTGGAATGGTCATCACCACGTTCAAAACGTATTGGATGGAGCCAGAGACCAGAACTTGGTTACCAGAGTAGCCTGCCATTTTGAAGATGTACACAATGTAGTACATCATCACATTCATACCACACAGCTGCTGCCACATCTGGGCAGAAGTGCCGACAATCGTTTTCCTGAGTGTCTTCTTGCGGAACAAATGACGGTAACTGAAATTCATGGCAGCTTGATCGATCAACACCTGTTCTTTGATTTCCTCCAATTGCAGCTTGACCTGAGGATCGTCACGGTCTCCGTGAGCACCGATGCAAGCCACCACCTCGCTAGCTTCTTCCCAGCGATCGTGGTTGGCCAACCAACGGGGCGATTCCGGCAAGAAAAACGTCGCTCCCAACAAGACCAGTCCAGGGACAATCTGAACCCCCCAAGTGACTCTGAATGCCCCAGTGCCGTTGATGAAGTGGCAGCCGTAACCAACGTAAAACAAAATCATAATTCCCACGGTGACACTGAGCTGGAAAAGTCCGCAAATGGTTCCTCTGATGTTGGGAGGTGATACTTCAGAGCAGTAAACGGGGGCCACAGAGGAGCCAAACCCAATGCCAATCCCGCTGATCACACGACCCGCGACCAACATGGCAACGTCTTGCGAAGCGCATTGCAGGATCGCACCCAGAATCCAGAATGCAGAGCACAGGTGCAACGACACCCGCCTCCCGTACACATCTGTCACGTTAGAGGACACAAGCGACCCAAAAAACGATCCAGCGGACATCGACGCCGTGATACCTCCCTGGCGCGTGGATTGTGGGTTGTCAAAGTAGTTTTTGTAGTGCGTTGTGCCGATCATCGAAGACATCGACGAGATGTCGAACCCAAACATGAGTCCTGAAATACATGCCACCACTCCAACCACATACACGTTATAGATTTTTGGGAACTTGTCATAGAGACGGCCACGGTAGTTGACGTTACGCATGAGCAGCCTGTCTTTGACAGTCATCGTGAAGCTTTTCCTTGAAGGTGAGTGATTGATGATGAAGCTAAAACGAAGACGACGAGATTTTAGAAGAAAAGTTGGATAAAAGAGTAAAAGCTGAAGCGTTCGAATATCTGACTGGATCAAAGTTTGGATAGCTTGATGTCTTCTTATGCGCCAAATCTCGTTTCCTTTTATATGTCGAAAAGCTTCAAAAATGGTGTGAAGAGAGAATACCTGAAAACCCGGAAGATCTTCTAGGGTAGCGTCTGGGTGGCGTTGGTCGGCTTTGTCATATGCTAAATGGTGAGAGTTTAATCCGAATGTGCGGTCATTTCTAGGAGACTGGATTATCCCTTTTTACCCCACAATTATGTAGCATAGCGCCGTAGGCACTTTTTTGAGCGTTGCCAACCAAGGATTAAAAAAATGCGGAGAGGGGGCAACAGTGTCTGGGTCTTGGCAGTTGGTGTCTGGGTCTTGTAAGTGGGTGTCTGGGTCTTGGCAGTTCGGTGTCTGGGTCTTGGGTAACGGTGTCTGGGTCTTGGAAGTTCGGTGTCTGGGTTTTGTGAGTGGGTGTCTGGGTCTTGTAAGTGGGTGTCTGGTTTTTGCAGTTCGGTGTCTGGGTCTTGGGTAACGGTGTCTGGGTCTTGGAGGCAGGTCGGACTACAGTAGGCCGTGGGGAAGGTCGGTGCAAGGTGTTTTGGAGCATGCTGGTCCGAACCACGTGAGGGTGTAAAGGGCTCGGAATGCAGAAGTCCGGTGGATTATCTCCTGGGTGTCTGGGTTGATACGCTGAGGACTTCAAGGCGTCTCGTGGCGCCAACCCTTACGTGAAGTTCAAGCTCTAGCGGCGGTCGACGCGCCAAGGCTATTAGCAAGTGGCGATTGGTAATATTCGCGCCGTGTAGCCACTGTGTCAGGGAATTCAACAATCACACAATCTCACACGAGTAGTATAAACCTCTAGAGCTGCCACGAGCAGCTGCAAATCACCAGCTGCAACTAGTGCCGTTCAATTGAAACGTTGAAAATCTGACAATTTGCCGATGACTGGTGCGGGGGATTTACATTGGTCTTGACATTGGCTTACACTTGAACCCTCACTTTGATTCACGAGTCCATCGCCTCGTTCGCTTTGCTCTGTACTTTTCGATGTATCTGCTTGTAAGTTTTGAAGAAAATGGGGAAAGTTCTGATGCTATTTTGTGAGTATTATTTTGATCTGTGTACCTGTTTGACGTAAGTCCACTGATGTTTTGGAGAACGGTGTTTTTTCCTCAGCTTGTTGTTCAACATGATTTTATCTCGATACTGAAAACTGAAGAGTAGTCTCGAATCTTTTTGAATGCTGTCGTATCTTGGACACATAGCCGCCGAAGAAACCCCCGATTGACTTCTTTCCAAGGTCAATTTTATGATAGTGACAGAAACTCTCAGATCCTATACATCTCAGCACAGCACTAGGTGGGGGGGGGGAGGCTTTCGTTTTTTAACGTGTCTCTAATATGGACATTTTGCCATAAAACTCACCGGAGAGAGTCGTGGCAACAGAACCAGACGCGCTTTTGAATTCGTAAGATATCGAGCTTATTCGTAGCAGTATTGCTGTCTTCCCCGTGAGTCTCCCACGTACGGCCTTAGATGCAAGAAAAACAATTATTAAGTATCAGTGGCCGACGGCAAACTCATTTCTAGTTGTGAAGATGGGTGATTGAAACCGGAGCTTCAAAAGGACAATCAATCTTTACCTTTGGCGGAAATTTTGAACATGCGCCGCGTATTTTTATAAATGCTAGAAACGCAGATCGTTTTTTGTCCTAGCTGCATCAAGATGCATCGTCTTCCCGCTGTTATAGTCCACATTCCTGGACCCGAGTTGTCTGCGCAACGCTTCCTCTGCGTTCTATCAGCTCTACAATTTCCTCGAGCTAAGAGGCACCAGCGAAAATTCTCGCCAAGAACGAATGCTAGCCTTGAGCTTAACCAGCTTACTTGAAAACCAACTTAATGCCAAACCATTTGTTTCTTTTACACAACGTTCGCACGCTGTCTACTAACCAGCAGGTTACTATCACAAGTCTATAATAAAGCGCATTAATATCAACGCAATTACTTGCCGCTAGCAAACGTAGCAGCGACAATGAGAGGAAACACAACAGTCGCATCAGCGTAAATTTTGACGGACTTGGCCTTTGCTTTAATCTTACCCCAGGAAATGGCCTCATCAGGCCTGGCACCTGCGTCAGAACCGTCAAACTCTTGACCAGTGTTGATATAAACCGCGTAGTCTGCACCATTACGCATCAAGCACGCGTTGGCAATGTGATGCTTGATCAAACCACCTCCCAGTAGCAACATACCTGCCTTAGAGGCTTCCATAGATATGCAGTTAATCTTACGGATATCTGCGACGATATCCACGCGCAACTGGCGGGGGGAAGACTTGAAAGTGTGGAAGAAAAGCATGTCCCCAATTGAGCCATCGGTGATCGCGGGACAAAAGACTGGGATCTGATTTTTGTACGCCCAGTACAAGACAGAGGATTCGTCGTTTATTTCCTTTCCCAGACGGTTGATAAGCTTCGAAGGCGTCCAAATTGGAGACTCGACATCAGTATTGGCATCCAAACAGTCCAGCTTGTGCTCTTTGACGTATTCTTCCTGTTCTTCCAACATTTTGTCCAAGATAGGCACAATCCACTCTTCGAATTTACAGTAATTGTCGTTGGGCACCAAAAGATTTCCGATACGATTGAGCCCTTTGTCACGCAAAGAGGCACCTTTCAGAGTGAAGTCTCCCATGTATGTAGGAGCCAAACACTTGATAAGGTCCTCTTCGATACCACCTCCGGTTGCGACAATAGCATCGACCTGTTTGTGTTGTACCAAGTGACGAATGGTTTCACGTAACCCTGAGCTGATCAAGTTCGAAGTGTAGCCCAAGAAAATTGTAGTTTTTTGTCTGCCCTGCTCGTCAAATGACCCTTTTCTGTCGTGTTCCTCTAGCTCATCGCGGTGTTTCCCTCTCCAAGTTCTCATCTCATCGATAATTTCACAGCCTTGGCCTAGCGCACTGGCTTGAAATCCCATCGTCCGCATAGATTCTACTAGATCCGCTGCCCTCATGTTTGTGGCCTCGGGCTTAGAGTAATCGATACCATGGACCTTAACATAATCATCAGATAGCGGTTCAGAAGCCTTCAGCACAGCTTCGTTTAAGGTATCTGGCAAATTGGTATTTAGCTGGGACATTGTTACTTACCGATTGCTGAGTGTTCCAAGAGTATTGAAAGCCTTTTTGATATAAAGATCAGTCTGGTGGAGTTGGTATCGCTTTCCATCTCGCTTTCGTACCGTCAAAAAATTTTTAATATACTTCTTGAACAATGAGGACGTTGATGAAGTTAACTGAAAAGTCAAGTTGATGACCACTGAGTCAGATGCTCTTAGTGATGCTATACTGGTGAATCACGGCAATGCTAATATAATAATTGGATATGCCGATAAAACGGATCGGCTCGAACGGTGCTGCGTGCGCTTCCGAAGCCTCGAGCACAATAATATTTATACGCTTGAAAATCTGCAATTCATCAAAAATGAGGTCTTCCCGCTCCTTGATGACTTTCTGATTACTGTTAAGAAGATTGAGCGAAATGTAAACTGCTTGGCAACTTTGTTGACAAAGTTCAAAGTCGATCTAGATAGCAAAGTAGTTCAGGTTTTGGAAATGGAAAACCTGACGTATGGCATGAACTCAGTGGTGACAGTAGACCATTTTACCAAAGTTCATAGAAATGTGAGCAGCGACTGTAGCAGAGCAGTTGTTTGGGAATTCAAGCCCAAATGGCTGGCTCAGTACGGTGAAAACTGCCGCAACTGCGCTTTGAATCGCATGAAGGGACGCGATATATCGTACTGCTACAACATGGTACTGTCACGACCTAAGGAGTTGAAGAAGTGGTTTTCTACGGAGCAACTGCCGTCTCAGTTCTTCTCAGACATGGAAAAGTACTTTGAAAATCCCAAGAACGTTTTGGCCACACTGTATGGTGCTCAACGCAAGCTGAGGAATTCTGTGCCCCCTTTAACTGACCTGACCAGCCAGAATGACGTTTCAGATATTCTGGCTCTACTAATGACGCTCCGGGACGTAACATGTTTTGTCCGATGGGATCCACAATGTGGAATAAGCGCCAAAATCGTGGACGTGGATTCGAAGCCAAAGTCGAAGTGGAGTCAATGGAAGGCTCAACAAGAAAAATTGAACGCTAGCGGTGTTCAAGTGTTTCATTAGGTTTTGATTGGCGGTTTCCGGCGTCATATTAACAGTTACGCCTTTCTTTTTTTTTTTTGGCATACCGGGGCTCGACCTCAACGTGAGATAATATCAGGTACCTTGCGTAGCTCACTTGATGCAATAAATGTGCATGTTTTGAACTTGTTAATCATTGTCACTTCAATCGGAATAAACCGGTATTTCATGAAGCTAGTTCTTTATCGAACTTCGAGCACTTACATCACCAGGTATGTGGAGGAGAAGAACCCTCCAAGTCTCAAATACACCCTGCTTTTTGAAAAGAGAATTATCGACGGAATACATGGGGAAAACCTATGCTGAACCCGTCGCGACTCGCTTTTCAAAAGCCGTCAACATTTTTTGCTACATCCTGACACGGCTTGTTCTAGTCTGGCATGGAAACTAAAAGAATCACCGCTGATTTCAACTCCCACTTTGTTCCGGGCTATGGACACAGACGAAAAACTGTCTCTATGCTACGCTAAGATATACTAACTGTTACGATAAAACCCAAAGATCTGATGATCATTCACGAAGTAAGTGTATAAACCGCCTTGCGTCAAAAAGAGGTGGCGTTCCACAATTGTTTAAAGATTGTTTTAAAAGCTGCGAATGTCGATAAACGCTTCTATATGCCACACGGACATACCTGTAAGAAGGTAGTACCTCCATAGCTCTCTCATGCGACTTGTAATGTAGGTCGCGTGATTCAGCGACGATGCCCTCATCGCTCAGACCGTTCGTCGTGTTGGGCAGAATGAGGCAGAGCTAAAGGTAGGTCTCTACCACGCCCTTGTAGTATATCCGTTATATCGTGCAAATAGTCATAAAGTCATATTTTGTGGGTCTCAAAGAGCCAATTGAGTTCTCCAACTTGAACAATCAAATTTCCGTTAGATGATATCACAAGTCGGATCCCTTTAACAGTTGCATAAGGTCCGAACCATCTTCCTTTACATCTCTCCAGCCAGGAAGCTTGTAGGCAATATTTTCTGGTGCGAGCTCAGGAAATGCCGATCGAATAGCTTTGAGAAGCTCATGATAAAACACTTTATAGCCCTTTCCCGAGTAGTGAACTCCATCACATAGAAGTTCTTGCCACCGGTCCCCTCCCTGGGTCTTAAAAGCCTCATATAGATTGACAAAAGGGATTTCTTCCTCTATGGCTATTCGTTGAAGGGCCTCAGAGTATTTCTTGTTATTCTCATTGGAGCGTAAGATGCCTTGGTCGACTTGGTCTGGCTTCAAAGCAGTCCACCGCTCTCTATCGTGAAGCGCTGGTCCGATTAAAATGGGCTTGATCATTCTTTCCTTGAGCATGTGCACCATCTTCGTTATGTTCTCGGTAAATTCAGGCAAGTCTACGCGCTGCTTACCAGCTGAAGCAGAATCATTAGTACCGAAAAATATGGTGCTCATCACAATCTCACTGGAACGCTCATTTTCTAAGATTTTGGGAAGTAAGTGGAGAGCCCAGCGGGAAGTGTAACCACTGAATCCTCTTTGGATGATGTCCAACCTCCTCGTGTAATCTCTGCACAAAGCAGCCCCCAAGGCAAATTGATCCCCAGCTTCTTCGTCGGGACGAGTATTGAACGCGAACTCTGTGATCGAGTCGCCAAAGAGCAGAAATTTCTGGTAGCTTAATGACATATTGTTGCAGTGAGACCTGTGATCCTGCTCAAAAAGAGAACAATGCATTCATCACTACGCAAACTACTTATGTACAGAATGAACTTCTAGCTTCACGTGAACGCTTCAGCGCTCAAGCACACATCCACCAAATGGCTCTGCTCGCCCACATTCGAACGAAACACTAAACGTTTCTACACTTTAAGCCAGAAGAAGCTTGAAGTAAACGACTGACGCCAAAAACTGGAGGATGCCACGTTATATACTGGAGATTGATCCATTTCTTTCATTGTGCTATTCAATACCCAATACCAGTGTTAAGGACAGACAAAAATCGCATATCTCCCTATTATCAAAATTGTACTACTGTGTTGTCGAAAACTCGGCAATCTGACAGAAAGCTGTGCTCAAAAGTTCAAAGTCTGTAGGTCGGATAGTTGTCAATGGTATTATGGTCCGTTTGAGATGAATATTCTCATCAGGCTTGCCTTAGATAGCTGAGCAGCTTCTGTGCGCGATTGACTTGTTCATCGGATGGAGGAGCTTCATCTTCAGCCGCTTTCACGTCAGCTGGTTGCTCTCCTTGCTCTTTCTGTTCCGTTTTCGCAGGTTTTTCGGCGGTGTCGGTAGACTCTTGCGCTTGGCCCTTTTCGCTATCCTCTTCTTTTTCAAGCCGCTCTATCTCGGAGCTGGTTTGTGCCGCCAGTTGTCCCTTTTCGTGCCGATCGAGGCATTCTTGACAGGCCTTTTCAAGCGCAGCTTTCGAACCACCCTTCAGATCTTTGAAATAAGCGTACAGTAGGTCGTCGTAGCATGCAGGGATCTGTGTCACGTCTAGAATGTGCTTCAATAGCCAGTTTTGTTTCTGCTTCGAAAATTTCCACACCTCCACTACCTGAGGCTTCGCGTCGTCGGTATCTTTCTCGTCCTTAGAAATGGAAGACTCTCCCAGTTGTGCTTGTACCGGCTTATGCGACCATACCTCTTGTGGGAGCTCACCAACTTTCTCGCGGTAAAAGTCGATTAAGTATCGCAGCTGGTCCTTTAGCACCTGTTCTTTATTCAGCAGTCTTTCCTCGCGAGGTGCCTTGTCCTTCTTCTGCTTCTTGTTAGGGTTGGCGAGCGCCTTTTTGCCCTTTCCGTTCTCTGGTTCTCCTCTAATAATCTTTCTCTTTTCTCGTTTGCTTAGATTCGCTGTCGCCAAGTGCGTTGTCACATTTAGAGCAGTCGTATCACCGTCATCTGTAGCGCGTTCTTGATTTTTTATAGCGATTCTCTTCCAAGCCGGTATGTGATCCATTTTGCTTCAAACTTAGAGCTTCTCCAATCCCTGTAAGTGTAAGATTAAGTCTCACGTCTTCTCACGTCTTCTCACGTCTTCTCACGTCCCTTCGCGTTCTATGCTCATCTACCTTCATTGAAAGTTTTCCACCATATTTCAAGCTCATCGATTTTTTCGGCAATTTTTCAAAAATGGTATAAAAAGGCCACTCCCATGCGATGAGTATAATCTTCACATAGACCTTTTCTAAATCACATTCAAATTTTTGCGCTAACCTTGTGGTTACAATTGGTGATTATTCGTGGCTTCTTTTTTAAGGCGCGGGTGGGTACTCAACTTTTGTTTCCGCGCATAGAATAATAATTCACCAGTTTGAGTCGATCGGCAAGCTCGAAGAAAATATCTTAGAGTACACTACCGATTGATATAGAAGTGTGGTTACAATATGGAGCAACATTGCCTCCAATCTCTTGAATTTGATAAATAATTGTAGCCGCCTTTGAACTTATTCGTTTCGTAAGATCTGGTTTATTCTTTTCATATGTATACTTTTGAAAAACAGCGTGGACGAAGTTGTCAATGGCACTTCGAATTGATATGAATTGAATGCACTCAACTAAGGGTAAAGTGATAGCCGTGCATTATGGGAATGCACTTGCTTGTCACAGACTTCGATGAGACTGTGACTAAGAAAGACACTATCTCAACTCTTGCTGAGCTTCCGTACTTGCACAAGTCGTTTCCCGTCCCCTGGGCTCATTTTGTAGACACATACAATCAAGGGTACCAGAAGTTTACCGTTGCGAACCGAGACCTGCCCATCCTTAATGTCTGGAACAGCAACCGCGAGCAGCTTATTACTGTTGGTAACTACGAGCAAATGTTCCGAGCAGAGATCGACTATCAAAAGAGCATGCGACCCATTGAGCTGAATAGCATCCAAGAGCTGGAGGACAAAGGCGCTTTCACGAACATAACGTTAGATCAGGTACGCGAACTTTCGAGAGCTCGAACCAACCTCCTTCGAGATGATTTTCTGGAAGCGTGGAGAGCCGTATCAGAGGTTCACATTCTTTCAGTCAACTGGTCCCGAGTGTTTATCGAATCGATGTTGGCTTGCGCTGTCACCACAGATGAGGCAACTGGGATAAATCCTCCCGTTCAAACGACGTGTAACGATCTCATCGCAGAAGAAGGCAGGTTGACTGGTAAATTTAATAAAGCCGTGGTTACGGGATATGACAAAATCGAAGAGCTAAAAAAGCTACTCAAGGCGTCCTCTGCCACCAGAACAATCTGGTATGTTGGAGATAGTGAAACAGACTTGCTTTCTACGCTGTATCCCGGCGTAAATGGCGTTATTCTGTTGGATCCCGAGGAGAATCGCAAAAAGTTTGACAAGATAACGTCCGTCTTAGGAGTGAAACACGAGGATCTTAAAGGGTATTCGACAGCCCGTGATCTTGACTGTGTCAAGATCTCATGCAAAATGAATGGAGCATTGTACTTCGTCAAAAGCTGGAAAGCCTTGGTAAGATTGCTACGGCAGTGAGGCAACGGCCACGTCGTGAAATTATACAAATACTTAAAAGTAGTCGAATTGATTGATGTAGTCGTTACGAGGATAACCGTGATGCTGATTTGCAGTTCAGTTTTCGATGATGACTGTATTTTTCAGCTGACTTAAAGTTGATCAAAGTCATGAATACATAAAAGTTAAACGTTGTCTACTGCTTTAACCAACAAAATACAGAACTTCGTTATCATCAAGAAGTAAGAACTGGACCGCGCTTCTTGGCTATCCTTGCCGACCGACTCATATGATACTAGCTATCCAAATGAGCCGAGCGAAATGAAATGTCCGTTATTCACCGGCTTAAGCTTCCTTATTTTACCTTCAATCGAGCCGCCAAGAGTTCAGTTTATAGTAAAGCTGATAGAGGCAAACGGAGGCTCCATGGTAGATTCATTAATTAATGATACTGTCATATTGATCAACGATACTTTTGTAGAAAGCCATACTTTGAGAAAAAGCGAGCTTTTCCATAGTGAGTGGTCTTACGATGAGGAGCTGTGGTATAAACTTGTGTCGAATGAACAGCTTGAATTCTTCAAGCTTAGTTGGTTAAGCGAGTGTTTAAAGCATCAAAAGCTGCTTGACAAAGCAGATTTCCGAGCTCGTTTAATGGAAGAAGACAATGGCAATAGCAACTCACCTCATGTGGATGCTATCTCAATCGAGACGCAAAGCTCAGCAGAGGATACTGAAGTTGAAGACCAAACACTCGATTTCGATGTTCAAACTGAGCTTCTGAAATCTGACGCAAATGTGATGGCTTCTCAGAGTGTTATTGAAGACACTTCAGAATCAAAGTCTACAGTGAAGCCAAACTTGGCCCTTACTCGTGCCCTTGAGCAGTTGTTCAAAAAATATCGTCTTCAGGGCGATACTTATCGAGCTCGCGGCTATCAACTCGCTCTTCAATCGATCGAGAGCCATGACAAGGCCATAACATCTGAACAAGAGGCGCTCTCTTTACCCAATATTGGTCCAAGCATCGCCAGCAAAATCCAAACGATTCTAAAGCTAGGTTCGCTTCCTGGTCTTAACGAGGCCGATAAGAATGAGGAGCTTCTAGACTATTTTATGGCTTGTCATGGAGTAGGCGCTCAGACAGCTCGAAAATGGGTGTCCAACGGGATTACTTCACTCACAGAGGCTCTTAAAGCGTACCCTTCCGATTTCACCTGGAACGTTCTATTTGGTTGGAGGTTTTACGAAGATTGGTCTGTCAAAATTCCCAGGGAAGAATGCGCGGATCACTTAGCTTTGATGGAAAAGGCGTTGCGAGATGTTGACAGTAGTGCACGCATTGTGCTCACCGGCAGCTACAGACGCGGAGCCGCAACTTGTGGGGATATTGACACGGTTCTTTACAAACCTGGCTGTGATGATATTTGGACTCTATCTCAGATCCTTGAGAAATTGGTCTTACGATTAAAGGGCATGAACTACATCCGTTGTCCACTAAATCTAAATCACGCTTTAGGACAGGAGTTTAAGCCGATGATAGAGACGCTCACTCACGCTGCTGGGTTTCATGAGTCCTATGTGTCCGGGCCTAAAGAGGTCTTGAAGAAATTCTACTTCGGAGGAAAGCTACCGTCGAATACCACGCATGGCTTGTCAAAAACTGAGCAGCAGGTCCCAAGGCTAAAGTTTGAGGATTCGTTAATGTCTGAATCTGATCAAAATACTCATTGTCGAAGAGTAGATATCTTACTAAGCCGTTGGAGTCAATTGGGAGCGGTAATGATCTATTTCACAGGCAACGATGATTTCAATAAGAGCCTAAGAATAAGAGCCACTAAGAGAGGGTGGAAACTCAGTAATAATGGGCTTTATCAGTCCAACGCCAACACAGAGAAAAAAGATTTACTAATCGAATCGTTTGATGAAAGAAGAATAATGAGCCTACTGGGAGTGGTCTGGTGCCCACCAGAAGAACGAAACATCAAAGGCTACATATGAGGCCCAATGCTCATATAATCGATGCAATGTATTTCCAAAATTCGGAATTGGATTACGTAGTTGTTTAAAGAGGTCATACACACATTACTCAGTCCCGCTATGCTCTTAAGGTTTGCTGGACAAGAAGGTAACACCTGGCAATTCCTTACCTTCCAACAATTCCAAAGAAGCACCACCACCAGTGGAGACGTGGGAGATCTTGTCGGTGACACCGTACTTCTTGGCGACAGTGGCAGTGTCACCACCACCGATGATGACAGTGCTACCACCTTCAGAAGCCTTGACGGCGTCCTTCAACATAGCTTGAGTACCTTCGCTGAACTTTTCGAACTCGAAGACACCTGGAGGACCGTTCCAGACGATGGTCTTGGCCTGGGCGATGGCGGTAGTGAACAACTTTCTGGACTCTGGACCACAGTCCAAACCTTCCCAGCCCTCTGGGACACCCTCCTTGTCAGAGACAATCTTGGTGTTAGCGTCTGGGGAAAACTTGTCACCGCAGACAAAGTCAATTGGCAAGACGATTTGGACACCTCTCTGCTTGGCCTTCTCGGCCAACTTAGGAACGATCTCGGCACCGGCCTTGTCGTAGATGGAGTTACCGATCTCAGTGTTTTCTAGCACCTTCTTGAAGGTGAAAGCCATACCACCACCGATGACGATGACGTCAACCTTGTCCAACAAGTTGTCGATCAACTGGATCTTATCAGCGACCTTGGCACCACCTAGAATGGCCAAGAAAGGTCTGGCTGGGTTCTCTAGGGCCTTACCGAAGTATTCCAACTCCTTGGACAATAGGAAACCGGCAGCTCTCTGCTCCAATTCGAAACCAACGATGGAGGAGTGGGCTCTGTGGGCGGTACCAAAAGCGTCGTTGACGTAGACGTCAGCCAAAGAGCATAGCTCCTTTCTGAACTTCTCGACGTCGGCCTTGTCAGCCTTGACCTTTTGGCCGTCGACCTTTCTGGAACCCTCTTCCTCGATGTGGAAACGCAAGTTCTCCAACAAGATGACAGAGCCTGGGGCGGAGGAGTCCACAGCCTTGGAGACTTCTGGACCAACGCAGTCGTTCAAAAATTGAACGTCCTTGCCTAGCAACTTCTGCAATTCAGCAGCGACTGGCTTCAAAGAGTACTTCTCGACTCTTTCACCGTTTGGTCTACCCAAGTGGGAGGCCAAGATGACGCACTTTGGTTGTTGTTCCAAGACGTACTTGATGGTTGGAAGAGCAGCCACGATTCTCTGGTTAGAGGTGATCGTGGTGCCGTCCAATGGGACGTTGAAGTCCACTCTGATGAAGACACGCTTGTCCTTGACGTTTAGGTCCTTAACGGTAAGCTTGGAGGATAGAGACATATTCCAAATGTGACGATGTAGATGTTTGAGAGTGCTGACTGCGATACTCTTTTCGTGGGGAATTAAGTCCCTAACACCACTGATGATACGCCACACATCCGTCCTGTTTATATACTTTTTTCCAGTAAGGCTTGCGTACCGTCTGGCGACTTTTTTGCCACGCTACTGGTTTTTTTTGCTTAGTACGTGTGGTCCCCGTCGTCACTGCACTGCGTACACAGAGTCGCTCTACACACCGGCCCACCCTGCTCGCTCACGCTACCGAACGTTGCTGGCAGCCTGCCTAGTCTGCGCTCGTTTTTCAGAATCACCTGGGGAAACTGACTACCAAAGATATCAAGACAAGAAGAAAACTGAGGAATCAAAGAATCTGAATAACTAAGAAACGCCCAAGGACGACCACGGCTTGCTACACTACATGCAGCGTGGTGAGCCGCGTCTTCTTACCACTTGTCAAAATATTGTGTGATTGTGGTGAGTTCTACGACGTAGCCTCTTGAAATTGTCTTAGTTAGTGTTAGCTATGTCTCCAGACGACAGTTTGGATTACTTACTGCAAGGCTGTGACGCTGTAGAAGGCTCCGGGCGGCTCTTCTTGGGCGGCTAGACTTGCCGGGCTTCCTATTTTTGTTCGAGCTTCTAGGCGCGTCAGCGGAAGCTGGGCGGAAGCTGAAGGAAGCTGGAGGAAGCTGGAGGAAGATCAAAAAGGAAGTCGAAAACCAGGGGAAGCTCGATCACGTGAGTGACGGATGGATTGAGTCGACTCAATACGAGGTGGAAGCCTCGAGGGAAGGGAACTTGAGGGAACTTGAGGGAACTTGAGCCGCGAGGGAACTTGAGCCGCGAGGGGACTGCGTTATTTAGTTGAGTGCTCACAGCAGCCCGGTGTCGCTGTGAGTGGGTGCAGATCTGAGTACAGTGCTGTCCAACGGTTTGTAAAATTGGCCGGAAAGAATTATTATTATTGTTTTTCGGGATCCATTTCGTTGTTGACTTGATACCTTAAGAAACCCGCTTCTGGTGAAATGCGACCCGTTCTGCAACTTGCCCTGCAACCCGCCCGTAATGGATTCACAATCCGAGAAATACGCGGACGCGTCGTTCACCATATGTAACGCGTAAACGTCTGAAAATATTCAACAAGTAGGGAACGAACATAAGAATGCATCCTATGCATTCAGAAACCTTCCGCTGGTAAGTGTTTCTATTAATGATGTAGGTTCCACCTATATCTGCACCAAATGAGCGAATGTCGGCCCGCAATACCGATCTCGAAGGGGATACAGTGCTAAGTGATCTCGAGGACCATGTTCGCGAAATGTCCCGTCAGAATACAACGAAGGCTTTGGCGCTTGGAAGATCGCAATGGATGGAAAGGTCCACATTACGGAAGCGTTTTCAAATATCTGAATCGAAAGGTCTGAAGATTGCCAGCTGCAGACATTGCGGAAGAACCTTCAACGAAAGCAGGCCTGCGGGTAATCTCTCCAAGCATGTAAAGAACCTTCACCCAGGCCAGTACAGATCTCAAAAAGCCGCAATGCTGAAGGAGCGTATACTGGACTCTCTGGTCATGAAGTCTCGCTCACTTCCTCTGCCTTAGAATATCGTTCGTGAATATAAGCATAGTCCTCGCTCCATTGGGACAGTTGGTTTCTTGACGGAAAGGTTGCTACCATTTTCGTTTGTCACTTCCAGAACTTGGAAATGAATTTGTAAGGCATGTCCTGAGATGGCATTTATCCAATCTCGCACGACAATAAACACGAAACTCGAAACCTATTCGCAATGGTTTGATCAGGCTCTTATTGCGGCTCTAGAACATACCGACTTCATAAACTTAGAGCTAGATGTTTGGTCTGGTGGTAACGGTCGTTCTTATTTAGGGATTGCAGCCTCATTTGCTCCTAACATGTTGAATGAAAACTTATTGCGAGGCGTGGGGGCGCCAGCACTACTTGATAATTGTGGAAATTCCGCCAACAGTCACCTTTTGGATTTTGTTGATATCAGCGATTCACGCCATACAGGTGAAAACCTGTATAACACGGTCGTGGAGGTTTTAAACCGATTCAAAATAACAAATAAAGCTGTTTCTTTAACGTCGGACAATGCTACCAATAATACGGCCATGCATACTTTCCTTCTTCGCAATCTTTTCAAACCTCAGAGGACGACAGCCTTTGTAAAGACAAAAAACTTTCACCATGTTCGCTGCGCGAGTCACATATTGAACCTTCTTTTTCAGGACATCGTGGGGAAGCTAAAAGAAGATCAGAGGTTTGAAGAAGGCTCGAGAAATGTAAGTGCGCTTGCCAAAATAATTAAGAGATCACTCCTTCTAAGGTCTGCTCTAGCAGATGCTGGCTTGCCCTTGATACCTTCAGCCCCCGAAACGCGGTGCATTTCCATTTGGAAACAAATTGCCACGTTTCTGTATCACTACGACGCATATTTAGGCTGGGTTCAAAGCTTGAAGTCAATTGAAAAGTTCCAAAAGGTCCTTCCAAGGTAGAAAAGCGGCTTCAGATTCCGGATAAGACAGTACAATTCTTAGAGTATTTCACGAGCTGTTGTTCGATCTTCCAGCGAATGATTGATACCCTACAAAGCAATAATGCAAACAACATAGCTAATGCTGTCACTTTCTATTCTACAATGAGGGAGTTATATGAATTATGCAGTATTGGCGAAACGGAAATAATACCAACATCACCACAGGGGGTTTCTTGATTTCACATTCATCAATGGAAAGTCTGATCTCTCTGAAAACATAAAGATCATTGTTTTGAAGGCCGTCAACTCTACCAGGTCGAAATTCGATGAATACCTTGACTTATACAGGAAGAACGACATATACTTCGTTGCTGCGTTCTTGGATTCGAGTATCAAGAATGACTGTTTCGGTGAGCTTTTGAGTGAGGAAGAAGGCGAGGAGCACTTCCGAAGGGTAGAGGAATATATCAAGAGCTACGTCAAACAGTGTCAACCCAACACATTCGTGTATTGAAAGTATACTTGAGCCAGTGAACACGAATCGCGTTACCAAGCTCTCAAGACCAATGTTGCGTCGCAAGCAACCACGAGAGAGAGTCTCTGAAGTTCTTGAAGAATGGGAGAATTATAAGGCTGATACCCGGTTATCTTCAGACTCCGTTACGGACGTCGTGAAATGGTGGTATTCCCGACGTCTGGTCTACCCTCATTTGTTTCCGCTAGCTATATCCATGATATACACAAAGTTTAGCACTTGCCGCATTGAGAGAATGTTTTCTATCAGTGAAAAAATAATGAGAGGCGACCGCAGAAGTCTCGGAAGCGTTAGTGCCAGAAGAATCATGCTTTTGAGAGACTGCTTTTTCAATTTTGGTCTGTACGATAAGGAACTCCTAGTATCAGGACTAAGCGAAGCCGATGATTTCATTGATATAATTTCCGATGAAGGCCCATCTGGGGATGATGATGATGATAGTTATGCTAATGATAATCCCGACAGACGCTCGGCAGTGGAGTTAGCATGTTGACCTGTATTCAGCGTGGTAATAAGTTTACAATTTAATATTCACTCCACAACTTTCTTAGCCTAGAGGATTAGTAATAACTACTGAATTTGATTATTTAGGCAATGCACGGTGTTATCAACTTGTTTACAAGTTGAGGTTCATGAGGGACGACTGACGACTCCAGACCATGCAGATCAAGTTATCTCTGTTTGAACCTGCCGTTTTCGATCTTTATTATACATGTGTGACAATTACGTACAATGTGACCCAGTCGAGCCGTTTTTCATCACTTTGTAGAACAATGGCATTTGTCGTTGAAGAAAACAGCAGTGGTTGTTACGCTGTCATCCCACCGGGACACATACTCAACGCTCGATTGTTTTGTTGCCAAAAAGTTACTGGCTCATTCTTTTTGAGGCTCTAGATTACAATCACTCAGGTGCGATTCTCGGTGACATCAATATCAACTGGCATATAAGCAAGTAGGCTTTTTGGTTGTCGTTATAAGAAGCTTTCATGTCAATCAACCACGAGAGTCTTCACTTTCTCGAGAAACTATGTGACTCGTCCTAATTTATCAATAGGGAATAAGAATTATGAAACATGATGTTGTTAAGGCGGCGCTACGCATATGACGTCTTGAATATTTGCTGAAGTCTTCTGTAACGTTGGTTCAAACAAACACATTTTTTCTGATAACATTGCGACACTCAACGCCAATGTGGGACAATCGTTTGCAATCTGTCAAGCGCATAAACGCTTCAATCTCATGGGTAGGTACAAACACCCACGTGACACATGACAGATGACGGGCTGGTGGAAAGTGACAATACAAATGACACGGATTGTGCAAACACGCCTGTAACCTCTACCAAGAGCACTATTGGACGCTGCTATTTTTCGACAGTTCTCAGGGTCTAGAAATATTCACAAGGGACGCGCTCTTTCCCATCAAATAGGTATCGATTTGCTACGGAAATTGAAGTTTAAGCTCATAGCCTAAAGTGAAACAGAATTCACTTCGGAGTGCTCGTACCTCGCTATTAGCTAACCGCATCGGCATGCGGCTGTTGTTTTCACTGACAAGACTGTTTCTTCCGTACTCAATCTCACAATGACACAATTATTCCTCTATTTACCAAAAAAACAAACTTTAAAACGCTTGAAGTTTCCACGCAACTAAACTTCGGCGTTGATTCGCGTTTCTCCAGTCTTCTAGACCTAAATGCCACCGTTGTCCAGCGTCCGCTATGGAACTCATAGCAGGACGCTGCATGTGACGATGCCCACCTCGTTGGTGACGACCTTATTTCAGCAAGATGCTAAATCAATTTGATTATATATATATCTATGTAACAAACTCGAAATGAGATTATTCCATATACATACAATGAACGTGTCCCTTGCCAGCTGAGATGTCATTTAATATATTTGATCAATACGAGAAAACCGAAGATCATGATCTCAGATACATGGCTCTCAGAGAGTATTTTTTAGGCATTGATAGTCCCGGGAACGACCGCCTTCTACTCAAGCTCGTGTCACGTGTTCTTATACCTGCCCTCTCTGACCGAGATCGAGCCGTTTCGGAGCTGGTCTCCACTCAAATATTTCCTCACATCGCTCAGATAAATCCAGTAGGGATCGAACACTGTTTCGTACTACCACTGTGTCATAAGCTTTTCGAATCTGTCGCCCACCTGCACTGCAGTCCCCAGGTTCTTCAGGCCCTAAAAAATGTGCTTTCCCGGACAAACTGCGCTTTGCAAACATCCAAACCGCTCGAGGTATACTGCGAGACACTATTTGCGACAAGCGATAGAACTTATATAGTATGGGAGACATTGGCCTTGCTGCTGAAGAGAACGCCGACAGCGCTCTCGAACCACGTGATACAAGACACATACCCTAAACTCTACCATTTGGCCTTGAGCGACGAGGGACCTGCCGCCATGGCTGCTGTTCGTGCAGCGACTGCCAAGATATCCCCTTCGGTTTTGACTGCGACATTGGAACAGAATCACGAGCTTTCGGAAACTCATCTCGGGCTTCTCTCTCACATTTCGTGCGAGTACTCCGCTTTTCGGTCGCTATACCCGGAGCTCATTGCCATGCTTCTGGTAATGCCCTTCACAGATAATACGTGCCAAACACTGGTCAACCTTTCTGTCTGGTTACAGCAGCCCGCCATGGACGTAAAATCCGCTGTGAAGGAAGAGTTGAGCACCAAATTGTTTGCGAAGTGTCACAGTGTCTTGCTCGAGTACGCCGAAACAATGGAGACAGTTTCAGATGAAGAGGTAGATCCTGATCAAGACGCTTACCTCAAAGAACTATCGCCAGACGGAGATGGGGAAGACCCTGTATTCGAAGAAGAAGATGGAGGGGGAAAAGAAGGTTCACACGACTTGCCGGATGCCGTCAGATGCTGCCTAGAAATGTTAAAACAGGTCAAGCTGCCAATACCGCAGAATTTCACCGCTATTCTCAGTTTACCAAGGTTCGAAAATGGCTTGGTTTCAAAGTTGATGGAAGAGGGACGATTCGATGATGATTGCGCACTCACACAACGTGGATCAGTTGCGTTCGAATCATCCGCAGGAGAGCTTGGCAAATCAAGCCCAGCGTTGCCTCACGAAAACCACATGGAAACAACTCCCGGCTTCCTGACTTCGCAGGCCAATCTTACTTTGACGGACGCAGGCAATTTCATGAATAAATCCCCTCAATTGACCAAGACCGACCAAACAGCACTCATTGGCCTACTCTACGAAAATCTCAGCAGTGAAAGTGACGATCTTGCAACCTTAGAAATGGCGGTTGATGTAGCAGCCGTTCTTTCAGGCCGCGAAGAAATGCAAAAAGCACACGATTTAATCGCCCACTTATTATGGCCCCACTTGAAGCCCAATAAGTCCTTCATTCGGACGATTAAGGTAGGAAATATGAAGCAAGCCATCGACGACGGCGTTTCTTTTCGACTAAACTGTTACACTTTGCTGCAAAGGTTACAGCTGTGCTATCAGTCCAGATGTAAGACCCTCGAGGAATGTGTGGAAAAGGGATTTAAAGACGAGACGGCGATCAAAGAAGTATCAGCCGCTTTGTTTACCACCATATTTGAACAAAGCTTCTCTGACATTCAAACCCGTGACGCCCATTGGTTTCGTGAAAAGCTTTGCCCGCGGGTGCAGGACCGGCTCAACAAAATGCTTGCCACCAAGCCCAACGAGGCTTCAACATCGCAGCAAATCTCACAATGGACAAGAAGCGTCACGAGCTTACAATATGCACGGGCGCTGCTGGTTACAGCGATGCAGACGAGTCCAACATTTCAAGGTGACCAAAAATGTGTTTCTGACTGATTATCGGGTCGCTGCGACTACAAGAAAAAGGAACACATGCAGAGAATACCAAGGCCATACAGTTATGAGATGCGATGACGGATCTAAAGATTTCCACAACTCTCAAATTCAGCCATCTTCCTTTTCTCGTGCCGGTACAGGTTTGTGCAAGTCCACCTAAAGCGCTGGTTGCTTTGAGCAATTGATTTTGAAAAACCTGATTATATATTCTGTCCGTTAGAGAGCTGATCAATTCTTGGCAAAATATAAACTAAAGAGACTAGATGTCACATCTGAGTATACGCAATTCATGCAATTCAGTGACGGACAACTATAAAAAAATAACTGAATGAGAAGTAAGTATTAAAACGTCCAATTGTAGCCACTACTTAATTGTTTTAGTAGCAAATACATATGGCTCTAAACTCAGTTGTCCTCACACACAATTCCCTGTCCCGTTGCTAATAATTGACATCTGTTGATGTTCTACAGTCTAATGGAATAAGTTGATCAAGATATGATCATAGTAAACGAAATCTAACGATCTGACCCTTTATAAGAAGTTACCCATGTTCAATCCAAAGATGATATTCTGACTGATCCATTCTAGACGCAGCTCTAACAATAACAATATGGCCTCTAAACAAGTTGGTGGGCAACCTTTACAGAGTGAGGACTTTTCTGAGATCGAGTGTCCCCCACAATACCGTGTAACCCCTAGCCCGGAACAACAAGACGAATGGAACAATGTCAATCCCTTGCCGAGACGAAGATCTACAAATTACAGCGACGCCTTGGAGATGGAACACAACCTGTCGGCTGCAGTTTCTAAAGGACTGCATGTAGAAAAAGGATCTGACAGCAATCCCACCCAGCATCACCAAAGTCATAAACGTGGATTGCAACAGAAAGCGGCGAAACTGAATGAAGAAGAAACGTCCTATGAATATGGTAATATCAAGTTTGAAAACCGGGATATCCCTGTTATTACTGCCTCGCATGGCTTCGATCGTGGCCAGTTCCATCCACAAGAAAGTCCCCCTCGCGAAACACCATATGGAATTGTTTATTTCGACGGCAAAGATCAAGATCAAGAACAGGACCAATGCCTTCCATCTGTCCAAAGGCCTCCTTTGAATGAAAGACGCTCTTCGCTGTTCGAGGATTACAAAAAAGACATGTATGACAAACAGCATATGTTTGAGGGGTGAGAACTTGCATTTCACATATTTACGAGCGCATGACGATTAGCTATACTTAACGATAATTAAAGCCTTTCAGTTACTAGTGGAGGGCTTTTTTACGAACTAATACCAATTTCAGTAGCTATTTTATCTTATACCAGTTTTTGGTCCAAATTATTAGAATTGCGTTATTCATCTCGAAACTACTCCTTTTTGATTATGTTTCGGAAGACTGACGTTGAAGCTTCACCGTAACACTCATGACGTTCTCGATTAAGAACGTCGACTATGCCGATTCAGTCTTCAATGCTACCATAGGGCTGGAATTCGATTCTGGTCTCGTTTCTACGTTCCATTGGATATACTTGCTGGATAACTGTACCTCTACGGAGTCTCTACACCCAGAAACGAAACAGAGGTTGATTGATGTCTTTAACGGATCCGAGATGCGCTCCCAGAATGGGTTTGAGGACGCCAATAAGGCAATAGGCGGGCTTTTTGACGACATTGATTTTGATATAATCAATGGAAACCTTGTATGCCGCTGGTCTGCATCGAGCGTCTCGGAATTCTCGCAGGGTTGGCTTTTGACACACTCCTATTCTCCACAATTATTCACCAGGCAGCAGCAACTGCCTGATATACAACCTTGGAATGCTGCGGAGTTCGGAAATATTGTTCGTCACGGTAAAGCATACAAGTTTGATCAGATCCAAAGTACACTCCCAGACCTTCTTCAGGACATTTACAAATATGGATTTCAATTTGTAGAGAATGTTCCCGTAAGTCTAGAGGCCACTCAGAAGATTTCAGAGTCGATCTCGATCATTAGACCGACCCACTACGATTTAGGGGTCTGGGACTTTACCTCCGACATGTCTAAAAACGACACTGCGTACACCACTTTGGCCATTGACATGCATACAGATGGCAACTACTGGCACGAACCACCCGGTTTACAACTTTTCCATCTTTTAGAACATTCAGGCGGCACGGGTGGGGAGACCCGCATAGTAGATGTCGCGAGAGTGGTGAGACTTTTGCAAGATCTATCTGCGAATGACAAAACCTGGAGCAGGGCTTACCAAATACTTACGACCCAACCAATTGCTTTCCACCAGGCTGGCGAAGAGGGCATGGTTTTTATAAAGAATTCGTTTCCTGTGCTTACGGTCTCAGAATCAGGGCAACTTCTGCAATGTCGGTGGAACAATAGTGACCGGTCGCCCCAGTTTCCGAAGTTGATGTTTTCTGTGGGTCAGATCTACGAAGCCCTGTTCAGATTCAACGCGCTGATAAACGATCCGAAGAATTTCGTTCAACTTCAACTGATGCCAGGCAAAATCCTAGTATTTGACAACTGGAGAATTCTACACGCTAGAAATTCCTTCACTGGGTACCGCCGTTTGTGTGGTTCATACTTAACGAGGGATGACTTCTTGGCAAGATTACGGTCGTCATACAATCAGAAGGATGCTCTCTTAAACGCACTTTAAACACTTCCCGTCTAGACAAAAGCACTTTTCTTAGAATACTGTGAAAGCTCAATTGGCAAAGAATGACAATCGATATGTGAAGCACTGAGCCGGAATTCATGATTCCCAGGCCATCAGAACAAGGTTAGCGGATCAACTGGATCCTCTCTTCATGCTTGACGATATTCTACGCCTTTTACTATCCATACTAATTCACGTGACAAAATCTGTAATATATCGAGATTTGACGCTGGTGTAACGGTTTCTAGCACAGTAAGTGATATTCAAATACAGACAGAAACGCAGATACGGAGCCGTATGTTTGCCCGTTTATCTTCAGTACCGAGATCATGCCCGCGAATTATTCTTCCGGCGAGTTTCAACCGCCATGTTCCGCGATTAACTCTAACAGCCAGGTCATATGCGCAGAAAAACTCAATCAAGAAGAAGAGGCCTAATGAGGAGCCCAAGGATCTTAAATCTGAGATACCTAACTACATTTCGGTCAGTGACCTCGCCAATATGATAAATCTAAAGATCGAAAAGCTAACAAGAGACTTGACCAAAATGGGATTTGCGAATGTCACTCACAACTACATCTTGTCGAAGGAATATGTCGAGTTGATACTGATGAACTACAACTACCAACTTGGAGACCATGCCCTCGCAGTCACTCCAGAAAACGTGTACGACGAGTTGAGGTCTCCGGTTAATCCCAAAAATTTGGCAAGGAGACCGCCCATAGTAACTATCATGGGTCATGTCGACCACGGAAAAACCACGATTTTGGATTACTTGCGAAAAACGTCCATTGTTTCTCAGGAGCACGGCGGTATCACACAACATATCGGTGCTTTCCAAGTGGAGACTCCAGTTTCGAAAAGAAAAATCACATTTCTTGACACACCGGGCCATGCTGCGTTTCTAAAGATGCGCGAAAGAGGTGCCAACGTAACCGACATAGTCGTCCTTGTTGTTTCTATGGACGACTCTTTGATGCCACAGACTCTAGAGGCTTTGAAACATGCGAGAAAGGCAGGAAGCCAAATGATAGTTGCCATCACAAAAATCGATCGAATTTCAAACGTCAAAGAACGAGAGAAAGCTATTGAAAAAGTGAGCATCGATTTGATGAATAATGAGGTTCCTATAGAAAGAATGGGTGGAGATGTACAAGTTGTTACGATCAGCGCGCGTACGGGAGAAAACATGAATCTTTTAGAAGAAAGTATTGTCGCGCTAAGTGACATAATGGATCTGAAGGCCGAGAGGGGTAGCAATGCTGTAGCAGAAGGCTTTGTGATCGAGAGTGAGGTAAAAAAGTCTGTCGGAAACGTCAGCACCGTTCTAATCACAAAGGGTTTGCTGCGCAAAGGATCAATTTTGATATGCGGAAATACTTATTGCAAGGTGAGATCTATGTCAAGTGAACAGAGAGTGAGTTTAGCTGAAGCGGGTCCGAGCACCCCTGTTGAGATCACTGGCTGGAAGAATCTCCCGGCCGCGGGCGATGAGGTCATTCAAGTTAAGAGCGAGGCTATCGCCAAAAAATACGTGGCTAAGAAGATGGCTGTAATACAAACTGCTAAGGAGTCAAAAAATGTTGAAAGGATAAACGAACAAAGAGCTTCGGAAGCTCTTCTGAAGGCGAAAAAAGATAATTTAAAGGGTGAAGAAGTCGAAGAGCTTGAAGAAAAACAGCTTAACAGCGGTCCGGAAAAAATAAATTTTATTGTGAAAGCTGATGTATCAGGGTCAGTAGAGGCCATTGTGGAAAGCATATCATCTTTAGGGAACGAAGAGGTACAATGTAATATCATCTCGGCCTCTGCAGGAATGCCCAATGAGAGTGATATGAAATTAGCACGTATAACAGGTAGCAAAATTCTGTGCTTTAACTTAGGATCACTTCCTAATGATGTCATCAATAACAAAGAAAGGATAGAGGTGGAGCAGTTCAACGTCATATACAAACTAATAGAGGGTGTCACAGAAACCCTCACAAACAAATTGAAGCCCATCTACGAAACCAAGCAAATTGCTCAAGTTGAGATTCGGGACATCTTCAATTTTAGCGTCAAGAAAAAACTTATCAAGATTGCAGGGTGCAGGGTACTCAACGGGCTCCTGACGAGAGGTTCAATGGTCAAAATAATGAGAGGTCCAGAAGAACAAACTGTATATGACGGCCGCATTGCAAGTTTAAAACAGGGCAAAGAGGATGTTCCATCGGTTAAAAAGAACAGTGAATGTGGTATCACGTTCGAAAATAATTTTGAGGGTTACGAGGCGGGCGATAAATTGGTAACCTACGAAAAGGTCAAAGTTCCAAGGTATCTGTAGTATGGGCTAACTAGAGCACTTTTCCTGTAAATATCACTACTTAAAGAATTATTTTTCCGTCTCCCATTGCACCCTCACGCATTCCTCAACATAGCCCACGCCATGCTCGTCATACTTCGTGATATAATTTTCGACGTCTGTGAAAATCATGATGGTACCCCACTCCATTCCGCCTTTCTCTAGAACAGTTTCTTCCAAGTCCAGAATCATTTTAGGCATTAGTTGCATCTCGAAAACCCTTTTGGATGAGGGATTATAGCCTGGCGATGGTATTACTTTTGGAAGATCCACATTTATCGCTGCGTAATATAGAGGTTCGCCTCCAAAGTGGTATCGTAGTACTTGCAATGGATTATAGCCTGCAACGTCCTGGAATTTCTGGAATACGTCATCGTCTAGAAATTTGGATAACTTTTCGGTTCTGGGATCCAGTTCAATATTGGACCCACCGAAGGAACCCTCGCTTTCAGGATCGAGGTCCAAAACTGTCTTGTCTATTTTCACATTTTTGGGTAGCTTGAGGTGGTCAGGGATTTTGTTTTTAAAGGACTCTTCTTCGACATACAAGAAGAAGCCAGGAAAGGCGCCGTCAAATTTTTTGTCTGGTAGAGAATCATGTTCTTTCCTTGCAACTTTAGGATTAATGGTGTCAGCTGCCGATTTGGACTTTTCTTGGGTGGTTTCCTGTGTGGTTGAGAACGGGTTTTCAGAGGTTATTGCGAAAGGATTAGGACTTTCAAAATTTACAGCATCAACAGCAAACGGGTTTGATGAGCTTTGGTCGACTTCAAAGCGGTTGATCTTGAAATCTTTTTCCTGAATCGACGAAGTCATTGTAGCCTGCAGGAAGTCTGAATTCTTGCCTTTCTTGACGCCGCGGATACAGCGCACAGATTTGGGTTTTCTGGAGCATTTAGTGCACATAAAGACATAGAGAACCCGTTCATCTTCTGGGTTGACCTTTACCGGTGTCAAACCGAGCTTTTCGGCAACATTTCCAACCTGTTCTGCATCTAAAGGAGCAAAGGCCTGTATAAGCAATTTCAGGTCAGCCACAGAATGGCACGATCCACATCTTAAAAGATCTTCTTCGGGTAGCGAATCTGGATGTAACCAAATAGGTTCTCCCCCTATGAACGTGTCGTCAGTGCGGACCTCATCGGAATCTTTGATTGCTGCATCGACAAATCCCAAGTAAACGTCGCTGTGCTTAGCTGCGAAATTGTCCTCCGCATCGGATAATATACCGTCGTCGATGTTTGACATCTTGAATTGAGTAGTCTAGCTATACCTAGAAAGATCGGATGCGACGTTTTTTATTCAAAGTAGGCGATGCGATGAGCTCAGAATAATTTGAAATTATTTGATAATATTTTTTTTTGTCGAACTGACCTTCAGTCTGTTCCAGCTTAATAGCTTTGCCCTACGTTGATGTATAACGGTCTCTAATACTCAACAGCACTTAGAGGCTCTTGATTTCTTGAAAATCGGCTGAAAGATCATAAGATTTGACCAAAGAAGCTGATTTCAACAACTTGGGAAATTAATAGCAAGAATATCTACAAATTTATTCTAGCGACCCAAGCTCAATCACTAAACTAGATAGAAAGCCAATCGAGTGCTGAAGCCTCAAATCAAAGCATCGCACCCAAACTTCGACTAAACTTGCTGAGGTCGTATACTCTTAACTCGAACAGAATCATAATTAACAAGTATCTTGTTACGAGTGGTTTTTCTTCTCAACAACAAGCGCAAGTGGTTTAGTGGTAAAATCCAACGTTGCCATCGTTGGGCCCCCGGTTCGATTCCGGGCTTGCGCATTCTTTTTGCCGATCCTAACTGAAAGCTCTCTCTCTATAGAGAAAAAAATTAAGATCTCTTAACAGAGTTAGCTGAATACATCGAAATCAACCTCTGCTCTAACCAAGCTTTCTAGAATAAACCTGCTTTAAATTATCCATCTATTGAGTTTCCCTCATGTCTAATATCGCATTCAAGATACGCCAAGCTGCTCCCGGTATTGACCAAGTGGTGGCCGATTACGCAAGTGGATACTACAACCACTTGTTGAATGCTACCTATGACGCAGTGCAGAGTAAGCAGTTGGCTTTGCCGCAGGAAGTTTCGTTTCTTCAGGACCTACTTATGAACGCCGGCGGCAAAGACGACAAAGTTGATGAGCTTTGTAAGGAAATGCTAGAAAGATTGTCGTTGCAACTAAAAGAAAACCAAGCCAAACTAGAGGTCACTGGTGATACAAGTAAGAGATTGCTGGATGTAAACATTCTCCAGCATCACAATAGCAAAGCTAACATCAACACTTCGCTTGCCATGTTGGGTGTTACTGGGGACATAGAACACACTGGTCGTAATGTCGACAGCAGAGTTGATATAAAGAAACTAGAAAAGGCCGAAAAGAAAATCGCCAAGAAGGTGGCTAAGAGAAACAACAAATTTGTCAAGTATGAGGCTTCTCGTCTCATCAATCAGACCAAAGAGGATGATTATGACTCGTTCTTCTTGAAAATCAACCCGCTAGAGTTTGGCTCTGCAGCTGGTAAGTCGAAGGATATCAAGCTGGATACGTTTGACTTATACGTTGGCGATGGTCAAAGAATTTTGTCGGACGCACGATTGACCTTAAGTTTTGGTCACAGATACGGTCTGGTTGGTCAGAACGGTATTGGTAAATCCACATTACTGAGAGCTCTTTCGCACAGAGAATTGAACGTTCCTAAACATATTTCGATTCTCCATGTAGAACAAGAGTTGAGAGGTGACGAAACGAAAGCGCTTCAAAGTGTTTTGGACGCAGATGTTTGGAGAAAGCAGCTTTTGACGGAAGAAGCCAAGATCAATGAGAGACTTCAAGAAATTGAGAAGCTGCGCTCTGAGTTTGATGAAGAAAGTCTGGAAATAAAGAAACTGGAAAATGAACGCGAAGATTTGGACAAGCACTTAGAACAGATATCGGAAAAATTAGTTGACATGGAATCTGACAAAGCTGAGGCTAAAGCAGCCTCAATTTTATATGGTCTGGGTTTTAGTACCGAGGCACAGCAGCAACCAACAAACTCATTTTCAGGTGGTTGGAGAATGAGATTGTCATTAGCGAGAGCGTTGTTTTGCCAGCCCGATCTGTTGTTGTTAGATGAACCTTCCAATATGTTGGATGTCCCCTCCATCGCATACCTTTCAGAATATCTGAAATCATACCCATCCACGCTATTAGTGGTGTCGCACGATCGCTCTTTCTTGAATGAGGTAGCTACTGATATTATTTATCAGCACAATGAAAGATTGGATTACTACAGGGGTCAAGACTTTGATACTTTTTACGCGACAAAAGAGGAGCGTCGTAAAAACGCCCAGAGAGAGTACGAAAATCAACTGGCCTACAGAAAGCATCTCCAAGAATTCATTGATAAATATAGATACAACGCGGCAAAGTCTCAAGAAGCTCAATCAAGAATCAAAAAGCTCGAAAAGCTTCCTGTTCTAGAGCCTCCTGAGGAAGAAAAGAGTGTAACATTCCACTTTCCAGAGTGTGAAAAGCTTTCTCCGCCGATCGTTCAGCTTCAGGATGTTTCATTTGGTTTCAGTGCAGACAAACTACTCCTAAAAGATGTCAACGTAGATGTTCAGATGGACTCTAGAATTGCCTTAGTCGGTGCTAATGGTTGTGGTAAAACGACGTTGCTCAAAATTCTCATGGAACAGCTACGCCCACTAGAGGGCTACGTCTCTAGGAACCCAAGGTTACGTGTGGCCTACTTCACTCAACATCACGTTGACTCTATGGACTTAACAACATCTGCAGTCGATTGGATGTCTGCAACTTTCCCGGGGAAAACGGACGAAGAGTATAGACGTCACCTCGGCGCCTTTGGTATTACCGGTACCCTTGGCCTACAAAGAATGCAACTGTTATCGGGAGGTCAAAAATCCAGAGTCGCTTTCGCTGCTTTGTGCCTCAATAATCCTCATATTCTTGTTTTGGACGAGCCTTCGAACCACTTGGATACTTCTGGTTTGGATGCTTTGATGGATGCTTTGAGGAATTTCACAGGCGGTGTTTTGATGGTTTCTCACGATATTTCCGTTATCGATGGTGTGTGCAAAGAGATCTGGGTTTCAGAAGATGGCACAGTTAAGCGCTTTGATGGTACAATCCATGACTATAAAAAGTACATCATCGCGTCTGCGGGTAAAGCAGGTGTAGTCAAGAAACACTGAAGCACAGCAAAAAAATAGGCTTAAGTGCCCCAGTTAAGAGACTTTCTCAAAGACGCTCAAAGCAAGGCACTTCACCTTATTATTTAGACTTCTTATTTACTTTGGATCTATCTAAGCAAAAGCTGCGCCGTACGTTTACTGGTGACAGGGTCGAGTACGGATTTTACTTGCACGGTCACCTTATCAAAGACAAAAACGTCCTTTATCTTCTCTGAGCCCTTTGCTTTGAAGCTTAACTTGAACTCATCTGCCTTGAACTCGGCGGACTGCTCGTCGTCCGTCAAATTCTCGAGCCTTATGAGACCCTCGACTCCGAATTTTGGCACTAAAACAACTATACCGTTGTGGAAGACCCTAATAACGTAGCCAGTCTCCTCAGATTCATTGTTTCTCATAACTTGGCCAACGTAATACTCAATACTAGCCCTCCCAGCAAACTGCGCGTTGCGGTGTTTCTTATTCATGTTTCGACACAGAAACTCCATTTTATTCTTGTCTCTGTGGGATAAATCGAGTGGCTCGTAACCAATGGCGGCTGCAAGCTGCCTATGAGCAACAACGTCGCAAAAACGTCTAATGGGGGATGTGAAATGAGTATATATGCCCACCGCCAGCCCGTAGTGTCGATAATCGGCGTAAGAATACGCTCCTGAGTAAAAGTACTGTGCAGCCATCATACAACGAGTAGATGCAATCCGTACCAAAGTGTTGAAGTAGGGATCATTTGGGTCAACACATCTGTCCAGAGATGCAGCCAAAGCCTTTGAAGATTCGAGTGAAATGGACATTCCTTTCCTGAGTTGAAGCATCTCATTGAGGCTCTCGAAATTTGTAGCTGGAGGAGCGGCATGTCTTCTCAACATAGCAGTCTGAGGAAAAGCCTCATAGATTTTTCGAGCAACAGACTGATTAGCAAGTAACATAAACTCTTCAACCAAAGAATTGGTCGCCAGAAGCTTTTTGACTTCCACTTCACCAGGGTCAGAAGTTTCGCTATCCATGTGCACCTTGACCTCCGGAGATGCTAAGTTTAGAGCACCGGCGTCGAGACGCTGTTGTTTGAGCTTAATTGATAGTTGGAGCAATGCCCGCATCCCTTGCGTTAGTTCGTCCACCTGGTTCGGGTCGTCAATCCGTATCTGAGCCTGTTCATAAGAGAACGCCTCTCTGGATTTGATAACCGACTTGGTAAAATCAACGTTAACAATATTGGCGTTCGCATCTAATTCCCATAGCACGGAAAATGCAAACCTGTCAACGTAAGGCTTTAGCGAACAAAGATTAGTACCCAGCAACATAGGAAGCATATCTATACGTTTGTCGACGAGATAAACGGAAGTACTCCTTTCAGCACCCTCTGTATCCAGAGGTGTGTTTGCCTTGACAAAATGGGTAACGTCTGCGATATGAACGCCAACCTCCCAGTTACCATTGGGAAGTTGTTTCGCGTGTAGGGCGTCATCGATATCAACACAGCCGGGGGGATCAATGCTGCAAATGAGCTTATCTCTGAGATCGCGTCTTTTAGCCAAGAGTGGGTCCTTCGCAGTTGCCTCGGGGTCAGAAAGATCTTCTGGGGCTTTCCAGTCGGCCCCTTCGACCGGCAAACACTCCAAAACCTTTTTGGAAAATGGTCTGTACTCAACATCATGTTCGAGCAATAAAGCTTCTGTTTCAGCTTCCACAGATTCAACTTCACCAAGCTCTCTGACGAAATGGCCCAACGGGTACTTGTAGGTGTCTGGCCACGAATCAACAGCTATAACAATTCGCTTGTTCAGGAGTTCCCTCGCACGTCGCGTGTGGATTCTGATCTTAGGTAAGGATCTGTCCATAAGGATGACGAAAGCATTCTGGGTTCCACCATTTTGCAGGTCCACGGAGTTTGGGGCTATCTGCCCCACATATTGTCGCCATGACCGCCTCGTTATCGAAACAATTCGAGCCGTGGGCTGAACTTTGCCAGATTTCTGAGTTTGTATAGCATCTTGAACCAGCAAGCGACGTTGCTTGTCTGAAATTGCATCTTCTCTTTCGTTCTGATTTTCATCTCCATCAGGATTATCGTTAACATTGAAATGTTCTGAGTCCAATACAACCGTAGAAGGCGCCTTCCACTCCGTCTGGGGCAGAAGTTCGACCACAACTTGATCTCCGTTGAACGCCCTGTTAAGGTTTTTCTGGCCCAGAATCAATATCGGTTTCGTGAAGTTCGGCAAAGATACCTGTCCTTCTAAAAAGTTATACTCGGATATCTGTACTGATCCTTGATATAGAACGCCACTTTTGATGCCACCCATGACTCTCGCGGTTGAGTAGTAGTCGGGAAATTTGAACTCTGACCTAGCTTCGACATCTTTTTCTCTCGAGCTGAAAGTCTCCAGATTTGGAAGGGCATCCTTGACCTCTTCTGCTTCAGGTAGAAGCTCGATGTATTGAGCAAGAGTTTTGGCGTCCAGTCCCTCCTTGATCGCACGTTCTAGGTTTCCTCTATCATTAGTCAAAAGTAAAGTGCTTATTCCGGAGCTCTTCAGATGCTCTCCGTACCAAGCGCAAGTTTTTCTTATAGCTCTGTCATTTCTGTCGTTGATTGATTCATCGGATTGTCTCTCAACGTAGGTGTCTTCGTGGAACTCGTTGTGAAAGATTATCAGTCTTTTAGTGTCGTTGCTATCACGACATAGTGTTCTAAGTCTGGTGTAGATGGGGTAAGAAACATTTCTTATTTCATCTAGCGCAATCTGGGGAATGATTACATCGAAGAAACAAGCTGGATTTTCCAAAAGGTCGATTGCTTGTAGGACAATGTTAGCGTCCAAAACCACATAATGTTTGCGACCATCGACCAGCTTTTGCGGCGATTCGGATAATACGAAAACAGGAAGCTCGTTCTTGGCATCAGGTACTACAATATTGATGCATTTTTTGCAGGCTCTTGACAAGCACGGTATATCGTTTCTTAAATAATGTTCTCTGACAATTTTGGTCGCTCCTCCGTTGCGGGATCTAACGAACACTTTCTGAGTAACCGTTAAGCCATCAGAAAGTCTCTTTCTATGAAGAACCATGACTTGTTGCTCGACTAGAAGATCCTTTTATGGTCAATGGGAGATGCTCATAGCACATTCAAACCTGAAGACTGCAGGTGATGAGCTTGAATTTTGTAATGTCAAAAAAATTGTACCTCATCGTTCACGAACAGATCGCTGTCAATGAGCTCAGAGAGACAATGAGCGAGTGGACTCGGCTATGCTTTGATTCAAAGCGCTAGGATCTCCCTTTATTGACATCATTAGATAAAAATCTGTGTGCTCGTAGTCAGCGGATAACAAATTGTATGGGGCCAAAGCTGGAAATTTCGTCTTCAAAGTCTTGACGACTTCGTCGAGACTAGCTTGAGTAAATTTACCGTAGTAAAGAACTGTTCCTTGGTCTTCGGTGCTTTGAAATTCATCATTTATAGCGCTTGATAAGCTGAAAGTGTCCATACCATCATAAGAGTATTTTTCGCGCAATGACTCTATGTAAAGACTTTCTTCAAAACACCAGATCGAGATTGTAAAGATGGCTATAGCCATTAAAACAGAGTGGGTGCGGTGCAACATATTATTTGAGGTTCTTTTATTTTGTTGTAGATTCCTTGGAATGATCAGATTGTTATTGGGTGATGTATGATGCTTGAAATGTAGTGGCAATTAACGAAATTCAACGGGCTTTTATATGTGGGCGGTGAAAAGGAGTAGAGCGAAACCTCGGGGCCTCAGAAAGCTTGACTAACCTTATTTGAGTGAAACCCAAAAAATCGACCTATATGATTTCTAGGTGAAATTCCGGTGAAACTTTTAAGCGAAACATAATCTAAATGAAAACCAGTTGAATGTGCGAAACTAATCTCAATCTCTTTATTTTTGAGGCTTATTAGGAGAACAAGATCTCTTGGTCGCTGCCCGCCTAAAAAATGGTGAGTGAGGTGGACGTGTCTTCTTCTCCGTACGGCATTTGCACGAAATTCATTGTAGCCCAGTAATTTTTCACAGTCATTTTCAATGCAGAATAATAACAATACACCCAACTAAACACTATCATTGAAAACTACAAATCCTCTCAAAAGCAGATTTCTTTACCATAAAGCTTGTTTGTCTTCCAGGAGGGCATCGCGCCAGCGCTCGGCGACACATACGTGTATAGTGATGCAGTTTAACTGAAGTTACTCATTAAACATGATCTCCCCTTCGAGTCCCTACGTTCGACAAGAACTCTTATTTGTTGCTCAACATTAATTGATCTTTTCCTTCGAATCCTTTTTCTTAGCTTTACTTCTCGATTTTAGCCTCGAGATTCCTCGATCGAAAGCTCGCAATCTTTAATGCTGTCCGAAACGTGACCTTCTTCAGATGGTAAGAGCTAAGTAACTTAAAAGGCGGGGTACACCCGTTAAGAACTTGAGCTACTTGTTCGCAACAAATGATTCTCAGCTAGCCTTCAACAAACAAAAAGCGATCATTATGAGAATATCACGTAAACCAGAAACTGTGGTTGACTTCCCCCTTGAAGACGTTGGAACTACCTATGAAACTAAGCATCTCGACGTCTCGGATCCTCACCAGGCATCGCACTTAGTAAGAAAAAGTATTCCCAAAAGCGATGAAGATATCGAGACTACAGAGCAAAAATTCCGGCTGAAAGACCAAAGCTGGGACATCATATTATCATGCTTCGGAATCTCGTTCACGGGCTTCTTTTTCGGCTATGATACAGGCACAGTTGGTGGCATAACCAACATGCAGGCGTGGCTCAAGCGTTTCGGTCACTACGATGATGGTCTGGGACAATATGAAATGGCAACTGCTCTGGTAGGTATTGTGGTTTCGTCATTCCACGTAGGATGCATTATAGGAGGCTTCACCATTGCTAGACTGGCCGACACTCTGGGGCGCCGCATTCCAATTGCAATTTCTTGCTTCACGTACATGGTCGGAATCTCAATACAGCTAAGTGCAGGCCACGGCAAATGGTACCAGTATATGCTCGGCCGTATGGTCACGGGACTGACCGTCGGGGCAAACGCAGTGCTGACTCCCATGCTCCTCTCTGAAATAGCGCCGCCAAGAATCCGGGGTGTAATCGTTAACTTTTATCAGCTTAACACAACGCATGGAATTCTAGCTGGTTACATCGCGGACTATGCCACAAAAAGTATTTACAAAGATGACAGGATGTGGAGGCTCCCACTCCTGGGCGGCTATGTCTTTTCTGCAATACTTTTGCCTGTACTTGTATACGCGCCCGAATCACCACGGTTTTTGATAAAACGAGGTCGTTACACCGAGGCCAAGAAGTGTCTAGCCAGACTAAGAGGGTTAAATATCAAAAAGCTCGAGGACTCTGTAATACTATCGCAACAGGCAGCATGTTTGGAGGATGTGGATAAGGAATTGGCCTTTTTGAATGAAACCATTCGTTTCCAAGAGCAAAGACAGCGGAATACCACTTTCTGGCAATTGTTTTCCAAAAGGTTTATAAAGCGGACACTTTCAGGTATGTGTATCATGGGGTTTCAGCAAATGTCAGGGATTGACTACTTCTTGTATTACGGTACGAGACTGTTCAAGTCTGTCGGTATCGATGATTCTTACAAAACCTCTATCATTTTGGGTGCCATAAACGCCGCTATGACCTACGTGTCGTTATTCGTCGCTGATAATTTGGGACGCAAAAAGGGCTTATTTTGGGGATCAGTGAGCTGCTTCATCTGTCTGTTCATATTCTCGACCGTGGGTGTTGTAATGATCGATCGCGCTGACGCTCCTGACTACAAGCTGTCGGGCTATATCATGATTACTTTCACATGCCTATTTATTGTGATGTTCTGCTGCTCGTGGTCAGCAATTGCCTCTGTCCTCGTAAGCGAGATCTTCACTCTCGAAATCAAGGCCCAAGCGATGGCTTTCTCACAAGCTTTCAACTGGGGTTCGAATTTCTTCATCGCTTTTTGCACCCCTATAATTACAGCGCGTATTGGGTACGCCTTCGGTTATGTTTTTGCCGCTTGCATGTTTGTGGCCATAATATTCGTCTACTTCATGATTCCTGAGACAAAGGGGCTCACCTTGGAAGAGATCGACGATATTTACGAGAAAGATAATTGAGTGCGGATTTGCCAGCCCTCTTTGAAGCGTGATAGGAAAATATTAATTCCTTTCAGCACGCCAATATCGTCGCATCCGGTTAAGCCGCCGAAAGAAAGCATCTTTTATTTCTGGGCACTTTCGAAATGAATCTCTCTGAAGTTCATCTGCTGGAATTTGAGAACGGCTGGAGGGGGTGGTTCGCAAGCTTAACGACGGGTCGTTCATTTTTTCATTTATATACTATAAACTTGCTTTTCACTCTAAGCACGATGACAGGTAAATGCGAGATGCTCAAACTTTATGGCTGGGGGCCGGGGCACAGAGATACATGTGAGCATCATAGTTCGCCTCTTATTTATAAATATCGAGTTGCAAATCCCGACCATATATATGCTAGATTAATTTTGGAATTTTTAGGCGGCTCTGCTTTGGTTACCAATTATCTGTTTGGAAGCCAATTCTTAGCAATTGGACAAAAAAACAAGGGCTTCCATTTGATTTCTGAATTGAAGAGCGTGAAGCTTTGAAAATTCATCGGCAGAACATCTGAGTAGTTTTCTCTTCGATGACCGCGCGGAGCTGATCTGCGTACCGCGTCAGGAAATACTCGTATCAAAAGTGACATCAAATTACAGAAGTTTATACTCTCTAAAGTTTCACAACAAATTTGCTCTACGATGCCTTGCTGAATCCATAAGCGCTAGAGTAGAACCTGCCAGCTTCGACGAATCAATTCAAGAATATGAATTCCAAAGTATGGTTTAAATACATTTTACAAAAATGCTTTACGAAAGTCTCCGACTGCAATGTCTTGGAAGTCACCCTAGATAGCTAGTACCTTGGGCCACAAGTTGGAATAATACACGTCTTCGCAGTAGTAGTGCAGCCCGAACTGTGACGCTGTGCTGATTTGGTTATACTAAGTCACGTGTGTATTTATGTCGATTTTTGTAGATGTGCACTATATATGAACTTATTAGAAGCTTGCAGCGGTTTGCCACTCTCTTTGATACTATGTCATTCATTCGACAGAATATCTCACAGCAGCAATGAGTCTTGAATGTAAGTATCCCGACTTCGCCTAATTACTTAATTCTACGCTACCCTTTACTAATCGATCGAGAAACAAACAGTTAATGTCAAACACGCCGGAAAGGCTTACCCTATAACGTTAAGCCAACAGGCCAAAGGCTCGGACTTGCTACTTAAAGTCGAAGAATTGACTCAAGTACCTCAAGCACGTCAAAAGTACATGCTTAAGGGAGGTTTGAATGCTGATTCGAATCTCGCTGGTTTAATAAAAAATGGCCAATCTGTCATGGTTTTAGGAACTGCAGACGCGAATCTGGTTAGCAAGCCCAAGAAAGAACAAAAGTTTCTCGAGGACTTGGACGAAAGTGCACAATATCAGCAATTATCACAGATGCCACCGGGTTTGAAAAATCTGGGCAACACCTGCTACATGAACTCCACTTTGCAGGCTCTATACCAGATCGCGCCACTTCGCGAAGAAGTCTTGGGATTTGACAAGCCGGGCAGTAGTGACGGGACCCAAGATCACTTTCGGCTTGTGGCAGAGCTGAAACGCTGTTTCCAGTCGCTAAAGGAGAAAAAGGAAGAATCGATCACTCCTATGCTCCTGTTGGCGATGCTCAGAAAATGCTACCCACAATTTGCCGAACGTGACGAGCAGTCTGGTTTTTACAAGCAGCAAGATGCCGAAGAGCTGTTCACGCAAATATTCCATTCTTTGCAGGTTGTATTTGGAGAACAGCTCACTCAAAAATTTCGGATCAACTTTCAGACAACAATTAAAGACACCGCCAATGAACAAGATGTTACTGTGAGAGATGATGACAACGACATGAAATTACAATGCCATATCTCAGGAACGACAAACTTTATGAAAAGCGGATTGGCCGAATCGCTGAACGAGCAAATAGAGAAGAGGTCCTCCATTACCGAAGTTAACTCGATATTTAGCGTGGAGAAAAAAATTACAAAGCTGCCTGAATATTTGACGGTGCAGTATGTCCGATTTTTCTGGAAGAGAAGCACTAACAAAAAATCCAAAATTCTGAGGAAGGTAGTTTTTCCATTTCAGTTGGATGTCAGTGATTTGCTGGAGAGCAAGTATGCTCAAGAGAAAATCAAAATCAGGGAAGCCCTTCGTGAAGTGGAAAAGGAAAAAATCGAAGATGACCGTGAAACCAAGAGACGGAGAATGAATGGTGACGATCGTGACAACGAGTTGTCCGAGACAATGACTCCGAGCGAAATGGCTGAGACACAAGCTGCGATTGCAGAGAGTAAGAAAGAAAAATGGAGACAAGAATTTCAAAAGAAGTTTCCCACCGATCTAGCGCAAGGTGAGAACCCCTCTTGCGTTTATAACCTGATTGGCGTGATTACACATCAAGGTGCCAATTCTGAGAGCGGCCACTACCAATCTTTCATACGTGATGAAGAAGATGAAGACAAATGGTACCGCTTCAACGATGACAAGGTGTCAGTTATTCCTAAAGAGAAAATAGAGTCCTTGGCAGGCGGCGGTGAAAGCGACAGCGCTTTGATTCTAATCTATAAGGGGTTTGGCTTGTAAATTGATAAATTCTGCCTGTCACGCAAATCTCTCAGAAGTGAACGAAGTTTTACATCATCCTATCTAAGCCGGATATTCTGATCAGTTTGTTAGAAGTCTTTCGAATATATAGAAAATAATAGGTTATGGGGTGGGGGGCGTTGCTGGCCTATTTTGTCGGTGACATGCGGCCCTACTGACTTAAAGCCATTTTTTTGAAGTTCTGTACCTCTTCGAAGCAGTTGAGCGGTTGACCGTCGTTTTCTCGTAAACACTTAGCAAGAACCTCTTTGCACTGCTTGAGTTCCTTGTTCGCCAACTTGCTGGCTTGATTCTCTTTGAGCTTAGTTAAACGCTCATTCAGATGCGAGATTTTGTCGCTAAGAGCTTTTGACGATACTTCCTGGTTAGACTGGCTATTGTCGGAAAGCAATGAAGTGTTAAGTTTGTCCTCGAATTTTTTAAGCGTCTCTTCCTCAAGTTGTGTCAGTCTTTCGGATACTCTTTGTTCTAGGTACTTGCTTGCCAGCTGTTGTCTCGTATAATCACCCTCGGTCGACTGTTCCAATTGTGCAAGGAGTGTATTGGTAAAGTCAACCTGAGTTCTGGGGGTGAAAACTTTTGTTTCCGCAGGTTTCGAAGGTTGGGAGCCCATTCTTCAGCTTTGTAGTAGCAGGCCTTCTTTATACCTTGACAGAGCTAGTCGAGAGCTTAACACACCAATCATTTTTCAGTCTGTTAACAATATCACTATTCACGACAGTGCTATGTCACTCTAGCATTTAACGGCGAGAAATGCAATCTCATGGTTCATAAGCTTGTCTGACCAAGGTAAAGGACTAATGCAGTGAGAGAATCACTTTCCATGGTCCTTGAGCATTAATTTCGCTACGAAGTAGTAAGAATGCGACATCATTAAATATTCTCAAACTCCCGTTATTCAGGTTCCTGGAATTTTGCTCTGCGCACCACTGGACACCTGTACCTGGCGTCCTTTGTTGAGTAAAACATGCACGTATGCTGTGTTTTTGTAAAAGCTACACCGGAGTTCGATCACCGACCCTACATTGACTGTTATCTCTTATGGTGTATTTTTCTGTCTGTAATTGGAAAACTAATCGAAAGTTTCTAGAAGCAGCAAACACACTAACTACTTTAATGAGAGAGTTTCGGTAGCCGTTTATTGGTCTAACTGAGATTTGGAGATTGCACTGTCACGACGTAACACGAACGGACGGAAGCGGAGTGGGGAAATCTAGTTATTGGATTGTAATCTACATATGCGAATTTTACTTGGGAGCTAGAAACATTGCAAGAAGTACAGAACAGACCCTCCGTTTCCCGTCCGACTGTTATTTAAACTGGTACAACGGTTAGACTCTTTGACCAGAACCGAAATTAAACATTTCCATACTTTCCAGGCACTGTATCATGTGACAGGGTCCATTTTCACTTTGCTTTCAAGTAACGACTTGATTTTGGCTATGATCGGTCGACACAATCCACATGCTTCATTAAACATTGACTGAGATCTTTGCCTTTTCTAACACAGGGAATAGCGTTAGATGCGTACGCCTGATTAAAAATGCAACTTCAGTCATGAGGCGAAAATGCATTTCCAAAATCTGTGTTTCGTGGCAATTTGAAATACTCGCGCGATATACTCGGTCTCGGGCAAGGGATTGGGAACTGTATTGTGGAAGCTTAAGCTCTCGATTTACTGGCACCTGATCAGCTTCTCGAGGAATTGAATGTTCCGTATCGAGCGATATTCTACTGCAGAGCCGAAACCTTATAAGAACGAAAATAGATACGATAATAGCATGGCTTTATCTACTTTAATTTTAAACAAACAAATATTGAGAACACACCAAGCCAACAGCCGTCCAGAAGCCACGATCAATTTGTATTTCGCACGAAATTATAAGATTGTAGCCCCATCCAAAAACCCAGCTCATTTCCTTCTGCCAGCGTCACAAGGATCGCTGAAACGCGTTGAAACTTGTTTCAGGACTAAGAATTTCTAAAATACGAAACTCGCTATAATAGCTCAAACAAAGTAACTACAGATGGCCAGGAAACTTGGTTTGAGTGTTTCCACTCTACTCTTTATTGTGCAATTTGCTGCCATGGCCTTTCTGATAATTTGTTGTGTGACTGCGCCTGTTTTCAAACAAATTGGCCTCGCTAAAACAGGCGACTTCGTTTTTGGCACTTTTGGCTACTGTGAAAATGGCGCTTGCTCCTCAGCAGCCGCGAACTATCACCCTGAAACTTTAGCCACGTCTGGTGATTGGAAACTGAGCAGTTCTGCTCGTGAAAAACTGGGCAAAATTCTGATTATTATGCCTGTCGCCGCAGGCCTCACGTTTTTCGCGACGCTGGGCAATTTCATCTCACAATTTGGGCGTCTGAGTTCCTCGGGCGTCTGCTTTATCCTGAACTTGTTGCTGAGTATCATAGGGTTCGCTGCCTCGGCGTTAATGTGCGTGATAACGTTTCTACTATTCTATCCCAACATCACGTGGTGCTCTTGGCTTCTAATTCCATCGGCCGCTATAAATCTGATCTGCGTTCCGATGACTTTTGTTGCACACTCATTAGCATCTTCCGGTGAACCTGAGGGAGACAGCGACTCTGCGAGTGGTCTCAATGTCACCAGATTGGACCAAGATGACGTACTGGATCGTTACAGCATGGACGAATATAAAGAAAGCCACAAAGCTCTAAACGGTGATAAGCCCGTGTACCCTGAGGTATATAAAGGGCCTCAAATTGTTACTTCTTCAACCATTCACTCGAGCACGACAGATTCGAGGTCTGATCGCGATGCTTTCGTTCGGGAAAGACCAAACAATACGGCGGGCAGTGGCGCGTCACAAACCCAACTTGCCATAGCCGATCCTGCTCCAGACTTTTCGTTTGAAGAAACTACAACTGTAACCAGACCATATTCTGCCATTGCAGGTTCTCAGAATGTCCAGCATTTTTCTCAAGAAGAAGCCGCACCAAAGCCTTTCAGGGCCCCACCCCAAACGTATCGCGGTCCTTCAACCACATCGTCCTTCTACTCTCAAACAGAAGGGGAATTATCGCGTCAAGGAACTTTAAAAACAACAGACTTGAGGCCCTCCTCTGCTTTAGATCTGCAAGCCGCTAAACGTGGAAAGCCTGATCACGAAGAATTACAAAATATCATAAAGGGTGCGATACATGAGGTAGAGGATGAGGAATTCTTAAAGCAACAGACCATTGACCCAAGTGAGCGGCCATCGCTGGACGACGATGATGGGATCAAAGATGACGATTCAGATTTTACTTCTGTCTCACAGCGGGGCATTAATCAAAATTACATGACAGCTATAAATGGTAATGGGTTTGCTCATAAATCTCCACAAGTAGCGATGATGCCGAATCCAAGAAGTTATGGTCTTCATGAGCAATCGCCAGTTGCGAAGATCCCACACCACAAATATCAGGTTGTACCCTCCCAGGCGCAAAGAAATTACGCGCCACAACCTCAGGGCATGCTACCTCAACATCAATATCAGCCCTACGCAGTACATCAGCCTGTTCAAGCACATGAAAGGGCAGCATACTCCAGGTCTCAGCGCGTACCGAACAATTTGCATGGGACCTCTGACGCTATCTTGAACACGAGCCCCGATTTCATGGTTGCCGGTGCGCCAGCAACAAGTACGCCAGGATCCAGAGACCCGCAACGTGGAATGTATGCCATGCCTCCTAAAACAGCAACCAATACTACATATAGGCCGGCATACAAGAAGCGCTTGGCGAGACAGAACATACCGGCCGCCTCAATGGCGAGAGACGGTCCCTACAGTGGAATGATGTAATAACTAGCCGGTTTAGTTAATTTGTATATTACAGAGCGTTCAATCAAAATTGACAATCATGCAGTACCTTCCTCGTGTGCGTTGCTTGGTTGGCCACTATCCGCATCGGCAGGGTTGCTTGCTGGACCTTCAGTGGATGGTTCATTCACAGCGTTATTCTTCTTGCTTCCATGGCTATGGGGCTTTAGCATAACGAAAAAGAACAAGGTGATCACTATTAGGGATAGCAGAAGTATTATTTTGCATTTTTGCGTACGCTTTTGGTAAACAGTTGCCTTTTCCAGTTCCCGATGGGCGCCTTTCAGCTCTGTTACAGTATTTTCTAGATTGTAATCGATTCGATCTATAATAGTGCCTTGATCGATCACTAGGTTTTGCATTTCCCGAAAAATCGTACTTACTTCCAAAACTCCTCGGGCCAGTTGCGTGATTTCCTCTTCTCGTTCCCTCAAAAACTGAGCATTTCTTCCGTCCATTTGCCGATGACTCTGTCGCTGCAGAGTTTGTTTGGAATATGAATCGATTTCCTGTTGTGACGCCCCATACGCCTCTTCTTCTTCGAGCACGAGTAGAGCGCTATCATCGGTATTGGAACTGGGTAATGGCTTGAAGTCGTCCTTATTCAGAAACTTCAGATAATTGTTCTGCAGCACCCGAAATTTATTTGAACTAGCTTGAATTTTATTGGCATAGTTCTTCTCCAGATTGTTAAGAACAATGATATTGCCTCGATTGAGGTTTTTCCCTTGAAAGGTTTGAGAAGAGCTAGATGCTTTTAATGACTTCATGATGGAATAACACCTTTGAAAGAGTTGGATGATGCGCATACTCAAATCCTCTATTTCCTGCTCATCCGTAGCTTTGTCCTCAAAACCTGGGAGGGAATTCTTGCGATAGAGTTTGGTCAACTGCAGCATCTGTGATTCGGCCTCCGCGAGACTGCGGTCAATATCTTGCGTTAGACTCGTGAATACGGAGGACGGGCTTTGAGAACTCTCTCCCATGTCAATCATAGGATGAGATTCGTCTGCCCCATTTTCCTCAATATCGAAGAATGAATCTGGCTCAGAGCTCTTGGTACGCTCGTAAGTTCGGGGAAATGTCCTGCGGTATGACAAAAAAAGGTTGGTTCTATCTCTAAACATTGTTCTAAGATGGCCTGTGTAAGGCTTCTTACACTAAATAGAGTTCACAAATATTCTTCAGAGGCAGTAGCTTCAGCTGGGAACAGACCTGGCGGTGAATCTTCGGTGAGGGTGCTCTTGAAAGCACGCGAATATAATAGGGTTTCCCGAAATGAAATGGTGCCAGCATTAATTTCATTTACTTCGTATTAAAGCACTGTACGTTGTCTTGAAGAAATAGGTGAGTACACTAAAAGTATTCCGAAGGCTGATAAGTTAGGTTGTGGTACTCTGTCCGGCTATGCCAAGTGAGCATGGTTTGATTTCAGAGATTCTAGAAGCGTGAAATCTACTATGATAAAAGACGATCTACCACGCCATTCTTTCCTGTCTTGATAAAATTACGATTCCTTAAACTACAAATGTTCTAGGCACACCATATCAAATGTGTTGAGACTTCAAAATTGCCCTTCAATGTCACATTTTTCAGCGTTGAAAGTCCTGGACTTATTGAAACTATCAGCATTCTTGTTTCAGTAGCGATGTGCGCAACCGAGCGCGAAGCAAGAGGGCAGAAAATTCTGTAGTCTAGGGCTCCGATAAACCCTCTATATCGAATTTCCGCAAAACCAGACCATCTTGATAGACTATATAGCTGTGCAAGCTTCGTCTTACAGCTGGAAACTGCGATCGCTGGCGACGCTTGACGTAAAGAGTCACGAGATATCATGCCCCGCAGATATATCAGATACTGCTTTTACTGTGAACGGTTGAGTTACAACTATACTGCTGATCTCAAAAAACCAGATGGAATTGCGTTCTACGCTCACTAGTACTAGAATACTATATTTCACAGAACATTGTTTGATTGAAGCTTACAAAGGGGCGCTGATCATTAAAGCGGTATACCTTTGAGCGAATTATATAAAATCTATCAGGCAGTTATTGTCATTACGGTCAATTTAATCATTTAAATATATAGTCATAACCTCAGATTGTGGAGGATGGGAGAAGAGCTACAACAGTCAGCTTAGTATTCGTAAGCTTGTCTGATGATAGCAATGACTTCTTCCTTCTCGAACTGAATTGGGTTAGTCAAGTGGCAAGCGTCTTTCATGGCGTTTTCGGCAAGAATTTCAAAGTCTTCAACCTTGACACCTAGCTCTTTCAAGTTTCTTGGGATGCTTAGAACTCTGTTGAATTCGTGCAAACGCTCGATGGTAGAGTCGGCAGTGTTCTCTTTGGCGCCCAAGTGAGAGGCGATCTCGGCAAGTCTGTTGTTGGACTTCTCATCTTTCTTGTTGAAAGATTGAACGTGAGGAAGTAGAACAGCGTTGCAGACACCGTGTGGCAAGTGGTAGAAACCACCCAATTGATGGGCGATGGCGTGAACGTAACCCAAAGAGGCGTTGTTGAAGGCCATACCAGCTAGGTATTCGGCGTAGCACATGTCAGTTCTGGCCTTGGTGTCCTTACCGTTCTTGTAAGCCTCTTCCAAACTTTCCTGGATCAAGTCAATACCCTTCAAGGCACAGCAGTCAGTGATTGGGCTGGCAGCGGTCGACAAGTAAGCTTCGAAACAGTGAGTCAAAGCGTCAAGACCAGTGGCAGCGGTCAAAGCAGGTGGCAAACCGTACATGGCAGATGGGTCGTTGACGGCAACAGCTGGGGTGACGTTGTTGTCGATGATGGCCATCTTGACCTTCTTTTCTTCGTTGGAGATAATGGTGAAACGGGTCATTTCAGAAGCGGTACCGGCGGTGGTGTTGACGGCAACCAAAGGTAGAGCGGCGTTCTTGGACTGGTTGACACCTTCGTAGTCGCCGATTTCACCACCGTTGGTGGCCAAAAGGGCAATGGCCTTGGCGTTGTCGTGGGCGGAACCACCACCGATGGACACAACGACGTCACTGTCCTGCTCCTTCAAAACCTTTAGACCAGCGGTAACATTACCGATGTTTGGGTTTGGCTGGGTTTGGTCGTAGATAGCAACGTCTAGACCGTTTTCCTTCAAGATTTCAGTGACCTTACCGGAAAGACCAATCTTGGCAATACCAGGGTCAGTGATGATGATAGCCTTCTTGAATTCCTTGGTCTTGATGAAGTTGACAGCTTCAAGCAAAGCACCTTCACCGAAGTAAGAGACCGGGGGAATGAAAAAACCAGTAACGGAGGACATATTTTTTTTAGAATGGGATTAACAACTCTTGAGAGACGAGTGGATGATGATTTAAGAAAGTGTTTAAACATAATGGAAGTCCTACACTGCCGGAGTGCGCTACCGTCTCTTAAATACCCTGTTGGTTTCTAGTCTGCTCGAATAACCCCTGCGGTTGATCGAATGTTTTGTTGTAGAGTCTTCCCATTTATGCTGTGACCATACCATCGTGTGGTTTTAGGCAGCTAACTGTGCGGCATTAAGTAAGGCAGAGCGCGTTCCTCTGCGACATCTCCTGACATGGGAAGAAAGTCTTGCGAGTTGCAGAGTCAAGTTCTTGCTGATACTGACGATGGATACTGAATGTTTTCTAAACAGTACTTGGCGGGTTAAACAGCTGATCAGGCTTGCAAGATTTTGACGATTTGATGAAAAAAAAAACAGCTGGGAGAAGAAAAAAAAGAAACGTGGAAATTGCATCACCAAACGCTCGATCTTAGCCGTCAACATATTCTTCAACGGTCATAATGGGGAGATTTCACTGCAATATGAGCCCTCGACATCGATGGAAGGACCTACAATACAAGATGCCAGCGCACAGTTTTCTACATCTGACGATGTGCGCGGGTAGACGTAAAACGCCGAGCGGGGAGCAACGCGTGATAAAGTCCGACTTGGATGAGAATTAGGGCAAAAAATTCTCAGATGGTCGTTTAGCTTATGCTATTAGTTGTATTGACGAAAATTCATCTCGAGCAGTTTTTGACGCGAGGCATCGAGAAGTCAAGAGTGGGCTGGTGGACGCTGCTACTACTGCTGCTGCTCCTCTTGCTGGTGGGTCCATGGGTACCAATAAAAGGTTCCGTTTGCATGAGGCGAAGTAGAAGACGGGCGCAGGGACGCAGGTTGTAACACGTAGGGGGAGATGGAGATAGTCACGTGTTTGTGTGGTCTACCTCCATAGATGATTACATCTAGACGACATTCGTTTCTGCCTCTACAAAATCTAAAGTAATCTGATACGCTGCGAGGAAATTTGGAAAAACGCGTAAAGTCCCAAATTATTGTATTGTGTCTGATGCGGAGGGTCCATGGACGGTACAAACGCGAACGAGCCACCAACAGACTTATCGTTCGAGAAAACAGACGAGCAAGGCCCGCGAGACAATGGAGGCCGACAGCTCCACTTCTTCAAGGCTGTGAGAATTTGAAGATAGCCCGGACGGGACGTGGAATACAAGTAGAAAGTCAACACCACTTTCATTCCGCTGTTGTTTCTGGCAAGCTGTCCATTTTGCGAAACACTAAGAGGGCTAGAGTTAGATGCTTAAAGCCATAGCTTAATTGATAAGAAAGAACGATTACTAGACCTTAGACGATGGGATGGTATTTAGATTTAAGTGGGACACTACCACCACCTACCACTGAGTGAAAAACTGTTTTGAGATTGGTCCATTTTTAGGGTTCGTTGAAATTAGAGCGCCGCTCTCTCGTTAAATGGACCTATGTTTGGTATAACATGTTGAGATTGGTCAAATTTGGAGACAACATAGCGCCGACGGAGCAGCAACTTAAAAACACGTTCAGATATGTTATGGATAATGCCATGTCCAAAATTTTTATCACCACTACCGGGGATGAGAAGAATCCATGCCCTAGAACGGGTAATGATAAGGTCGACGACATCATTGGGGACTTATCAAGACTCAAAAGTGCAGCAGAGGAACGCCGAATGGAGAAAAGGAGGCTTGAAACACAGCCGCAATCCAACAAACGGAATGTCGAGCAGATACTCTGCAATAATACCCTCCCTCAGGTCGTGCAAGACCCGGAACTAGCAGAATCAGACAGCTCTTTTTCAGCGATCGATGATGTGGGTGCGCCCAGCGTGCGGACAAGTTTCGAAAGACGCAGGATAAATTAAGTCACTGCTATGGATTTGCAGGATTCATTTTCTAGTCTCTTTTCTGAGATGCAGCAAAGAGAGTCAACCATGGTAGAGTTTCTTAACTCGATGGTGGACTATACGAAAAGAAGTGACCAAGAAAAGAAGGGAAAAGACCGGAAAACTAGAGAGGAAGGTATTGCGATTGAGAAGGAAAAGATCGCATTTGAGAAGGAAAAGATCGCCCTTGAGGAACACGGGTTTGACCAGTCGCAAAGGCATTCAATAATAATCACTTTTTCGCAATACCAGGCTTAGTTTGCCAGCACGGACCCAGAGACGAAGAAATTTTTACTTGACAGGTTGCGCTTTCTCCAAGAGAAACACACCTTGCCTTGAAAGTTCAAGCCATACAACTCACTAAATCGTTTTCTCTTCATTACATTCCAAGCTCATTCAACGAAACAAAACCGATATTCGTGGGGTTTTTTGGATTGGGGTTTCTGCGTCCGGTGAGGTCGATTAGAGTACCATCAAATAATTTGGGAAATTGAACTCCTTTCATGTGTTCTTCCATTGTTGGAGGATCGATTTGGAAGTATCTCGAGGCCTGCAATCCCTCCAAGCAGTGTTCGAGGTTCGTCAAAAACACTGCCATCGGATAGTACGCTCCACATCTCTTCACACCCTTAATTTTCGAGCACCGTTACTGTTGAAAATCCGGAAATTCTTATTCATAGCTCCGAAGAACCACTTAATAGAGGCACGAGAGGTTGACATCATCATACTCTGCCTTTTTTTCGTCTGAAGTCAGCACTCGACCTCTGTGGCCGACTATCAGAACGTCTGGGCTTCTGAATGCAGGGTCCCCGTACACCCTGTATTGTTGATTGTCAGCTTTTAAGGCAGATCTGAGCCTGTTTTGTAGGCCGTTGTACATGAACAGGAATGAATCATATGCTGACTACCGGCCGAAGGACCCGCAAGGTCAATGCAGATTCCATCGGGGGTAGTTGCTGCCTGGTATTTCAGAATGTGGGATTTTTTATGGCCACTGTAAACTACGTTTGGGGCAACACCATATCCATGCTGAGCCTGATTGTGGTGCCAGGCAACTTTCACATATGTGTGTCATCAATGAAAGCAACTATCCTGGCGCCTTCAATTGATTTTTTGGCCTCCACAAGCGTCCGACCCTTATCTTTCATACGGTCAGGCTACCAAGTAGCCCTAGTGACAGCCAACTTCGGTCTTATGACGTGATACCAATGACAAAGCTCTAGAGATATTCGATGTCTCCCCATTGCATATTCCTGCCAATATACCGTAACTAGTGCCGGTGCGAAGACGAAGAAGAAAATTGAAAAAGGATTCTTCAGGTATCTACGCGAAGTTCTCTACGTTTTGGGGTATTTTCAAAGCTTTTGCGATCTGTGACAGCCTATGCTTGTGAATTCCTGGTATTTTCTTGGACTCATCGTGTGCATACTTCAGCGAAAAAGCTCCACCTCTCTCATAGTTGAGATTATGACGTAAATTTTGACCTCGGGCCGTTCGTGGTCTTGATCCTTCTGCCGCAAGCTCTCTGAAATTTACTTGACAAATTTTATCTGCATATCACATTGCTGTTTCGAGGCAAGCATTATCATGTCTTCAACAGTTTTAGGTACAGCTGCCTCTATAATCCGGCTCTTGTACCCACTGCAGTACGCAAATGTGAATTACCGTAGTGATAACGGAGCAGGTACTGCCCTTTTACCAAACTTGCAGGAATTCTGAGGAGCCATGTAAAACCAATTGTCTGAACAATTACTCATGATTTTGGCCACGAATCTTTTCCAGCAATGTAGCGGCGTCCGAATTTTGAAAATCCATTTCAAAGGTGCTAGATTAAAATTCATCAAAGGAACGGTCAGTAAGTTTCATGTAGCCTCCATTCCATATTGGATACTGCAATTCACGTCGCTATCCAGTTTTGGTCCGTATTGAGCTTTGATGGGACGCCTTTTCTTGACGCGATATCTTGACGCGTTACAAGGTGTGGGTTCGCATCAGTTAAGTAACGTGGCATTCTTGGGTTTTTTTTACCTGACCCTAAGGTGTTTCAACTTCTCTATTACTGGACTCCGACAAATGAGCGTGCAAATAGCGTGCCTGCTTGCTCATGTTCCGTGTGAAGAACGAGCACATAAAAACACTCTGTTTCTTTAGGAATGTGTCACGGATAGACGTGAAGTTCGATTATTAGCATTGATTTACGTTTCTGGACATGCGCTCTCCCTTAATCGCTGACCAGTCATAAGTAGTTTCTCAAAGCTTCGGCTAGTACAGACTACGGAGGTAAGTAAAGTTCAAATTGGTCGATGCGGAAATCATTGAGTGTTTCCGAATGTGAAATTTCCTAGGGGACACCGCCCATATTTATTTGTCAACTGTAGAAATTATATATTTTCTCGTGTTGTCGAAAGCTGTTTGTTTACTACAAAACATAAAAAACTCACTTTCTCAATCTTCGAAATCTACGCAGACATGAAGATCTGATTTTCGACCAAAACAATCGTAGAAAATAGAGACTTTGTCGGTCGTGGTTTCAATATTCGCACTGCAATCCAAATTGTTTATTCGTCCCTTCCAGTTTTTGCCATCGTTCTTAAATTAATTGAAGGGAGGTCACTTACACTACAGTTTGTATATAATTCAATCTCAGAAGAAGATATCATTATTATGATGCCCGAAGATACTATCAGAATGCATGGTAGTATAGCGTCAGAGTAATACTATCAAAAAAAGTCTCGTCATTAAAATTAAATGACAGGGCAAGTGAGCTTTCCTCGGAGTAGCCTTATTACACATTTGACATGAATAAGTCTTTGGTCAAGGTGCTCGTTAGAGAATTCACACCTAGAGTTTTGTGGTGGGCTGTGATAATGGGCGCATGGGAAGTGCACCTGGAAAAGTGTCCCATCGGAAATTTACAATTTTGGCTTGAACATATAGCGATCTTCAGTATTCCAAAAAGAACGTCATTCCGGAGTCCTGAGGCCTAAATTGAAACCTGCTGTTACAGGAAGAAAAACAGAAGACAACAGTAAACAGTTGCCTTATCTCTAAAGTCAAAGCTGCCTAACGCGTGAGCTTCATGTTGGTCCGCTCAGGCGCTATTCAACGTCAACTCAAACTCCCTAGACATTCACTTATATTGCAAGATACGTGGTTGTTCCGCGAGAGCTACATCTTTTGACTTTTTGGCAGTGGCTAACAAGCGTCCATGAATTAATTTCAAACAGTAAACTCGCATTTATGCAGCGATGACCAGAAGATGGGAAATTTAAAAAATTAGTTGTTTTGAGTAGTATTTGCTTGTTTGACAATAACGCATGTTCTGAATCGAAATAATCATCTTGCCACCTGACAATGGGTAACTTAATCGTTTAGAGCGCAGACTTTTTTCCCCTTTCTGCCACCTCTCTGAGTTTGGCAGCAATGTGCTTTTTGCTGACAAAAGCGTTCAATTCTCAATTAGTCATGTCTATAATTACGCATTGCTTCCCTTGCATTAGGCGCCTTCCCTTGACCGGGATCTTGCTTCTGCTATGTGATCGACTTTACGGGGTCACATGATTCTTGCTGCCACCTTAGCCGAATGTCGATCCAAGAGAAACAGGTTGAGCTTGCATGCCCTCTGAGATGCAAGAGAAACACTTGCGAAGAGAAATGATTTGCTTTTTCTCACCTTCTGGTTTTTTTCGAGATTCTGCCCTCAGCTTGTCACTTTATTTAACTAGCAATGCAAGGGCAGTTGAATTTCACTCCCTCAGCACTATATGGCCAAAAATTTGTCACAAGAGAAAATGTACATTGAAGTGCCTCTTGATGATCTAAGTGTTTAGAGAATCGGATGGAAGGCAACTATGCTGAGAGTAACATCAACATGTCAGCGCGGAAGAATATGCTATGATCTTCTAAATACACAGCGCGTCAATTTGCCCTGAGTACCATGAGTATTTTTAAAACTTGATAGAACAATTGAAAGATCTATTTGAGAGGCCATGCATAAATGCGCTATATATTTCAAGCAGTCTACATGATATTCCAAGCCCCACACGCTGATAGAGAATTTAAATATAGATGTGGCGCTACCACATTGAATATAACCATATTGAATCTTCTTGGACCTTTTATTTGGCTTTTAAATTTCCATTGTCCTTGGGGTTTCCTCAGATATCAGCTTTTCCTGTAAAATGGCCCCAGCAGCCTCTTGACTTTTTACAAACTTTTAAGCTCTGCGCACTCTTATACTTATCCAAAGCTTGAGTATTCAGATTCAAAACTACCTTCATGCTCTTAATTTTACTAAATATTAATTGATATCCATTCGGTCAATCTTTAGTACGCTCTATTCTTGCGGGGTGTCGTGCTATCCATAGGCTACAGTGCAACTTTTCGAGATCATGTGATATAATGACAGACTGCTGTGAAAATGGTGTCATTGAATGCAGGACATAGGCAAAACAAGTCCGGTGTGTGTTCTAAAGCGGTTGATGACATCCGCTTCATCTGTTAATCTTTTCCAACAATATAACATGACGTGCAGGATATTTTGAGGACAACCCTGTTTGCATCTCCAGGTTGTGTCAAGGATGGTGGATGACTAAATGACCAGAGGCCAGGATTTGCTCCTAACGGATTATGCTCATGAGACTCGATGAACGAAACGTCAATGGTTTGTAAAATCCCATACAAGAGGGAAGCACAAAAAACAAGAATGAATCAGGTTAGAGATTAGCAGCTTGGTTGGACCCATTCACGAATACAATCTCGTGTTCAAAGTTGTGCCAGGAGACAAGAACATGGTGACAGACGCGGTAACTGGCGGAATTTACAGAAAAATTTGCTAGAATCGAGATTAAGTTATTTTACTTCTGCGCGAAAAATAATAGGTGAAGAACAATGCTCTTGAAGCAGTCACTGTGAAGAGCTCAGGTAATACCGACAGTTTAGAAATAACATTTGCGGAAACATGGAAGGATTTAAACTCTTTTGGGACCACAGACGTGGATTCAAAATCCAGGACGAAGTACCGAGATTCGGGGAAAGAAATATCTAGACTAAAAAAACTTAATTTGAGAGGGTTATAAGTCCAGTGCTATACATGGCAGGCATTTTGGACCACTTGTAGAGCATATGAGGATAGTTTCAGACTATCATTGCCTACAAATGGTTAAAACTACTAACAATTATTTTAAAGCGTGCACCCTATGTCAACTCACGAAATCATATTGGCTACAGTATAACGAAATATTGATGTATAAACTTTCGCTAGTAGTCGCTGGCAATATATCAACGGATTGCAGGACACGGTTGTCAATTATTCAGTCGAAGTTTTACATGATTTTAGTGTTGTTTGACAATCAAATCAAATGCATTCACCCGCATCATTAAAAGGAAACTGCGGGAATAGATATCCTCAACTACGTTTTTGCTTTGTTTTTCACCTGCTATCATTTTACTCGTACGGTTATCAGTGACGTAGTACCAGGACTCGAGTTCCCACCAAACATTTACATAAAACCAGAAAAATCGTTAAGGTATTTATTCGGCTTTTACACACATGCATGGCACCGACAACGATACTAGAACAACTATTACCACAATTCGAGTTCGTGTACATTTAGACAAGTAGTACAGCCATAAATAGGACATTTTTAAAGAGCAATAAAACCAACCAAACTCGCCATCTCTACTTATTTTAGGCTTATATGACGCTCGCAGTTGGAACATGGCAGAAAAACCAAAGAAACTCAAACAAATAGAACTACAAGCACAAAGCACTTCGAAGGAAAGCTGAGCTCAAACGGAACGCTCAATTTAACGACTGACGCAGGCTTTCGGAAAAATGTGAGGAAGTTTTTTTCCACAGATAAGCCTTTTCAGACAAGAGCTTTTTCCATTCAAGTTCGTTGTAAAATTAACAAGAACGCGACGTGTTCTTTTACCATCAACGAGAGAGACATCGACAGATCAGCATCAAATGTATAGCAAAAAATGACGTCAATCTCTATGAGCCATCAAGACTTGCAATCGAAAGCAGAATATGCTGAGGGAAACCGCTTTGTTGCAAGCCATGGCAAAAGTTGAAATTCTACCTATCTCACATCATAAATTACATCAAAGTTTATCAACAGAGTTTGACAAGCAAATCAATAAATTGCTCTTTCAACGAAGGCCGATTCAAGTTGAAGGATTAATTTGTGTCTTGGGAACGGAGAGGGGGCTATGAGCGAGACGTGTTCGAGACTACGGATAATATTTTGAGAATAGTGAAAGACCGAGATTAAAGGAATGGTGTATAAAGGCCAATTTTGAAGGAGAGTGCTTACTGGAAGCCCTGACGTTTGGAGCAAAGTGAAAGCCACGACAAGACTACATACATTGAACATTCAATCCATAAGCACCTTTCGAGAATTCTAATCTCTCATACCAAATGTAAACGAGATTGGCACTCAGTCCCCGAGAGGTACAGATCCCGTATTCAGAAAAGCATAGACATTTAGTTTTTTCGTAACATCTCTGTTTTTTTGCTCAAACCCAAGGTTTTTAGTTCTCTTTAATTTTAGGTAGTTGTTAAATTAGTAATTTCAGGTTTTATATTTTTGAGAGAACGAGATTAATGAAAAAATATAGTGTACAAAATGATAATGTAGAGGAATAATGTGACAAAAAAACACATAATTTTAGTTCAAAATAATAGAAGGGTAAGTATAGTAAAGAACAAATAGGTAAACGAAAATCAGACCGTCAGGTACTTCATGCGAAAGCAGTTGAAAACAAATCGAAAGAATTTGGAAACAAGTTCTAGTAGATTTGGAAGTTCGTAAAGAACATGGCCTCGTTGAACGGTGGAGAGAGTCACTAGGTGATCGTCAGATCTGCTTAGTCTCTATACAGCGCGTCAACATGGGTGATGGCGGCGAGTTTATTGTGAAAGTTTGTTGAGATTTCTCACAAGCGGACACTGATAGACAAGCTGCTTAGCCTGAACAGTCTCGTCTCGGACATCTAGCGATTCCGTGGGCGAGCAGCGAAGGATTTGGTGGATTATTAGCTAATAGCAATCTATTTCAAAGAATTCAAACTTGGGGGAATGCCTCGTCGAATAGCCGGTTATGCTCTCAAATCAATGATATTAAACCTGCTTCTGTGAAACATCGGATCAGTGTTTATGGAAATTGGTTAGAGGAAACTAGGGCAAGTGAGAAGAAAGTGTAAAAGCTTCCTTTTTGCTTTGCTCGTTGCTTGTTCGCAAGCCAACCTTCAAAAAGTTATCTTCAAATGACGGTGATTTAGTGGGAACTCCCTTTGGGAGCGACTGCTCTTTTGCTGTTCAGATTAAAGATAGTTATCTGGTTGATCCTGCCAGTAGTCATATGCTTGTCTCAAAGATTAAGCCATGCATGTCTAAGTATAAGCAATTTATACAGTGAAACTGCGAATGGCTCATTAAATCTATCGTTTATTTGATAGTTCCTTTACTACATGGTATAACTGTGGTAATTCTAGAGCTAATACATGCTAAAAATCTCGACCTTTTGGAAGAGATGTATTTATTAATAAAAAATCAATGTCTTCGGACTCTATGATGATTCATAATAACTTTTCGAATCGCATGGCCTTGTGCTGGCGATGGTTCATTCAAATTTCCGCCCTATCAACTTTCGACTGGTAGGATAGTGGCCTACCATGGTTTCAACGGGTAACGGGGAATAAGGGTTCGATTCCGGAGAGGGAGCCTGAGAAACGGCTACCACATCCAAGGAAGGCAGCAGGCGCGCAAATTACCCAATCCTAATTCAGGGAGGTAGTGACAATAAATAACGATACAGGGCCTATACAGGTCTTGTAATTGGAATGAGTACAATGTAAATACCTTAACGAGGAACAATTGGAGGGCAAGTCTGGTGCCAGCAGCCGCGGTAATTCCAGCTCCAATAGCGTATATTAAAGTTGTTGCAGTTAAAAAGCTCGTAGTTGAACTTTGGGCCTGGTTGGCCGGTCCGATTTTTTCGTGTACTGGATCCAACCGGGCCTTTCCTTCTGGCTAACCTTGGGGCATTTATGTCCCTTGGCGAACCAGGACTTTTACTTTGAAAAATTAGAGTGTTCAAAGCAGGCGATTGCTCGAATATATTAGCATGGAATAATAGAATAGGACGTTTGGTTCTATTTTGTTGGTTTCTAGGACCATCGTAATGATTAATAGGGACGGTCGGGGGCATCAGTATTCAATTGTCAGAGGTGAAATTCTTGGATTTATTGAAGACTAACTACTGCGAAAGCATTTGCCAAGGACGTTTTCATTAATCAAGAACGAAAGTTAGGGGATCGAAGATGATCAGGTACCGTCGTAGTCTTAACCATAGACTATGCCGACTAGGGATCGGGTGGTGTTTTTTTAATGACCCACTCGGCACCTTACGAGAAATCAAAGTCTTTGGGTTCTGGGGGGGAGTATGGTCGCAAGGCTGAAACTTAAAGGAATTGACGGAAGGGCACCACCAGGAGTGGAGCCTGCGGCTTAATTTGACTCAACACGGGGAAACTCACCAGGTCCAGACACAATAAGGATTGACAGATTGAGAGCTCTTTCTTGATTTTGTGGGTGGTGGTGCATGGCCGTTCTTAGTTGGTGGAGTGATTTGTCTGCTTAATTGCGATAACGAACGAGACCTTAACCTACTAAATGGCTGCTAGCATTTGCTGGTTTGTCACTTCTTAGAGGGACTATCGGTTTCAAGCCGATGGAAGTTTGAGGCAATAACAGGTCTGTGATGCCCTTAGACGTTCTGGGCCGCGCGCGCTACACTGACGGAGCCAGCGAGTATAACCTTGGCCGAGAGGTCTGGGTAAACTTGTGAAACTCCGTCGTGCTGGGGATAGAGCATTGTAATTATTGCTCTTCAACGAGGAATTCCTAGTAAGCGCAAGTCATCAGCTTGCGTTGATTACGTCCCTGCCCTTTGTACACACCGCCCGTCGCTAGTACCGATTGAATGGCTTAGTGAGGCCTCAGGATTTGCTTAGAGAAGGGGGCAACTCCATCTCAGAGCGGAGAATCTGGTCAAACTTGGTCATTTAGAGGAACTAAAAGTCGTAACAAGGTTTCCGTAGGTGAACCTGCGGAAGGATCATTA